GGTATTTGTCTGTCTGTCTGTGTGTATGTCTGTCAGATACACGCGATATCTCACGAAAGCGAGATCGAATCTGCTCCAGATTTTGCATGTGCATTCATCATATCTCGGACCAAAAGCTTATTGATTTTGGGCGAAGTATAATTAGCGAGTTATTAATTAATTAGTGATGGGACACAAGGTGTCACTATGGAGTAAGAGCGAAGTTTTGGGGGATCCCCTAACTTTCGATCGATAAGTCTTCGGTCTCTGACCGATTTCTCGTGTTGATTATTGATAAATACGACTAACATAATCTCTTCCGCGATATTCTTATTACTTATCGATCTTGTTACTTATCGATCTTGATCGGTAAGTATGTTGATAGGTATTTGTTATTTATCGATCTTTCTCGGACCAGAAGCCTATTGATTTTTGATGAATTATGTCGTATAATTAGCGAGTTATTAATTAATTAGGGATGAAGAGATCTGGATTTTTGCAAAGCGAGAGAACGCGTATGATCTAGATTTTAGGCGAGAGCGCGCATGTGCTGAGTGTGTGTTCGATGCGCAAGTTTCCCTTCGAGAAAGTTCCCACGCTATTGAGTCAGAGCGAAAGAAACATGCCGCTAGATCGATAAGTCAGCGATCTCTGGTCGCTATCTCGTTCATCACTTCAATACTATCTCGTTCAAGTATTTTGTGGCAACGCCTATATACGGATCCGAAGTAAGAAGTAGACAAGAAGAAATGACTTGTAATTCAATAAACATTATCCTAGTTTTCCCTGTGTTTATTATGATGTTCAATTATTTTTTAAAGTCCTATAACGATTCTATTTATTTCGCAGGATTGATCAACAGCTACAGTAAACATCCTCTAGTAACTGTGTTGAAAGTTTCGCTAATTCTCGCCGGCATTGGATTGATATTTGGATTAGTTATTCGTGAGTCCAACTTTACTTGACTTTATAACTGATACTTTCTAAAACGAAAGAGCAATGCCAAAGATATGGAAACGAAAGTCATATTAAAATATTTCTTTTATGTAACATACAAAGGCTTCCATAAATTGAAATAAATGATTGAGTTAACAGGGTGTCCCATAGGACTCGAGGGAAATTCGGAAAATTAAAACAAAAAATAGCCTAGTAATGAATGTAATTGGTCGTAAGTTGTCATCATGCTTATACACGTTTCGACAATTTCGTATTGCAAAAAAAAAGATGCTAATTATGAATTAATCCTATTTGTTGCTCCGTTTTAATTTACTATTTCGATGGTTAACAACACGTGCAGAAACTCTGCTTTTGTCACCTCTAACACACAAGCCTGTCTACCATTCACAGTCATTGTAACTGAATAGCCCATGAGCAACTGATACTAAGTGACGTTTGGTCCGCAAGTTTAAATAAAAATGAAGAAGGTAGTAAACGACAATTATTGGACACGAAATCAACAACACGTAGATCGCTTTTGGTTTTCATGGCTGTAGCTAGAATTCTTTTTCTTGTGGTTATCGCAGAGTACTACTACTATATTCTACTTTGTTTTGGTTTTCATGTCTAGATTGGGGAATTTCTCCCTTTTAGAGTGTGTATCCTTGATATCAGCATTAGAAATTGTATATTTTCAGTTCACCCGTCTATCATGCAAGAGATGAACAAGACACACGCTGCATTAGGTAAAGAGAAAACAAGGGTTGATGAATTGAAAACTCTTATGAATCACTTGAAATCAGCTGTGAATGCTCTTGCCACAGGTACACTAACTCATACATTTGAGGGTTTCAAGTCGGCTTATCGTGCAGTAAGTCGGCCCTTAGTACCATAGTTTGAAATTGATACAAAAAAATCAAAGTCAATTTTATTGTTTTCAACCTGTAAAAACAATCACATACAATAATCAAAAAAAGCTATTTATACAGTTTTCGAACATTTGTTTGATGAAGCGATGAGGCTAGTTATTGCTGTCACAAAAATTTTGATGCTTTCATATAAGCATCGGCAAATTTACATTCCCATCTATTCGAACCCAAAAATTCTCATTTATGATAAATTTTTAAAATTTTATCTTTATGTTTATCCATGTTAAGTGTGTGGTTAAATGCACTGCATATGTTTCCCTATTAGGGAGTGCTGCGTATACCGAAGGTTGTAAAATGGAATCTATGATTCAACCCCAATGCCGACCCTCTGATCTGAAATATAATAATTTGTGCAAATAATGTCGAAGATGAAAAATACTGGTCTTAAATACTAGCTTTAAAGTTCCAGCGTCTGGATATTTAGAATCATTTTTAGAATGTAGGCATCGCGTTAAAATTGAATTTTTGTTTTATTAAGGAATATACATGACCGATGATGGAGGTATATTTTGGATCGAGATAAGTTCTTATAGAATGATGAACTATGATGCAGCTGATGCTTTTTGTAAGAAACACGATATGGTCGTCGCTAATATAAAAGACAAAGAAGGATACGATGCACTGGTGAAAGCTATACGAGCAAAGATACCGGAGGGAGAGTTTAACGTATATATTTGGATTGGAACGACTGTCGATTTAAAGGTGTGACTTTTGTTTTTGTTATTAAGAAATATGGGTGCCACTTTGGTATGTGAAATCAGTTATTTTAGTATTTTCCTGATCTTAATCCAACGATGACCGGGTAAGGATTAAGAACTAAATTCTATAAAAATTTCTTTATGAGATTAAACGTGCCACTTTCGTATACGATTGATATCACGTTAAGCAAGTGAGGCCACGTTCCGAAAAAGGTTTTTATGACTGAGATCGCATACCGGAGTGGAACCGAAATTTGTTTAGTTTCAACTTTCATTCTGTCTGTTTGGCTGCAAATTGTTCATTAAAAATAAAATTCAATCACACAAAGTCACGTATTGATCGGAGAAATAGTATTATATTAAACATTGCTTCTGTAGCGCAATTTGTTTAGGATATTTTTAATAGATTCGATATTTGGACAAAACCATGGTATATCCATGATTATAGTAATTATCATAAAACGATTTATAAAATATCCTTGGATATTGCACAGGTGATAAAACGGACGAAACTGCAAATTTCATCAAATTCGATAAATATTTCAATTGTAACCAAACTTACCAAGCCCTATATGTAATCGTTAAAATACTATGAACATTAAAAGTTTTTGTTTGACTTTAAATTGTTACGCTAATTGATACATGTTCACATCGAAAATTATAAGATTTAATTTAGTTAGGAGTAGAGATGGTTACATGGTTCCTATCATTATTTGAATGCACAGTAAAGAGAAAAAATTGGTTTCCGGTATTATTGTTGGTTTACAACGAATCAAGTCTGAAATTAATCCTAAGCTCATTGGTTTCATCATTCATTTTGCAGACAGGCAAAACGACACCACAAAATGTATTTACAAAATGGAAAATAGCATTTCCAATAAAGTACGATGATCCTTGGCTGTCGTCTTTCAGTAATGTCATACTTGTTGTCGATGCTGATCTGGATACATCTACAGGAATGCGAGATTGGCATAGCCGTGTTAATGGTGTATTATGCCAGATGTCGAATTAATTTCAATAATACTTTGTAGAGTTTGATGTATTAAGTCTACATGAAAACTGCAATGTTAATTTCTTCATTCCCTTTTTTGTATTATATCAATTTTGCATTGGTGGCCTTTTAGGGCGTGTTCTGAAAATTTTAAACATGTTTGACTCATATATAGGGTTACCATATTTTTTTTACTTCAAATCGGGACTCCTCCAAAGACACGACCCCTTAGCTGTAATCCTGTAACTTTACAGTTTCCGATTTTACTGCATAGGCCTACCTACATTTAAAGCCATCCCCGGCTGTCTTCATTGACCATATTGTCGTCGAGAGTTAATGCGCATATTCTCTGTCTAAATATCGGGTTCAGTTCGAAAAATAGAAAGAAATAAACGCTAACGATACAAATGATCTGAATTTAGATTTTCTTCGTACAGCAAACGGAATAAAGAATAATGAAATAGTCTGCTGTTTTCAAGCATTGAGAATTTACTTATTCGCCCAAACATGCTCTTCTGTAGATTACTACCTTCAAAATGACGTTGCTCAATGTTACATTCACGTGAACGTCCGAACAGGCCCAATAAGAATTGATTTTACATGTGATACTTCGTTCACAATGTTAGCGGGAAACAACGAAACAAACAAAATAACGCATTCACTATCAGTAAGTAGATTAGCGTTGCGCTACACAGCAACAACAGTAACGAGAACATGTTCGTGTATTCTGCTGGATGGCTGAAGGCAAAAGCGGTAAATTTAGCTGGGCGGGACAAGACACTGAAAAGCGGGACTGTACCGCCTAAAGCGGGACGTATGGTAAACCTACTCATATATATATATATGCATTCCAGGCAAGTTTTTCACTTTCAGGTTTTGTATATAAATATATCCTTTTCACATTTTTAATAAACGCAAAATGGCAATTGAGAAATTTTCATTTTTACTTAAATTTAGAAAAGTAGCCAATGATAGCAAGTTAATCTAATAACTATCATAAGCGAGTCAAGGTTTAAAACGATGCTTGGACAATTATTGAACATCCAATCAGCTTACAAATTTTAATTGAGCCGGCATCGTTGACTGATCGCTGATTAACCATTAATACAGAGTAAACATCTTTTAGTTCATCAAATTCACAAGTTGAACTTTTGAAATAAATATAAAGAAACGGTAAATAACTTTCACTTTGATTTATTCATTTTCCTACTTTTATCTGAATGCAATTCATGGAATTTAATGAAACAGATGCAACAAAGGGTTATCTATAACTAGTTTATATACAGCTTTCTGCTGTTATACAACCTTGTGCAGAGCTCAAGTATGAAATCCCTCATAAAATATCTAGTGTTTCACTTTTTCTCCCTTGTAGTAAGCGACCAATACCGTAAGCGACCGTATTCCGAAGTTATATTTCCTAACTAACCGTTGGGGTTGCGTAAAACTAACTACCTTTCCGTGCTTTATATATGCCTTCGAGCTGGTGGATCCTATAACGCAAGGATGCTGTAGCAAGAGTGAAAATTACTATTCTATTCAATTCAAGAGTCTGGCTGCACACTGACACAAATGTAGATTTCTGTAACTCGTCAGTTGTAATATGCTTGTCTGAAGAAGTCTGACCTCGGTCAGACGAAACGTTACAGAAAAATAAATTTGTGTTATCATGTCATTCGTATTGGGGAACATTGTTGAAAACATCGATTTTGTAGTATGCTAGTATCAAGAATTTTTCGTGAATATTGGCTCTGACGACTGTCTCGGTATATAGGGTTACCATATTTTTGTGACTTCAAAGCGGGACGGGACGCCTCAAAAGACAACGACCCCTTAGCTGTGATTTTGTAACTTTACATTTCCCGATTTTACTACATAGGCCTATATTCCTACATTTAAAGCTGTCTGTATTGACCATATTGTTATCGAAATTTCATGTGCATATCTTCTGTCATAATATCGGGTTCAGTTCGAAAATAAAAAGGAATTGACGGTAACGATACCGGTACAAATAATTCGAATTTAGACTAATTAGTAATGGTTTTACATGCGATACGTCTGCTATCAATGGGAATCAGCGGAAAACAAACGCATTCACCTCCAGTAAGTTGGCTAGCGTTGCGCAACACAGAAACAACAGTAACGAGAACATGTTCATGTATTATGCTGGATGGCTGAACGCAAAAGCGGGACATTTGGCTGACTTGTCAGGACGGCAGGACAAGACGCCAAAAAGTGGGACTGTCCCGCCTAAAGTGGGACGTATGGTAAGCCTAGGTATATATCAACAATAAAAACTTGATTTGATCAAAATCGATTCCGTGTTCTGATTAATATGATAATATTTATCTATATTTAAAATTGATTTCATTTATTCCAATTCTTTTTGTTTTGGCCGATGTTAATCATAATTATTTTTCTCCGATGTTATTGAATGCTTCCGAGTTCCGACACCTACTGTGTCACGGTCACGCTATTAATCAATACTTAAGAGAAAATAGTACACTGTATTATGCTGCAATATCTCTGGGACCCCGATTCATTATTATTCGAGAATAATTAGTTACAAATTAAGAGCAGCCAATTTCATTGCTCCTATCTATCGACGGCGAAATAGAATTTGTTTACGAAAAGCTCTCGAACCGCCTAATCGGATGCAATTCTTTACGAAATCTTTTCAATTATTCGTGAGAAATTTGCTCTGGTTTCCGTATACGTTTTATTCGTTATTTTGAGAAGTGAAGCAGGATATTTGTCAATGCTTTGTTTTGATACCATAATTGGACAATATGATATAAATAGGAACTGAAAAGGCAGTTGGTAGACAGGATTGAATTAGGGATGTTTCGCAATATTTATAAAGCAAAAATATTTTTCGACGCCAGACACGGGCTCCCCTTCATCGAATAGAATATAAAAAGACCGTCAGAATAGATCCTCAGTTACACGGGCAGTTTACAACAATGGTAAGAAATAAATTTGATAAATAAATTTGATATGTCAAATCAAGTATGACGTAACAATGCATAAACATTCAATTTGCATTTAGCCGTAGAAGTAATGATGGACAAATTAGAACCACAAATATCAGTGAGGCTCATTTCAGATGTGATTCAAAAAATTATAATTGCATTTACGAAAATTTGAGATTTCAAATTTATTTATCAAATTTATTTCTTGCCGTTGTTGTAAACTGCTTGTCTGAAGAAGTCTGACTCTGGTCGGACGAAACGTTAAAGAAATACATTTGTGTTAGTGTGCAGCTGGACTCTTCTATTGGATAGAATAGTCATGTTTATGCCAGCTACAGTATCCTTGCAGTATACGCATACGGTTCCACTAGCATAAAGGCATAGTGAAAAGATAGGAAGTTAGTTTCGCCCAACCCAACTCAAGTTTTTTTCTTTTTTTAATTTTTATAATTGTAGTAATTTTCTTCTTGTGATTGTTTGTCTGAAAATTGAATTGTTGCGTCATAAGTACAAGTCATGAATCGACAGCAGCCGGTCTTTATTTAGAAATATTTGATATAAAAACTGCAAAACTGGATTTTAATTTCAGTAAATTTCTTTTTCTTTGATAAAGATTTCTTGTGTTTATTTTTTTAACAGCATTTTTATAGAATATCAACATTCAAGCATGTGTTTTCAGTAGATCATACACTTTCAGATTTTCAAGTTCATTATCAACGAGTATATAATAGACAATCATCAAAATTTTCGATGCTAATTTTGACATAATGATGCTTACTTAACCATTATTTTGAAATGTTAATTAGGAAGTACTGTATCTCCCGGCGAATAAGTCGCTTTTCTAGAACCAAATTTTTGGCCTGATTTCGGGGGGGGGGGGGGGTGTCCTATTAGGCGAGTATGATCGTTTTCATTTTTTTTGGTGTCGCCTTATTATTGAATCCGGACAATAAAATACCTTCGGCGATAGCATCTTCCACGTCCTCATCAGGTTAGTTCAGATAAATCGACATTATCGCGTTGTGAATCTGGAATTTCATTGCTGTGATTATCATATTTGAATTATCATGTATGGATTGAATATTACGCTACGAGAAAAAGTCATTATAGGCTATTTTAACCAATGCGCAAACGCGGCGACCGATCAAAAGGCATTGCATGGTAATTTAAGATTCAGATGTTGATGCGATTTCACTACCCCGACTTATTGGTCGGTTATATGCAAAAACCCATTTTTTCAGGCCTAAAAGGTCTTATTCGCCGGGTAGACTTTTCGCCGGGAAATACGGTAATTAAAAATAATCAGTTTATTTGCTAAAAAAACATGACATGTAACAGACCGGCTGAAAAATATCACTTTTGTGTTAGAACCGGCTGACAAAAAATTTGAATCCCACCACTAGTTATTACCCTTTTGTATTGTCTCCCAGGGCACAATGTGGTCGGATCACTTATTTATTTAATTAAAGTATTGGCGAGTGGCTACTTAGTCTTTCATCACATGCATTGGAGGTGACGGTTTATGTTTTATGCTCACTTTCGAGGCACTCAGTGTTTCTTCTTCGCCGATTCGTTGCTGTGGAGCTCATTGAGGGTAATTTTTAAAGAAATGATTGGTGTATTTCCAGTTGTGTTATGGTGGTTCTCTTATTGTCCAATTACAGCTTCCTCTAAACACCCACGTCCATGGTCCATGCATCCGAAACGATTAACCGTAAATGAAAATCGCATCCCACCTTGTGCACTTACCAAACTGTGAAGGAATCAACTTTTAAGCGATAAATTCCCGAGTGAGATATCACTTGCGTAATTTGATATGTGTGAAACCGATGGTGAAGAAATTGTTCTGTATCCTCGTCCAGACATGGTTACACATAAGTAATAAATGTTCATGTCTGGCGTAGTCATGTTTTACTTCAATTGGAGAGTGGAATCAAAGCTGTGAGGGAATTTTGAAATGTTGTGGGCGATACATTGCATAATGAGGTTGCACATTTTCATAACATGACTCATTATTTATATCCGACATGCGGGTGTGTGGGAATGAAAGTACCGTAACCCTGCAACGATCGCTGGGAAATATATCTCTCAGAAGACAAGGCAAGTACTGTAGTCTATTAGTATTATGTCATGCAGTAATGTCATGTGGTGCAATTGAGATAAAAGTGGGCTATTTCGTCAAGTTAATACAGTAATATATATAAGCTCAACATATTTCCGACCTTTCGCGAACGACTTGCCTGTTGTTACTAAACGACGGGTTTGACTTATTCAGAAAAATGATAAAACAAAAAATACCTCGTACCCTCTCAGGTATGAAGACCGCTTGATTGACAGTTGGTTTATTTATTTATGTCTCGTCGTGGTTTGTGAATGCATTTCCATCCTGCCTTCTGTGAAACGATTTATTTGATCCGTGGTTTGAAGGTAGCTGTACCGGTAACTCTTGCAGTCTTGTGTTCAAGGCAGGCATCTGGAATGGTATGATCAGATAGACTACCAGGATACCGGTAATGTAAGGTAGTAATGGTTACTGTATTCTGGTACAGTACCGTTATCAGGTATTACTTCACTTCCTCAGGATAAAAATTATTTGTCTGATTTTTGTACATTTCTTTGAAGCCTATGTTTATCGACTGTTTCTCTCTATGCAGAGCGTAGATGTTGAGTTTTGATTTTAAATCCTTTTGATAGTTGATTATTTGGAATATAAAATGACAAGACGGAGCCATGTTAAAAAGTTGGATTTATATTTTACCTGGATTGATATTTATTTCTGGTGTTAATTCAGATCAAGGTAAGTTGATTTAATAACTTAATTTTCTTGTGAAGGTTTGCCCCAAAATATTTTTGTATAATTGAAAATTATAGCTTCATTTAATGATTCAAGTTGCTGACATTCAGACATTCGTATGTGCAATTACATGAATTATTAGGATATCATTCATTCACCACTATTCCTATAATTATTCAGTGATGTAATTTTTGGATGACATAGTCTGGTGAGAGTTAAGAATGACGTAGGCGAAAATTGTTACCCCACGCTCACTAGAAGGTAATGTGGTACTAAACTAATATAATGTTTCCAAATTTGAAACTTAGATACTGAGAATGCGAATTCGACTGTCAGACCAACATATGTAACAACAATGAAAATAAGGATTTGATGATATTAAGATTTCTTGGCTCACACAAAATTTGTTGAATAGTCTTCATCAAATCACATGTAATTGCCTGAGGAATAAAAATTAAAGTCATTTGTATGACCAGACTAGGAAATATCTCCAAACAACGCTACTTAATATTAATGTTTTATTTAATTTAGACTTTTATATTTGACAGTAACATTGTTGACAACGGAGGGAGTGACAACCAATTTAAACTGGCGAGTTGAAAACATAAATGAACTACCTGGGTTCAATGGGGTGAGGAATTGTTGGTTACAATCACTATTTAGAATAGATGTACATATATCAGCCTATAGTCTTAAAATGTTGCCATAGAAAAAGCGAAAAGACGGACAACTCACTTGACCTTTCTGTAGTCAAGTTGTCTCTAGTGAGTTGTCCACCAGACGCTATATTCATGCTTCGTTCCCTACATAATAGGATACTATCAGAATATAAAGACTACACAAAATAACAAAGATATACCTTTAGAACTTATTGCACAATATTGCCTAACGGTACTTCTGTTATGGTCCTAATTGCTTTTTGAATGGCCTCTGTGTAGTGGATATTTTGCTGTCATATAGATGGCAGGTTAGAAATTGGAATGGCCACAATTTCACTTTATGAAAGACTATTCTGGCTGCATTGCAGGAAGGAAGCTTATGTATGATCTTTTACTAATTAGAATTTATTAATTCATTTAATTCCTTTGAGTAGTTTTCAATATTTTATGAAATTGTTACCTAGGCCCTTGAAGAGTTTATTGTAATACAATACACAAAATAGATGTTATTGCAGAAATGCTAATATTACACAATAAGGTTTATGGATATATATATATATTTACGAAAAAATTGATTCAGTGATGATTAATGAACCTGTATAATTAAGTACAATGGATGGGCAAATTTATTACATTTTATGTTTTGCTTTACATTTCTTGTTTTACTAATCCCTACCATTTTCTGGTTATCAAATATTGCATGCAATAAAGCACTCCCTAGTCCCGGCGCTTCAGAAGTGTGTGTACTAATTTTGGCCAAGTAAAATATTATTGTTTACAAACCTTTTCACAGTGGGATGATCTCAGCATCTTATACAAGGATGAAATAGTTCGGGGATATCAAGTTTGTCAAATAAATATCGATCAAAATGTGAAAGAAAAACCTCAAACATGGCTTCTCTTACCTGGCGTTGAAATAAATGGTTTGTTTATTTGATAAAATAATCATTAGTACAATAGAATTCCTTTCAGAATTGCATATTCTGCAAACTTACAAAACTCATGATTTATTCGATGGATGATTATAAGTTTGATTGAATGAGTTATATTATGATCATAATTTCCGGTAACAAAATTGTTATCCCCTCATTCAATAAAGGTTCTAGATTGGCATTCATTTAGATAATATTATTTGCTTTATATAATTCCGTGTTTAGAAACATTTTAAAGCAATCAAATTTAGTTACCGTGATCAAGTATCATCATATTTATTATAATAATAACAAATCAAAGATTTATGATAAATTTAAATTGAAAAAATTGGAAATTATTATTTTATACGTTGAATAAATGTTAATCATTGTTTGATATTAGCAAGCACAATGAAGCCTAGTTAATTTAATGCTGTTAATATATCATCATATAATACAATATATCATATGTCGACATACAGTAATTAGTAATACAGTATAATTTAGAAGCTAGTTTATTAGGTACTTATTCCCAATATTACATACTATTGAGATGTCTTGTCAATATGAATCCATTATAAATCGGGTCTTCATGTAAATCATTAAATCAACAGACTAGATAGATAGTATTTTATTTTATATTTTTAGCGGCACCAAGAATATTCATTGAAATGAATTTTACTATGAGAGAATGCAGTGATTTAGAAAAGACATGCAGGTGAGACTGATGCATTATCAGGTGCTTGTTAACTTTGTACCTGCTCTCTCAATTACCATGTTCAGGATAGACTAACTGTAATTACGCTTAGCACGATGCGCCGCGACACTACCAAGCCAAGCTATAATATGAATATACATACAAGTTACATTTTGACAAATTGTGAAAAGTGTGCATTGGTAAAAATCACAAACTCCATATACTATTGGCTATAGTCCCGTATGCTGTAGATAAAACAGGTAACTGTTTTGTGAAATTTACTTTTTTTATGATTACTGTATGAACTTGTTAGGAGGTTTTCTTTTCAGATTATAAATATATTGTGAAATGGAATAACTAGAATTCTAAAAAACAAACGTGACTATGACTAGCAGATGTGAGCATATGTAATTTCATCCTAATGAGCTATTCTCATTATGTGTGTTTGAATTTCAAATATGGCTTTTGTTTAAAATCTATTATGTAAATAAACACGATCATCTAGATAGATTAAAGTGAGACAATTTAATTAGTTCTGTCTGTCTCTGTATAACTACCAACATATGTGTATTCTTTTGAATCTGAAAGGGTAATATTTTAAGCTCATAATACTACTCATTTAACGTACAAGGTACAATTTTTTATGTATAGTACATCATGGTATTTTGTGAATTTTTATTTTTATTACTCGACTTGACTCATTATTACTCCACCATATTTTATCAGAAAGTTTTTTTACAACTTTTTATTGCTAAGTCTATAATGATTCATTCAAAATATTCATTATTGGAGAAAATCATGTTTTTAATAAATCTCATTTTACAAAGTTAAGTTATTGTATATTATTATTGATATATCATAGCTTTTCTGTATGTTTTGCAATTTCTCTTTAAAAAATTCAAATTTGATATCTGTAATTACACCAACTTTATATGTCTAAATGTTTGCTATTTATTTTATAAAGGCAAAATGTCTTCATATCCTCCAGTTTTAGTACGGAACAGACTATTCCAAGTGTTTACGATAATATTGTTCTACATTTGTTTTCAGAGAAACATTCTCTGTTTATTACCGGTTGACTGAAGGAAATTTGCAGAGTGAATCTGATTATAAGTTTAAACCTCTTGATTATAAAAAGATTGACACAGTTGCTGCTGAGGTTCGTATTATATCATTGTCTATAACAGGGGTGTGCAACTTCTAATACAGGAGGGCTCGGTAGAAATAACTGGGCGAAACCGCGGGTCGCACCTTTCTAGTAGTTGCAGGCTCAAAAATTTTGGTTATTTATCTTATGACATGTGTTGTTCTCTGCACATAAGCTAGCTGTTATTAAGGCATGTAAAGTCATATGCATAGATAATAAATTGGGCTCAGATATAGGATTTAAAATGCGAAAGGATTGCAATTACTTGCATTACTTACCAGATTAAACTGAAATAAAAACTCATTTCGTGAGCCGCATACCATTCGAAATTTGCACTTCACTGCAGGCCACACAATTTTTCTTTGTGGGTCGCATTTGGCCCGCGGGCCACAGGTTTCACCACCCTACAAAATCCTTCATGGTTTTTGTGAAGTAAAATCAATTTTTCTTGTCATTATTCATGCAACTAGTTTTTCTGCGACGATTCATTTCATGATATTCTCTAAACAAAATTGAATATTCAAATACATTAGAACTTGATAAGATTTGGTATAGCACATTCTAGGAAGAATTTAAATATTTTTATTCGATAATGTATCATTCATTTTAAGCATTTGTTTACTGGTGGTCAGACAAAAATCACTTTATGATGGCACAATAAAAATATTAAAAATTATTTGAAAGTACCGGTATGTTTATCTAAACTATTCTGCACTATTAAATTCAACTTCAATCAATTAACAATAGTTTGCATTTTTTTTTTGTCAAACATGACCCAATTTATAACCTGTTCCATATTTGAAAATAATATTTCAGAATAGTTGGTCAATCTGTTCTATCAGCCCTATCTAAACCCCTTTTCATTTTTTGTTTTTCTGTTCTTTCAGGTGCGATTTTCCACAACCTCATGGAATTCGTTGATCAACAGTGAGACAGTCAGCATCAGCCTGAAAAATTCTACCAAAAACACAGGTATTTGATATGACATAGTTAGGTGGAAGACAGTAAATATAAGTAGAGTTCATATTGCAGCATCTCCAAATATTTCACTGACTTCAATTCCAAGTGGACAGTTTGTGATTGTCAAGAATTGGAGAATAGAGGTTAAGGATTCTTTGATTCCAATTTAAATTATGCAGGAGTCCAGTTTAAAATCCTGTTATCCAACTCATTTTCAAAATCTTAACAAGTTCAAAAAATATAAATAATGATAAAAGCGTCATAGTGCTGATATGTGTATTAGAACTATATACAGTACACTAATGCAGGTTCTTTTATCATACTGCAATACTTTCAGCAAAATTCAGTATGTTGAGTCGTTTGAGAATTCAATAAATTTTAAGTTCCTTCAATTGAATAATTGTTTTTTTTTGCAGTGCAATTGAAGTAATCTGTATTTATGTTCCAAGATAGTGCTACCAATTTTCGTAACCCTTGGATTTTTGCCATGTATGGTTCAAAGACCACTTTACCTTATTAAAAAGGGTAGGGACACATCTACAATAATATAATAACTTTTTTAAACTATTTTACTCTCCATTTTAGCACTTCATATAGCAATAATGGATGCAGGCGCCTGTATATCATTGATGGGGGTCAGAATCTATCATAAAGTTTGCAGAAGAACAACTGCTGGTTTTGCATATTTTCAAGAAACAAAAACTGGCATTAGTGATACTTCTCTTGTACCTGTGAGTTTAACATAATTTATACTTTTAATTTTTCCAAATGGAAATATTTATAAAATAATGTTAAATATGTCACCGAGTGGAAAATATCCAGATTTTGTATTTTGCATTTAGACAATTAAATGTAGTCTGTTTCAGGCTAAATCAGTAAATGACGGGCATGACCAATTGTGTCTGGATGCACTCGCTGGAAGAAGTCCCCAATATTGCATGCCACTTTAGAGTTTGATTGCACATATAAACCTTTTTAAATGTGGTATTTGATATGCAATAAATATTTTGAAAAGTGTAAAACTGGAAAAACTAACCACTTAATCACATTGCTGAATAGGACAATACCATTTACTTGCTTTTCTCCTTTTTTTTTTTAATTCTTTTTTTTCCAAGTTCAAGTTTTCATTGTTATTGTTATTTCCATGTATACAGGTCACTGGAAGATGTGTTTCAAATTCAATTTATCCTGAACCTGGCTTGCCATTACCTGACATTGTTTTGCCGTCTGCGACCCTTCAACCTGTTTCAGACGAACTGATTGGTCCACTGTATCATTGTACCAGCTCTGGTGATTGGCAAGTTCAAACCGGATCATGCCAGTGTAAACCAGGTTATCAACCAGATTTATCCAGAACAAAATGTGAGCCTTGTACAAGTGGAATGCATAAGTAAGCAACAAAATAATAATTTTGAATAGTAATTCATTTTTTCAAGGAAAAATCTTATTCATGACAAATCTGTTGTCCTTAAATACATGAGCTTACTGATCCTAGTACTGATTCTGCTTCAGGAAAAGTATCCGCATTTATAGATTATCAACTATCACCTCATTTTAGCCCATTACCACACCAAGTTTACGGACCCGAAACCCTGGTTTTGGAACAATTTTTGAAACTCGAAACCTGTGTTTCTTGTGAACTAAACCCCGGTTTTCCGCACAATATAAAGTCATTGCTAACTTCCAAGTTCTCACCAGGCGTTCAAAAATTTATATCCGCATAGTAATAGTCAGTGTTAACTCTAAGCAAATTATGAGTGCGAAAGTGCTTCGCAGTCGAAAAAAAAAGTGCGAAAGTGCTTTTGCCGATTTTAACAAGTTAGGTGCCCTAGCCTTTCATATAACCCATTTAAAACCACATAGATACTCAAAAAAGCGCTCCTCCGGTTAATATCATGAATTAAAGAGAAGCCTTTTCGTTAACCAAGTTCCCTTTAAGCGAATTCATGTTTAATTAAAACAAGCGAATTCATCGGCAACGAAATGACATCTGCTAACACCTGCCCGGACAAAACTTTCATGCAATGTATCACAGTGTCAGTTGCTTACTCGCGTAAACAGCAAAGACTTTCACATTTGTTACTCCTTCCATCTAACAGACACGAGGCAGGCTGGAAACCATAGTAGTTACAGGGTGGATTGTTTGTACAAATCCCGTGCAAAATAATCCCCCCCCCCCCCCCCCCCCCCAAATATAAATAGTAATCAACTAATTAGGGTTAGGTGCGCTGTAAATTCAACTTTTCGATTTATCCTTAAACCTAATCTGGTAATTATTAATTTGTGATTTTGGAACCACTTTGAAAGTCGCCACCCGCTGCTTTAAAAGATAAGTTAACCTACCTTCCCTCCGAAATATTACGCAGGATACTCCCCTGTTTTAGGAGATAGGTTGACCTACCCTCCTTTCAAACTTTTTTCTCCGAAATATTACACGAGATCACTTTGAAAATCCTCCCGTTTCGTGAGCTAGCGTGACCTAATTCCTCATTTACATTTATATTATACTATTTCAGAGCTTACCCAAAGACAAGTAATTTTTAAATGTCGACATGCCTTGGTTTGTGTGCGAGTTAGTTTAAATCGGGCAGAAAACTTAATATTTTGGCAAAATGTTTAGTAATGTCATGTACTTTCAGCATTTATAAATAGCACTCTTTGTAATGTTGCTGACCTAGTATCAAATATTCGCATCACAACGCCACTTGCGAGGTTTCCATATATTTCAATTACACTAATAGGAACGATGACACCAAAGAGTTTTCTTTTGCGAAGGTACACTAAATACAACCAGAGTGATTCTTGACAAAAACATGAATATAAAAAATAAACGAATGATATGATAGTGGATCCCAAATAATTTTGAGAGTCTCGAAATACCAATCCATTTGATGAATAATTTTCATTCGACCACATGAACGCTGATATCCTGAAAATTAATGTTGAAAGAGAATTACGCATTCTCAGATATCGGACATCCAGTCGCGATATTCAATCGTTCATATGCACAAATCTCACATTAATAGTAATTGCTACCCAAGTTTGTAAAGTTTAGAAACCAACAAACAGAAAATAACTTATCCTGAAACACAATTAAAATTCAGTCGGCAATAAATTCGTCGCCAAGACGATGCCATACAAAACAAAAAAGATTTGGTCGTGAGAGTTACGTGAGATGACTGCCGTTGTTTTTTAAGCAGAATGTAAAAAAATTTATAATTAATAAACGGGAGTTACGACGCCCTTTACACATCGTGTGTATTAAACTTCCCTGGTAAGTACTTTGGTAAGTACTATTATTATTGTACTTATACACCTGTTGGAGTATTTCGGACAATTTCGAATTTAAAATAAATGAAAACCCGACATATATAATAAAGACGCAAAAGTAAAATGAACATTTATTGAAAAAGATATTATTTAAGACAACATGATCGTACAATTCCGCCAAAACCTCGATGTTCGCAAGTGAGATGATAAATAAATACTTCCATGTATTCGATCAATTAACTTTAGCGTATCGTTGTTCTGCCAACAAACAGCCGGGTGCAAAATATTTCCGTCCTGTGATATGCTCACAAATATTCTCGATATTAATATCATACCCTCGCGACCCTTCCATCCTTGGCCAAGTCATGTTTCGAATATGTGAACATTTTATTCGACCATACGTGGCCGGCGGGATGTTAAAATTGTAAACAAGAGAGAGGTAAAATCAATCGCGAATTTCGTTATAACGGCTCGTTTACGAATTGTTGCGCCTGTTATCGTCGAAAATGATTACATTTGTTGTATTTTGAGGCATTTAAGCAGTAATAATTAGGGCATGACATCATCAAAATCGTCAAGTGAGATCTTGAAATTGCAAATTCCGTAAATAAAATTGTGAATTATTCGGTAACGAAATCAGCTTTAATGACCGTCGGGGTATTGTTTTGTTGAAAATTATTATTAATGTGAGGGCGCCAAAAACATACAGTCCATACCGATGCGACTGCAATTTATATGGTCGCAATTGGTCTGGCGCGTTTATTAATAGTGTAAAATAAATTAAACGAATATCAATTATAACCAAGCCTGTCAACGTGTTTATTTTCTGTGGGCGGGAATCGTAAAATACCATCTTGAGACAAATTCACTTCTATTATAAAATCTTAATTTTCAGTTATTATCGTTATACAAATAACGTGTGGCAACTTTTTAATTTATCGTCGACTAAAAAACCGCCCCACACTCGTCCAAACGTGTGTCGAGCTTGAACGACAGGAACAGATTCATCGACGACCTTAATTAGGGAAAATATGTATTTTATGGGAATGCAAAATAAATGTAACAAAACGCATTTTTTGTGATATAACTTTGTATTTCGGAAACGGGTTGCCGTGAAAGGTAAAATTTGATCTAAATTAATCGCAAAAATGTTTTATTTTAAATGTAACAAAACACATTTTGCGGTATAACCTTGTATTTTCGAAAACGGGTGTCCTGAAAAGTAAAATATGATCTAAATTAATCGCAAAAATGTTTTATTTTAAATGTAACAAAACACATTTTCGCGTTATAACCTTGTATTTTCGGAAACGGGTGTTCTGAAAAGTAAAATATGATCTAAATTAATCGCAAAAATGTTTTATTTTAAAAGTAACAAAACACATTTTTCGAGATACAACTGTATTTTCGGATACCGGGTGTCATGAAGAGTAAAATATGATCTGAATTAACCGTAAATAATGATTCATTCCAAATGTATCATAACGCATTTTTTGCGATATAACTTTGTATTTTCGAAAACGGGGAGTCACGAAAATTATTAATCTAATGTTTTATCTATGTCTATCTAACGTCTGGAACACATCATTTTCGGGGAGAACTCTAGCCCGCGAAACGTCATTTAATTTAAAATAGAGAATGTTTCACGCATTTCAAAACGGAAAATCACCAGTAAGTGGACAGGGATTCAACCCTCCGGATTCAGTATTCTATATCCCCCCTGTCAGAACTTTCTGAAGAATGGAACAAAGAACCCGTCAAACCGCCGCCGAAGGAGGGGAGTATTTTTTGCACTAATAATTAGGGCGTGACAATATCAAAATCGTCAAGAAACTGGTGAATTTGCAAATTCCATAAATAAAATTGTGAATTGCTCGGTAACATTTTAGCTATAATTATCGCCGGGGTATTGTTTTGTTGAAAACACGTTGAAACTTGAGGGAATCAGTTACAATTAGCGCCTGGCCTCTATTAGGCACTCGAGCACTCGAAAAAAAAGCACTCGAGCCCAATCTTTTTAGCATCAAGTCGCATACTTAAAATATCCTGTAAAAGAAGTGCTGTTCATTAACGTCATCTCGTCTTATGACCACGCAGAAATGCCTTTATTGCCGAATTATTCAATCACTATTTTAAATCAACATTCAGGATTGGCACAATTTCAGATTTGCGAAGTTTATCACCATAGAAATACATGAGAAAGTTAATTATCGTCTTAATAAATATCTGCATCACGGTATGAACAATAATATTAACATTCGCATAAAATTGGGACGGTATATTTACAAATCTTGATAGGTAATATTGAAGCCAACGCAAATGTTAATTTGAGTCCTCAATGTCTTCAACAGCTGTTGCCGATGTGAACGAACGGGTAAACCCGAAATATAAAACTTCGATGTCCGCCGACCCACAAGAATTCATATTTGTAAAAAAGAGAGGGCGGGAATATAGATTACCCAAAACCTGGATATCGCCGCCAAAACGGTCGGTGACAAGAACAATTAGCGATTACAACGGAATTAACCAGTAAAAAGGCTTTGTTGCCGATTTTTTAATGTTTCCACCACGTTTATTCGGTACTCCTTAAAAATAATCGATTCAAAAAAATATTGAATTTTGCCCACCCGTCCTCGCATATCAATGAGAAATAGTTGTGTAAATATTGCAAAATTACGGAAAATGCCACTCCTTTCAACATTGTGATTACAATAAAATGGCACTTAATGGTATTTTGTGAATTTGGTGATTTTGCAAATCTGTGACATGCTGCTAAAAGTTTCGTCTGATTTGAAAATCGTGCAGTTTGGTCACAATTCATCCAAAGTGACTATAACACATAACACTTTTATAGTCATTTTGAATTCATCGATATCATTGATAGTCACATGACCACTCTCTTCAAAGAAACGCACTGCGTATTATTCCAACATCTGGTTTCAATCACCTGGGAGCGTTTTTCGCGGGAGAAGCGGAATCGGTGTGCTTGTATAATAATCATATTATAAACAAAATTTTGCAGTTAATGCAAAAGCTTTATCTCCTATGTCTGCATCTCGTAGGTTAGAATTCCGGTAAATATCGTTATGATATGCAGAATTGAGTTACAAAAGTACTAGTATGTTACTTATTTGTCAACTTAATACTCGAAAATATTTGTTAACTTTGAATTTTTATTCCATTCAAAATCGGAAAAAAGTGCTATTTCTCTTCAAAATCGGAAAAAAGTGCTATTTCGCAGTCCCTGAAAAAAGTTGCGAAAGTGCTTCGCAATTTTCGCAAAAAAGTGCGCTAATAGTGAACACTGGTAATAGTGGTAGCATTCGCCACCAACTACCAATGTCCGTTGTCATAACTGTTTCAGATGTAAAATACAAATAAATTGGACTGGTGCCTAGATTATTCAAGTGGGGCTGATTCAGACAGGAAGGACATGCTTTATAATGTTCTATAGGAAGGATTCTTCAAACACATATGAATACGGAATAGGAAATAAACAAGGAAAAAGGAGTTCAATAAGCAATATCCCTGCTAGTTGCTAATGATCTTAGTTTATCTCTTGAACAATGAATTGGTTATAATTTGGTGAATTTTTTTCTTGTTTAATAATAATATTTAACACTGATTTGCAAGCTTTCTGATTTATGACAAGTGATGAAGTGGATAACGTAATATTCCCCATTTTCAGGCCATTGATAGGGAATCACAACTGTACAATATGTCCTGTCCATTCAAACACAGCAAAACAAGGAGAAATGACTTGCCAGTGTGATTCAGGTTATTTTACAGTGGAACTTGATGAGGAAAAGGTCGAAGATGAACCAAGGTATCTTCATTATTCATTGCCACAGGGTGATGGATTATATGCAACAGTCCCAAGTCAAATTTTCTCAACTGAATTCACCAGAATTCTATAATATTGAACAACATCACCTCTTCATATCATATCAATCCTCGTATTTGTCAACTAGGATTCCGATATACCCTAAGTGTGTTCGCTGTTTGGTTACAACTCTCTCCACTATTAAGTCCATGCATCTGAAAAAAATAACTGGTTAGCTAATCCCATACCCAAAATTGACTGACAACCGTACCACAGAGGCTTTGGTACACCATATGCCTAAGCCGTTTTTTTTGCCTTTCCTCTCCCCCAGGGTGAATATGGAAACTCTATCCTATCCTTTGCATTTTCGCCTTCTAAGTAAGTCTTCATGACAATGAACTTATTAGAGGAATCCATAACTTCTTTTTGTTGTGCTGTAATATAGTGTTGCCATCAGCGATCCATAGTAACTTGGTTGCGTTCATTTTTGTGCAAGCGTTTTGCCTGATAATTGCCAATTAATTGAATAATAACCAATAATTGGTTTGATTGAAACTGAAATAAACTGCTTTTATCAGTAAATAATTCTTTCAAATATGTCAAGCGTAAATCTATGAAATGCAGATGTTTGTCATACCACACATGTTACATGCCATGTCATCCGCTGTAAGAACATGTTCAACACATTGCAGACATATTCTGCATATTCAGTAAATTGAATTCGAGGGAATTTGCTTTCAAATGGCTAGGATAGCAATGATAGGAAGAATAGTAATGTTACTACATTCACATTTTTTTTCAAAAGAAATGTTACTTTCAAGTTAAAAAATCAGGGTTTACTTTAAACTTTGGATTATTCAACATTCTTTGCAAATTTAAATACTCAGAAAGGATCGGAATGTAGCTCAAATATTAAAGTGTTCTACTTATCATGTTTCCATGTACAATATTTGCATTAAGGAAAATACTATTCATTCTATCTTAATATATTGTTTCATAGGTATCGGATTATATTATACCTGTTGCTTTTACTATTAATATACTTTTTAAAACAAATTTTATTTCTGCACAGCCTATTACTTCCAAGCATCACACTAAGTGCAAAAGAATGTGATTTATGTTCAAAGTTACCATCTTCACCAAATAATTTGAAAATACATCAACAGGATCCAAACAATCCAGGTATTTTTATCAATTCCTTTTTAACGAAACTATTATTCTCAACAAGGCTCTGTACTATGATAGAGCAATAGATCAATTAGAATCATGATAATTTTACTGGTTAGGCACCCGCTTTGTATGGACATTAGTTATAACATCACTGATTTATTGTATGCAATATAAACGTAGTCAGGTTGTCTCAGACGTATGCACGGAGTACCAGCTGTACAGGCATTATTTGTTTAGATGCCAATCAAACAAATAATTATGAGCCATTTTTCTTTTGTTTGAATTGACTATCAGCAAATTCTTAGAATTTTTTTTTTAATCATTGTCAGGTTTCATTGAAGTTTCATGGAAGGCCCCAACAAACGATGGAGGATGTTACAATGTACAGTACTGTGTGTTATGTCAATTCAACTCAATGCAGCAAAACAATTCAGCTGAAGGTTTGATTATTTACACCATTTTTTCTGTAAACAATAACAATGATCCTGTTATTGTGAAAGTTGCCTTCTTCATCAAATAGTTTTTATCTGTAATTAGTAAATCAGTCAATTTAACATTTCAAGAATAATTCCCAACCTGAGATAAGAACCCATCAGTGGTTGAAGTTATCACTGGCGGATGACAAGGAAGGTTAAAATTTCGGGTTCAAATCTCATGCCCCCCACATCACACAGGGTGTAATAATTTGGATAGGCAATGACGAATCAGAAAAATTTCGGCTCTTTCCGGTAGCTGTATGCAGAGCCCTTCTTAGAGGCATGGTAAAAAGATCAGCTGATTCCTAATCGCCATGCAGCAATCAGCTAACTGTTGTTTTTGATGATTAGTGTCCTTTTGACATTAGAAATGAAATGAACTGTATTACACGGACAAGCATTACATTAGCATTCTTTGTATATAGCATATTTCAGAATTCTGCTACAGGTGAATATAATTAATTAAAATTAATTTTCTTTTCCAGCTCTTGATTGCGATCATCTCAACTTCCATCCTTCACAATGTTATATTAACAATCTCAAGGTCACGACAACTGGACTTAGAGGTCACACATCCTACAATTTCACTGTGGTCTCCTTCACTCTCGCCACAAAACAAAAGTTCCCAAATTTGATAGAAAATTTTTATGAAAACCAAAAAAGTAAAAGAGCAAATACATCTAACAGAATTGTTCATATAGACACACAGGTTGGTAGATATATTCATGTTCTAATTTATTTTTAGTGTTATTGATCCATTCTTTCCTGGATGTTTATGTTTAAATGTACAATTCAATTTGTTTATTATGCCATTATGCTCTGGAGGTATGTGTACCAATATGGAGGTGACTAATTTTGTTCGCCTACTTTACATCAAATTGTGTAAATGTACTGAAACCCATGGGCAGGGGGTATATTCACTTGGCTAACACAGACGGTCTCCGGACTCATAATACAACTAAAATGAGAAAAATCGGAATAAAATTAGGGCCTAACCCTAACCTGGTACACGCACTACAGGAGTACCGCCATACCAACACAAATAAATCAATAAACATGGGCAAACACAAAAATAGCACAGTATTTATAAATATCACAGTAAAATATCGTCGAAATTACTGCTAATATGAAATGAGTTCAACACAAATATGCGAATATTTACAGTTTCGGCAATTGGCATACTTATTTCAGCCTGTCCTCATAGTTTTAGAATTATTACTGGAAAGATATATGTTATATTCAAAAATAGAGGTCGGAAGATGCCTGTAGAAAACTAAAAGAACCCAATCGGAAACTGTTACCACAATTGGCCTTTCAAGTTAGTAAATAGCAATCCAAAATGGAATACTTCAAACTGATTAAGTATATACATGAAATAGATAAGATCATTTATTTTTACTCAATCAAGATAAATTATCTTATAGCTATCATCTCTATGCTTAGCAAAAACCAATCGAACCATAGTTAGAGAAGCACCATATTTTTCATATTGAACAATACACATTCACATTTTAGAAACTGCATTCCTTGCTTGATTCCTCATCAAGTTCGATAGTTTATAAGACAGGCGATACACTGCCATCCAGTGTTCAAAATCCAATGATTACGATGGAAAACCAAACTGCAGTTGCATTGAAATGGATCGAACCAAAATATCCAAACGGTGTTATTCTCTTTTATAAGGTAAGACTTGGATCTTTGATTAACTGTCTGTAGTTGAGGATTTTTATTGTGAAAAATTGTTAAATTAATTGTTTTGAGGAAACTTCGAGTTTTTTGACAGTTGGTGCTTCGTACTAAGCCTAATTAATTGTATTGGACTTTTTAATACGTACTCAATAACACGAAGGTTTTACTGCTTATTTCACCACATGGTTGACCGCAGGATTGCAATGCCTTATTCTCATTTCCACCCATTATCTAGGTTGCTTATACATATAAGTGGAGTGAAATAAGGGGATTTTTAATTTGTAACTATTCAAATATTCAGACCCATTTTACAACAAAATTCAGCTATATGGCAATTTTTTCTGTCTAAAATTTGAATCATAACTCTTTTTTATCAGTTGGAGTTATGTAAAACAACCACCTATGCTTCCTATATGCCTTTGTGTTGATGGAGATGCATGTGTATAATGCTGGGATGCAATTGTACGAAATATTATAAAATAAACTCTCTCTCTCATTTGTTTGTTAAACTGACAATAAACGTAACCATCTATTTTACTTTAGGTCAAATATGCACTTGTTAATGAAATCAAAGATTCTTCTGAGAAGCCATCTAATGTTCCAGCTCAATTTGTTTCACATAAATATACTTGGGAAGAAGACATCGTCAATGAAACATATGTTTTACTCACCGATTTATATCCGGGATCAATCTATGAGATCATAATCACTGTTCATAATTCTGCTGGTTAGTTTTTCATGTACAACGTTTGGTGCTGCGGTAGTGTGTGCACCTGTTTACAATTAGGCCATAATTTTATCCCAATTTTTTTTATTTTAGTTCTATTACGAGTTCAGGGACTGTCTGTGTTAGCCAAGTGAATATACCCCCTGCCTATAGGTTTCAGTTACTTCACACAACTTGATGTAAAGTAGACAAACAGAATCGCCATATATCTCCATATCTCCATATTGGTACATGCACTTCTGGAGCACCCATCGTTTTTATAGGCCTTCTAAGTCTATACATCTGAAATGAATCACTGCCTATTCATAGCAGTATGTTCCCCAGCTTTTTATTTCAGGGGAGGGGTTTCAAAATCTAGGAGGTGGTAGATATTTAGTTATTAGTGATAAAACTATTTGTAACCTATAAAAATGTGGTATGTGTTTGTCTGATCATCTTCCCGGAATATGAGCCACTTTCTGGATATTGAATACATTTTTATTTACGTTAAGAATTAACTATGTCACACCTGAAAATTAGGGGGGGATGGTGTAGGGAAATTACAGCCTCATAGACGAGAGGACGTGGTTCACCATATTATTAACACATCTTACTGGCTTTACTCTCCCATGGAATGAAAACAACATCCCACTTGAAACAAAGTTCTATTCAAGTAGCAACTACCTCAATATCCTGGATCAACCAACAAGTTTTTTATCACTGTTTATAATTCGCCGGATTAGTTGATGCTAGTGGTCAACTTTTTTTATTTATTTTTTTGCGCACGTGATGACCTTGTCAAAGTATTGGACTTTACTATATCTGGCACAAGATCTAAATCTTTGTTTCAAAATCTCATCTCACCAAGGGTGTATTGAATTGGATAGGTAATGCCAAAAGATTCCATTGCTTCCAGAATAAAAATATAAAATATTATTCAACTATTACAGGATCAGACAACGGGAGCAATCCACTTCTTGCTTACACAGTTTCATTTGATGATTCAGCGAATAATCAACCAACAAACACTGGAAACTTTCCTTATTTAATCGCCACTATTGTCATTGCTGCATTGGTTTTCATAGTAAGCCTTGTTTGTCCTTTTTTTTTAGCTTCTTTAACTATGTACTAATGTATTATTAGCTTTTCTGGTTATTTTCTGTACATGTCAAGTAGAATCGAGTGTGTCTTGTTAATACATGATTATTTCATGACAATATTTGAAAGTGAAAACAATTTGAATACTGGGGTGCTATTGTTTATGGAAAATTTTTGATTTTTAAATCAGCATCAGCAAATATTTTAATCCATGCAGCTGTTTCTGCTGATTCTTGCTATTAGATGTTGAATATGGGAATAGGAATATGTTTTTATGCCTGATCTTCAGACATATATTCACATATAAATTCCTTATAATCAATAATTTTAAACTACTTTACTTATACGTACTCTTATTCTAGTTTGATCAAGCCATGGAATCGCAAGTGAAGTTTTAAAAAAAGTCCATTGGGCATCGACCATTTTTGCAAAGTCACATCAATCAAAATATATCTATTCAGATTGGGTACAGATTCTCGTAATCATTATTCAAATTACATTATTCTTATTTAGATTTGTCTTATTTTAATACTTCAATGGAAATGTCGATCAAATAACAAGAAACTTGAAAACAAGAACGGATTTACTGAGCAACAAACTGAATTCAGACCTTACAATTCACATCATGAAGCAATGGGTAAGGCTGTAGTTTGTGGGCTCAGGAAAAAATTTCAAAAAATAAGAGCGAAATTATGAACTGAGAACAATTATTAAAAATAAATATGTGTGATACATCTAAAGGTAAAGGTTCTTACAAAAATAGTATTTTCCCTTGATGTATCAGTCGCTGTCTGTTCAGAGCCTTTTTAAATGAAGGTGGGAAAGTCTTATAAATAATCGACCAAGCAATGCTCAATCAAGCTCAACAAGGCTCGGGGAAAATTTGGAAACAAATTAAAGTTATGCCATCCAGTGACCTTTTCAATATTCCAAATACTAATAATTCTCAGTCAATTGGTCCGTAAAATGCGGAGAAAACTCCCTCCTTGTCTAAAACAGAAGCATTGACTGGACTTCGAATTTAGTGAGGATATGCAACTAACACCAGATTGCATTATTCTAAACCAGGGGTGTGCCGCTTTTTTTGTTGGCGGGCCATATAACCAACTTCAGACATGTAGCTGAGTCACTCAAATAAAGTTTTTACGCAGACTCAGCCTTACAGTAATGAAGGCACTGACAAGACAAGAGCCGGTTGGCGCACCCCTGTTCTAAAGCGAATAACTATTCCTAAGCAAACTATTTGATATTCAAAAATGTTTTTCTTGTTGCAGACCAACGTACATACATAGATCCATACTCCATAGATGCCATATCTCCTCATCGATTTCTATGCGAGACATCAGTAGAATCAATATCATGTGGCCAAGTTATCGGCTGCGGAGAATTTGGTGAAGTTTATAAAGGAACTCTTGCAACTATTGGTGAGAAAATTTCAAACAAATTTCTAAAGTTTAAGAACTTGTATATCCGATTTCTTAAAATCTTGCTGAATTATCTTTTAGTACGAGTTAGTAGAGGAATGAGAAGTTTTGCTTCATCACGCTCACCTGAGCATCCCGTTACAAAGTTAAAATGACTAATTTTGTCACTTCTTTCCTCGTTGACTCTCACTATATTTATATTCTCTAAGTTGGATTCATTCAGCAAGTCATGATGATATAATCTAATAATTATTATTTTGCGATTTTTTTCATTATCTGCTTCTCAACTCAGCAAACAAGGTGTCGCTGACAAGATGACTTTGGCAGTCTTTCGCGCCCCCGTCAATTGCGGAAATATTGTATATCTGTTTTTTAAATTAACCTTTTATGATTATATTTTGGAATTATTTATATTGGGAATTTCAGGGAAAACACTTTAACCGTCAACCGGGTAAAATTAACCGGTTAACCGCCGCGTGACGTTTGGCGTAATAATTTATAATTTCAGCTTGTTACGTCACAATGCTTATAAAGCAATTTTGCGTGTTCTTATCCCGGTATCGCTTATTAAAATTATTCACGAATTAGGATAGTTTCATGATTGCTCTGCTGCAAGAGATGGGCATCGTGATTCGTGCGTGTGGAAGTATTTTAGAAAACCTGATTCCGTTGTTAAACGTCATTTATGTGACAAATTGTCAGTGTTCGATGTGCAAATTTTACTTCGAGATATATATCACATAAAGAAAAACGGCATCAACTGTGCACGTCACAATGCTTATAAGGCAATTTTGCGTGTTCTTATCCCAGTATCGCTTGTTAAAATTATTCACGAATCAAGATAGTTTCATGATTGCTCTGCTGCAAGAGATAGACAGCGTGGTTCAGGCGTGTGGAGATATTTTATAAAACCTGATTCCGTTGTTAAACGTCATTTATGTGACAAATTATCAGTGTTCGATGTGCAAATTTTACTTCGAGATATATATCACATAAAGAAAAACGGCATCAACTGCGCACTTGTTGTATGACATTGAATATCCGATTTTGCAATGAAATCGTGAACAATATATTTCGAAATCGACCGAAAACTGATTCTGAATTCATCATTGTCAAATTTTCATAATCAGCTATCTTGGTCCTTACATTGTTTTTCACATTTATTGAGTCCTTACCCACACAGTTAGTAATATTCTTTTGAATTAAATGCCACAAGAGATAAATTTGCGATGACGTAATCATATTTGAAGAAATTGTACGGTATGAAGATGATTTGTACCTGAGATGTCAGTGAACGGTTAAAATAAATCGTAACCGTTAACAATCTGAAATCGGTTAACCATTCCCAGCCCTAGTCATTACAATATTTCATGCACGACCAAATAAATATCTGAATCTATTGTTGTAATTCATTGCTTCGTTATTCTTTGCAACTAGACCACTCAATAACCCTTGAGATTTATAATGAGTAGTTCAAGTAAACTTCGATTTTCCTTAATTAATCAATGAAGTGTTAGAATAGGAAAAGCAATAATTGAAGTTGCTATTAATTACATGGATATAATTGGCAGATTTATAATGAGTAGTTCAAGTAAACTTCGATTTTCCTTAATTAATCAATGAAGTGTTAAAATAGGAAAAGCAATAATTGAAGTTGCTATTAATTACATGGATATAATTGGCAGTGAGTAATTTGACTGTGTGTCACACTTGACATACCTGATGAAACTATTGGAGAGAATTTGATATCTGAAACAGTTCATGTGAGCTGTTTAAATTTTAAAGTACAGTCATTTATAATTTGTGATAATAATTTAATGTTATTGTTTCAGATTTGAAAACAGGACAAGAAACCACAATAGATGTTGCAGTGAAACAACTGAGAGATCAATGTGAACCACAAGAACAGGTTCGTTTAAATTATATACTGCACAAGAAGTAGGATAGGATAGGATTTACATATTTATCCCGGGGGAGAAGAAAGCGATAAGACGGCTTATCCATATGGCAAACCCTGGCCTCTCGTCCGGTTACCATTCCAAGTCGGGTATGGGATTAGTTATATTGTTTGTTTTCGGAAGCATGGACTTGGTGGTGGAGGAAGCCGTAACCGACCAGCGGTTACGTGAACCACCCAACGACGGCGAGGAGTCCAGCAATCCTCTCGCACATAACCATCCCTGCATGGGATTCAGACCTGCGAACACACGCAGAGAAATTAGAGGTGCGGTGGCGAGCGTATTCCTAACGCTTAGCCCGTTGAGCCACACCGCCGCGCATGCTGACCAAAAACAAATGACTAAATGATGCTTGCATGGAAACTTCTGTTTTACCATTGAAGCAAGTTTACCAAGTTGAAGTTTTGTGCCTCCATCTATAAAATGTGTTATGCTTGTGTGCAAAAATCTTGAGTAATTATATGATGTGATACTGCTTAAAAGCACATACTTATGTGATATAGCGCAGGTGCCTTCATATATGTATATATGCAGATTAGTATGGGTGTGCAGTGGCGCAGCCAGGGGGGGGGCCTTTTAAATTTTTTTGAAAACAGAAAAAGTCGCCGATAACGCGTGCAATTGTTTTCTTCTAAAATCGCCTTATGTTTTCATGAAGGCGGAGTGTTATTTAGGCCGTAAACGCCTTCTCGTTGGTATTTATTCTCTCTAAATCACAAGATTGCAAAAATATGTATCAAAATTAAATATATCGGGCAGCTTATCTCATTGTTTTATGTCCACGGCAGTAATGTTTATTTTGACGTAGAAAGTCGAGACCGTGAGTTGCGTTGGGGACAATAAAATTAATTTATACGTAAGGACATTTTAGAATCTCGTAGTTGTCATGAATTGAATATTTTACGCGACAGAAGCTGAAAAGGTGGCTCTATTGACGAGCGCGTGATAGCGGTGACTGTTACAGACGGCAATAGTAATTTCCGATTTTGAAACCCCCCCTTTTAAAAATCCTGGCTGCGCGCCTGTGGGTGTGTGTGTGTGACTTAAAAGTGTGAGTGATATTTTCCTGTAATATGCTTAATATTTAATGGTTGATTATATATTTTTCAGATAAACTTTCTCCGTGAAGCAATGTCGCTTGAAAAATTTCGTCATCCGAATATTGTACACTTGGAGGCAGTAGTGACCCAAAGTCGTCCCTTTTTCATCGTTACTGAGTTGATGGACCATGGTAGTTTACACGGCTTCTTAACAAGCATCAAAGAAAAGACGATGTCCAAGTCTAATGGTCATGATTGGAGTCTCCCTATTTCACACCGTAAAATAGCAGAAATGTTGAAAGGTGTTGCAAGCGGAATGGAATACTTGAGTGGAAGAGGATTTGTTCATAGGTGGGATGTTGATCATTGTATCATTTTAGTATTTTTTGCAGTAATGTATGCTGTGTAAGATTGGAAAATTTATATTAATTTTTAAATTTACTTGATTAATGATGGTTTTCATGGCATGGCCAGGTACTGCCGTTCTCGTAGTAATATACGCCCTGCCCATAGGCTTCCGTTTCTTCACACAACTTGATACAAAGTAGGCGAACAAAATTAGTTACCTCCATATTGGTGCACATACTACTGGATTGCCATGGTTAGACTTAAATGAAAATTAGAAAGTTGTAAAAAATTCTGAATTGCTATGAAAAAACTTCAAACTGTGATAAACTGTTTTGTTAAATAGGAGAACTGAACTGCTATAAATAAAAGTAAGGAATTTAAAAAAAAAATTGTGATTTTAGATAAAAGAAAATCATTGTTTTATCCAATGATTATTACTTTCCAGATCGTGATTCATGTGAAATTATAAACAGTGCTCTGTTACGAAGATATGTCCAAAATTTTTAATATAATCATTTTATCTCAATACTTTAGAGATCTTGCGGCGAGAAATGTTCTCATCAATTCAGACCTTGTGTGTAAGGTTGCTGATTTTGGCCTGATGAGGGAGGTAGAGAATAATGATTCTGAAAGTGGGAGTAATGGAAGTGGAACATACACAACTCGGGGAGGAAAAATTGCAATCAAATGGACTGCCCCTGAAGCTGTGGCGTTTCGTACATTCACTCAGGTAAATATGAACATAATTAATTTGTGTCTTTTTTTTGCTGTTTTAAATCCTGGTGTCGCATCTTGTTTGAACGCAAAATGTATAATTATTTTTTTGCGTAACTGTTGGATCAATCGTCTTCAAGTTTTCAACACTTCAAGTGATTTTTTTTAGATAAGAGCAAGTTCAATATAGTAGTGTACAGTTATTTTTATAGGCGTTAAAAATACGCACGCCACCGCAGTCTAATGCAAGGATAATTATGTACGAGGGGATTGTTGGAGTCCTCGCCGTTGTATGGTGGGTGGTTCACATAAGTACTGGCCTGTTACTGATTCCTCCATCATCAAGTCCATGTTTCCGAAAACAAAATAAATGTCCAACTAATCCCATACACAACAAAGATTTGTAACTGGACTTCAGGGTCGTGGTTCACGATATGATTAAGTCGTCCTATCGGCTTTTTTCTTCCACTAGCATGCTTATGAAGCAATTCTTTCTTGAATCCTTAACATTTTTCTTTCTAGTTCTCGGATGTTTGGAGCTTCGGCATCCTTATGTGGGAGGCATCAAGTTTTGGTGAATCACCGTACTGGGATATGACAAACCATGAAGTTATTAAAGTTGTCAATGATGGAATGAGATTGCCTGCTCCAGAAGTATGATAAGTATAGTGTGTGGCGATATCAGTGAACTGTGATTGATCTTAGCATTTTCTGAGTATGACACTCAATTCGATGAAAGATAACAATAAATAATGTAAAAATGTGTGGGACAAATTTTGGTAAATTATGAAGGTAAATTTGGTTGAACGAGTAAGACTGGGAAGAACAATATTTTTTGATTTAAGCAGCTGGATAGTGTGTATTCATATAGTTTCAAAACAAACCAGAGACCGAGAGAAATCTTTAATATGTGAGCCCTAGTTCTCACGACTCACCCCACAAATATTGTTCTACCACATGTTAAATATAATTCTAGCTAGAATACCATAAAAAGGACAGGTGTTGGGGAAACATTCGAGAAATTTTGACTCTAATATCATTGAGAACACTCCAAATTTAGTCTGTTACTCCACAGCCCTGGCAGCGCTCCAGAAGTGTGTGTGTGTGTACCAATATGGAGGTAACTAATTTTGTTCGCCTACTTTACATCAAGTTGTGTAAGGAGACTGAAACCTATGGGCATATGGGGGTATATTCACTTGGCTAACACAGACAGTCCCCGAACTCGTAATAGAACTAAAATAAGGAAAATCGGAATAAAATCATGGCCCAACCCTCACCTGGTACATACACTACGGGAGTACGGACTTGACTATAACTTTACCATTTTCTTGTACCAACCATATATTTATCTTGTCTTTCATTCAGAAATGTCCGTCGGTTTTCCATCAACTAATGTTAGAATGTTGGCAGAGAGATCATCATAAACGTCCAACATTTACAAAAATCCTCACAAGATTCAATGAAATGCTTTCTGATCTGGAATCATTAGAAGTTCCAGCCAGTCCTGCAAGTTGTGGGTGAGTTGGAATAAGTACAATTTATATAAAAATATAACACATCTATAAATGGCCACAGGTGGGTGTCAGCCAATTTTGCTGTTTCCTTAGGGCTTTCATTCATAATGGGATATCAACTAAAGAAGAATGGGATTTGCATATTTTTTTATTACAGGATGGGGGGGGGGCAGGGTCGGGGTCGGGAGGCTTAATCATATGGTGAACTACGGTCTCTTGTCCGGTTATCAGTCCACGTCGAGTATGGGATCAGTTAGCCAGTTATTTGTTTCAGATGCATTGACTTAAATACTTACGTGAACTATACTACGGCAGCGAAGAGTCCAGCAATCCTCTCGCATTTAATTATTCCCCACAGGATTCGAACCTGCAAACCCACGCAGATGCGCTGCATCGCCAAGCCAACTAAAATGTTAGAAGGGTCAGAAAACATCATGTGGGCAGTATATAGAAGGTTGCTGATTTGATAATAAGGTGATCATTGGGCTTGTGCCTGCTTACCCTTTCAGGTTGGGTATGGGAATAGCTATTCATGTGAACTTGAGTGATAAGAGGGAAGTTGTAACTTTGTAAAGTGAATGCCCTGTCACATGGAAGAGGTTACATAATTGCTTACACGTAGTAGTCTAATAGCAGTCCGTGTGGCCCATTAATTTTTTCATGCAATGGAAAAACTACAAGAGAAAAAATTTAGAATTAGCAAAAACAGCATCATCATTTATTGCTACTACATTTGAAGTTTAACTAAATTTATTAACAACTCTAGTAATTTTTAATAATTTATGGCCCACCTGAAAATGTTTCTGTGCCCCAGAAGTGAGCCATGGCCCACTTGAGAACCGATGGTGTAGAACTATTTTAAATTAACTATTCAAGACATTACTATCTATTCTAGGATGCAAGAAATGTTTTTCGGCGAAAATGAAGACGTTACAATAGTAGATGTTAATGATCCACCTACTGAAACTAATAATGATGATGACGATGCCGCTCAAATCTCTGATAATGAAGACCAAGAAGCAGAACCTTTGTTAACCACAGTTATGGTGGATAGACACAATGTACAATATGGACCAGCCAATCAGGAGCCACGAAACAATTTCAAATCAACCAATGAGGATGAAGAAGGAACAGGGTCTGAGGTCAGCTCATGCACAAGTACAATATGTGCGAGTGAAATAACAGTCTGTGCAGCAAACGGTGTCGCAGTTTATGTTCCATTAGTACGATCAGATTCTGATGAAATTAGACCGAGTACACTTAGTGGATATTACCCCATTCAAGCATAATTTATATATCACAAAAAAAAATTGATTATTCTTTTATTACATCGGTTGCACAGTGTTTTTAAATTACTTAAATCATAGTAAATTCTTATATTTACATGTAAGCATCCTATTATGAACCATGTGATATTCTCCACTTTGAAATCTCAGTCAGTTTGATCCAATAAATATTCGACTTCATTTTACATTTAATGCCTGGTAGGGCCAACCAAAAAGCTTTGGTTTAAAATGTAATACTGCAGACAATGACAAAAATTCATTTTTTTTCTAAATATGAATGATGTAAAAATTTTAGTAGTGTAATTTGCTATATTTATTAAGTATATCTTGCTTATAACTTATTTTTATATATGTTTCATTAATTATGATAATTCAAACAGTTTATAGAAGAATTCCTGAAGAATTTTTCTGTCCCTAGTAGCCGACCAAGATTGAGATTGAGCAAATTTATGTAAATTCACTTTTCGAGGGTGAAACTCAACCAAAATATGGTTTTTGAAATCTCGCATTTTTACCCCATTTTCTCAATTCCTGAATAGTCATGGATAAGTGAAGAGTTAAAGCATTCAAATTTTTCTTTTTACTTATTCCCTCGGTGTCCTATGTTTATACATTCTGAACACTCACCTTTTTCATTTAGGCTTCCATTCTTTGGTGTCTCCTTCATTATAAAATCCACAGTCTTCCTTTTCATATGCTTGAAATATTTTTCATATACATTTTTTATTATTTACCTCATATCATTCCTGTCTCTCCCTCTTCATGATGGTGTTGTTTTTTACATTTTTATCTTTTCTTCAATCATAAAATCTTGAGAAATCTTCCTCAACTTAGATATGAATTTTACAAATGATTGAATAAACTAACTTTTCAATGTTTCAAACTATAACATAGCAGATAATAATTTGACTGAAAAATGAAGTGTTTTGAATTGTATGAAATTGAAATCTGTTTTCCATGTATTCAGAATACAGGAATTTTTATATAAATGTGATTTTGGACATTTCATATTTATTTTAGTCTCAAATATCCTATCGGCTATAATTTCACAGATTCTACAAAATTCATAAAGTTTACACACACCAATACAGAATATGCAAAAACAATAGGAGTCGTAATTTAAAATGTCCTGATTTTTATATTCAACAAGTGTTAAAACACCCCTTTTTTGTAAAGTTGCATTTCATTCGTGTTTGATCAAAGCATTGTTGAATATCAACTTACCGTATATTATGTTTGTCAGATTGTGTATTTAAATATTTTTTATTAGAAACAATCAAAGGTGTTGAACAAATATGAACCCATTTGAAGATGTACATTGGTCTTGCCAATATTTCATATCAGCATATGCTTTTTAGCCATTTCTACGTAAGGTGCTCCAGGAAATCGAACTAAAATACACTAAAAAAATTATATATATCAGAGATCCAAGAGTAAAAAATTTCGAAATATTCAATATGTATGTCGCCCAGACAAACCTTACATTAATATATATATATACCTGTATTTATTTTCTACTAGTTTAATAACTCTTTTGAAATGGAAATGCAATAATGGAATAATCTTTTATACATTTTGATCTCTTTTCAATGAAACAACTCTCTAATAGTAAGTGCATGGTACGAATAAAAGTCTTCTGTATACTTCACCAACTTTTTTCATTGATGTCCTGTATTTTTGTATTTGAAAAAATTGCACATTATATATTTTTTTTGATCACGGTGCTGTACTTTTGCCAATCACACGACTTCATTTTTTATTTTTTGTCATAATTTTATTATTTTACCAACTATTCTGAACAAGAAATTATATATTCTGTTCCCTGTTGTAAGTTTTCCGCATTTTTGATGACATTATGGATTGTAATAAAATTCAATTTCTATTCGTGATCTGCAGTGTTTCATAGTTTGGGTTCAACTAACAGTCAACTCAAAGAGTCATTACATTATCTTGCTAAAGGCAGTTATCGAGTTGAAAAATTTCCCTTCTCGCATTGTGTCCATGGCTTTGACAGACGCTGTGTTGAACAGAAGCTTGCGGATTGTCAGGATTCATTTTGAGATAGTTTAATACACAAACAGGATAAAGATGTAAAATCCTATCCTAAATGTCAAGCGCACCAGGCAGAAAGGGTAACTTTCTTGAATTTGCTTCCGTTGTTTATATAAGTCTCGCTCCTTAAAAGAGTTTATTTATACTGTAGTGAGTGTAGATCAATTTGTTTGTTTTGATGGTAGTACTCTGCACGTACGATTCGCATTGCACGTATTCACAAGGACGGCCCGGACACTCTGCACCTTTTCACCTGTTTGAAAATTTTATTTGATTCAATTGTGGTCATGTTGGACATTATGAAAGAGCGTGTGGAGTGTAGTTTTTTTTTCTTTCTAGAATGATGCCAAAATATCACTTTTCTTCGCGAAAGGTCATAACCCGGAACCACTCATCTGCATCAAATGGCGCATTGTTGCCTTTTGTTGGTTTATTTATTTCAGTTAAATAAGAACGCTCTGGCTCTAGCCTAGTATTGTAACTTGAATTTGTTACAGTACCGGTGTGTTTTTAGTACAGCACTGCAGTATGCTAACATGTTTAGTACAATATGGTACCTACTACCGGTACAGTATGTTTTTAGAACTGCAGGAGGACATCGAGATATTATATGACATAGTACGGTACCGGTACCGGTACCGGTACCGGTACTGTAGTACAGTAGTACCGTATGGTACCGTATCGAAAATAAATATCCAGAGTTCTTGATTCCCGAATGATAAAAAGAACATGTCGCGAACTGACGAAGCAAAGCATGTAAGCACGGTCTAAAGTTTAATGACAGTACGGGACGCTGACAGGAGACTGCTACAGCAATGGTTGTCGAAACTTTCCAGCTTGCCACGTACAGACGTGGGGTGGTGTAGCCAGTCTGCGGACGATTTCATTCAAACCGCTGTAAAACAAAAACCAATATTTCCAACCCGTTTTCACCGTAGGTGCATTGACCTTTAATCTACACGCTAAACCTCGAATTAACTTTCTACGACCAGGGGTTAAAGCTATGTACAAACCATGAAGTACGACATTCTGAAGACGTATTTGCGACCGAACGCCCAGTGTGCGACCACGGATTTCAAGCCTTGAACATCGTTTCTTCTGCGACGAGATTAGGGCATACGCAGCCATGCATGAAAAAAATAGGCTTTTAATTGCATTTCTGACCATCATATATTTCGGTATTTTAAGAACAAAACTCAACAAATTATAAACAAAGCACCGCATCACAGCAATCAAACAGACAAAAACATGGTGGTTGCAAATTGGTCGACAAATATATTATCGACGTATTGGAAATGCGCACCCCCCTATTCCCCCTTCTTTAAATGTAGAAACGCGAAACTTTAAAGATGGTTAAAAGAAACACAACTCTACCCACCTGCCAAATTTCATCTTTTTATCTCTTATATTCTGTAGCCTATATTTGTATGGATTTTCAAGCTATTTTGAAGGGACAATGGGTAGTTGGCGACATGGAAAACTAGTCTGTTTTTGTTCTTTGGTCGGGTTTTCGGTCGTAACTTTTTTGTTTGGGGCTGCATTTTAGTGTAATTTCACAGAGCTACGAGGGATAAGCGGAAGATAACGTGTGAGAAATATCGTCGCAGTTCGTTAATTTTTTCGGCATTAATTTAATCGATGAAGTTGATGGTCGCAAATAGGTCGTGGCCGCAATGTGGGTAAGCCACCCTTATAAAAAATATTGCTGTATCGAGCACATTACTGCATTAATTCAATTATCATCACAGTCCTGCGGTCAGGGATGTCTTGCAGAATGGTTTTTTAGCCACCCTTTTTGTAAATACTATTTCACAATTACAGAATTAGTCTATTTAAGGCCAAGACTGCGAAAGATGCTTTCAAGGGTTTCTGTACCAATGTTCAAAGTTTCAAATTTTATATTTATCATTTTATTTCAATTTTCAACAAAGCCATCATTGTTTAATAATAATAGTAGTTTTTACAAAGATGGCGGAATTGGATGCAGATGATCCGACTGAGGAGTTATATCCAAAAGAAGTTCAAGAATTGCTTGAAACGATTGTTCAGAGTGATGATCCACTTCAACATGCTAATTTTGACGTCATTGATTATATCAATAAATTATTTCCCACTGAGCAATCTTTGTCGAACATTGATGATGTTGTTGGAAATATCGAGAGTCAAATTCAAGATCTTGATGAAGACATACGACATGCAATTCACGCACAAACTCATGCTGTTGTAGAAGGTGAGGAAGCGTTAGAAGAAGCACAAAAATCAATTCAAGATCTTTTCGTTATGATAAAAAACATAAAGGATCGCGCAGAACAGTCTGAAGAAACTGTTAAAGAAATAACAAGAGATATAAAGCAATTGGACACTGCGAAACGTAATTTAACTAGTTCAATAACAACGTTGAATCATTTGCACATGCTGACAGGCGGTGTGGAAACTCTAGTCGGCTTATCACAAAAACGACGGTACGGAGAAGCCGCTAGTCTTCTTGAAGGTGTTCTAAATGTGCTGGAACATTTTAAAAATTATCATTCTATTCCTGCTGTCAAAGATCTTGTAAACAAGGTAGATGATATCAAATCTACTTTGACTCAGCAAATATTTGCGGATTTTGAACATGCTTTTGAAAATAAATCTGGTGGTAGACCTAATGTTAATATAGCTCTGTTGAGCGAAGCCTGCCTAGTTGCCAATGCACTTGGAGGTAATGTGAAAAATGAACTTATCAAAAAGTTTGTGAAAAGTCAGTTGGCAGAGTATAATGTTCTATTTGAGGCTTCTCAAGATTGTGCCTGGCTTGATAAGATCGATCGCAGATATGCATGGATAAAACGTGCTTTGATGGATTTTGAAGAAAGATATGTGAAACTATTCCCACAGAACTGGGAGGTATCGGAATGCATTGCAGTTCAGTTTTGCTACATAACAAACCGAGAGCTTGGTAATATCATGAAAACTAGATCCAATGAAATTGACGTCAAATTACTTCTTTTTGCCATTCAACGAACAACAAATTTTGAAACTTTGCTGAGTAAGCGGCTTTCGGGAATTACATTGAAGGAAAATAAAACAATTACCAAGCTAACAACAAAAGAACCTGTGGATATAGATCCATCCAATCCATTTTATGAAGAGGTGGTGAAAGAAATGAACAGTGAAGCTGAAGAGAATCCCAAAGAATCAAAACCTGCTGATCCACCTTCAAAAATAGAAAATCCGTTCATGGGTTTGATATCAAAATGCTTTGAATCACATCTTGATGTCTATATTCAGTCTCAGGACCGTAACCTAGCTGAGCTCATTTCCAAATTTCAGCAGGATTTCCAAGAACATCAAGCCCAAGCAAAACAGTCGATTGTGGCTGGTGCTGCTATGCAATGTGAAGTCTTGCCCACATGTGCAGATTTATTTGTTTATTATAAAAAATGCATGGTACAATGTTCTCAATTAAGCACAGGTGAACCAATGGTTTCTTTGACACATCTTTTTCAAAAATATCTGAGAGAATATGCTACAAAACTGCTTTCAAACAACTTGCCAAAGTTATCAGCTGCTCCTACTTCAAGCGTCAGTATGCCAGGGAATATCACATTCTCTTCAGTCACAAATTTAATCAAAGAGACAACATCCAGTCTAAAAGAAGGGTCGTCTCCTGAAACTCATAAGTTAAACACTCAAGAGTTGTGTGTAACCTGTTCTATGTTGTGCACTGCGGATTATTGTCTTGAAACGACTCAACAACTGCAAGAAAAATTACGACAAAAAGTGGATACCGATCTCGTTAAAAAAGTAGATTTATCAGGTGAATGTGACACGTTCAGCACTGTTGTTACAAGTTGCATTCAGTTATTAGTGCATGATCTTATTGCATCGTGTGACCCCGCTTTCTATGCGATGTCAAAAGTATCGTGGATGTCTGTGGAGCAAGTCGGTGATCAGAGTAGTTATGTCACGGCAATTACGTCTCATGTGAAGCAATCCGTTCCACAGATTCGTGATAACCTTTCATCTGTAAGAAAATATTTCACGCAATTTTGCATGAAGTTTGCAAATAATTTCATACCTCGATTTGTTAGTTCTTTATACAAATGTAAGCCTATTGGAACAGTTGGAACAGAGCAATTACTTCTTGATGCTCATTCTTTAAAAACACTTTTACTTGATTTGCCTTCAATTGGATCTCAAATTAGCAGAAAAGCACCTTCATCGTATACAAAAATTGTAATCAAAGGAATGACAAAGGCAGAAATGCTTCTCAAAGTGGTGATGTATCCACATGATCCAGCAGATGCATTTGTAGCTAACTATAGCAGACTGTTATCTTCTGCAGAAGCCGATACCTTCCAGAAAGTTTTAGAAATGAAGGGGTTAAAACGTTCAGAACAAGCTCCCTTGTTGGAAATATTCTGGCGAAAACAACCTGTTCCTACTGATACTACTACTCTACCACAAGGTGGTGCTACAAATTCACATGTTGCTTCTTCAATTCTTGGAAGTTTAGCCGATCTGGATTCAAATTCGAGAATCAGAAAGTTGGAGAAGTTAATCAAGAAGAGATTGTAAAATTGTTTGAATTTGAAAATAACTAGTTACTGTCAGATTTTAATAGTTAATTATATCAATCATAATGGAAATCGATATTCTCTCCAATGAAATAATATTTTAGAATTTATTCAATTATATAAAACCCTTTATTTAATTAAACGGTGTTATCTTATTTAACATTCCATTTTTATCTTGAATTAACATAAAAGGATGGAACGAATTTTTATTGAATTTAGTGAACAACATGCTTTTTCCAATATTTGATTGTTATGAAAAATATCTTGTCGTTCGGGTGAACTATGCAGCAAATGCAACTTAAGTCAAATTCAGTAAAGTTCACAACTTAGTTTTGTTGCAAATTTTGGGTTAGAAAAATTAACTTTGCTGGTAGGAGTTTTCTCAAAAACGCATAATTTTTCTCTTGATTGTGAAACATATAGTGGTATCCTGTCTATGAATTTGTTATGGTTGTTAATGGTCAACTTGTTCAGAAATTCCAATGGCTGGTTTTCTGTGATGATATTTCTTGTCGTGTCATACACTATTATGTTGTATGTGTTTCAATTTATTGCCAAGTTACGGTGCTGTCATATACTATATAATGTCCTTTATATATATTATTGAGTTTATAGCTATCATAGTTCTTGCAGATATGGTCTGCTTGTTTGTGGTATAAATTAGACTAGCCAAAATAATATAGGTCCAATAAACTTAAAAATAATAGTCAAGAATTTTAAAATTCTAAATGTTCCAATTCCAAGATGAAATGTATGTGTATCATCTTGAATCATTTACCGAAACACTCAGCAATAAATTCAAACCCATGGCCCCATGTAAAGTTAATATGATTTTTTCTCGATGCTTTATTAACTTAACCGTATAAGCACTATATGGCTGTGTGCAATTCAATGTTATTTCTGTCGTAGTCTCATAATATAATAATATTAGAATAATAATGTGAAATCTTTTTACAGTTTGGTAAGGTATCGGTAAATAGTATAACAAAATGTTGACTTGGTATCAACTTGTAAAGGAAGACTAAAACTTGAGAATGAATATCTGAAGAGTTAGATTTTATGGAACGAAAAAAATATGTCTGGAAGTACGAAGAGGAAAACTGAAACGACGAAAAATAGTGAAGAAACGAAATTAATCAAACTTATACAACTGACAAAATCCAATGATGCTCTTGTGACCAACAATTCCCAAACACCTGATAAATCTGATGGACAAAATCAAAAATTGAAAAATGAAATCGAATTATTGGATTGGTTTGGGAGTATTTATCAGAGTGAGAGGAAATTTGCTCAACACAAACATAGAGCTAGATTTGTTGAACTTTTCACCAATTTAATCAAATTTAGATTAACTCACACAGACTGGCCACAACGTAACACATATGATCTCATATCAAGGTGTTTGATTTGTCTTCGGATCTTAATAAGAGACTCAAATTTTCAGAGAAAAATAGTTGAAATTGGCGGAATATCTTCATTAACAGAGCAATATAGAATTGCTGCCGAGTACTATCTATCCCAAACAGATAACTGTTATCTTGTTGATGTATTAAGCAATATATCTCTAATGCTCAGAAAATTGGCAACCACGGAGAGTAACAAAAGTATTTTAATTGGAAATGATGTCCACCAGATCACAACTTCATTACTTGATGCTACGGACACTTTCATCTTACAATGTGCCTTGTTGATACTACTTGATCTTTCATCGAATCCTAAAATTTGTGATTACATTGCTTCATTGTCTTACGTTGTTGAAAAACTTGTGCGAATTATTGAGGAATATGACAACAATTCGAGAGTTCATGCCGCCAATTTATTGCGAGGATTCTGTTCGAACCGCAAAATTTGTGAGCAGCTGATCATATTTGATTGTTTACCCGTGTTGTTAAGTGTTTTGCATCACGGAGATCAATGCGTTCTTCTTTTACATATCGTATGGATTCTGGTTCTGTTATGTAAGGACCCACAACATGTTAAAGATATCAGGTCTTTAGGTGGAATTCCTTTACTTCTTAATTTACTGCAGGATGACAGAACACTGACTGTTGAACGACACGAGGTCACAAGTGCAAATATGAGGACAGGTAGAACTCAACCTGTTTTAACAGCACGAAGTGCCAGTGGTGACGCCACACCTGACTCTGAAGCGTTGGAACAAATTTTGAAACTCAAAAGCGTTTGTTGTACAGCGCTTTCTGAGCTTAGCTTAGATAATGCACAGACTGTGGTTGAAGGCAATGGTGTATATATTATAGCTAAGTTAATTTTACCTGAAGATCTCCCTTCAAGTTGTACATCTTCTGCTTTGCATTTACAACTGAATGCGTTTCGGGCTCTGCGCTTTTTGTTTTCAATGGAGCGTAACAGGAGACTTTTTAAGCGATTGTTTCCATCTGAAATGTTTCAAACATTTATTGACATTGGACATTATGTCAGAAGCCAGGATAGCTATCAACCCTTGGTAGATGCGCTCAATAAACTTGGAGAAGAATCTCTTGAAAATGTTATAGAAAATATTGAAGAACTGAATCAAAATAGAAAACCAAGACGTTTTATTAAAGGAATTTATGCTGTGATGGATTTACTAGGAAGTGGTGCGTTTGGTTCAGTATATAAAGTCAAAAAAGAGAATGAAGAAAAAGCATTAGCTCTCAAAGAAGTCAGTATCTTTGTTGGTGGCAAAGAAAAAGGTGGGAAAAGCCGACAGAAGAGACGAGAGCTTGATGAAATTGTCCGTGAATTAACAATTATCAAGGAACAACTCAGGCACCCAAACGTTGTTCGATATTATAAAACATTCCAGGAAAACGACAGGTTATACATTGAAATGGAATTGATAGAAGGAGCTTCATTGCAAGAGCATTTCAATGCTCTTATCGAAAAGAAACAAAATGGAATGGAAGCAGACAGAGTTTGGAGAGTGTTGATACAACTCTGCCTTGCGTTGCGGTATTTACACAAAGAAAAAAATATTGTCCATCGAGATTTAACTCCTGGAAATATAATGCTTGGAGAAAATGATCATGTTACAATCACTGATTTTGGCTTGGCCAAACAAAAACAAGATGAGAGTAAATTGTATTCAGTAGTCGGTACTTTATTATATTCATGTCCTGAGATAATAAAAAGCGAACCATATGGTGAAAAAGCTGATATCTGGGCATTGGGTTGTATCTTATACCAAATGACAACTTTGAAACCACCTTTTCCTTCCGATAACATGCTGTCTCTTGCGAAGAAAATTGTCGAAGCAAGGTTTGAAAACGTACCGGGTACTTCAGAATATGTTTCTCAAATTAATTTTGCTGTCACCAAGTGTCTAACCGTTGAACCAGAACATCGTCCTGATATTGTAGAAGTTGTGAGTTTGATTGCAGCTCCGATGTTAAGATACACCGATAATGTAACAAAGCTTTATCACAAGTCTGAGAGAAAATTGGAAAAAGAGCGAAGGCGAACACAAAGGAATTACCATGAAGCAAAAAGGAATATGGAAAATTATAGAAGTCTGTTCAAAGCATCACAAGAGAGCAATAATCGTATTTATCGTAATTTTTCAATGTCTAATGCTCACACGTTTACCCAGCAAGAAAAATTTTCAAGCTTTAATCCAAATGTAAGCTCACCTGCTATATTTACACCAGTGACCCCTCCAAATGGCCATCAACGACAACAATCTGGCGAGGCAACAAGTCCTGGTTCTGATGTGTTTTCTGAAGCTTCATCGTCTGGTTATGCTAGTTTAATGGATGCATTTCCATCCGATGCGAAACAGCCACACCCTCCAAGATCACGCCCCAATTCCGCTAAGAATCAATCAATAAAAAAGCAGGATTTACCATGTCGTGCTTTGAGTTTTGATATGTCAGAGCAAGGTACTACAAAGGATTCCTCTCTTAGTCGAGTCGGTACTGCATCTCGTGGAAGGCCTGGTTCTGCAAGCAATGCAGGTACTTTAACAATTTCACCAAGAAAAGTTCGACAAATAAATGATCCGGTACAAACAATGTTACATCAACTTCACAAGATTATTTTCATCGACCAACTGCCCCCGACATCTGAAGTAAATTTCTGTAGACGAATAATATCAAGATACAAGCGAGCATTATTTTCACCACAAAGTACTTCAGTTCATTTGAAAACTGAGCTGAAAAAATTGCTTTCCGGGTCTCAGGATTATATTGATGCATTTCCTATGAATGACGCATCATCTCTTGCCCGTCAAGCTACAGCTGAGGTTGCTGCAAAAGAGTTGCCTGGGAACGGGGTCAATTCTGTGACCTCGTCGCCGTCGACAACAGGAGAAGAAGGTGTGACTTATTCACAAATGTATTCAATGATTGAAAAGGTTTTATGTGAATGTGGATATTATGATGTTACCAGAGTGTTATAAAAAGTTCCTGTACATTATATCCCAATATATACGACAATATTTCCATCAATAATAGTATGTGATAATAATTGCAGGAACTAAATTGGAAATGGTGATATTTATCAGAAACTACAAAAGATAAATTTAGTTATGAAAAAGATAAAGATGGCTATAAATGATAAATTTGCTGAAATTATCTTTATCATCAAAATTGAACCACAGCCTTTCTTTATATCAGAATACTCCATACCTTTTATAAATTAATATGAAGATTTGGAATAGACACTAGACAGTCTTTCTTTGCCAAGAAATGGTTTTAGTAATATTGGTCAATCAATTTAGGTTGATAGACTTACCATAATATGGTATATTATATTCCCGCATATTAGCCAACTAACTTCCTAGAAACAGCCCTAAGATGGTGAATTTATAGAAATTCGCATATAAGCCAACCCTACAAATCGTAACATGCTGTACGCGTCGATCACAGAAAATGATTGCAGAAGAGAATTAGTGCGATCAGAGTTATGCGTGTATAAGCAGAATTTAAGAGTTATGTGGGTAAAGGCTGAACCCTTAGTTTGGCAACTTTTTTGAGTTTTAACTCAATATACGGTAACACATTTTTCATTTACAGTGTAGTAATATGCCTTCTTGTAAAGTTTCCATATTCTCAGCAAAATTCATTTCTGACATTGTAGTGTGTAAAAACCATGTTCTAATGAGTTTCATTTTCATAAGAAGCCATACATCAATCTTTTTAGGCAGAACAATATTTAAAGTAAAACCACGGGTATTGCTGATTATTTTTGGTTGAATTTCATAAATTTTTACTGAATTTTGCACCCTGTCATTCCAACTTTGTTTTACTCGTTAATTCGAAAGCAAGGATCATACCTTTACTTCTTTTTACCCTGAGTTACCTAGAATTTGCTATGGAAGTTTGTGTATTAGTTTTTATAAAAAAAAAATATTTCTTGGCTTTGCATCATAGCTTATCTGGAATTATCTTTTTTAAATGAATTTTCATTGAATTTAATTGAATTTGTTTCGTGACTGCAATTCTATCACAACCAAAAAAGTAATGGTACCTTACAAATGTGTCTTAAGGCTAGGCATGGCTATCTTGTATAAACTGTAAGTCAATGACCAGTCAGTAATAGTTGTCCATCTTTTGGTATAGGGTTTGGTAACTTTCCGATAAATAGAAATATATTTTTTGAACATTTCTTATTGCACAAATTTGTTACCTAAATTTCTAGTGGTATTTTGAAGGAGACTATTCCTTCATGTATTCAAATTTGTTAGTATTGAACAATTGATCCTTGACTCGCCACACTGCTGTATGGTAACAGCTGTAGCAAATGCTACATACCGGTATACAAAATATCTTGAATATGATAATTTTTTGAGAGAAGTTTTTTATTACTTTAAATCGATGTAACATGTTTTGTCAACTCATTTTTATTTTTTGTTTCTTCATTTTTGTTAAAAGGTTCCATCACTGTTGAAATGTGTGCTTTTATATCAGTTGTCAGTATTGTAGTTAATTTTTGCTTATTCTTGTGTCATATGTAATTGAAACAATAACCATTGTCTTGTAATAATTCATATATTTTTATCAATGATAATATTCCTCATTGTGAAGCGACAATCTTATTTGAATAATATTTTCTTGGATAATACTCTGTAATCTCTTTGGAAATCAATTTTTTGGGCTTTCAATGTAAATTTATTTATAAAAGCTATTATTTTTCAACTGTTTGATACAAAAATTACATATATTTTATTAATGAATGATAAAAGTCTATTTTTGATGCCTTTGTTTCATACATTGTGACAGAATAATGGTACAGATTGGTATTTATATAAGTTAATTGTGTGTATAAATGCACAACATTTGCTCTTGTGACAATCTATTTTTCATATCCTTGCTATTTCTGATTAGCAATTCTGTATAACTTGATTCATATTTCCCTTTGCCTATTCATTGTGGTGAAATATACATTTTTTCTCCAAACATGTTGACCTCCAAACAGGTCCCAAGGATAATATATAAGGGTTCTCATGAATTTTCCTTGTCATAAGTTTCAAGTATGAATCAGTTTAAAGTTAAATTGGACGACTATTTTTGTTTTATTTCTCATTGTTGTGCTTGTTTTTAGATTAAAAATATAAATTTTCTAAAAATAAAAGTAAAAAATGAATGTGTTTCGGCGATTAATGGATGCTACACCAGCTAAAAAAGTTATTTTATACACCAAGGTAGTGTTTCGGCTTTCTTCCCCTTTACTTATGTTCGGGGCTTTAGAAATGGCAACAGTATTTGTAATTAGTGAACGAAGATGGAGAAAGGGAAGCGCAAGGATTATTGATCCCCCTGTATGGAAAGGATACACATCAGATCAAATTCAAGAAATTATCAAAGGCCGTGAAAAAATAGTCTCATGCATGAAAGATCTTTATGAGATGAAACCTGGTTCAGCAAAAGATGAAACAGTCTCACAAATATTTACAAAGGATTGTATTTATGAAGATCCAATGCTGAGACTTGTCAATAAAAAGGAAATATTAAGGTATTACAAATACATGCGAAGTTGTACATTCTCTGATAATTTAGTATACTGATTTTTATTAATTCCAGTTTGAAATAGTCTAAATTGATTAATTTACCTGTAACAGTAATAACCACTATAGTACAAAAAATCTTACTGAAGCAATGTGACTGCATTCTTAGAAAATATTTTCTAGAATACCCAGGCATGGACTTGTAACAAACAGGACGTGAGGCCAATGGTTCGCCACATGTTTGAGTTGTATTTTTTTCACTCTTCCCCGGGTTTGATATGAAAATCATATGTTCTCAATTTAGAAGTTCTCTAAAGTAATATAGGATTACTTGTTACTTTTAAATATTGTACGTTTTAAAACTATGACAATATGCAATTATCATAGTTAAGAACATTTTTTATTTGTTAATCCATCAGACCCGAGTACAATATTTCATATTGGATTGAATAGGATAGGATTTACGGTACATATTTATCCTCTGGAAGAGAAAAGACGATAAGATGGTTTAATAATCATATGGCTAACCACGGCCTCTTGTCCGGTTACCAATGTCTGGTATGGGATTAGTTAGCCAGTTATTTGTTTCCGGAAGCGTGGACTTGATTGAATATTCTAAAATGAATTTCAATTTTTTCAGCATTTTCAATCATCTGCAAGGGACATCAGCAAAATCAGAATTTGAATGTTTTGAAGCTACACATTACAAGGAAAAGATAATTATTGATACTCTGCGACACTCTTCTGTACCACGATACGGCGAAGAATCCAAATTACCACCATTACGAGGCAATATAATAATATATTTATCACAAGATGGCACTAAAGGACAGCAGCAAATTAAATCTATTCGAGATGAATGGAATTATTCAGCACTGATGCAACCTGAAACTCATAATGCGTATGTTTTCGCTGGTTCTTTCGCAAAGCTAATGCGACGTGTGTGTTATTATATCATAAAACCAGACAAAACTTTTTTCAACATTTTTATAATTCTTGACTGGAAATCTGAGTTATCTACATTTTTAAACCAAAATATTAAAGAATTTGAAAAGGGACAAAGAAATAAGGAGGTGGAACAAAGACACTATGATGAATCTGGCACAGTTGTTTTTGATGCTGGAATTTCTAAAGCAAAATAAAACTTTAATACAGTTTCGATCTGTTGAACTATTTACTCCATATCAGTGTTCCCATTGATACTGTCCCCACTTTCACAGTTTTTCTTACCTATATAATATATGCTGTGTCAAGTTCACGTTTATCTAGATTCCACTGGGTGTACTGGCCTGGAATGCTTATATTTGTTCAATACCATGAGAGGCGCTCCATTTTTACAGGCAGTCTGGTTGGTAATCAACAAGCCAACAAGGTGGGAGCAAGGTGTGTTCAGGCGCCTTTTAAGAATCTTCAAAGTATGAAAGATTGCTGACCCTACATATGGCTGGTTAAATGAAAAAAAAGCTTCCTACCTGGGGTGCCAGTAGCCCTGGGCTGGAAAACGCTAAATATTACATGTCATCATAATGTGTAGCTCCATTTTTACAATTTCTCAGGCAGGCTAGTTGGTAATCAACATGGTGAAGCGAAGTGTGTTTGGACCCCTTAAAGAATCTTCAAAGTTTGGGAAATTTCAGCAAAACACTGAAGTGTAAATAAAAGAAGATGCTTTAGAAACACCATATAACCGGCTGCCTGGAATGATGTTTAATGAGATGCTGATAGCCCCGGTACGATGTGCTACATGATTTGGGTTTAAAAAAGCGTCATATACCCGTGGTTCTACTAGCCCTGACCCCTGAGGCTCTGCTAAATAAACCCCCACACTACAATATGGTCTTCCAAATTCCTCATTTTTGCCTGAGTAGTAAAACTAAAAATGCACATCCACTGTTTATTTCAGAAATATTAATATAATAAATTATTAAGTAATGATTAAATATATTTATATCTAGCCTATCTATAAAAATAGCAAATTATCAAAATAATACAAATTACACTGGCAGAAATACATTAATCTATATAAATATACAATGGCACAATGCAAAATTATCAAACATGTCCTCTTTATACTATATATAAAGTTACATCAGGTCTGCATCAAAATTAAATATGGAAGCTGCAAGGTTTTCATAATGTATTCCCTACACACAACACTAACACTGCGACGAAGTGTCAAAAAACAAGTTATTTTGGAATATTTATATACCGTTATGGAATTTTGTGCAGCATGTCACCAAAGGAACAGGCTTTAATAAATCATGAAACACGCACACTATTTGAATAAAATTCTGGATACCTTTTTATTTCATGCCTTATACTTCAATCTATTAAATTATAAAAAAAATGCAGTGTGGGAAATATGGACCTAAAAGTTTAATTTGCAATAGGGTTGATGGCAAGGTTGGTTTGTTAGGTAAAATATAGTTTTTCTGGTTACAATGAAATTAGTACTTTTCAAAGGTTGAAGGTTTATATGCCATACAATGTATGTATTCCACATACAATTCGGGGCAAGCTTATGCAGCTGAAGGCTGTTAATTACTGAGGGCCAATCGCACCTCAGTAACTTAATTGAATAGATGAAGTTTTAGACATTTTAAACATGATTGGAACTAAAGAAGCATCAGTCATGGGTATGTCAATGTACGAAGATGATGGCAACCCATCTCCATCAGTCAGTCTATCGCACTGGTTCTTAAACCAGCGGGCCATGGCCCACTTCTGGGCCACAGGAACATTTTCAGGTGGGCCACAAACATATTAAAATTTGCTAAAGTTATTGATAAATTGGTTAAAATTAGATTGTAGTAACAATGAATGATGGTGCTGTTTTTTAATTCTCATTATTGAAGTGGAAGTCTTTTGTAAAGAATATTTTGTTTTTCTTGTAGTTTTTCCTATGCATAAGAAAGTTCATGGGCCACAGAATTCAAAAGTGGGCCACGAAAGAAAAGGTTGAGAACCATTGGCCTATCATATACATGAGCAAGAACTGAAAAATCAATGCACAGTAGATCATTATTTTTAAATCTAGAATTGGATTGAACATTAGTTGAAAATTAAAATTAGTTTTGCCTTCATTTATAGATGTTCAAGCTCTCATAATAAACAGTATTTCTTTGTTAATTGTTGTAAACAGACTCCGCTCTGTATGTTGTTCATTTCGTTTTTTTGGGGGGTGATTGGACAAATGTCATCTGTGGTTTCTATGGTGTTCGCTTCTCCGCTTTAGTTGAGCTCTTGATATGTACTCGTCATTATCTGAACTGTCAATATCTAGAAAAATTGCATAACATTGGTATTAACAAGTGAGGTATTTGCTTGTTAAATGATTTTTGTCATTTGGTTGAATCATCTAAAATGAAATTTAGCTTTCGTTTTTTGACTGCTTCACTAAATCTAGATGCAGCAATTATGTGTCAGTGAATGAATGTAACTCTGTAATTTTTTCTTCACATTTAGGGTGGGTTTTGCAGCTTGTTGGAATAGAAAATTGAACATCAATATGAATAATTTTTACCCACCCCCAGTTACATTAGCTTCAGTTGTGCGATGATTTGATGACTGCTCTGTGCGTGTAGCTTGTCCTTCTGTTCGTTGCATAGGTCTTTCTGGTGAGGTCTGTATGTTTGAAGGATGGACAGACCGGGGAACACTGCTATTATGAATCTCAATAGGAACACTGCTTTGATTTTCTTGTATTGATTCTCTTTCTTGCATTAAGTTTTGAACGCTATCTCGACAAAAGTCCACCAGTAACATAAGATAAACACCAGATCTAACAAGTCTGCGAAGATCTTCTTGCAACTGGAAATTAAATATAGAATCTCAAAGGTATGAGTAATAAACAAATTAAATAGAATACGTTTTAACTACCGTAATTTTTTGGCATTTCAGCATTTATTTACTGTGTTTGTTTTTGATATGGACCTTAACAGCCATGATTAGAAATTTTCTTCTGAATCCAGGATATATCTGAAGCCTCATGTTTAGCCACATAACATAAAAAAGATTGTCCATAAACTTTTTTTGAATTGAACTAAACAAAATAAATACAAACCTTTTTGGTCTGATCAGGTTTAACATCTGTTTTTCCCAATATCTCTGTGTCATATTTCTTCAGACATAATTCACATTTTGTGATATCAGCTCCTAAAATGAAATTTCAGTACTTAAATCAATGTTGGACTTATATTCTTATTAATGTGTTAGAATCTCAGTTAATGAGCTAAAACAGGGTGGTCCAAGGGTGGCGGCTCCGTGGGCCACAAAATATTTTTGCATTGTTCGCGGGCCACAATAGTGCCGAGAATAGGTAAACAGTGCAATACAAAACAAGCACTTTTATTGTACAATCACATAGTTATCAGGCATAGCCATTCTAGGCTAATAGAATCCACTTTCGGTTTTTAGTTTTCTATGATACTGATATTGTTAGCATATATTCCCGACCAAAAAGTTAGTAAGCCAGATAACAATTTAGACTGCCAAGCACATCATTCAACTTCGCTAGTTTCCCCAGCTAGTGATGACAATATTTCAAAAGATTTTTCTGATTAATTTTATGACGAAACAACACGAAATGCGATTTTTTGTTTACGGTACTCTCCGAATGTGACGCGGGCCACAGATAATGAAGCGGCGGGCCTGGGTTTGGACCACCCTGAGCTAAAAGATCATCCAGGGTCAGTAGGCAATGCTGAACTAGACAGATTCCAGCTCTTCCAAATTATATTGGTTCCAGAAGACTATTGTTCAGAGTGAACAATGTATAAAAATTATTAGCCCAGCTCTGGAACAAGATATCCCCCAGGTCTGTCAACTGTTCCACACGGCATATAGTATTGTGTAACACATAACATGATAGATTCAATGCTTGATAGTCAAATACTGTTAGTCACATTCATTTGTATAATTAAAAGAAGCACTGCTGGTAATCGATACAAAGTTCATTTTTTAAAATCTGACTCCTTTATTGCTAATTTGATTTCGAAGCCTGTACCTGATGCCTTCTTAGTTTTTCTCCACTGCTGCAAACACTTGTGGTGAACATATCTCAGTGATCCAGTGCAACTGCAAGGTGTCACAAGTTGATTTGAAAAAGAATCTTCATCGGATTGGCAAATTCGGCAGATCACAGTTTCTGTTGAATTGATTTAGTAAAATACTTCAAATATGATACTAATTTAACGTGTCCGAATAATTCACGGGCAAGTATTTGTGGTAAAAACAGTTAGGTTTATAGGGTTAGGGTATGCTCTTAAAGAAATATTTTTCAGTTAAAAAGGTACTTACTTCAAAACTGTTTTTATCACAAATATTTGTTTTACAGCAAAATGCTCTTGTGGCGATTTTTCATGTGGCGATTTTTTCTATGCGACCCGAATCTTCCTAGAACCCTAATATACATTTCTACAACAAGTATACATCTCTAAGTTTTGATAAAAGTTTGTTAAATTGATTGAGATAATCGTTCAAAGAAGCATTAGGCATGGTTATGTTCAATTGGTCTATATAGATATTATGGCTGACCATTTCGAATCGAATAATGATTTAACTATTTGGACGAAAATTTTGACCTGCCACCATTTTGTTTTCTTTTTGTCCACCAAAGGTTGTGGTGAGTAATTCAATTTTTTTTATCGAAGCCATATTTTTAAAATGCAATTCTGACATATGACTCATTTCCTCACAGTGGGTTATTGATGAAACAAGTTTCATATTGCGTTTTAAAACTCTGCGAACTGTCTGAGTGATCGATTACATATGTTTTCAGTAATTTACCATGTTATATGGAGGACCCATTGCAGTAAAAAAGCTACATACACCAAGACCTTCCAAGTATTAGAGATTCGATTGGACAACAAAATTGTGATTTGATTCTGAAATCAACAGGTATGAAAATGCCCAGCCCTAATAATAATATATACTTCATATAAATGGAATATAAAATATGAGAAAATCAATTTTAAAACTCATAACAACTCACCCGATTCTGTCTTAACTGGTGGAATGAGATTAGAAACTTGAAATTGTGACGAATGATAAACATCTTCATGATAAGTATGAGGTACAGAAACTGCATAGTTCTTGAGTTCCTGTAAGCACAAAAGATAAGACTTCCAAAGTAAAATAAAGACTGTAGATACGATTTTCTCATTTAGGGGATACAGAGTCTTTTTTTTAATTTCCTTTCCAAAAATAACACTAGGGCTTATTTTGCAGGGATGTCTTTTGATTTTATTTATAAAAAACAAAGTTACAAAGTAGAGAATCACAAGATTTCCAAATATGGAAACCAATATTCATTTACTAAATAACACGTTTTTTAAATAACTGCTAAACATAGATTACGAATCATTCAATGCGCGTAGGAAAATTTTTTTTTGACTAGTTTCTATTTTCAGGGGAGGACTTATATTTAAATCATATTCAAAATTCAGGCTAAGTCTTCCATTCGGGGAAACACGGTAATCCAATGGTTTCAAGGCTTACTTTGACACTGTCACATAGTTAGATAAAGCACATAGGGCCTGATTGGATAAAGTACTAAACTTACATTTTTTATACAAACTTTCTTTTAACAGGGTTCTGCATAAGCAGTGATTAACACAAAAGGCCTTCATGAAATGAGAAACAATATAGATGTTCTAACCCCATGGCTGACAGAAAAATAATTGTATATAAAAGTAGATAAACTTATTACTGGAGTAGAAGATGAACTGTCTGATAAATTATCGAAAGATATTTTCTTTGATTCCATATCAAACATTCGTCTCATTGCTCTGTTATATTGTCTTCTTTTTGCATCGATTTTTGGTGAACCTTCTTGAGTTGGACTTGGCGATGCCGAAATATTTCCCACACCCAGAATCCAAGATCTTCTTTCTTTTTCACCATGTTTAGTAAAGATATTCGATTTTTCTGATTTCTCACTCGTTTCTTTGAGGGTTTTCTGTCTTTCTTCCTCCTAAAAGTATATTTTGGGCATTTATGTATTGGATTTGGAAGGTCTAGATTATTTCTTTCTTTCTTCCATGTTGGGTGAACATATTTGATGAGTTTAAACTTTTTTTTAGTTTTCTTTTCATTACCCAGATTTTTTACCTGCTGTGCATGTGTATTTTTCTTTCGCAAATCATAATCTATCTATATATCTAACGTTAATAACCAGACATAAATACCGGTAATGAAATGGCACACACCGTTTGCACTCGTCGTCGTTCTCTTCTACTTTCATCTCGTTCTTTTCTTCTCTTCAGTTTAGTTTGTACGACTAACTTCGATTCTTTTTCCTTAGAAAAGGGATTATTCCCTGCTAATTTATCGTTTCTCCTCATTATAACGCAGCATGAAACAACACAATCGCACAAAAAAAAAATAAAAGGTCGCCTCGCCTGGGCTTGTGTTGCTAAGCAACACATTGAAACGTCAATCATTATTGATATGGCTCCCAAATATTTTACCGAGTAGCATTTATTTAGAATTTATACTTCTTTTTGTTTAATTGTGTTATTTAACATAAATTTGGCAGTTCCGTAATCTTACTTTTGAATATTATCTACTTGAACGGAAACTTTCTTGTCGAATACAGTCAGCAAAAATGTATTTGCGTTTCCAATTTGCACGGTCATGCCTTGCGGCATTTCTGGGACGTTTCCGGCTTACGGCGTTAACTTCTTTTCGCAGGCTTGAAGGGCTGAGTAAAGGAGTTCTGAGATGGGAGATTCTAAATACCCTGCCTTCAAATTAGGAGGTTCAAAATATAATCAGGTTAGTAACGTTTTCTTGACTTTTGAGTATGTTTTTGTTGCCTTGGCAGGGATCTATTGCTCCGAAATAGGCATAAGTTGCTTCCGATATTCATATATTACAATTGAATATTTTGTAGTCTATATGCCAACTGTCTATGGACAACTAAAACACTTGTAAACTGTATATATGGCCAATGCAGTTGTGATTGTTTGCTGCAGTGTTATTGCATTGGAGATCTTCTACCGTACTGCAGTGTTTTGGTTTCCATTGAATAAAATAACAATAAAATTGCATATGACAGAATTCTTGAATATTTCCTAAAATGTCTTTGCCCTATGTCAGTATGTTAGAATGAAGTGCAACATAACTATTTTTGCTACTGTGAAAAAAAATTTGAGAGCTTTCACTTTGTGTGTTTGTGTATTATAATTTTCAATCAATCAACTGTCACAAAGTTTTTTTGCTTGCTCCAATTCATTGATTGATATCTTAATGGCAATTTGTGAGAACTTCAATACTGTTGTAGCATAATTACTTATTCGTTTAAACTGTTAAATTATTCAGGAAACATTTTCTGGTCGACTGCGGCATTTCTTTGATGTAATTGATCCTCGAACGTTGTTTACACCGCAATCGGAAGTAGAAAGATGTGTTCGAATGTTGCAACAATACAGAGATGGAAATGAGGAAGGATGGAAAGACGAAGAACTTTGGAAAGCACAGAAAATTAAGCAGGTAGCCTATAGTTTATGATTCATATTGCACTTTATTACAGTGTATAAACATAAGAGAGCAGTACTCGAATATATGAAAATGAATTTGGCAGAATCTGTGCATCCACAAGGTCTTGGAGCACTGAGTTTCCTGAAAAGATCGGCAGATGGAATAAAAAATTGTTCCCCTTCAATTGAAATGGAACAAAAAACTTATGAGTGAAATATCAAGTCCCATAGGACTCTGAAGACATTTGAAAAAAATACTTGCCTTCTTGCGGCTCCTTCCATAAGTACTGAAATCATTTAGTACTTTATATGCGATGAAAAGCATTTTCTTTTGGAACAACATCGGCACTAAAAACAAAAATCCCAGTGACAACAATTTGGTAACACAATACATGTGCCCAATAAGAGCCAAATTACTTCTTGTTCATGGGGGTGATAATGATGACAGATTCTTGGCAGAAATTGCCTTTGATTGAACACATGTAAAATTCTGAGTAGAATATTTACTTTTTATTGATTTACCGGTACTTATTCACAGTTACAATCAATAAATAAACAGCAAGTATTAAATTTCAGTCTTATATTTCATCTAACGATATTTTTGTTTTTGACAGGCAATTATTCATCCAGATACTGGAGCAAAGATACCAATGCCTTTCAGAATGTCAGGTTTTGTACCGTTTGGGACTCCTATAGTTGCTGGATTGTTACTACCTGGACAGTCAATGGTTGCTACTGTATTCTGGCAATGGTTAAATCAAAGTCACAATGCTTGTGTCAATTATTGCAATAGGAATGCTACAAAGGTACATTATTAACTTTCAATTTTATACGAGTTCGCTTAAGTCCCGTGTTCTCAGTTAAAAGTGGTGAAGAATTGCAAACTATTTGATACACTATAAGCGCTTCGACACATTGTGGAAATTGATGTTTGTGTGTGGATAGCGATTAACGCAAAACTTGGCAACTATTCAACTCAACACTTGTAGAGAACAAGCTCACTGGCAGCAAGGCTTGTTAGCAATTGGAACCTTTACTGTATTTGAATTTCGTTTTTTGTCTTTTCTTTTTAATATAAAATAAATTTGATAGATAATTCAAGTCCCAATATATATATCTTAGTTTTCATTATGCAGAAAAAATAAGAGTGAAATAAATATAATATTATGTTAATTATTAATAACTGTTTTTTTACGTTTGACCGCATTGTATTATGTAAATATTAAAGTTCCACTAAGAAACTGTGTGAATAGCAGTATTTTTTCAGAATAAATAATGTAATAAAATCATAAGTAAGATGGAGAATAATCAATAATAGTTTGGAGAAGAACAAAACCTAGACTGAGGTTTTCCTCAGTAGTTACTATGAAATATCTGATCAATACTGTATTCTACAGGAAACATCAATGAAAGATTTCCTGCTTGGGTACACAGGAGCAGTTACAAGTGCTGTGTCAATAGCTCTTGGTCTCAATGTGTTGGTAAAAAAATCTACTGGTCTTAGTCCTGCTAAACGATTGTTAATTCAAAGATTCATTCCTTTCCCTGCTGTTGGTAAGTTTATATCTAACTAATTTAGCTTTAAATAAAAATAATGAAACAGTATTCACAAAAGTTTATATATAAACTTAAATTTTTTGCAATAAATTTGACATCAGATAAGCAAAATAAAACTGTGTTCACTCAATTGTATATATTATCTGAAAATAGGTATAAGTGGTCTACCATTTTGAATATTCCTGCTGTTTCAAAGTCAGCATCTATAATTTAGAATACTATAAACTTATAATTTTGAACAAAAAATTTTGTCATCAGCCAAAAACTAAACTAAACATAGTTTTACCAAATTATTGAAGCATTATTCACCTAACTGTATATAGTATTGAAAAAATATATATATTTTAAAATTTCAAATAGCCCTGCTTTTTGGATTTTGCATTTTTTGGCAACAATTTCTTTTGGCTTACATGGATTGGATATTTTTTATTTTAGTGAATTCATAGTGTGGCAGGTAAAATTTGTTCAATCACCATTCCCTTCAATGAATGATAAAAGTTATTTAGTAAGTCCATTCAGGTGCATAGTTTGTATAGTGGAGTGGATTGGAGGACCCAAGTGGCAATACAGCAACCCTTCAACTTTTGTATCGCCATTTAATAAATAAATAGATTCAAATTTATGCTTTAGTTTTATTGACAATATTGCTCATGAGGTATCATTTAATTTTTACAGCCACTGCCAGTGTTTGTAATGTTCTTCTCATGAGAAACAGAGAACTCAGTACTGGGATAGAGGTCACAAATAAAGAAGGAAAGGTCATTGGAGTGTCAAAGGTCGCAGCTAAAAAAGCTTTGATGGAAACTGCAGCAACAAGAGCTGTGTTACCTGCACCTATATTAATCATTCCACCTGTTGTAATGTCATTCATAGAAAGGTGGGTTTGAAGTACAAGCTTTGCACAACAGTTGAAATATTTTCTTCTATATATCTAAAAGAGAGTCACTTTTTGAACTGTGTGCTGTGACACTCACAGTGTTTGTAATATATACCAGTGCTGTGAGGTTGTTGGAGTTGTAATTTCGAAGTTGGTAGTCATAGTTCAAATTTTAATTTTGTTGGAGATCGAATTTCAATGGTGATAACTAAAGTAAAAATTTACTACAGAAACTCCTTTTGTTGACTAATCAATTCTATCATTCCATTAAAGATTGCTTGCATATGCCAAGATTTTCATTATCGAAACTTGACTTCCTTTGGAGTTGGAAGTCAGTCGTATGTTATCCCCAACTTTATAGGCCCACAGCTTTAGTATTTTTGACCAGAAATAGAGTCAAAGTAATTTCATTATTTGCATTTCACAGTTTCTATCCAGCACACTAATTATATTTTTTTTTATTTCAGAATGAAATGGTTTCATCGATATCCAAGATTAAATCTTCCGATTCAAGTCTTACTTGTTTCAGTTTCATTTGGATTAGCTCTTCCTGTTGCTATTGCAATATTTCCACAAATGTCACAGGTAATTTGTGTTTTTGTATAATAGAAATAAAAAGTTTTCGAACGTTGAATGATTTGCATGGGACATTTTACTGTGTTTATTAGTCTGGACGTGCCAAACTTTATTAAATGATTTTAGTTTCGGCATCTCTTGTAAAAATCAATCAAACAAATTTTCAAGTTAAGAAAAGTGGCACAAGAAGACTTCTGTATCATATATATACAATATATAAGTACAGACACTCAGATACAGGGGGGCCACTCTATTTGCAAAAATTAAAATATAGATATGCCTTACATTTTTTCACAGCGGACCTGGCAGGGTTAAGTTTAACAATCCACTAATCAGAGCTTAAAGATCTCGAACGTGTGATTTCAAATTAGTAAGAATTACATTTAAAATGCTAAGTGATTAGGTGGATGGAGAAAAACTCAATACTCCAAAGCAACCGTTAAACTAGTGCCACTTTTATGATATTTATTCATAACCACAAACAAACTCTGTATTTAACTCAAACCTGGCAACTACAAAAATAGATTTGCTGACTAGGTCTTGGATGTTGACAATGATTTCAGTGTTAAGTGTTTACTCATGGAGGTAATTATTAACCACTAACCAAATAACTTCTAAAATCATTCATTTATAGGCCAAAGTCAAAGATTTAGAAGAAGAGATTCAAGAAAACACTTCATTGGAAATTGCCTATTATAACAAAGGGCTATGATGAATTGAAAAGAATATAAATTGTAGCATAATCGGATTTGATTTTACAGCTCAGCGATTTATTTTGCTGGCATTGGTTGCACGTTCAGATTTTTTGACCTTTTGTAATATCATGTCTGCTATCAAAAAGCAAATCAATTAATTACTGGTGCTCGCAGACTCGCAGTTTTATGCCAGAATTTAATATTGTCAGCATTCCCAATTGCTATTTTCATTCATTTTATTATATATTTTCACAAAGCAAATAGTTTTTATCAATTGAATTTGATAAGACCAATTGTGCCTATATATTTTACTTTACGCTTTTATTTTCGATCAATTGCATGAATATTTTATATTTTTGTTATTTTAAAAAGTTTAATATCCAATATTGTGACTTTGTGGGATGTTTAGAGTTTTGAAATGTATTCAATGTCACCGAGAGCACAGGAACTCACTTATATTACAGCATATTCTATATATCCCACGGAAGGCAATGTGGAGCTAACAAGTTATACATTTTGGTATAACCAGGGATGTCCAAATCGTTTCGAATACATTCAAAATTCATTATATTCAATATAGTAAATTTTTTAATTATGAGTAATTTAGCACATTTTTATTTAAATATTAGGGATTTTGAGCTGTCAGACAAGTAGACCAAATGCACGATATCTCGACTGGTTTTGGCTATTCGGTTTTGGCCATCCATGGGTACAGTCTCATAAATCTGAATATAACTAAGTCTAAAACATGGCGTGTCGCTGCTCGATTAAGTCCCAGCAGCTACCCTTCCCTGGTATAACTGTTTGTTCATTTTATTTTCACGGTTCACTTTAATTAATGCTTTTTTACGCTAGGTATTACACATGTTTATTTGGCCCTACATATGCATATTGACTTCACAATATGATTTGTGATTTTAGTTCAAAGATTGCAATTTATTTTGAGAAAACTTAATTCTTCATAAATATGCTATTGTTTGCCCGTGTGAGTATTTTATTGCCATCATTTTTTATTATCATTTTATCACAGAGTTGTGTCTGCATAGAGCTTCTGGCAAAAATGTAATCTTTTCTTAAATCAGATGCAAACATATATCTGCAATTAAACGATTTAGCTATCTGAATCCATGTCGTTGTTTTAATCTTTTTTTTTGACCGTCATCGCCGTAATCAGACAGACAGAAAAATTGGCGCATCGTGCCCAGCGCTATGGAAACGAATTCCATCACATACCTTTGATTACCCCTCAGGGAAATCTCACAGGGATAGAATTACTGGACTCCTCGCCGTCGTAAGGCGGTTTACGTAACCGCTGGTCGGTTGAGGCTCCATCCGCCATCAAGTCCATGCTTCCGAAAACAAATTACTGCCGAACTAATTCCACACCCGACGTGGACTGATGATCAAGTCGTCTATCGGCTTTTTTCTCCCCCGAGATACATATATAAATCCTCTTCCTCGTGATATGTATGAAAATCCTATCCAATGCAACAATATTCGCAGCTCCGAATCGCTAAAATTTTCTGCAAACGCTGCGTAGCCTTGGGCAATCATTTACTTCGGTTTATTTTTGATTCAACATTGTTTCATGCAACAAATTAACCGATTTACATTTTTAACAATTTGCGACGCACAAATAGCGTGCAAAAAATTGAAAAACAAACAATAATATAGATCAAATTAATTCATTGAAATCACATTTCAAAATGGCAAAAATAAATTTTCAACAAAATGTTGCGGATATCCACACTCAAGCATCCATGTGGTATTTCTTGAAGTGTAATGCAACATATCTCTTCACACGAAACAATTTCCCACACATTTTACTTCGGTGAATCTTCTGAGAATGTGTTTTAGTATGTTCTTCCAGATGATCTTTAGTAAAAAACGAATTCGAACATAAATCACACGAAAACGACCGTTTGCCCAATCCCCTCATAATATGCAATTTTTCATGTCTGGTCAACCCAGCTCTTTGGGTAAATCGCATACCGCAAATTTTGCATTTAAATGGTCTTTCATTCGGTTCCATTACATTTGAACCCACGTACATTTGAACCCATGACAATTGCACCTGTATGCTATTGCACCTATGAAATTTTTTTTGTTTCACGGATAGTTAAACCCATACTAACCCTAACCCATGGGTTTTAGCACCCGAATATAGATTGAACCCGTGGATATACGCATGGGTTCAAATGTACATGGGTTCAAATGTACGGTCACCCTTTCATTAGTATGTACCCGTTCGTGTATCAATAACGTCGATCTACTACCAAACGATTTATTGCATATTTTACAACAGAATCGTTTGTTTCGTTCGATATGTGTTGCCATATGCGAACGTGGTACCCTTTTATTGAAGAATCTCTTTTGGCAAACTGTACAATCATGCGTGCAGATTCCTGCTGATTTAACGGTTGGATGGGTTTCACGATGAGCTTTGAGATTCTGCAATGTTATAAACACTCGACCACATACATCACATGAATGACGTTTGATGCCGTTTGCTCTGTGCAGCTTTTCGTGCATCACCAAACCTCCTTTTTGACTGAATCGTTTTCCGCATGTGTGACACGAAAAGGGTTTTTCACCCGTGTGTACCCGATGGTGTATTGATAAAGCTGCTTTGTGTTGGAAAGATCTTCCACATACGTAACAAGAATGTGCGTTATCAGATACTTTATCAGAATGTGCTCTCATGTGGTTGCGAAGTGACTTTGGATGTGAAAATTTTTTCTCACAAATTGTACATTCAAATTCGCGAATCTATGTATGTCTTGCATATGCTCTTTCAGAAAACGTGCTCGACTAAATGACTTATCACACAGACTGCATGGATGCGATTTTATTTCTAAGTGAGTTTGGACGTGATCTGTTAATGTTCCTTTGTGCTTAAATGACATTCCACATACTTCACATGAAAAGGTTTTTCATTTGAATGCACTACCAAATGATTTTCCAAAACGCCTTTCCTGATAAATGAAGCAGAACAAATTGTACAAGAAAATACTTTTTCCGTTGCATGAGTCTTCATATGATGCCTCAGTCTTGCTTTGCTTTTCATATCTTTGTCGCATTCAGCGCATTTAAACCCAGTTTCTTTGAGATGAATTACAATGTGTTTGGTCAAATCTGAATTATCAACGAAGCATTTTCCACATTCTTCGCATTTATATGATTTTATGTTTACATGCCTGCGTAGATGTTTTGTCAGATCAGCACGCTGTGTGAAGTCTTTCCCACATATAGTGCAGACATGGGGTTTATGCCCAATATGTATCCGGACGTGAGCAGTCCTGCTTGACTTGCTTCGAAAACCCCTGTCGCAGTAATCACACTTATATGGCAACTTCCCAGTATGTGTGTATATATGTGTTTGCAGGCCATCTTTAGTTGAGAAACTTTTCTTGCAGTGTTCGCATTTGTGCGCTTTGTCAACTAAATGGACTTGTCTATGTCGAAAATAATTAGATTTATTTTGACATTCTTTCCCACATACTTCGCATTCGTAGCTTTTTATTCTACGTTTCGGTTCTTGTTGATTAGCAGATTCCTCCTCATTCTGATTGAAATGGTCGTCATTCAATTTTATTTCTTCTTTTGTCATATTCAGGCTTTGCGTTACAGCGTTTATATTAACTAATTATACGATATAAAACCTACTATACAGTAATATAAATACAGAATTTGTAAGTATGTGACATTAATTAAACTATCCCACTTTACTGTAATACTGTCTTTCCAAACATTATTGTGGTAAAGGTTGCGAGGCACTAACTCCCAATCCTTCCTCAATGCCTCTGCGTTGGTGGGTACATTTGCGTATAATGCAAGGATGCTGTAGCAGGAATAAAATACCATTCTATATGCAATTCAAGAGTTCTACTACACACTAACACAAATGTATTTCTGTAACGTTTCGTCTGACCAAAATCAAACTTCCTCAGACAAGCAGTTTACAACTGATTATTGTAACATTTGCGATATGTGAAAGCTGGAGCGTTCCAAACTCGCGAATAATACGTATAGACCAGTACGCAGGGTGGTCAACGTAAGGGCTGACCGCTGATATCAATTCCCAAGACAAATAATTTGGAACAATTAACTTATTAATTACTCTGATAACCCAACTAAGAAGAGCACTATGTGTATCTATATGTAACTAATTCTGTACGCCTGCTTTACATCAAATTTGAATCCCCCCCCAGGAACGTTTTGGCGAATCACTTATTGTAACAATTTTTATGAGATGACAAATTATCTCTTTTTACTGTTTAATGGGCACTCCAGTAGTATGTGTACCAATATGGAGGTAACTGATTCTGTTCGCCTACTTTACATCAAGTTGCATAAAGGAATTGAAACCTATGAGCCTATGTATATTCACTTGGCTAACACAGACAGTCCCCGAACTCGTAATAGAACTACAATAGGGAAAATCGGAATAAAATTATGGCCAACCCTAACCTGGTACATATACTACGGGAGTGCCCTAAGAAGACCTATATCTGTGATTTAGACTGCTCAGTCAATACTCCCCGTCGGCTTCCACGTCAGTATATTAGTGTGGTATGTCACTGCGTACTTTATATATAATCGTTATCGCTAGCATTGTCTCGACCGTTATTACGACGCTCAGTAATCAATAGTAATTGTTGTATTGTAATCTCTCGTAGTTAACGGATGACCTCTTACTTTTTATCGGCTTCAAACATTACGACATCGCGGGTTGAAGAGATACCAATAACATACTAGACAAGAATTGATAAAAAACAAAACCCTAGACACGAGGAAGTGTGAGCTGCCGCTACAAAAAATGAGTTCATATAAACGTTTTTAAATATTTGAAATATTTTCTCTATGCTTCATTATACATGTTCTATTTATGATTCAGATCTTCCATAAAAATTAATTTGTGAATCAATACCCAAACAAATACGACCGGTTCGAATTAATCTCAGCACGCAGACTTTTCAGAAGAAAAATATTCACTACGGGCGTTCTAATATATTTTGTCTCTATATTTTGTAATTTTCTATAACGTTACCGTATATTTCTATTGCTTGCAACGAAGCAGTTTGTACAATACCGCATTTCCCAGCAGTATTATAAAAAAAATCAAAATCACAAGATAAGCGTTATTCTTTATATTTAATATATTGAACAAAATGTAGCATGTCCATTCAATATGAATGCAATATAGCAGAAGCATCATGAAAATGGAGGCAGAAGTTACAAACAGCAGTGTCAATTATAGGCTATTAGTGTCAATTATGATGTGAGGGTGCGCAGCTCCGGCAAGGTATATTTTGGGGATAAATTTGGCAAATAAGATTTTAATTAGGGTATAATTAGCCAGTTCGTAGCAAAAATATTAGTGCAAGAAGTGCAATTGAATTAACATATGTTCAACGGTTAACCCAAAGGTAGTAAATATCGATAAATGGTGGCTTCAGTATACGATATGAAACCGGCTTGTGCGCTTTCATCAAGTTAGCGTTGGCCTGTTAATTAGTTGATATTGAAAGGTGTAAAGGCAGGTATTGTCAAAACTGTCGCAGACATTGGAAATTCTGTAAAGTGCAAACGAGTAGCATCGTCTCCTCGGACATCTAGAACTTGTTCTATTTCTCATGGAAACATGTTCTCGGTGTAGAAGTTGGCAGTGATAGTTGGATCAAAATCTGTGCCTGGATAACAAAAGAAATCAACAACAAATCGTGCAATGTGGATTTGAGCCTACCACTTCGTGGCCGCGCTGATAAGTAATTGGTGTTTAATCTAGTCTTCTAACTGTGTAACTGCATTTTTTCTATATACCGGGCAACTGATAGTGATTTATCGTCTATATTCACGCGTCACACGTCCGTGGTGAGTAAGATAATCTTATTTTGTTTATTATACAATTTACCGGATGAATTATCGTACGAAAAAAGATGTATGCTTGCTGCACGATTAACTAAAATTAAAAGTACTTTATCGGCGAAGATAACATTACCAACTTATTCTATGGCCTTACTAAATACGCGCGCCACTGATAAGCCTTTACGTAGTTCAAAGACCAAAAGACAATATTCTTTTTATCTTAATGTTAATCTATAAATTCGTCGCCAATAACTAACAACAACCATACATATAATTGGAATGTTTAACTCGGACTTGTAGCGGAACGAAGTAGCACGTGGTTAGTAGTTTGCGCGTCGAATTGGTGCAATGCGTTTATGATCATTTCCATACCAAATTTCGGAAATGCTTGGAAGTAGGCTATATATTCACAAGATATATATTTACAAGCTATTGTAATATCCCTTGACGAATTCTGAGCATTCATCTAAACTTACCTATATGGCAATTCCAAACCCAGACTTGTTGACCATCATATCTCATGTTACAAATCACTTCGTTATTTGAGAAATCAGATTCCGGGACAAGATGATTCGGATTCACATGAACCTAAGTAAGATTATATATTATAGTTTATAAGTTAGGTTAGATGGTTGATGAATGATCAAAAAAAGGCGTAAATAGCATATGACGCGGATCAAATAATTTGAATCTTTATGTACCTATAACATTGGTATATTTACCAGTAAGCCCGACTCGTAGAGGAAATACGACCACATTAGGGCAACCATTATATCTGTGCCCAGATAAAATGTTTTCTGTAAAGAACTATGTACAGTATTAATTAACAAGTGTGTCTTTAAAATATAGCTTGCATTTAGTTGACGCCGCTTATTAGTGTGTAAATTATTCAAAGCAAAATGGTATTTTGTATACATAAAAAAAAGCTATAAATATGAAATCCAATCACAAACAACCCTGGTCAAGGTGTGAGAAAAACTCCCTTTTTAGCTATTGTTTTCGTCGCTTTCGAAGTATGTGCATCAATATGGCGCACAACCTGAACCCTAACCTGGTACATAAACTATGTTCAAGTTGTGCGCCATCTTGGTACACATACTTCTGGAGCTCCTTGTTTTCTAATATTGTTGAAAAATACTGATAAAAACAATACTCACTCTGAACAGGTAATTTCCCCCCGGTAAATCTGTTATGTCGATCCATTGACAATCAATGTTGTACCTGAACACAAGAGATAATTAGCAAATAAATAAATAATGAATAGTAATCTAAACAAGATCGCTAAAATAGCGAGTTGCATTTTATGACTGTCATTTTTTTTTCAGTGGTTTCCAGATTTGGCCCTACAAATCTGGTTGGAAATGGTTTTGCATTTTAAACTACAAAAACAAAATGACAATTGCAGGAACCCTAAGTACAGAATGAAGTCTAACCATTTTAATGATCTTCACTACCTAAGGGATACAAAAAAGTAGTTGAAACATCACAAGTACACAGCTTGTTCACTCATGTTTTGGCCTCTAATAGACTTTTGCAATAAATGAAGAATAAATACATACAAATAGGTATCAGAACATCCCACTGTAATTCCTTGAGTTCCACCTCCTGGCTGATCGCAATCGTATCTAGAAAAAATCATAAGCTCAACATTCAAATTTTGAGTAAAATGTAAAGTAAAAAGCAATTTCAAATTCATTTTAAAATATTAGTATGTTCGTTAAACTTAAATTTCTGGGAATCTTCGGTTGTGCAATTTTGGAAAAAAAATTCCAATTTAATTGAATGTTATTGAACCGCCAGACTTGTATATAGTTGAAAGTTTAAAATTACGCTACAAAATGACAATTTTCATAAAACGTCTAAATATCAAATATGGCAATTCTTTTTAAAATAGTAAATTTTTGATTTCCATTGAGCGTATATATTTCTGAGCATCTTCAGTTATGCTATTTCTGAATTAATAAATCAAATTTAATTGAAAGTTGTTAAACCGTCAGACCGTCAGATATATAGTTGAAAGTTTGAAAATACGCTACAAAATGACAGTTTTCACAAAACTTCCAAATATCAAATATAGCAATTCTTTTTAGAATATTAAATTTTTGATAAAATTTATATTTCTTCGAATCTTCAGTTATGCCATTTCGGAACTCCAATTTAATTGAATGTTGTTGAACTGTCATGAAATTAGGCTAGAATGACAGTTTTCATGAACCTTTTAAGCTTTCTATGGCCTAATTCACTCCAAAATCCACAACAACACACTTTTTCAACAACAAGTTTTTATGTTATCATAAAAATCGTCAACGATGTCTCCTACCTTCTTGAAACACCGTCATCGCAGTGAGTGTCTTCGAGACAGAAACTTGCTTTGTGTCCTTCGGCTACTCTAGTTTTATTTAAACTCAGAATATCGTAGTGAGTAAACTCAGCCATACTGTGGAAATGCCTGTATAAAGGAACGCGTTTAAGGCTTATCTTTCATAATAGCCATACGGATGGCGATATTTTGGCATCGCGGGTTGAAAATTCCTGAACTAGACGAGTACCCTTCACTTCTGAGTGAGTACCGTAACTTCGCTCTGAAATGCGGCTCATTTACTTCTAAGTGAGTGCCGTAATTTTGCTTTGAAATGCGGCTCATTTACTTCTGAGTGAGTGCCGTATCTTTGCTTTGAGATGCGACTCATTTACTTCTGAGTGAGTGCCCGTAATCTCGCTCAGAGATGTGTATATTTCTGAACTTCGCTCTGAAATGCGGCTCATTTACTTCTGAGTGAGTGCCGTAACTTCGCTCTGAAATGCGACTCATTTACTTCTGAGTGAGTGCCCGTAATCTCGCTCAGAGATGTGTATATTTCTGAACTTCGCTCTGAAATGCGGCTCATTTACTTCTGAGTGAGTGCCTGTAATATTGCTCAGAGATAGGTCTCCTTTACTCCTGTTTTGAGAGAGTGCCCGCACCTTGCTAAGAGATAAGTCTCATTTACTTACGATTGAGTACAAAAAATTGGGTAGAAAAACTTCAATCCTTACAAAATATAGTAGTTTCTTATATATCAGTGGTTAATAGTAAATGGTCTTGTTCAGAAAGATATTGTTGTAAAAAACTTCGATGAAAACTGGTATGTAATATAACTGTGGCCAGAACTATGTTAGTATATACTTTATTATACGACACGCTTTAAACATTTGCTGAAACAAAACCCTATTTACAAAGAGCATCCATAATCACCTAGAACAGACACGGGCCAAATCCCGCCCCTATGGGTGATTCAATCTGACCCGCGTAATGCTGCCACAACTAAACCAGAACCAAATTGCGATGTTTTAGCTAAAAAAAAATAGCTCAACGAATTTGCTGAGATTGCGATTAAATTTAATTTTGGCGAGTGGCTTATTATTTTCCCTTTTTGTTCATAAAATGACATGGCCCGCCAGTCTAAAAGGACAAGGCGTCGACATTGTCTGCCTTAGTTCTAACAACGTACGTACGCATATAGGAGCCTAGAAATACTGCTCATACCCGTGACATGAATGCCATTCCCAATCGTTAGGTAATCTTGCTGGTCTGAAATCTGCACGACCTCTGTTCCAAACTCTTGATGAAAATCTTAGTAAACGTCGATGTCCGTAGCTTGTTCGCATATCGAGTTCATCAGCAGATGACGAGAGACACTTTTCCTCAGCTATGATTGGAATGTCGAATGTTTAGTTTAGATATAATTGAGGCATTACGTCATCAAATTTTAAAAAAATTATTATTTCCTCCAACGTTTATTTAAGGTCGTAAATTTGTTGATAGAGTGTTTACAATCAAGCCTGCCGTGAATGCGAGATATGCCCTCTCCGAGGTAGGCCATTCATACGGCAATTGAGACCGTAGTCACCCCTATACCTATATAAAAGTTGCATGTGACCGTTTGGTGAACGTGCAACCCAAAATTTAAGTAGATAACTCTTAGTGATAACAGAATATTTCGAATTGCTATCGAAAAACTGAAAATTTGTAACGAGATGATTCGATGTTATTTGCTTTGTTAATATGAACAAGCCCATTGTTTCGGCGCAACCAAGGCTGTGTGGTGAAGCAAATTTACAGACGACTGCGACCCCGAATTCGAGTTTCAAAAATATTCTGATGGGTTCTGTAAACAATTATGATCTTGATTATCATTATGAAAAGTTCGAAATTGGCGAACCCTATGAAATTCAAAATTTTAACTTCTGACTCACGTCTACGGGGAGGTTAAAAATATTGATCCTACTCCAATTCAAACACGATAAACTTCAACCTCACAGCTCTGGACACAACACAATGCGCACATTCAACGTTTTTTTATTTAAACTAATCATAGTCACAAACCTGCGCATATAAGATTACTTAACCCTCTATCTTCCATATGAATTGAATCAGACAGCATTGGGATGTCCGTGATAAGATCCGGCGATCCTGCCAAATATATAAAAAATCCTAACGTTTTTTTACATGTTATAACATTAAACGGTACTCCCGTAGTGTGTGTACCAGGTTAGAGATAGGCCATAATTTTATTCCGATTTTCCTTTTTTTAGTTCTATTACGAGTTCAGGGAGTGTCTGTGTTAGCCAAGTGAATCCCTGCCATAGGTTTCAATCCCTTAACACAACTTGATTGTGAAATAGGCGAACAAAATTAGTTAACTCTATATTGGTATACATACGTCGGAACGCCCATTGAACAGTAAAAAGGAATCTGTCATCTCATAAGAATTGTTATAATCAGTGATTCTTCAAAACTTTCTTGGGTCGGATTCAAATTTGTATGAGCGGGTTCTCTTTTGTATCGAATTCACTAACAACAAGTTCCGTCATTTTACAAAGCCATGGCGTTATAAACAAAAACGGGTCCGCACGAACCCCTTGAATCCCGTCACTGGGTACAAGTAACCACCTGGACGTGCGAACTAACTAATTCCATACCCGACATGGACTGATAACAGGACTACGCCATAGGCTTCCCTCTTTACGGGAATAAATAGGTAAATCCTATCCCATCTTAAGATACTGATTTCTGAATCACTGTTGTCTTCCTGATATGAATATACCAATCACGAGCAATCCAAAGCAGTGATTCACAAAGCCAAAAAACTTAAATTGGAACTGACTTTGGAAGAAGTGCTAAGTAACATGGACATCATTGAACCTGTTATTGAATTTGTTTTGTCTACGGACAGAAATACCTAGGTTTAATTAGTTATTATAATTGATTTAATTGTATACTTATCTATTTGTAATTATAATATGCTAGTATAAGATTTTTTTAAATTCGAATTGATCAAAGGCGCAGAAGACCACTGAAGTTATATGCGCCATTAAACATGTAACAACAACAAGCATGGATTTATTTGATAAATATTTCTGTTTGTATTTAGTTTGTTTTTATTTTTCACATACCTTCAGTGCATATAACTCCAGCAAATGGTGTCATTGTTCTTTTTGAGTCTCCACATTTCCTAAGTTTCTTCCCATCATGATGACAATATTGTATTCCTATCTCATCACCTTTACATTCGACCCCTGTCATCATCAGAGAAGACGCGTCATCACTTCCGGGGTAATACCATACTTCCTGAATGAAAAATGGTCATTAACCAGCATCTCTTTCCAGACAATGAAGTACGCAACGTCACGTATCGAATTAAAGAAATGAGCCGTAGTTTTGAAAAAGTTTAGAAACCGAACCGAAAACACAAAACCGAATTATCAATGGTAAAATATAAAAACTGTTTAATAAAGACGAATATAAATAAATATATGAATATAATTTTTTCAATGTCATATATCATATCATAATATGTCATTCAAGAGTTGACAGCTTTACACACCAACACAAATATAGTTTATTGACGTTTCGTCTAATTGAGGTCGCACTTCTACAGACAAACATAAAGTTAGTTTCGCATAACCGCGACTATTACCCATATTGTGATACATATAAGTATTTACATCTCATGGCATAGTTTAAAACTTTATAAATTTCCATGATATTCGCGGTAATTGTATTGGATAGCAGCGGAATTACGTTAAAATGACATCGTTGATCCGGACTTTGAATATCCAGCAATTAAAGTTTTAAAGAAGTTTTTCGTGCTTCAACTAATTTCTTCGCACTTTATATAAGTATTTAATAGAATCTTCCAGTCGTGAGTCATGAGACATCCTAGTCTGGAGTCCACTCTACAGTCTGGCCGTTAGCTGATGACGAAACTGAGTCCTGCCTTGTATATGGCCTATACAACCATATAATACATATATACCACGCATATACAAACGGGTATGGACTGACAACAGGCCAACCCATATCCGAGAGAGTGTGGGGACAACAAGGGCCAAAAACATCGCTCTTAGCTGTTTATCGACGTAATGCCCTGATATGAGAGAAGCGATAAAACCTTCCAGCCGTGACGCAAAGTGCGAATCCTATAAATATCCTGGATTTCAAAATCACCTGTCAGACGTCTGAAAAATGTGACTCCCTTCAGACAGGAAATACTCCTTTATAACGACTTATTATTGTTTTAGCATGTATTTTCAGTCATACTAACTATCCCTGACCATCCCTGGCGCTGTGTTGTTTTGATAAATATGATTTCGAATGCTCCATAGTTGGCAGAGGTATGGAGATTTTTTGTATGTAAAAAAAACGTAAAATTAATGGTAATTTTAACGCGTAAATGCGCGTATGAGATTGGTTACGCCGTTCTACGCGCATTTCCGTCGAAAAAATTTAATTTTTTTGCATTGGGGGTGGTCTGTGCAGTAATAATAAGAGCTGTGACGTCATCAGTATCGGTAATTTGACCTTGAACTTGACAATACTGTAAATACAATTGTGAATTTCAGAGTGATAACCATTTATGCTATAATAGTCGTTTTGGTATTGTTATGTTAGGAAAAACTTGACGAAAACGTTGAAGAAAAAATTAATTAATTAGGAATTAATTATTAACCCTCTACTGTACACAGAAGATCTCAAAGTCCAATTTTTTTTTTAGAAATTTTTGAAATTTTTTTGCAAAAATTTTTTTCGAGGGGTGTGTTTTAAAGATATATTGCTGAATAGAACTCTAGCAGACGCTTTTAAAAACCCATGAATAAAGCTTTAGGGATTAATGGTTGACATAAAAAAATAAGTTTAAAAATACCCATAAAATGGGCAGGGCTTGCGGCTTAAAAAGGGTTAATAGAATCTTCCAGTCGTGAGTCATGAGACATCCTAGTCTGGAGTCCACTCTACAGTCTGGCCGTTAGCTGATGACGAAACTGAGTCCTGCCTTGTATATGGCCTATACAACCATATAATACATATATACCACGCATATACAAACGGGTATGGACTGACAACAGGCCAACCCATATCCGAGAGAGTGTGGGGACAACAAGGGCCAAAAAAGTATAAACTGACCTTTAGTGCATGTAGAGCGTATCCCATACCAAGTTGTCTGCAGGCGACCATCGCTTCTTTAGCCGTCCACATATCACTGCATATTGGTCCCCACTTCTTTCCTATCTGGACTTCAACTCGACCTTCCAATGGATTTCTTCCGCCAACTATTCGAATCTGGAATAAAGGTTGAAGTAAATAACAAAACATTTATAAGTAATGACAAAAGTTTGTTCAGCGTCTGAAGCTTGACACTGCGACGCAATTGCGTCGGAACAAATAAAGTGAGTGTTTTTGCACAGAAAAAGTATGCCTAAGTAGGCTACTTTCGCTGTCGTTCATCAGCAAATGAAGGTATTTTAGGCGGGCAGATTAGTGGTTTGGAAATTGGGTTCTTCAGTCTGTCGCTTGCCAGTTTTTTTGCCACCAGTAATAGCGTGATCGAGATAAAACTTACCATTAATTACCATTACCTCTGTAGTAAACATTTGCAATGCAGCGTATGTAAAGTGATATTTTTTATACAAGCCGTTTGTTGTATCAGTGGTTCTCAACCTTTTTTAGTTCGCGGACCGGTAAAATTTCAAAACTGATTTTGGAATGAACCTTCAAAATCAACCCAAAATGTGAAAAACACAAAACATAATTAGACGAATGTAGTTATGCTAAAAGTAAGCAACTCAATATAATGAGAAATTTGTTTCGATATCATACGTGTTGAACGCGGTTATAATGAAGTTTCTGCAAAGCGAAGCAGAGTTGTACAAAAATCACAAGTAATTCAAATGAATTTGTCACTGAGGTCAAGATATTCTTTTTCAAGCGATATCCAAAACTGTGACAATTTCATCCAGTCAAATGGGCCTAGGACCCTCTGATCAAGTTTGGTTTACGCATCAATAGGAGTTCCCACTCGCAAAAATAAATGGCCAGGCCATCAATGGGCATGGTCCCATGGTTTCCAATCTCTATTTGAATGGCCAAAACTGGGGGGATTCAAAACAGGTGTTGGCTTATTTACCCACCTGTGTAAACCTATTTCATTTACTGTAATAAATTCTCCCTTACCCTTCTCTGTATATTCAAGTCAGGCACATGGCATGCAATCGCAACTTCTTGTGTATGTGTACAACCATCATTGACTCCACCGTACCCAGTGTAATGTTCAGATATTTTATCATGCTTGCAGTCTTCCAAGTTTGTTTCATTCCCATTGCAATTCAGGTTTGTCATCCAGATTGGACCGTGAGCTGAAATATTAAAAAAAAACATGGAATAATACACCCGCACTTTACTAAAATAACAATTCATATTCAACTCAATAAGAGTGTGATAACTTTATACGAAACAAATAGGTTTTGGAGACTTCAGACAAGGCGATCCAGAACTTATAACGAAATCAGCAGTACTATATTGTATATTTGTATGTACGTTTGCCAAGCTACATGATCAATGCTGTATTGATGTCAATAACTGCGAGGCATGTCCTATGGTATTCTATGAAATAAAAGCCACTGATATCTAGCGATATGCAAGGAGCTACCATCGTTAGGTAGGTCGGACTTTTTCGGTTTGGCGGCATAAGATTTGAACCATTATGTGTAATCTGTGATGAAAACATAGTCTATTGCCTTATCCGTCCTTACTTAGGGTCAAAGCCTATTTTTGTTTTATGCATAAATGATTTGTTACCCATTCCAAAGTACGCATCCGGGTAAACTCGTTTCGCTGTTCCGAACCCTAGTTGTCTGCAAGCAACAGTCGCGTCACGAATATCAAAATAACTGTGACAGACAGTTCCCCATCGTCCGTTCCTCATTACTTCTAATCTCCCTTCACCAACAGTAGATCCTGATTTAAGTCTGATGAGTTCGTGGGGTTTCTGAGAAAATATGAATTAAAATTGTAAACAATTGCCTTTTTTTCGGCGCTCCGGAAGTTTTCATACCAAGATGACGCACAAGCTGAACAACCCTGACCTGGTACACATATTATGTTCAGGTTGTGCACCATCTTGGTTCGAATACTTCGGGAGCACCTTTTTTCTGTCCAGTAGATATTACTTATTCTTTCTTTTTAATCACGAAATTGGGATAATAAAACAGTCAAAACGCTCTCGAACCTTATTAGAAATACTGTACATTACAATCGGCAATATAATCATTAATCTCTGTTATTATGCAATATATATAATATAAACATTAATTTTTTTACCCTGTAATATTTATGTACCCCATAAATGTCCCAGTGCAATTGTTCGCGCTTCAATTTTATAAAATACTTGGCGGGAAGTGTTTACGTTTAAGGAAATATACAAATGTACCGGCTGAAGAAACATTCGACTCAATCTGCACGAATTTCAAGAGATAATTTCTGACAGAACTTTTCCAATTTCATACCTCATGATTGCCAACTGATATATTCATGCTGGGGATAATAGGGCACCGCTTGTGTTCTATGTGTCCTCTTCATTAAGTTATGTTGGCCAGTTATCACGAACAAATATAAATCAATTCGGAATCTTTGGCTCTACATCTGATTTTATCAGAAGAAGTTAGACTATGGTATAACAAAATTACAAATATACATACGATTTCGCGAAAAAAGATATTCTCATTTATCAATAATTTTATAGTTTCAAACGTATTAATACATAAAGTGCGATTTATATTTTTTTTCCCTATAATATACCCATATTATAAATGTTACCGTATAACGCTGTGGTACATGGTGCCTCCCTCCCTTCTGATTCCTGATTGATTTTTTGATTGCGGACAACGTGTAAGAATCTCCCGGTGTGCACCTAATCAACGCAGCTTCTCCAGTTGCACAACTCTCACTTGCAGTGTAGTTTAGTAAACCATAGTCACATTCAACCAATTTAGTTTCTTCGCCGGTGCAAGTTAAATTTGTCAACCAATGATTACGATGCTTTTGCTTTTTTCCGCTGTTATAAAGAAAAGAAACAGTTTTAAATGTTTGAATTTTGAGACGGAAAATGCAGAAGCGAGTGTTAGCTTGCAATGACGTGCGTTAGTGGTGATTTAAAATGAGTTATGACGAGATAAACAAGTTTGGGTAAACTTAATAAATCCATCCATGCTGAGGACACGGTAGACTTGGTGGAGAACTTTGCTCTTGTCAACAAAATCTCTACGTTAAAAGTGTTTTTCATGTGCACGGTTTGTGAGTAGTTTATTTTCCTGGCAGTGTAACTTGAACTGAAGCCTCGTGGCAAACGTTTTTGCTGACATCTTGATACCAGATAAGAATTTATTTTAACCCCTCAGCACTTCAGTAATCTTCTATTTGTACTCATTAAAATTTTAGTGAGTGCTTTGTGAAAAAATGGATAAACAAAAATTGGAGTATGCGAGTATTTCTGGAATTCAGTATTAGATACGAGTACGACCGTGCCCTAAGGGTACAATAGGTTTTTGTCAGCTGTCACACGATATTTTTGTTTGGTAAGGAAATATGATAAGGGTATTAGAAGAGATTATTGGATAGAAGCAACATTTTCTTCCCAATAAGCCAGTTAATTTTCAGTTTAGTGAGGGCGTGCAAGCTCGTGCAGTTATAAAGCACTTCAAGCGCGTTGCAACTCTACATTAAAGTACACACGTAAGATAACTGTACATATGCCCGATATCCGATGCATCTGGAAATCCAAGTTGTCCGCAAATAACTCGAGCATTCTCTTTTTTCCATCCATCTGTACAAATGTGTCTCCATTTTTCGTCGTGGAATATTTCTACGTAACCAAATATTTGAGGGAGCCGTTTTTTCATACCACGAGGTGGCTTCAAGCGCATACGATCGAAGCTGGCAGAGGCTGCAAACTGTGAAACGACAGAACGATATATCAGACCTATGTAGTAGTATACAACAGTGGTTTTGAAATGCGCCACTCTAGGGTTTCGCCAATACAGTTCAGGGTTTCCGCAAGGTTCTATTCAAATCCGATAGTATATAATCTATATTGATATATGTTTGTCACCATTATAAAACTTGCTACACTTCAATGATCAGTATTAAGTTTGTTTTTATAAATATATTCATAGTTTATACAATCAAACAATAAAACGCAATTCAATTATAGCACAGGGTTCTTCGACCCTAAAGAATTTTATTGGGGTTCCGCTTTACCACAAAGCGTGAAAACCAATGGTAAACAGAGTCTATGTAGATATTTAAAGGATTTCCTAAAATGAATGTATGTATACATTATCCCGATCTGAGTAAACAGGGTCGTTTTTCGAAGGTGTCACATGTTTTCGTTTGTCCGTTTTCATTTGCGATATGATAGGACTTTCATATTTACCCCTGGGAATGAAGCAGAAGGCTTATTCATATGGTGTACCACTGCCTCTCGTTCGCTTAGCAGTCCAAATTGTGTATGCGAATGTTTAGCCAGTAATTTGTTTTAGGTGCACGAATTTGATCCTAAAGGAAGTCGTGAACGATCAGCAGTTACACGTGAACCACCCTACGACAGCATGGAGTCCAGCAATCTTCTCGCATATAATAATCCCCAAGTTTAAAAGACCAGAAAATTAAATTTAATTATTTTATACGTTATAATTTGTTTATCAATTGCCTTGAGTATTTCACCATGTTAATACCCATGCTGTTTTTGATGGTAAAAAACCTATCAATTATGATCAATGCTTTAATATAGCCTTAACAATCATCATATTTTTGTAAAATAAAGGTTCTAAAAAGCAAAACATATCGAATAAATATAAAGATTTTTACTGAATAATATCTTACCCATTGCTTTGTCAAGTAATCCGGTAACTTTTTCGGCGAACACTTCACTCCGGCATCTTCGTGGTGCGAACAATCACTGACTCCCAGGCCTCTGTGCTCACATTCATGCAACGATTTCTCCTCGCCATCGCAGTGGACATTGTCTAGTTGTATCAGACCTAAAATTATGAAACATAACAATTTTGCGTTTATTGTTTATGAGATAAGGGGATATGAGACAAGGGGGGAGATTATTGGTAAATTATTACGCCGAAATACAATAATTTTTTCTTGAGCATGACCTGAAATAAACAATATTCGTGAGATATAAATGCTCAAACAAATCAGAAAGCTAGTAAGAATGAACGATTGATTTAAATTGAAAGTTAGAGGTTGCCAGACTAATTGATATAAAAATTGAAACATATCAGATGTGACTCATGGAAAGACAAATTGTTGGCCGACAGTACTAATAAATCGAAATACAACTCATAGTTCGTACTTAAGTCAGAGCGCGATCTTAGAATTAAGGAATTTCTACATAAAAGTAATTTCACTTTACCCTGTGGGCAATACTGTAAAATACCGATACGTTTCACAATACATTAAACGTCGTCAGAATTTATTTACAATAAACACCAATATGATTCCCAAAATATATTCGCGAGAATGAGAAAAGAACTCTCAGCCGCGTAATTTATTAGAGTGTTGTCAAATCAAACATACAAGATATTTAACCTTTCAGGTCCCAGCAATATATTGGTACAGAAATAAATTCAGTTGCGTTGTCCCGTATTTTTTAACTGTCACCCGCCTCAAAATATGAAATTTGCCGTTGTTAAAATACTTTTCTTGCAATATAACTGAAATCTTTTTTTGGCTTTTTTTAATTACATTATCGATGGTTACATATACCCCTTTCCTTTATTAGTTACAAAGTCTCTATCAGTTTTGCGCCTAGCATGGCGGCCCCTTACAACTGCACTGCGGGCCCCCTTGGTGAGCCACGAGACCCGGTTTGGGACCGCTTCCCTAGAATGTTCGATTTAATAAGAAAACAATGAGTTTTTATTACGTTGCTTGGAGATTTTATCTTTTAAAGCCATTTGTATGGCGTAATCATGTTAGGCGTAGTCTAGGACATAGGTTCTCAAAGTGCTCCGTACGGAGCCCCAGGGCTCCGTGAGAGTAATCTATGGGCTCCGCGGGCTATTCAATTACTTGGCTAATTTTGTAACTGTCCAAAGACGCAATAACGGCATTAATAAAATGTGACAACATTGGCGTCGAAATATCGCAAGGCCGTAATTCAAATATGACATTATCTACAAGCAGAAGCGAGCCAGGATTTTAAAAGAGAGGGAGGTGGGTGTTCAAAATTGGAATCGGAAATTCTCACGCAACATTCTTCACAATTAGGCCACTCGTTAAAAAAAAGTCTTTTTCAGCAGATAACAGATTTTCTGTTGCGTAAAATATTCAATCTATGGCCGACGCGAGCACGCTTAATTGTGTTCATCGCTACTCGTCTTTGCGTCTATATTACTATTACGATTACTAAAATGAAAGATTACTATTCTAAAATAACATAAAAAACGTTCTGAACTGTCAAGTACCAATTATAAATAGATGGAAATCGTATTTTTATGATCTTGGGATTCGTCAAATTGGATTTGATCTTTCAGCACTGAAGATTATTTTTAAGCAAGATAAAATCTCAAGGTCGGCGTTAAAATCTCCATGAGTACAATTCACAATTGCGCAATCCCTGACCGATAGGGGCATATTTAAAATGCCATGTGTTTCACACTGAACTCATAATTCCACACGAGTATAAAAAGCAATTATCGTCTTCCTCGTGGAACAATTTATGCATATGCCGAGGAAAATTTGGGATTTAAGGAGAATAAACACCGACGTGCAAATGTTTACGCACTTTACGGACTAAAAAACATATCAAACTGACGAAAATAATCGGCGATTTTATCAAGATGCAATCGCTCACGTTATTAGCGATTTTTCAGTTTTCAAAAATATCAGAAGGGAGGTTCGACCCCGAATTTATTAATATGTTTATTGAGTGTCAAATTTACAGCCTTAATATATATAATTTATCTGTGAAATTTAGATTGATTCATGGCTTGTATTAACCCTATCAAAAAGGTTTAGCATTGAAATTGAGTAAAGTAATTTTAACTAACTAAGAAATATTAATTGGTAAGTAACAATTTCAAAATTTATTGTGGGGCTTCGTGAATAATAGTCATCCTCTTCAGGGGCTCCGTAACACCAAAAGTTTGAGAACCCCTGGTCTAGGACATAGTACAATCTAAGGGTATGTGCTTTCGATTTTAGGGAATGGAGCAGGGGTGATCAAGGTTTACAAACGACGGGCCATGTGAGTGTGACGTAAAAAGTTACAATTTCTGAACAATATTTACAGTGTTACAAAGCAAATATGGAAAACAATATGCCTCGTGCGAAAACTAAATTCTGGAATAGAGGAGAAATATCAACTGAAGTTCACGGCCCAAGATCGCGCTTCGTAGTGGTCTGTCTTATGGAAACCTTTTTTTTCGAATTTTAAGACAGTAGATATATATTCTTGACTGACAAACAATTTCGAATTCAGATGGAAATTACTCGCCTTCTCCTGGTCCATATTTTCCACTGTGTGCAAAATCTAACGCTCCCTCGAACCCCATCATTCTGCAAGCAACTTGTGCTGCGTTCAAATCCCAGTCATCATCACATATTGTGCCCCATTCTCCATCGTGTAAAACTTCTACACGGCCTTCAGAAATTGTGGGTCCATCCCGAATACGAATCTAAAAAAATTTGGAAGTAGGATAAGATTTTCACATTATTCGCGATGGGGAGGAAAGCCGATAATGCGGCTTAGTCAAATGGTGTACCCGTCTCTCGTCCGGTTAGCATTCCATGACGGGTGTGAGATTATTTGTTTTCAGATGTATGAACTTGATGGCGCAGGAAGCCGTAATCGACAGGCAGGTACATGAATCACCACCCTGCGATGGCGAGGAGTCCAGCAATCGTGCCGCACATAATTATCCACCACGGGATTCGAACCCGCGCATGGTAATCAGAGGTCAAATGTATTCCTAACGCTTGGCACGTTGCGCCATGCCGCCAAGAGAATGCGTTATTGTATTGCAAGATCTTTGGTTTACCTCACTCTCATTTTCCGGACATTTGGAGCTACCAAATACCAGCCATAAAAGCATACAGTGGCAAAATTCATTACACACAACTCTATGTCAAATTAAAATCATCATTATTATCGCTGGGGAAAACAAAGCAATAGTGGGATTATTTAAACCTATTTTATTTGCTTGAAAATATTCATGCCACTGAAATTTGTTTATTTATTTACATATATATGATTGCCCAGTACATATTGTTATCTCATACCACTCCTATTTTTACCCAACAAAAATTTGCAGTCATAGTACAAGTACTATGATTCAGTACTTCACCTTTATTTTTTCTTCTGCCTTTGTCTGTAATTCTGATAGGTCTTGTGACATCACAAAGAAAAAGGATGATGAGAACAGGAGCAGTCTACCGACCAACATTTTGGCATTAATTTTCCTTTATTTAGGAAACTATAACGAAAAAACGAATGAATTCTAATGAGAAAGGGGTTTGGTGACATTATACGACTTTAGCTCCATTGCGAGTTCGGGGACTATAGCCAAGTGACTCCCGTAGTATTTGTACCTGAAATTATGGCCTAACCCTAACCTGGTACACATACTACGTTCCCGTGTACGCCCTCTTGGTTCACATACTACCTGTATGAGCGTTTAAGCAACGTAACTCAATGCGTCCGCAATTAATATATTCAAACGAGGCCTTTACAATTCAAATAATTATTGCTAGATCAAATACAGTTTTTAAAGTAAAACTCGTATTAAAAACTCCTATTCCACTACCTCATCGAAAGTGTTGGTTAAATAATTGAAAACTATTTGATATACCCAATAAAGGAAGTTAAGCTTACTCAGCAAAAGCCTATATTACGTTTGAAGTTGTACATATCCTCCACCAATGCAAAGTCTCCTGGACTATACGAGTACTGGGTCATTTCCACACAACCCATGGAATGATCTAGTAATTATTATTGTTTCACGTCTGGAAGTTCAAGTACCATTCCGAATACGCGACGAAAACAAGACATTGCCGTCTAATTGCGAAGTGTAGTTCCTAATGAATCCTACAATTATGCATTTACAGGTTTTATTTCTAGGAGAATACCAGACTTTAACAGTACCAAAACTGAGAACTCTGAAAACTATGGCGCCGGCCATCGACTATTTTGCTTATTTTATATATCCCTATTATTTCCTTTTACGTTATTCCTGCACTTTATTTCATGAAATCTTTTTTCCATATTTGCATACTGTCTGTCTGTGTGTATTTAATGTTTCTTTTTCATTCTCCTGTTGCGACATAACGCGGAAACTTAAACGGTTAATACTGTGGCCGCGTTCTAGTCGTAATCCGACATCCATCATATTCGTCTAAGGCGTTAAGCAATTGTGGGATTTGGAATATAACAGGTTTTCTTTTATATATAACATACTAACAACAAATTGCCTCACTTCAGTAAACCATGCCGAACACAAAACTCTTATCATCACGACATTTCAAAAGCGGTTTCGCGCGAACCACCCGAATCTCACTACTTATTCTGAGTATGTTTCTGTCAACGATTGGCTTTTTGTACCGCCATCGGTTTTACATATGCTCTCAATGCAATCAAGTTCATTGTGTGAACGATTTTTTCCTTTCAAGTAAAATGCGGAATTAAAATTTTACAACCTGAAGTACATTAGTTTATTGAACACGATAGCATTCCTACACCTGTTAATGACCTTTTGTTTGAACGATCTATCAAAGATTTTTGCTGCAGGCACTTCACGTTACGGCGTTAATTACTTCTGCAAACATAACGAATGCGTACCGTCACGTAGCCATAGTTTCTGCGTGTACGTAAAAACCTGATGGCCGTTGTCTTCTGGCCAGTGACAATACAACTTCACACGCGAAGAATTATTTCAATCCTCCATACTATGATATCAAATAGCCAAATTGTCAAGCATACCTTGTAACACAACATGGGTTAATCTGAACTGCAGTAAAGGAAATCTGGTTGACGATTGACCTGAATATATGATGTCAGATGTCAAAAAGTATCCGAGAACTTCTGACATCGACGACAATGGTCGCGTAATTCCTCTCTGTCTGTACTAATGTTTTCTAATTAATTAACGCTGAAAATAATCCTGTGTCATCACCGAATACGACATGAGTTAAATCATGCACAGTCAGTTTATATTTATATTTAATTTCTTCAGATAGTGAAACATCCTCACATTCATTCGTTGAACTATTAATTTTTTAAAGTAGGGATATTTTGGAATAGCATAATTTTGCCGGCGGGTTTATGATCATCTGCTAAGTATGACCAAAACTGTTTCCATATTCAGCCATTGAGCCAAGTAAATAATACTGAAAAGATCCTTAATTAAACTTAGCTAAGGATTTCATTAAAAACACAATAGTACGCAACATAACCGTGAATCGTAATTATTATATTGTTAGCCAAACTTGAACTAAACGATAACTCACTAATATCTATGCTTAGACACTGTTTACACCGCGTTTCCGAAGACTGTTGTGAAACCATAAATTCCTCGCTATCAGCTGATCTAGTCGGTTTCCTAAAGCACTCGAATCCGCCGACACTTTCTCCAAAACGTCACGTTTCAAGGTTAAGTTGGTTAAAGAAGGAGCATATTAAAATTAGGTTTAAAAATTTATGTGATTTCACCTTACCTTTTTGTGGTAAAATCCATGTTTAACTTTTGACTCAACAGACAAACAGACAATCGTCACTAATGGTTTATACAAAAACACATATATAATCAAATATTGCACTTTTCAAGGCGAAGGTATGAATTGTTTATCGACATTACCTGCGATTTAATTCGAAGTGAAACAACGCAAAAAGAAAATTATGTATAGGTATATTTTGAGTTTTTAAAAAATATTAAAAAAAAATGAATCAAATAGCGAGTTAACGCAAGTACTTTTGAAACGCTATCTATTACACATATATACTGATTATTACGTTTTTTTTTTTTGTAGTTTTCCCAGTCTTATTTAGTTACATGTATTTATATTGCTAGAGGCCTACATACCATATCTCTATTTTTGGTTTGAAATACTTTGTTTATTGGCGAAACGAGTGGTATATAAATTTTTATTCGACAGCTGCCTATGATTCATTGCGACCTTAAACCTAGTCTAGACGTTTATCTAAGCTTTATCACAAACCATAGTCAAATGATGGTATCAAATTCCAGCAGCGACTCTACATGATGCATAACAGGTACATAATTTGAATTTGTCCCATTTTATACCCTGGTGCCGTGTGAAATATATAATAAGGATTGCACTGAGCATCAATTAAAATTCAAGTAGGTCTATGAAAATTCAAGTAGGTCTAATGAAGTTCAATCTCACGGCATTGGATTGGAAATGAACTGAATAAAATGAGAAATGCTGAACAAAATGAACTGAAAATTGAACAGTAATCAATTGTTGGATCCGTCGTCACGCATCGCATTTTACGGTTCCCGTACATTTGTTTTCGGTGCATACTATTACACCTATAGAATTTTTTTTTGTTTTACGGATATTTGAACTCATACTAACCTTAACCCATGGGTTTTAGCACCCACATATAGATTGAACCCGCGGATATACACATGGGTTCAAATGTACGTGGGTTAAATGTACGGTCACCCATTTTACGCAATCGCGGATGGTGACGCTGTTCGATAACCAGCTTTGATTCATCATCCCTTCCCTTCCCCCAGTTGAAATGTGTGATTATCTTTTCTTTTTGTATTTTGTGTAAAACTTGCCCTTTTTACTGATAGGAAAAATAAACTTGACCTGAAGCCTCATCATTTATGTGCATGCATTCCTCTACTGTCAAAATTATCACAATTTGCAAATTGGACAAGAGGTCGTGGTCTTTTTTATATGATAAAGCTTTAATTACCTCCTTTGTCCAGCATAAACAAGAATTATTATTCTATCTATTAAGGCGCTCTACTTCCAAAACGAAGCTAGAATTATTCTAATCGACTCTGCAAGACGCTTGATATTCTTCTTGTACATCGCGTCTTAAATATGGTGCTTACTATTCCTTCACAGATTTCCTAATTCAGTTTGAAGCAAACAACTGGGGCAAATTTCACAATCTTACTACCTACTTACATAATCTTTGCAATTAACATATTTTCGGATTAGAAATACCTCTTCAGACAAAAGTGGAAACGAACGAAAAAATAGACGGCCTCGAATGCCACTGAGCCATCTTACAATTACGTCATTTCATGCTTGAATAGACTTCATCACATTAGTTGCCAGACAAGGACATTTCTGCTTTGCTCAGCGTTCTAGGTAAAGCAACTGCGTAAAAATGGTTACAAAATCGCTTCCCGCTCTTGGATTAGAACGAGAATATGGAGAGAAGATAGACAAATGTATAACCGACACATTATTAAAAGCAGGTGCGGGATTTCTTATTGGAGGAGTATTTTCTTTTGCCTTATTCAAAAGACGAGCGTGGCCCGTGACATTAGGAACTGGAATTGGACTCGGGATTGCTTATAGAAACTGCGAAGACAATTTACGAAGTCATTATATTAAAAAAGACGAAGTAGAAAAAGCAACTTCTCTGGTGGAAAAGGCTCCGACTGTAGAAAAAATTCCAACTGAAAAATTAGATGATGAAACCAATGAACTTATGAAAGCAGGACTTGAAGAAGTGAAAAAATTTTCAGAAACATTAATAGGGGACAGTTCTAATGAAGAACCCATACAAGCTTTTGAAAATGAAACCCAAAAATCTGAATAACTTATTTCAAACTATGTTTAATTAGTCAAAACTATATAAATGAGCATTTGTTAAAGCCTGTAAACGCAATTACTGAATTATGTGGTAATAGCAGTAATCAAAAATCTGTATCACAGTTCAATCCTGACAAACCATTGTAACCCTAAGCAGTTCGCTATGCACACGCCTTTCACCATGAACAGTATCCGCCCATCAGGCTTATGCGACAAGATTGACAACTGATAGCTTTTGATCATATGAGCTTGGTATCTAAGTTTGCTGCGAACCCTAATGCCTGGAACTGGTACAAACTGTTGAAACAGACCCAGCTGCATGTAATAAGTAATTTTTCACAATAATATTTTTATAGGGGGTAGTAAAATGAAAAGGGCGTTATGAAATGAGTCCCCACTAAAAAAGCAGTTCCTTGTAAAATTGCTTTGCAATATGCCATATGGGGTATGCCCAGTGGTGGGATTCGAATTTTTTGTCAGCTGGTTCCATCACACAAATGTCATTTTTTTCAGCCAGTTCTGTTACAAAGAGTCATGTTTCTTTCAGTAATGCCAGCCGGTTCGCTGATCTCATAAAATTCCGTGAGACCGTTCTATAGAACCGGTGCGAAGCGGCTGAATCCCATTACTGGGTATAGCCATCTTAAATGTACCTGTATAAACTATGTGCAGATTTTGTGTGTTAATCTCCGAATCTTCTGTGCTTATCAGTAAAGCATTAACAGCCATCTTAATGGTGTAATTCAGAGTTTTCCATATATATATGGTATCACAGGACAACATGCATGCATAGTGAAGTTTTTATTATCCAATCGAGGCCAAGTTTTGCTGCATAGTTGTTCATTACTAGCTATTACACCAAACTTGACTGGTGCTTTATGGTTGTGTGCTATTTACCAATTTCCAGTGATTTTTATTCATCATTAACAATATCATATGTTTCCTTCACTTAGTGCAATAATTACAATTTACGGTTGGTCGAAATGGCAGACCAGAAAGCAGTTTTTATCAATGCCACTGACTGTGAAAAAACAGAACAGTTAAATGATATGCTGAAAGGATTATTGAATTCCAGTGACAATCTTGTTCCACATTTTAAAAATGAGGATATAGAGTCGCATTTATGGAATGCTGAAACAAAATATTATAATGCGGACATACACTTGACAATTTTAAAGAAAAAGTCTATCATGAATGAGAAATTTTCACATGAAACAGAAGCCGTAGTATTGTATTTTGATAGCGGAAAAAATAAAAACGGACTTGATAGACTCGACACTTGGATGTCATTTCTGAACATGTGGGAACCAGCAATAAAACTTGCCGTTTGTGAAAACTGTGATAGAGACGGCATAAACACAATAAGTCGAGTGACTATTCAGGAATGGTGTCTTGACCATGAATTTGAACTTGTTGAACTAAACCCAGACATGGAAGATTATGATGAATATGAAGATGTTGGAATTAAAAGGATACGTAGTGCTCTTTTAGCACATATTTGGCCAAATATGGACATGAAAAACCCTAATAATGCAGTCAAAAAAGTCGAGTCTTCAACATGTGCAGCAGAAATTGCAAGAGCCGCTTCTGGTGTGTCTGAAGACGCACAGACTAAGATTGATGAACTTTTAGGAAAGCAAGGTGAATTCGATGACATTTTGGGAGGTGAAAATGAAGAGGATGATTTTGAAAAACTTTTCTGTCGGTTGAAAGTAATGAAAGATCAAGCTAGTTCATTGCCTGAAGAAGAAAGGAAGAATTATGCAGAAAATATGGTGAAGGCATTCTGGAATGCGTTGGGTGGGGATGATGATGAATTTGACGGGCTTTCATCAGGCGATGAAGCTTCTGCGTCTGCTGAAAAGGGCGATGGAACTTGAGAAATACAAATTCATGATTCAGACCATGACTTGCTTGCCTTACTAACGGCCGGTGGCCAATTATCTGAGCTGTATGCAATAACAAGGAATTGGTACTCACGAAGTATGTGTACCAGGTTAGGGTTAAGCCATGATTTCAGATACAAATACTACGAAAGTCACTCGGCTAGTCCCCAAACTCCTAATAGGACTAAAATAGGAATGAAATTATGGACTAACCCTGGCCTGGTACACGCACATACTACGTTCCGGTGTCCGCCATCTTGAGTACCGGAAACTATCTATCCATGTCAGGATAGATCCCGATGTTAATTATACCAAAATCAGATGCTGCATACATATGGCTAATAATAATAACAGGAATCCAATGATTTGTGTCTGCTCTATTGCGAAACTTATAACCATGGTTGTCAAATAAATCAATATTGGCCCTTATTGGTAGATCTCCATCTCTTGCATTTTTTAATGAAATCATAATATAAATAAATATATCAAATAGCAAGCGGACTGCAAAATAGTGGTTCTTTGAGTAACTCAATTTTCTAGTCCCATGTGAGGAAAGGTCCCATCTATGATTGTTCATATAGGTGGCATCTCCCCAATTGCGAATGTTTTGTCACCAGTTTGAAAGAATACTGGTTCTTATGTCAAACATGTTCAAGTCTCTTCTTTCCCTTGCTCTTCTAATCTCTTCCGAACATATCTGAAACAAGTAAAAATATTTCATAAGATCATGAAGTCCAGGAATGCCATTAAATTATACGAATTCATAGGGTATACATGAAATTTATCAGTGCCATTGTAAGAGAGAAATAATTGGAAACCAACATGGACAGAATGATTTTAAGCAATGACACATGTTTTCCTTAGGCAAATAAAATAAAGGAGGCTACTGAAAAATCGTTTTTTCTTATTGTAGCAATCAATAGTCATGCAGATATTCGAATGCCATTATATTCCTAACCTGGGAGCTGTGCCCTAATGATAGCTTTTCTACAGTTCTCAATCTTAGAATGGTTCACCGACAAAATCATTACACTTTCACCTACTAATTTGGGGTCGGGTGATGTACAGAAAAGAGGTCTGGGATTTGCCGATAAGCCTCGGTTAACATTGATTGGGACCAAAAACACCGGTCCATTCTACAGTCTATGGTTAATAAACAACATATGTATCGAAGTCTGTTCTTATTCTTTCCGCAATCAAAATAAAGAACTACAATTTCTGTTTCGTGTGAAAATTTCTCATTCATTATAGACTTTTTCTTTTAAAATGTTGTATATACATCTGCATTACTTAGCTTCAATTGAACACCCATACCAATCTATACTCACCGTTCCCATTTCCGATGTTCCAATGTTGTGAAATCATCAAGTGAAGATATTAATGTTAAATATGTACTCAACTTCTTTAATTCATCATCAGTGCTTCGATATAAATGTGCAAGTTTGAACGGGCGGATCTATAAAGCAAGCATCGCTGAAAACATGTTTTTGAAACGGCTCATGTATGAATAAAAATCTAGAAAGCACAGTAAACATGTAACTGGTATGTGACTGATATCACTATTCTTCCATGAAATTTTTATTTAAGCGATTTCACACAAAAATTCGAGACATCCAAAATCTATTAAAAATTTTTAAACGTTTGACTTCTGATATTTAACATGAATATATAGAAATCCAGTGCACCAAATTAAGATATAGTTTTCAGGCGTCTGTATGGGTACTCCCATTGTGTGTGTACCAGGTTAGAGCATAATTTTATTCAGATTTCTCTCATTTTAGTTCTATTACGAGTTTGGATACCGCCTAGTGAATATACCACCTGCCCATAGGTTTCAGTCCCTTTACACAATTTGATGTAAAGTAGGCAAACAAAACTAGTTCAACCTCCATATTGGTTCACACACTTTCGGAACGCTTCTGCATGGGTGCATCGCACTATATTACAATGCATTCTTCCTAGGGCTGAGAGAATAAAAATAATTACTTGTTACACTCACTTTCAAACCAGTCTGCGGATTCATTAAAAAATTTCTTCTCAAATCATCAAACATTATTGTGTTCTTTGCTGAATAAAAATCATACTTTCCCCAGATTACTCCGAGTGGTTTTGTCTGAAAATAAAAAGCAGATTTAGATGGCACTTGTACATTTGACAAGCATAAGAGATACAGTATAAAGCAGGGATGAGTAAGATTTAAAAATTTTGCCCACCTAGACTGGCAGGCAGGTAAGTGTGATGTAAAAAGTGACATTTTATGAACAATATTTACAGCAAAAAGTAAGCTTGGTGCCAAAACTAAATTAATTGCAATCTCAACAAATTCCTTTAGCTATTTTTTAGATTAAACATCAAAATGCGGTTATAGTTTGGTTATGGCCGCATCAGGCAGGCTAGTACCCAACGGGCTGGATTTGGCCCGCTCAGGTCTGACGGCTCACTGTACTGGTGTACTAAATTCAAGTCCTATTGGCATAATAAAGTGATTGCTGGCTGGTAATACACGTAAAATATCCACATCTATTCATTTAAAACAAACATTCTGTTATCATTCCCTTACAGGTGAGCGATTAAAGTTCATTTTCAGATGATCGGGAAAATCTTGTCGCCTTATTCTTCCAATTAAATATTGAACACCGAATCACAAAGCATTATCGAAAATACTCTTTTAAAAAATGCTTTCATTAGAAGAAAATTCATTTTGGCAATTTATAATAGTACCAACACTTGAACACCGCTACTTGGCAACTTACATTAACAACTCCATATTCTGGTGTGTGAACTGTAATCATAGCTGCATGATCCATAAAGAAAGCAATTTTATAATTGGGATTATTTGTTACTCCAAGTTCTTGCATTTTGACCTCAATCCACTTCATACTGGTTGCCGCTAAAATAATAAAACCATTATTACTACTTTAGCAATAATTTCAGGAATCTCGTTTATTGCTAATTACTTGATGTTGGACACATAAGTCGATAAAAGGAAATTTTCGGTAGATTCAACAAATTACAGATTTAACTAAACCAATACTTGTCAAAAAAATACCTATTCATCTTAAACAAGCTTGATTACGAACTTGGGATGAAGTTACAATGTGCTTTGATGTCATTATATTGAAAGAACAGCCTGAGAACGTTCATTCATCACAGACTATAAGGTCTGGAATCGGGGTTGTCATGTTCTCATTGAGGCCAGAGTTATATTTTGAACATTTAACAGTCAGATTTTCAGAAAATTAAAGATTTATATTGTACAGAACTTCAAGTAAGCGTTCTTAGTAACAGCTCAGTAAATTTCTATTTTTTGCAACTCCGAGTCGGGTTTATTGAATTACTTCCGAAAAAAATAACTTGCTAACTAATCCCATACCCGACATAAACTGATAACCGGACCAGAAGCCGAGGCTTGCCATAATATTGTTAAGTCGTCTTTTCGCCTTTCTTTCCCAGGGGATAAATATGTGAATTTTATCCTTCTTTTTCATCAACTCTATAAAACATCATGTTTTAAAAATACTCACACCATATAACAATATCATAATTAACATAGGCGACTGATAAAAATTCATGGAGATAAGGTCGCATTAATTCTTCTGCTCTCTCTGCATTAGATCGATGATCAAACAATGTGTAATCAACATCCAGAACAAGAAGTTTTTTTCCTGGTCGTGGGTCATTGAGTTTTTTTAACTCATATTCTCGAACTCTTCGTTCAATTTTAGCGAGATGTTCAGATCTAGAAAGAAATTGCACAGAATGGTAAGATTTCCAAGAGGATAACGAACACAATCGAACAAATTCAACTCGAGTTCAACAAAATAGGTCGGCCTATAACTATATAAATCAATTTAGTGATCAGTGAAAATACTAAAAATTTGCTGTTAAATAAAAACTTTGACAACTGCAAGTTTTCTTCAATAAACGGTTTGGAATGCTCAGTCAACTTTACTTTCTCAGAGTTGCTCTGAAAAATATATTTCAACTATCTCAAGACTCCCGAAGTTGGGAATTCAAAATTTTGACTTTAATAACTCCCGATTCCCAAGAATATGAAATACATATCCAGCTCTGAAACATACCAAACGTCCACAGCCCTGAAACAATAAACAAAATTCACCTATTATGTAACTTAATCTCAACTTCATCATCAATATCAAAGTCATCAATGATTTCTCCGACATCAGGAGGAACAAGAACATCTTCAAGATTCTCTTCTCTTGTTCCCATCATCATTATTGTCATTTTCTGCTTCAATTTTAGTTCCTCTAACTTCATTTCATCACCTGCTGGCTTCCCTGGAGGTGGAAAAAAATATACATTGATTAAATTTTAAGAGAAATTGAAATCCTCAGTCTAAAACAAATTTTTAAGTGAAACCAAAATAACGTTTGCCAGCGCTGATTTGATTATTTCGAAGTAGTTGTGATGCCAGAGTTTCCAACTCCCAAGTGGCTGGATTTTCCGCCTTAACAATATATTCATTTTCATATAGACTATCCTTCCTAATCGTGGTTAATCCTGTAACCTCAGAACCTGTCATTGGGTCAAACTCTTTTAGATTGACCTGCTGACACAGAAATTAATAAATATGTCCCGAACAAAACTGGGATATCACAAGTTCAACAGTTAATTTTGACCAAAACAAAACTCAATTTGGTACTTTATTGAAATTCCCATTTTATAGTCATCCACTTTTCTATTTTCAAACGACACCAATCCTATAACTAAACCTTATGTCAGTATGTAGATGTGAACATCTCTGCATTTCATCGCACTCACCTTTGTGCTTCAAGTTTAATAATTTCTGTCGTTGTGGTAAAACTCCAGTCTTCTCTTTTACCATCTCCTTCAAGTCTGATACTTTCATACCAGGATCAACCTCTAAATCGTATAGAGAACCGCTCCATTTCAATTTTACAGACAGCGCCATTTTAAATTTGAATGCATAAATCCGAAAGATGAGCCTTCGAGCTGAAAGTGTTAATGTTCAGAATTCATCTGCGATAAATATTGAAAGATGCCACGCGCAAAATTACATCTCCAAGTTTATTTACTATAATAACGACAGGCAGGGACACACAAACGGTGTAAAAAAAATTATTCTTGACGTTTAATAAATTCAATTTGAAGTGATGTTAAGTTTGAAAAGGCACTGTTACACAATGCCCAGTATCTTGCATCACATATTGTTATACAGTTTTACATGTTCAATCAAATTATATAATGAAAAATGGAATAGGAAGATTCTTTGTTTTATCGTAAATATTTGGGATTCGTAACAACAAATTGTCATATTTTTCATTACTATGCAGAAATAGATTACCGAGAAATAAAAAGAAGCGTAAAGTTAAATAAATTAAAATGTGAGAACATAGCGTTTTTGCAAAATTGTTATTAGAGATGTGGCGAAAAGTTGAGAATGATGAAGTCTTTTTATTAACTTATGAGAAATTAGACACGGATAATATATTCAATTTTCAAATATACAAAGATGTAAATATAATTTGTAAATTAATTGAAGCATAATAATAAAAAACTTGGCAAAAAGGGTCAGTGGAATGTGTCTTAGATAAAGTTTCATCATTTTATTTTATGTTTGTTCTGGCCCAAGGCTTTATTTGAGTCGGTCCGATAGTTTCACCATTTGTGAATTACCAGAAGAAAACCGATTTTTATATTTCAGCTCATTACTTTTTTTTTTACCTCTCTGTTGGTTTTGCTCAAACACTTAACAGTTGGTATGTCTCGGCAGACGCCTATTACATATTGAACCGTTAAAGTTATCTTTCAACAATGAGATTAAACAACATGATAAGCAACTCTGACGTCACTCCATAAGACTACATACGAAAGATTGTATTTCATGATACGCTCCAATGCACATATTTCTCGTCGTCTTTCGCGACCGTTTTCCACTCGCTTTTGCTACTCGGCGTCTTCTTTACGTGTGGTACCTGCCGTTTTGCGCCTGTAACGAAAGAAAAAAATCTCTATATCCAAGAAGTTTTGCTCACTTGGAAAGCTGAAATGGCAGACAAGCTGTAAAGAGTAATTCTGGACATCATAGACGTTTTTTATTTTATCAGAAAAGATTGCAAACGCGATAGCGTAAAGATTTATGTGGGACATTTTGCAGATAATGACAAAGTTCAAAGTTAGTAATTTTAATGTTTGGCTTAAACAGTGAAATTTCATTTAAAGAGGGTGTCATACAAAACAGCAAAACTGTTTTTACTTCTCTTAACGGTGCTGTGATACAATTCCATAACACAAAGTTTGCACCTATCGAACTTGCTTTAGTAGGTGAATTTATTAGACATATTTAGTTAATCGTAGGTAACATTGCTGGTACATAATGCCTCGTAGATAGGTTTGTGTCTAAGTTTAGGAATTTAGCTCATAGCCCACTAATTAATATTATCTTATATGCAGGAGGTTGCAGGGCAGATTTAACTTGCAGCCTTACCGATCACCTGACGATGCTCACTTAATTTGGCTCGAACAAATCTTCTTGAAAGACTTGTGTGAATGGAAACTACCTATATGTTTTGCCTTCCTCCGATTTTAGAAGACAAATTTATTCTGAGGGATTCGCATATAATTCTCATCGATTGTTGGCTGTTTATAATTCCTATTAATTGTGAATTCTGATTATAACAAAGAGTTAAAAAAAAATTTACGTAATTTACTGGCACCTTTTTCTTGTCAATACTCCAAGCTGAGGTAATGAACAAGACAATACATTTATGCCAATATATTCCGAGTGGCTGAATTGGTTTACCTTTATGATAGCAACGATTTTGTATTTAATACAGCAAGATTTTTTCAATTTAATTGAAGTGATATTATTTCCCAAAGCAATGCTTGAATCGTCTAGAATGGATCAGTGGTGTCAAACTCATGGGTTTTCGAGAGCCGCATTGCATGTTGGAAATTGTAAAAAGGGCCGCAAACAGTTTTTGATAATGTATACTTGAAAGATATTTTCAAGATAGTTTTAGTTTGTGACATATATTGGGATGCAACTAAACAGTTGGATTAAGTTTTATTATTTTCTTTAATTTCAAATGCAATTACATATTATTATTTGCATTCCACTATTGTTGCAAGTTACTGTATTTATTACAAAAAATCATAAAATTCTATGTACAACCATCGAAATCATTTCTGAACAAGCTTTGGATAAGGAAAGAATAATACATACACTAAAAAAATGACTTAATCTAAATATATGGACCTAAAATTAACAAAAATACTACAATATAAACTCAATGTTTTTTTAATTACATTTGTCCTGACGTTTGGCATCTTTTTTGTGTCACCAGCATACTAAGGCCAGGCTGAAATGATTTTATAGTACCAACTCTAACTAACGCGGTCACATGATCATGGGTTAATCTGGATCTTTGCGAATGTTTAATTAATTCCAGTAATGCAAAAAAGTTACTTTTATCATTCCATGTATAGATCAGTAAAAAAACAAATGACAGATTTTTTCGACAAGACATTTCGCGCTACATTGCATGGCATAGGATTGCTTGAATTATTATCGATATTGATTTTTAGTAACTAAGTTGTTGTATAATTATATTGATATACAAACACATGGAAATTTTCTGTTCGAAGTTGGTCTTCGAATTTGTCATATTGACTGCTGAACTTATTGTGTTTTTTTTATTGTACAGTACTGATGGAAATATGACAAATTAAACAATGTGCTTCAGAAAATTTTGTGAAACGCAGAAATATAGCAACTCCCATTTTCTTCGAAAATGCCACCTTCTTCATGTACTTTGCGTTTAATTTAATCACTCAAGTGTTTTATTCAAGTATTCTTTTGCTAGCTTGATGTGTATTCTTAAATGGGTCAAAATGTAAACAAAAAAAATTTAATTTTTCAAAACTACTTTCAGTAAATTGTTTTCTGTGTGAATATTCAATTCTACTTTAAAAAGTTTGACAAATCTGTTACATTTAGATAAAAAAAACTTCCAAAATACTATTACAATTATTGTTAAGCGTTCGAGGGCCGCCACTGGAAGTTCTCTGGGGCCGCGAGTTTGCAATCCCTGTCTAGATTGAAGTTGTCCAAAATATATAACAGTATTTTATCATGAATCATGATTATACCCTTTCCTGAATTTCTTCTATAGTACTACCAAAAGTTGATGAACCAAATATAACGCAGGTGAGTGACCCGTAATCCTCATTTTTCAAAGCTGTTTCAAGTATGTCTGGCATGTTTAGTGCTTTTTCAAGACCGCTTATGCAATCTTACGTATTGAAATTTTTAGTTATTTTCCTCAAGCCTTGCAGGATGTAGGGGCCATACACAACTCTACCGGAGGGTCAAATGCCTTTGCATGCCTCCATAGGTTGTTCTTCTATTGCAAACATTTATGGAGTATTCTAAATATATTTCTTGGAATCACACTGTCACTGATATGTCGCCAGACTTCTGATATCTCCCCTTCTGCTACAGTTGTCCTGTGAATAAATAATAGGAAATTGAGATTAGACGAATAGTTGAAAGTTTTGCTTTATGTCGGCTTAATTTTTTGATTGATATACTTACTATTTTTGCTATTGTCTCTTGTGCTGCAGGAGTCTCACAATGCTTAGATAGGTTTGTCCACAACTTTCACATCTGAAGAAAGAGAATAGATTTATTAATTTTCGTTAAGAATAAATAACGCAGTCTATATGATTTAGAATGGAAAAGCTAATAAATCCAATATCTCATGTTTAATGTAAAAAATGTTTTACTGAATTTGGTATATAAATCAACTAATAAAGACTATACAATATAGACGGGTATGAGTGAAATGTTAGGTGAACTTGTTAACCCTTTGATTCAATACGCAAATAGTATGCTACAGCAATGAGTATATATTTCTACACTCATTAGAAAAATCTAAATGGAGGTGCATGAACTATTTGAAACCATAAGGAGTAAGTAAATATGCAATTTCGGCAAATGGGCAACTACGTACCGTATTGATTTGATAACTTCGTAGTATTTGACAAAAGCTGGCTTTCCCACATGTACTTAACAGTGCTATGCCCGGGTGTGATATACAACAATAGTATTTACCTTACCCTTATCCGATTTCTTTTTACCTTCAATTTTCCAAAATATCATTAAAATCGACAACAACTGTCAAAGCAGGCACGAACACCATTTGTGCCACTGCTATGCCTTGAAAGCAGCACACATCCGCTCGTTTTCGTCTCGTCAAGTATGTGCATTGGAGCGTGCTATCGGATACGATCTTCGGCCAAAAATGCCGGAGTTGCGCATCATGTTGTTTAATGTCATTGCTTTCAACAACATCCTATGTGTAATAGATTACGCTTATACTTTATCCGTTGTGATTTTGACATTGCTAGAAAACTAGAACATTTAGAAGTCAGATGAGATCACGAATATGCGTGTTAATCATTTCTTTTTCGATACGTTTTTATTTATTTTATGTTTTAGGTTGTTTGAGGTTGATGGATGTTTCTCCGAGCGTCATTTTCTTGTTCATTTCCGTAACAACTACGAAACAGCAATAAGTTAACAATGACGTAACAATTGGAATTTATGCCGCCTCTCAGACACCTCTATCGTTCAGATAGATATTAAAGCGAGTTGTAAACATTGCCTCTTTTTGTGTTATTGTCAGTTTGAGGTATAGGGAGAATCTTTCAGGGATGAGAAAAACATTCATACCTATATGATTCTATTTGATTTCTATATTGAAACCCGCACCATGAAAGAAAGCAGGAAACAGCTTCAGACTTAGAAAGGAAGGTGATTATTCTTCTCAAAATGGAAAATCCGACTTGGGGATTGACAAGATGTCTAGCTGTGTTACCAAATCTTTTTCCCGTTTTCTAGCGATCACCCTGTATATTGATGATAAATTTCGAAGTTCTATCCAGAAAAACTTCATCAAGGGATGATACGGCCTGAAATCTGAAAACCCGCGAATATGATAAAAATTCCATGTGATCATGGCGTGAGATTTTTTTTCTTTTCACCATATATATATAGTGTATATATATATATACGGTGGTGGGATTCAAATTTTTTGTCAGCCAGTTCCATCACAGAAGTCCTATTTTTCGGCCGGTTCTGTTGTATGTGTGTTTTTTTTAGTAATGCTAACCGGTTCGCTGATCTCATAAAGTTCCGCGAGACGGTTCTATAGAACCGGTGCGAACCGGCTTAATCCCACCACTGTATATATATGATAGTGTGCTTTCCATATCATGCCATGATGAAGTTTTTCAAAATAAATATTCGAAACGTCGGCAAATTAAATCGTTTTGCTAACACCGGTTAGGCTTTATTTATCATCGATATGAATTTACCTGGTGGCAATCATGTGCCACCCTGTATATTGTTGTATAAAATACACAATGGGTTATAGACGAAAGCGGTAGTTACTGTAGTGATGTTCGATGCACGACATGGAAGTATCAGCGACGCCCTCTCTCTCTCAAATACACTTGGGCATCGTATTATCGCCCAATAAACACGCTCGACGTCACCGCTCGTCGTCACCTCTGATTACCCTGTTCCATTTTAGAAGAGATTGTCGGACTCATCATAGGGTGGTATGCGTAACTTATTGTGGGTTGACTAGTGCTTGCTCGGCCATCAAGTCCATTCAATTGAGATAAATAACTTCTGATTACACCCATCATGGACGGGAGGTCGCGTCTCGTAATGTATATGATTTGTCCGTCCTATATCGGCTTCACTTTACTCAGGATGAATTCGTCGGCACGTCAGTGAGTGTGGCAGCGCCATACTGCACCACTCGCATTAAAAGAATTCGATAACACAAGTACAAGTTCTGCTGTTAAGTTTTTTACCAGAAATTATATTTTAAAATATATATTAACAAGAAAATGCTCTGAAAAATCTTAGTGAACTGTAGGGCAGCTTCGAGTATTTCTATAATCACGCAAAACCATGTTCGAAATATTATACAGATAGCTCGATTTCCTGCCATTCCAGAGTGCAGAAAACACAAACGTATAATAGTTCACCTGTATGACTGCTATTCCGGCTTTCCTTGTTTGAGAAGTTATTTATTCATTTGAAGTGCTAAATATATTGAGTGGTTCGAATACATCGCATTCGCATTACACTTTCCCAAATTTTATTTCCTAACGTTTCGTCGGACCAAACTCAAACTTCCTCAGATTAGTATTCTTTCAGTCGTTGCAAACATATCAACTAACGTAGGAAGAATGAAGTTAGATAGTAATACACTACTGTATTATACCATATAGAACTTTATTAAACATAGCGTACAAAGAAACCGTATTTGGTAAACCAATGAATAGCAATACCAGACGTATGCTAAAATAGAAATACGAACGATCAAATACCATTCACACTCTTAATGAAACTGTCTTGAAAATGTCATGATTAATATTAATTAGGATATAAATGTGTGCATCGGATGTAGGCTACAATCAATGTTATCAGGAGTTTCCTTATTTACAGACTTTTCATAGAATCTTCTGTATACTACCCGCCACGTTGGATCAGCATGGACAAGGAAAGAAGTAAAGGAATGAACTGAGGAAATATATGTGCAAGTTTATATGGTGTAATCGGATAGTTTGATTTTGCACAACTGTTGAATGTTTTCCACCGTCGCAGGTAAATCTAAACAAAAACCAAGGTATTATGTTACAAAAAATGTTAAAAAAAATTCAGATAATCTGTACGGAGTGAATTTTTGATGAAGACCTATAAAAAAAAACAGAAAGGTATAGATAACAACTCAAAGGTTAGCCTAGCATAATGGGCAGTAATTAATTTAAAACCACGATGATAAAAACGAATATAATGCATTTATCTCTTTGATAAAATTTGTTTTTGCCTGGGACTCAATTTTTTATTTCTTCCATTTTATTTTTTTGTTTTTCCCTTTTTCAACATAAATAATTTAATAAAAATATGGACGCATGGTGGGTCAGAACACTATTAAATTCGCTAGCTTTATACGTAGCGTTAGCATAATTATGTTATGTTTTCGTGTAGCCCTTGGCATATCAGTGATTTCCAGTGACTTTGCTCAAAAGCGGTTTGTCTTGAGCGAGTCTGCGTGTGAGCGCATTTTCACAATAAAAAGACATACAGCACGTATAGTTGACAAAAATACAATTACCAATAGCAAAATACGTGGAATCTTGTCGGAAGGCCTCAATGCATCGTTTCAATGCAAATATCACAGATGGTGACGTGCATAGCGGAGGTTCTCCAGAAGCTTTTGAACTTAAAATTCCGTTTGGATTTGGAGAATCATGTAAAAATTTAATGTTCCATACTGTAGGGATGTCCTGAATATAGCAAAGAATCGTAAAAATACTTGGTGTCTATAGTTAACAAGGAAAACCACTCTTTATTAGTATGGTCTAGTTGTGGTCGAGTGCGTTATTTGGATAATAAATGCTTCAAATATTGTTTCTATATTCGACGCAATTTGCTAAGTATTTCGATAAATATATTAGTGAACAGTCAGAAACAAATCAAGAGAGAGCGTGCAATGGCAAGAGATTGTCTGAAAGAATATGAAACAACTTATTGTCACACTTTGGTAACTACATTCTCAATGCAGAAAATGAATTAAATACAACACAACATACTTTGCTAGCAGGGGGTTTATATTCCCAGGTATTGTTTGAAACAAGTTGTCCTGATTCAGGACCGAAAACCATTTTTTCTGAAGTAAACAGTCCGACTCCCATCATAAAAGCTCCTTCTGCTTGTCCAATGTCAATGGCAGGATTTATACTGCAAAAAATATATTAGAGTATATTGAGAATAATAATAATAACGTCTTCTAAGTGTGCATTCAGATAATTAAAACATTATCCACTGATGTCAGTCACTTAAAGCATCTTTACTTCGGGTCAAACACACTTTTGAGAGATTGCTTCATAAAATCCCTAGAATGTCAATTCAAAAGTTAAATTTCACAATGCTAAATAAAGCGTGAAAATCGGAAGTCAGCATAATTCAGCACCAATTTCCTATGTAACTCAGGTTGAAACACACATAATAATAATGAAGACGATTATAATGTACAATGTGAGATGGCGATAGCTAGGTGTTTTTTTCCTCGTAATTCATATTAATACCGTCTCACTACAATTATGGGTCTATTACTTCTACTATCAAAATGTAGGCGTCGACATCCTACTCGTAAACACTCCTGCTATTTGTCTATTAAAACCTGTGAATTCACATTAATCAGAAACAAATAATAAAATATGAACACAAAATACACAAACCTTTTTCCACAATCGTAGAGCATATCAACTCTTCTTAATACAAATTCACCAGTGATAATATCAAGTTCTGCTTCGGTCAATGCAGCTCCGTAACAATTATATGTAACAATGTTTTTTGAATTGTTGAACACCCTTGAATAAAATAGGTTCATATGTTATTATTTTATAAAACGAGAGAGGAAAGTCAGTTTTCAAGTCATCTACAAGAGAAACCAGCGGGGGAATTAGGAGTTTGCGCGAACATCATCGTGCTAATCAACGACGCGTTCTTGTTTAAGAAGCTAGACCAGGGGTACTCAACTGGCAGAACGCGGTCCGAATGCGGACATTCCGAGTATTTGATTTGGACCGCACCTAATTCTTTATTTTGGATCATTGGCCCCACTTTGGACATGTGAAGGTTTCCTTTTATCAAATGCAATTACAAACATTGCGAATAGCGCTATCTTGATTACCGAATAATAACTAGCCGGCCGAGGAAATACGCGTTTAAGGATGTCGAAACGTAATTTCTGTTAAGACCTACCTCCAGGAACTCCTGTAAGTTTTGTATACGGACCTGTAGTTAAAATAGTTGAGTAGCTCTGCGTTAGAAGACTGCCAAAACAAATGGGTATCGTGCAACGCAGCTAACAACTGACGTTATATTTGACATTTCAAAAGTAACGTTTTAGATTTATGTGTCATGTAATGCAGCTTACGTAGTCGCATACATTTTCTGAACTGAGGGAACCTGTTAGTGAGTTGTATACAAACGCGAACCCGTTTTAAACTTTTCAATCCACTCATTGGAATAAATCCATTTATTGATATTTATGACTGTTCAAATTGCCAGGCCTTTTTATGGGAGGTGTAATGTTTCAAAGACCCTTTCACTCTAAACGGCCCTATACAAGCATCCACTTCCAAATAAGAGTTAGCCTATTTTATCTTGAATGGGTCAGAATCTTGCCTGCTCGACATCGCCTGCCCGATTTTATTACATCTTGGGTGAGGTTATGGACAGGGTACTTGTATACCCAGTATTTTTTTACGTGCGATGCTAAAATAATTGAGCCAACGCTTTGACGACTAAGCCATTGTGCCCAAATAATATATTGCATCCCGGCAGATCTTACTTCGCCATTCGGCAATGTATAGATATACTATCGTAAACAAATTCACACAAATGCAGATCGTGTAATCAAGCACGCTCACAGTAATAACATAAGTAAACACATAATGATCATCACATTTACAATACGGCGTTGCCTATTCCACATATATATATATAGTACAACAAGGAAAGATAAATAGAATCAATTCCAAATTGAAAATAAGAACTTGATTTTGAATATTCATAGTGAAAAAGAGCAGAATTTAATGTAACTTTCGACATACCAGTACTGCGAAGTCAAGTTTACTCCGTTTTCAAAACATTTGGAAATTTTGTCACTCCATGTCATATCATCAGTCAATTTTTCTTTTACAATATCCATTCTCGATTTCAATATCTTACAACATTCCATGATTCCCTGAGATATAGTTCGAAAGATGATCAAATATTGACATACAGCCAACTAGAAGCATGGTAGTAGTATTGCTATTTGTCAATGAACGCTCGGAACGGAACATGAATGAATATATTTAAAACGTCTAAACCCATGAAAAACTACAAATTTAGGAATTATAAAATTACGATAAATTTCGTGAGATCGTTATAATGCATTTTTTGTCACCCTTTTTTTCAGATTTGCACAATGCGAAGATAATGAAAATGTTACAATTAGAATCGATACAAATAGACAAATAATATTTAAAAATAAATACTTTAGGTATTTAGTTTGAAAAAAATTGACACTCACCTTACAGCATAATTCACTCGACATACTTGCGGCAGTAGGTCCTGAGTTTGGATTCATAGACAAATCGGGTGCTTTTACTCGAATTAAATCCATTGGTGCTCCAAGAACGTATGATGCCACTTGCATTAACTGAAATAAAGCAAACAAAATTATTATAAAATTAATGAATGATTCTAGTGATTCAGATTAATAAATCTGCGTTAGTCAATTATAAAAAATTAATTAGTGGTTCTTAAACAATTTCTTGATGGGATGTGCAACTAATTATATAAAAAAGTTTTTCTTTAGATTCGATCTGTGCCCGCCTTATTTTGGATATTTACTTTTTTTATTGGATATTTATATTCCGTCCACGTCTTTTCAATGTGCTTTTTGAATAAAACATAATTTCGCATTACTATCTGTTATTTGTAGCATATTGTTAGCTTGTTATTATTGATGTGTGGCGCAAGGAAGGGGCTAAAAAAAATTCGAGAAATTCTAAATGATGTGTAAAATGCCCCACCCATCTAGCTACTAAGATAAAATTGCGAATTAAGACGCTACGTTTTTTGATACTATTTTGTGGATAAACGCAGATTTAAATGTTGTTCGTGACACCACAATATGTTTTACGTAGATAAGAATAAAGTGAGTAAAACATAATAATGGGGTTCTTATAATAATAAATATCCATTATGAGGTCACAGCAAAATCTTTCGACCATTGTGTCGAAAACGAACTATGATGCCCTATTATGGCGTCACAACTTTTCAATTAAATGCCCCGCCAACGAAATTCTGCGTACGCCACTGGTTAGCTGCTGTATTCCATTTGGAATTTTCACCGGTTGTACCAATTGTATATATATACCTTTGTGTACATTCCTTGTCCCGATTCAATTCCTCCCGCAGATAAGACAACACTTCCGTCATTACGGAATATGCTAACTTGAGTCGAATATTTAGCTATATTGTAAACAATCCTGCAATCGAATTTATTTACATAATTAAATTGGGTAAGGAAAAAATCGAAAACAGTTGAGGATGAGGTCCTGGTGGTTATATTTAGGTATGTTCTTGTGCTTTGTAACATAACTAAATAGCTCTAAAACCTTACCTCATCTTTAGACAAATTTCCTATAATATTTCTATATCGTTTATGTACATAATGAGAATCATTAGCGTCCGCTAATACTTAATGACCCGCACATTAAATTTTTGATATATTTCACATGATTGTTTCCTTTCACACTTCAAATATTTCAAAATCATTCAAGACTATGACACACTTGCTCCTTTTCATTTGCCTCACATGGGACAGCATTTAGCATAATCATACACAAATCACGAAGTTTTCATAATTATTTGATACCTCTTTCTATAAAAAAAAAAGGTACTCCCGAAGTATGTGAACCAAAATGGCGGACACCGGAACGTAATATGTGTACCAGGTTAGGGTTAAGCCATAATCTTATTCCAATTTTCCTTATTTCAGTTCTATAACGAGTTCGGGGACTAGCCAAGTGACCCCGTACTATTTGTACCTGAAATTATAGCCCAACCCTAACCTGGTACACATACTACATTCCGGTGCCGCCATCTCGGTTTAGATACTTCTGGTGGGAGTACCAAAAAAACTGTATTTTGCTTTATGTATTCCCAAGGTACCATCCCCATGTGGGTAACGTATTGCAATTGAAGGATTAAGGAAACTAAAACTAAGGCAAGGTAATAAGTCTGGTTACGCAAGTTTCATCGGGGTGAATCCAATTCCTCTTTTCTTCCATTTGTTCGCATTGTTGAATTCTGCAACCAGAGTTTGTCTCTTTTCAATCTCAGCGGAAGACAATAGTTCTAAAAAATATGAAACAGGATGTATATAACTTGCAATTCAATGTAATTGTTTGTTAACACAGTTGCAGTCCGGCGTGATTGTTGTAGCGCGTTCCAAATCAGACGGCTGTAGCAGTACATAACAACTACATAATATACATATGTTGTTGCTTCAATCAACTTTAGTCATTTTGTCACTGGTCCGTATTTATCAACATTTACTTGTGTTGTATTTTACTTTTGATTCATTCTAGGTGTGGTTTAGATTTAAGTTGAATAAAGCCCTATATCAAGGTATATACTTATTTTCCAATTCATTTCACGAGTTATGAGATATTATGCGCTTACCGATAGCGTAAACATTTCGCTACATGTCTGTTTTTCTTATTTAGTTGGTAACTTTTCCTTGTTCTGCGTTTTACTTTAGATTTATTCTAAACATGCTTTAGTTTAAAGTTGGATAAAGCCTTATAATCAATGAGCTCAGATTCACAGGGTCTTCTTTTATTTTTGTTTTCTTCCAAATTTGAAAAAAATGTACCGTAGACATAACGAGACTAATAGTAGCGTTGGTAAATGGCATTGAGACTTTTTTATCGATGAAAATGTTATTCACAAAGGTTTTGTTACAATTCTTTATTGTGCTTCACCAAATTGCTTTTGATACTCGCCTGCATAATAAAAGAGATGAAGTACTTCACGGACCATTCGCCGCTCTTTAAATCGCTTTTTCTTAAAAATCGATCGTGCGGCTAATGTATGGATCATATAGTGCTTTATGCTTTATTGCCTGCACTCAAAATCATTGCTTTAAAGACTGTTGTGTATAATAGCCCAATACCCCTCATGTATGCATGTATATGTAAAACCTCAATCTAAGCAATTTATTGACAGTACGCCTTGTGATACGATGCGACTTGTGGACTTTAAACACAATATTTCCCTTCATACCTTCGCTCATTTTCCTAATATTACAATGAATGAGAGGCTCTCCGAATAGATTTAACTGGTTCTCGACGTACAAGTTATTCTGTTTCACTTCAATTGGATCAATACCAACATCATATGCAATGTGTTCTTGTATGACTTCCATTATCATCACCATCTCTGCCATTCTAAATACATGAGTAAAAAAGTTCCCTAACAAATTAAACTACTTTTCATTTTTTTAACTGGAAATTTTCATAGCACACTCTTGTAAATATTCAAAAATCATTTTTGTCGAATATTGGTGAATATTGTTTTTTTCCTTTTTTTTTGTTTGTTTGAATAATTAAACTGAAAGTTCTTTGGTGCATAGTCAACAAAACTTTAGTTCTCCCTCTAAATGTATTCGTGGATCAGCAATATTATTTCCGATCAAACTTTGCCAAAGCAACCCTGTTTTATCCCGAAAACCTTAGAATTAGTCAAAAATTCGAGGCACTCAAGATTAAACAGTATTTAACAATTAGAAAAACTTATCTATCCTTACGTAGGAGCTCTACACCATGTGCTACTGGCAATATTGGTTTTCACCCACTTTATATTGAGGTGCCAAGCGGGACAATGATAACCTGTAATGTCAAATAATATCATAAAAAAAATATGAAACAGGAGTTGAAGATTGTTTATTCAAAGAGTAAAGTGCAGAGTGATTTTAACTTATCGTTAATTTGAAACAAATGATATATATATATGAAGTCGCAAGATATCAATTTGAGAATATGACGGGATGGTGATAGCCCATATTTATATACATGTGAGATGTATTGAAATAAGACAAGATATGTTTAGTTACCTTCAGTTATGAAAACATAAATTGGTACTCCCGTAGTATGTGAACCAAGATGGCGGACACCGGAACGTAGTATGTGTACCAGGTTAGGATTAGTCTAAAATTCCAGGTACAAATACTACGTTCCGGTATCCGCCATCTTGGTTCACACTACGGGAGCACCGTGACTATCAAATATAATGTACCTAAGTACTCTTTCACTCACCACTGTCGGCCATGTTAACAACTACAAGTTTTTGAAGATCAGCGTCATTTGGGCTTGCACCACAATTTGCATAATATGTTATCAGTATTCCTTCTAACTTGCCTTTATTATCAAAACCTATGAGTTGAAGTATGAGATAAAAATTATCTATAGAGCACCAGGCTCATCAATAAAACAGTGGAAATATTTATTACTCCTATTTTATTACTCTTATTATTTTAAAATAAAGATTTTTTGGTATAAAATCTCAAATTATTTAATTTTGGAATCCTTTAGCAAGACATTTTCGATTCTCAATAATGAATTATTTTAATAATATTGACAAAAATTGACAGACTACTTGCTTGAATCTTTACCAATATCACGCAATCATTATTTTGATGATTTATAACAAGGATGTGCAAACTGCGGCCCGCAAGAAAAAAATTGTGCGGCCCGCAGAGAAGTGCCAATTTTGAATAGTGTGCAAGCAAAACGAATTTTTAGTGTAGTTGATCTGGCAAGTGCGAGCAATTTCAATCTCCTTGCGTCGCACAAGCTCATTACCATTACCTGAATGCCACTGTCATATTAGCAAAACTAGCTAGCAAAATACACGATGTTACAAAAACGTGTTTCTCACTAAATTCATTATTGAAAGTCAGTGTGACAATAAATTTGAATAACAATCTTTATTTGGAGATTTATGCGTTTTAACTCACAATTTCTGCGAGGACCCCTAACAATGCCGTAAAATTTTTGTGCTTGCAACTACTTGAAACGCTATCTTAAATAAAAGTGCGGGCCGCGGCTTCACCCAGTCACTTGTATCTAGCCCTGATGTAATAACGGTTGCACACCCCTGATTTATAAAGATGAAAAGTATTAATTCAACAGTTTCTAATTATAAAATCCAGTCAGAAATGACAAAATACGTTACCGACAGAGTAATCTGCAACGTATGCAGATCTGCTGCCATAAGTCTCCATGTTTCTTTCCAGATTACTATGCAATCTCACTGGTCTTCCTGGAATTTGTGATTTAAAGTATGAATGAACAAATTAAGTTTCATAACATAGTGAATGGGATTAATCAACCTTCCAGATTATCAGGTGTGTCTTGAAGATCGCCGCAATCAATAGTTGCAAAAGTTACATTAAAGAGAGTCTAGAATCTCTAGCAAACAGCAAATTGTGTTAAATTCATATTGCGAATAATTACTTAGTCGAGTGTGCGAATTTAGTTTGTACATTTCAAATTTATATGTGTACGTATCTATGCCATATCTGCTTAATATGTACATCTACTAACTTTCTCTGAGTACTTTTTCCATGGTTATGCTTTCATACTAATATACACACATAACGCAACGATGGCATAGCAATATCAAAGATAACCATTCAAAGTAATTCAAAAATGTTTAGCCAAAATACTATATCTGTTTCGTATGTACTATCTAATTGTATAAGTAGGGCGGGGAAAGATGGCCCCCCTTATTGAAAATTATCTATATTTCGAAAACCTTTCTTCGAATATTCCTAAAACTTAGCCAGTACATACATAAAGGGCTAAACTCTTAAGCCAAACGCCGGCTTCCGCCGGTCGCCCAACCATCGCAACAGCAGAAACGTTTTTATGCAAAAAAAAATTGAGGGGAAGTTGGACATATGGTCGGATATGACGGACATGTGATAAAATCGCATCAAAATACTGAAAATGCTTTCTGTTTCCTAGCAGAATATCAAAATAAACGATGTATTTGCAATTTTTTTGGCCAATTTGAAAATTTCTCTTATGTCCATCTTACCCCATGAATGTTTGAAGTTGTGAGCCCATAGAATCGTCCACGAAAGTATGATAAGACACCCCCTAGGAAAACAGGAAACAATTTTATTTTGCTTACACCCTCACACAAATTCTCAAACATAACACCAAAAAAACTCCTAGGATAGCGTGAAAGCTATCGACATGTACATGCGAAAGAAAATATTTGTACAAAAAAAGCTTCAAGCAGAGCAGTCATCACATTGGAAGGACACAATACGTTTTCCATAAACCCCGGCGAAAATATCGTGAAGCCACTTTTGGCATTTCTGGCACTGAATCCATCCCTCGTCCTCTACGTCGTCAAAAAAATTGCCGTTGCAGACCGCGCAGAGGTTGCTCAAACAATTTCTTTCTTGCCTCTCATTCTTACGTTTATTTTCTTTTTTCCTCCTGGGAGCTGCAACTTTCTTAGACGAGCTAGATGAAATATTTTCTACAAGCGCTGTAGCCTTCTTCGACGAGCTAGATGGCATTATTTCTGCGAGAGCTGACAGTTCGGCTACATATTTCTCACTAGTTAATACTCTAATTCCTGTCTGAATGGCTTTCTTCCTCTGCTTCTTGGCGCTCTGAGTGGCCACTGGAAGAGGCAAAATATCTTCAAATGATTCATCTGATAAACTGGTGCTATCAGGTTCCCTGCTATTTTCCTGCCTCAAAGAATCACGGACTTTCTCGGAAGCTAACTGAACTACTGATGAAGTTCTACTTAAATTCGGTAGAGAGCAGCATGGTTCACCTGTGACACTTTCTACCTCTGTCGTGGTGTTAACCTCATGAGATGGTACGTCGTAGTCTCTATTTGTTATATTATCTGACTCACCAGATCTCACTATTGCTGTTGTCTGAGAAGGCGCGAATGCATGCTCTGGAATCTGCTCAATATCAAGTGGATACAGGCCGGTAGCACGGAAAGATGTTACTGCGTTGCCGACTGTGGCAATTTTGTAATAAGCCTTGCTGAAGAGTGCAGGGAAATCAATTCTGGATATCCCTGCTCCGGGGTTGTTTCGGTGATGAACTCGAACTGCTTCTTTGAAATGATCCTTTAGTGGTTTAAAATGTACTTTGTCCAGAGGTTGTAAATAGTGACTCGTATGAGGCGGCATACTGACTATCTCAACATTGGGGCTTCTAGCATATTCCAAGACTTCAAGGCTGTGAGTGTGGGAGTGATGCCCACCTATACAAGAAGTGTTTTACCGCAGTCACTTCTCTTGCTTGTGCAAAAATATTCCATCCACGCAAGGAATAAATCTTTATTTATGTATCCGGATTCACTGTACTTCACTATTGAACCAGCAGGTAAGCCACGATCCAGTGCTGGGTTCACTCTCTTTCCTTTATATATAACCATTGGAGGGATATAATCTCCAATAGCATTCACACCCACAACGATAGTTTGAGACAGCCCACGCTCTCCGGCGGTTAGTTGGCTTGATGACTTTGATCCCTTTTCTCCAACAATATTTTTGACACCAGGAACGAGGCTAAGGCCAGTTTCATCAACGTTATAAATTTTGCTGGGCTGATCGAAAAGACAGAGGTCATTCATGACACTTTCTAACATGTCAAAATACCTTTGAACGATCGGTTTGTTCAGGTGGATTGCTCTCTGAATAGAAAGTGGCTGAGGTTTTCTTATTGTTATAATATCATTGTGCCGAGTTCTGAAGCCGGTCCACCAATCTTTACCGGCCATTTCCAGAGACTTTGAAAAGTTGTTTTTGATTCCATTGCGTATAGCAAACTCGTAAGCCAATTGCCTTATGTCCTTTACTGTTAGTGGAAATCCTCTCCTCTCGAAATCTAGAATATGCTTAACAAGATTTTCTTCTGTATTTTTTGGAAGTATAGAACTAGGACCAAGATGTTTTGATGACACCATCTTCTTGACCGAGCTGAACACATGCCTCCGAGTTGTTCTGGGAACGCTATGAGTACGTGCTGCACTCTTCAATCCCTCCCCTTTTTGGACAGCTTCCACTGCCATTCTCATGTCAGATTCTGACCAGGAGCCTCTGTTTGATATTCTTTGGTATTTCCTTGGCATTCTTTTAGATTTCCTTCTTCTCATGCATCCAAAACTTGCATCTGGAAAAAACATGACAGTACATTGGGGTAAGATGGCCACTTCCCATAATTTGATAAGATTATTGAAATTCTCCCAAAAGTGTTTTGACAAGTAAAAGCAATTACAAAATAAAAGAGAAGACTTTCAGGTATATTATCACAAAGAAGGGGCTTGAGCGATCAGATTGAATAACAAAACCAAAAAACGCAAAAAAATTATTACCCCATAATAACCCCCCTTTTCTACATGATACCTTGCTGAGGGCTGTAGTTAGTTGCTAGCTGGCACCAGTCGCACAGTTAGTCCTAAATCATAGTGCATAGGTACAAACTTACCAACAAAGGCGCGATTCCGAGTTCCTTGACTGAAAATGAGCATATAGTGCCTCCAAGAAAAACGTGTTCTTACTAAATGCCCTTTTTTCACCCTTCCAAAATCACAAGCCACGTGGAAAGATACACAACTGACGAACTACGCCAAGCGCTAAACCGGAATGGCTAGAACGAATTCCCTCCTTAGCAACGAACTCACCAATGGCATTTGTAGAATCAAGCCCCATAAGATGTCGCCAATAGGTCAATTTGAAAAAAGTGTCCATCTAACCCCGTGTGTCTATCTTCCCCCGCCCTACTAGTCTGTGATTACTCCTTTTATGGCTATGCTTTTGTATATAATCTGATGATGATGTGACAAGGGTGGAGATGACTATTCCCAGGTTATTTAATGGTCTTGCTGCATGATACCACAAATATCACTGTACTTATTTTTTAGGCAAAATATGTGTAAATTTCAAATTACCTGATATAAAACTAGCCAATGTGGCTGCTGTCGCAGTAAGTAAGCTATTAGAAGCTTTCCCGCCAAATGCTCCTCCTATACGTGGCGTTACTATGTTGAACCTAAAACAAGAAGTTGGTTATTCATGTTTAATGAATACAATCAATAAGGTTGCAAATCATTTTGTAAAGCTCGATAATGAAATGTGCCGATGCGGACTTCACAGAGGGTTCGCAGGAACCCGTTCTTTGAACAGCGTGATCATAGCGACCGTTCTTATTTTTAATATTTTTTGTTGACGTTAGACGTTCACTGCAGCTGACGACTAACATTATATTATGTATTTCAAAAAATACAAAATAGATAAAGCGTATCATGTTAATGTAGCTTACGTAGTGAAATACATACATTTTGTGAAACCTGTTTTAGTGATTTTAATACAGTAAAACAGTGGTTTCTCAAACTGTTGGGCGCGCCACAAGGAGAGCGTAGACAATTCTTCGAGGGGGCGTGAAGCTAAATAAAAATTAAAATAGTTGTTAGATTTCATCTGGCCTGCCCCATTTTTGGATTTTACGGGTCTTTATTTTGGATATTTACGTTTCATCCACGTATTTCCAACGTGTTTTTTGAATAAAACATACTTTCGCCTTACTATATGATATTCGTAGCTTATTGTTAGCTAGTAATTTTACAGGTGGGGCGCGAGACTTGACAAACTCTAGAAGAAGGCGTGGTTTAAAAAATTTGATAACCAGCACTGCAGTAGAAAATCTTTTACTAAAATTTGATGCACACTGGTTGTTCTCTTACTAAACAGACGGTCTCATTAACCAGACAAATAACCTGTTGCAATCCCATCCTAGCATGTGAGACAATGATCTTTGTACTTTGTTTTGCCCCTGAGTGGCACTCTCAATTTGGAATCCATCTTCAGTGGGCGTTGCTCTTGTTATCTGAGTTTCCATGTAAAAATGATACTGTGATCCTATCTTCACAGTTCCTGTTACCTTTTTCAAAAAAATAAAGATGCTAATTTGTTCATGTTTTGTAATTTAATATGAGGAATGGATATAAAAATCGCTTTTTTGTTATTGTTGAGGTTATTGTTGTTGGTTGAAAACGGGGGCGTTGCCAGAATTTTCCAAGGGGGGGTTCTGACATTTCTATTTGTCAAGTTAGATCGAAGCAGCTAGCGGGTACGGCCTGTGAACGTGTGTTTTCGCGAGTCTTGAGGTTTAAAAAGCGTTTCATACGAAAAACTACTATGTTTGATACAGAAAAATGCTTTTATTTTTTTTACATTTCAAAAAGGGGTTCCGACCCCCAAAACCACCTCCTGTCTACGATCCTGGTTGAAAAAGTCCTTTGTTTTCAATCGATTTCAAAGCTAAAGTATTCACGACTGACTGAAGCCTATAGGACAGGGGTTCTCAAACGGTGGGACGCGCCACCCAAGGGGGGTGTACATCGCCGGATTCACCATTAAACAATATAAGCACGTGCTTAGGGCACCAAGCAAAGAGGGGCACCACAGTAATTTTAAAGCAGAATTTTATATAGTTTATCGGTGTTTAATAAAATATTACAAGCTCCCCAGACGACTCAAACTTCAAAATGTTTGCTTATTTTTCGTCTTCAAGTATCATATTAACCTTCTTTATTTAAAATAAACACTGATACTTATTTATTTGACACGAAATGGGCCTAGGAGTCGCTTTTTAAATTGTTGTTTTTTCGTCCTAATATTCTCAATGTTGCTGCATTTTTGTTTTAAAAAAATTATTTTCCCTTCAACAATTGGACCAATGAACTATTTGCACTATGTGGCGGTTTCACGATCGCATTTCAACGATCTAGTGGTCAGCGAAGTCGGGAGATTTTTGACAAGGTAGACCAGGGTGGTCCAAACCCTGTCATGATGATGCATTCCGTGCGGCTCACAGAACAATTTTAACGCATATTTGTGTCTAATCGTAGAACGTTTTTGAGATTTTTTTTAGCTATTCCAACTGGGGTTGGGATCCCAAGATTCAAACCCCTTTTATTAACGCTTTGAGTCTTTATTTTAGTAAAAACACTCCTCTGTTTTCAAGCATGGGCCATGTGACAGTAACGACGAAACGCAGAGCCGACTTGAAGCCGCGCAATCAAGTTTTTTTTTAGCTAGGACCCGAAATACCGACTTAGACGGACCTGGTTGTTATTTGACGATGGCACTAAGCTTGTTCACGCTGCAAGTTTTTATATTACTCAAATATAACAATTCGTAATAAAATGAGATCACAAGAGAGGTGACATCAGGAAATCACGGCGAAAACGTATTTCCTTGCCCATCACACAGTGTCTGGTTTGATTTCGAGTAATATCTGTCACGAAAGAATATAATTTGAAGCGACATTAAACGCGAGATGCGGAAAATACAACGGTAATTCTCTGGAATTAATTTCAAAATAACTGAGGACTTTATATATATTTTTTTAAGTGAGCGCCATCCATGCAACATAATAATAGTCTGATTAGAACGGTAAACTCTCGTTGTTTATTAAATTGAAGGTAAGTAAACTCGCGATATTTCAATCACTTCTGGGTTTCTCCGACTTGCGGCCCGCGAGACCTCCTCAAAAGTTTTTGCGGTCCTCCAACCTTGCAACCTTGAATCGCCGTGAGGACTACTAGGTACCGGTAAAATTTCAAACTTCAGTTGTGATTTGTATTCCTTGATATTTCGATTCACGTTGAGACTGGAGACATGAATCTTTATTGTCACACTCCCTCAGGATTAGAACTCAACCGATATATCGGCCCGATATTGCGTGTTTGCCGATATATCATATCGGCAGTAAACGTCCGATATATATATCGGCTATATATAACAGTTAAAAAACCTAAAAATGTTCGTAAAAGTTGTTTTATTTACTGTTGGCTGTGATTATTTTTAATGAATAACACTTATGTGGTTTTTATAATTAAATTACACATGAGGGGACACCAAAGTCTTCAGTGCTTAGGGCACCAAAGGGGCATAATCCGCCCCTGGGGATGTAGACAATTTTTTGAGGGGGCGTGAAGCTGGAAATATTTGTTAGATTTGATCTTGCCCGGCTTATTTTGAATATTTACGTTTCAAAACTTTTCATTTATTTCATTATTTACGTTCCATCCACGTATTTCCAACGTGTTTTGAATAAAACATCTGTTATTTGTAGCTCATTGTTAGCTAGTTTTGTTTAAGGTGAAGCGCGAGACTTAACAAGTTCTAAAAAGGGGCGAGACTTAAAAATTTTGAGAACTATCGGAGGCTGTTACTTTTTTCAACAGATATTTCACCAAAAATGATGCGGTTTTATTGAAACGCATGGTAACGCTTTTTATGAAATATAAGGACACTCTCGTCTTTCACATTTGTCCGCTGATTTTTCAGAAAACGGTGCTCACTGCTCAGTTACAAAGCCATGTACATATATTATTTGATTATTGCTCACACTTGGACATTGTTTCATTTTTGTCGCCATCATGGTGACCTCTAAAATGCCAATCAATTAATGACTTTGAATGTTATTACACCAGTGGCGTATATATACGCAAAATGGTGACCATGGCTAAGCTTGAAAATGCGTCGCCTTGATCGAGGTTGACAATTTATATTAACAGCTTTTGTTGAAATGAAATACTTCTACGTTATGTTTTGAATAAAAAAAACGTTTCAATTTTTCCTGATTTAAAATGATTGTTGTGTGCAAACGGCGCCCATGGCTGCCGCACCCCAGATATGCCACTGCGTTACACACAACAAAACAAAATAATCAGATATGCAAACCTTCCGTGAAGCATTTTTTATTGCAGTTGGAGCATCTTCAATAACAACACTATCCGGAGAATCATAAAACATTTCTTTCTCAATTGCCTCTGAAATCTCATACACTGCTGGTTTTCTGTTTTTATAAGTAACAACAACTGATCTTGAAATCGCTTCAGCGTGGTCTTGCGTATCTGAATATAATTGAATGGATAATGTAAATTGTATTAAAATTTACACAAGACAAAATAGCTACTATCTGTTGGGGTTACGTATGACCTAATACTCTTCCTCGTTATATGCCTTTGTTGAAGTGGATCCATATGCGTGTAACACAAGGATGCTATGGCAAGAATAAAGATGACAATGCTATTTGATTCAAGAGTCTTGCTGTATTTCTGTAACGTTTCGTCTGACTGGGGAGAAGTCTAGTGTGCAGCAAGACTCTTGAATCGAATAAAATAGTTAGCAAGTTGATTGTCACTAAACTTTGCTGTTTGTGTGGTTCATGTAATTGCTGGTCGAATATAGATTTCTCTACAATGTACGCGCATGTATTTGGACGTTCATATGGCTACTAAGTGCTCTTTAATCGCCATCCATACTTGTTTTCCTGATCGAGATGACTCGAACTGTTGCACGTCTCACGTCAAACAGAATACGCTACTGAGTAATTATAAGTCTCTATAGTTGTATCATGACTTTTTGTACTTTAGTATGACTAAAGTCATTTAAAGATCTGTACCCTCTGCTTCTGAGCGAGTCCACGTGGCCTTGCTTTGAGCAAACATTTATAATAAAAAAAGAGTAACAAACGAATATTTCTTTCATCCTTAGTTCACCTCTCTGAACTTACGAATCATCGTGGTTAATAAAAAAAAGGTTGTGATCTTTAAGAACCAACTTACCAGCTAAAACAATAGCTAAGGGTTGTCCAGCAAATTCCACATGTGATTCTGCAATAATACATTGTTTTTCATCTGGAGGTGGCATGTACGTATTGTTTATTTCTGATGGCAGATCAGCACCTGGAGTAAAAAATTGTTAATCGGTATTTTTATTTCGGGGGGCATTTCCGTATGCCGTTTTATTCCAATTTTCCTTGTTTTAGTTTTATTACGAGTTCGGGGATTAGCCAAGTGACTCCCGTAGTATTTGTACATGAAATTATGGCCCAACCCTGGTACACATACTACGTTCCGTAGTCCGCCATTTTTGTCCACATACTACTGAAGTACCTATTTCCGAATGCCTCAAACATCGGACAAAGCTTTATACACGCAGTCACTGCTAGCTAAGCAGCTACTATAGTTGAAAAGACCGGAGTTAGGTTTGACAATTCCCGCCACTTCATTACACCATGGGTGAAATTTCAGTTATCAGACGACATCTTATAATATCAAAGTGAACTAAATTAACACATGAATAAAGGTTGTTTCAACCAATTATGTTTGTTTGAAGTAAAGACTGAAAAATATCTAACATTTTTGTAAATATTAGAATGCTTGCCACCGAACAGAAATACTTTAAATAGGTTTGAAAAATATGATGTGAAGTTAATGAGTGATCAGTTGTCGCCATTACCTGCAATTAGGCTGTGAAAGCCAGGCATTTTCTTCACAAATTCAACATCAATGTGATCAATATCCGCATTTGCAACAGTTGACGGAACAAACGCAGCAAAGAGTTCATCGCTCAGAGCAGTAAAATCAGACAAATATTTTGCTTCGCCAGATGCCTTTAATTAGGAAAAAGTAAATAAAAAACTTTGTATATTGTGCCTTGGTGGAACTACTACCCGATAATCTCTCTCTATCCACTTTTCAGAACATTTCTCCCATTTTGGTACACTTGCTTCATGCTTGTCCTACACTAACCGAACTGTTATGAACTTGGGTTTTGTCTATTTCATGACGAAGAGTCATAGTAATGATATGAATGGAATTAATGCTATGTTTTGGGCTGGGATAGACGTAATAATTTAGCTGAAAGTAGAGTAAGAGTATGAAGTGAGTTCATACTATTGTGACAAGTAGGGGATATGTGTGAAACATATTATCCTTAAGACACTTCTTTGCGATTCCCCGTCAACTACACGCTATTTTTACATTTTACTCAAGTTACTACCTAAAATTTGTTATTTTATTATAGTGTAATGTGAAATGATTAATATAGAACCTGCTTTATTGCTGTTACTTTGGGTATAGCCATATGCACAGGGTACATGCTGGCATTGATGTCAAATGTCTGAGTCCCACTGGTTACAGGTCTTTGTATGTTTTCAATTGCAGATGACACTTCCAGATTTCTGACAGATTTGTTACACAAGGAAAGATAAAACTGAAACAGTAGAATTTTTATGAATTGATTAAAAGATATTCAAAACCTGATTATAGGCATTATGTCTACTGAAGCAAACAAAGGGGCTATTTCATAATTTTAAAAATGTAGCTGCATTATGAGCTAATAATAATGTAGATTTATTTGATAAGCCATTCGTCGCAATATTTTACAGATTGAATGTCTATTAAAAAGCATTTGCTATCATAATTCTAATTTGGATAATCAGGAATAAAAGGACAATAACCAGGCTTGTCCATGGGACATATTTTCGGTCCCATTCCCATCCCATAGCAATTATGCCTGCCCCATCCCATGGGATTCCCATTGGAATAAAAGCTAATAAAAATTGTTAAATTTAGGTTTAGCGTCTACTAAATAGAACTACATGCATGAGGAGACATGCAAAACAACAAAATTTACGGACTTTATATTCATAACTATTATACATGTTTCCATCAGCCCCTTCACGAAGTATATTGTGCCGAATACATTTTGCCTTTTATAACTAACAAGAGAGCTATGCTCGAATATATGGACACGAAATTCATTACGAAATGTTTTACCATCATTTTCCCAAAAATCCTACTGTTTTCGTGTCCCACGTGTCCCATGGGAAATACAAATGTGTGCTGTCTCATCCCATCCCATGGGACGTTTTCCATGGGAATCCCATTCCCATGGACAACCCTGACAATAACTAAATATGTTCTAAAGCAGTGGTTCTTAAACGATGGGGCGTACCCCACAAGTGGGGCGTAGACAATAATTTTTTGAGGAGGCATGACGGTAATTAAAAATAAAAATATTTGTTAGATTTGATTTTTCCCACCTTATTTTGGATATTTACATTTTGAAACTTTTCATTTATTTAATTATTTACGTTCCATCAGAGTATTTTCAACGTGTTTTTCGAGTAAAACATACTTTCACCTTACTATCTGTTATTTGTTCCCTATTGTTAGCCAGTTATTTTTGAAGTGGGCGCGAGACTCGACAAATTCTAAAAAGGGGCGCGTTCTAAAGGAATCAATGGAACTGAATCCATTACAAATCTCGACTTCAATTCCCGTGTCCCCTCGTTACTTATAAATAGGTATCAGTGGCTGATTGTAATGAGTAATGTTTTGCGCGAGAGGGGTGAATAAGCGTCATGAAAAAATAATTTACTTTACCTTGTAAAACAGACCAACCGCAGCGGATACTCTGTAAATAGGTGAACTATCGGTTGCTGAATACGATTCAGGACTCAATTCTTTTTCCAGAATTTGTAGAGCTCCTTCATAAAACAAGATTGTTGTTTATTCTCTCTATGCAAAGATGTAAGTAACTAGACACTATTCTATCTATCTAACGTAGGCTATTAAATAAAAGATTAAGGGTTGTGTTGCGCGAGACTAACTCCCTAAATTTTGTCTGTGTCCCTATATTGCATTGGATCCGTGTGCGTAATGCAAGGATGGTGCAGCAGGAATAAATGTGACTATATAGTAATTATGCAATTCAAGAGTCCTGCTGTACATTACCACAAATGTATTTCTGTAACGTTTCGTCTGATCAAAGTCAGACTTCCTCAAACAAAGTTTACAACGTACAAAGGATCCTGTTAATATTTTTGTGTATTAATGCACTGAGGGTGTGTGTATTCAAGAATGGAATTCAAAATTTTAGGGGCGAGTTCTCTTTGGTATTGAACTCACTAAAAACGGGTTCTTAGATTTCAGAAAATGTGAATGACTATGCAAGCTACATTGACATGAAACGTTTTACTTTATTCTAATACTTGACTGAAACGCCAAATATAACACTAGTTGTTAGCTACGATGTGCGTTAAACTAGAGCATTTGCTGCGATCGTCAAAAATATAAACAAAAAACATGAACGGGATCGCTGATTACCATATATATCATTGCATTCCAAGAACCAATTCGCTGAACTCGCCAAACAAACAGATCTAAACAAACTAAACGAAAAATATGAAAATAAAATAAACCCATTCAGCGCTCCAGAAGTGTTTGATTTTGTTCGCCTACTTTACTCTACTTTAAGTTGTATAAAGGGACTGAAACCTATGGGCAGGGAATATATTCACTCGGCTAACACAAACAGTCCACAAACTCGTAATAGAACCAATGACATTAAACAACTGTCATTGATAGAACTAAAATATGGAAAATCGGAATAAAATTATGCCCTAACCCCAACCTGATACACATCCTACAGGAGTACCAACCATTCAAAGTGTCCTGAGAATTTATATCTTTATCGGTAAGATATTCTTCTGTTGCAGTCGCATGAAAGAATGATTTGCTTATTCCTCCATACACAAGGACTGGTTTGCTTAGTTTGTTTCCAGTCACCACTGCAGAAAATGCCGCATTGACATATGCATGAGCGTTCTATAAATATTTGAAATTTTTTTTACCAGATTATGTAACCATAAAGTAGTAAAATTTAAACTTTGATTTAAAAATTTTTATTTTGCGACTATTTATAAAAGATTACGAATATAAATTGGTTAATTATATATATGTGAAAAAAATTACAATTTTTCAAAATGTTCAAATCAGTATGTAATGTCAGATGTTTTTCTAAAACATTTCAATTCCATTGTACTTTTTCGCTTTGATTGTTCTCAAACAGAACGTTAAACTCATATATCAGTTGACAGTAAATATAATGCTTTTACAATGTTTCAGAGCAAGTAACGAATCAAAACATAACAAAGAGCATACTTGCGATCTTGGCATTACTTTGTATGACATGGCATGTTGGGTGCTGCTACTATTTGAAATCACTTTCGGTATTATGACACTTAGAACAACCTGAAAGCAACATGTGGATGGTTATCAGCATGAATTAATAAATTCACAAGAACAATGTTTAACTCTATTAGAAATATCCATCTCGAATAGCATGATATTTTAGAATGATTCCTACAAAAATAACTCGAATGCTTTAAATAGTTGATCCTACAGCTTTATCAATTTTTACTTGACTTTTTTCTGTTTAAGAACATAATTCTTTCGAGAAAATTGTAGATTGAAACATCTTTTCAAATATTGTAGATGAATTAAGAATATTAAGTGATTCAAGAGTCTTGCTGCACACTATCCCAAATATATTTCTGTAACGTTTTGTCTGACCAAGGTTAACTGAACTATGTATGTCTGAGGAAGTCAATGTTCCGTCCTAAATTCGTGTGCAGAAAGATTCTTGAATCACTTAGGATAGTTATCTTCACTCTTGCTACAGTATCATTGCATTATATACATACGGATCCACCGCATGTATAAACCAAATCATTAGTGTGAATTAAGAATGCTGAGCCTGTCTTTGCTACCTTTCCACTCATGTCCAGATGCATAAATCCACCATCTCCTAACAAACTACATGTCATTCGATTACCAGTAGAACAAGTGAGGATTTCAAGCCTAACAGAATAAGCTTCAAATAATGTAAATAAATCAGAAGGAAATTCTGGATGAATTCGCTTCATTGATAAATTTCCAACCCATGAGCCAACCTGCGAAATATGACAGATAAATAATAGAATCGTTGTCAGTGGCAGGGTAATTTTGAACAGGTTGTGAACTGAGGGTCTTTCAAAAATCAAAGCGTTTTAAAACGACCAAAGGCATAAGTAAACTACTACAGTAAAATTGTAAAACTCTAATCAAAAAGAGTCACTTTCGTACTAATTAGAGAACATCACCTGTAGGTTACCTCTAAAGTTATTGAGAGTTGCAATTGTTACTTCCTATGATATATAAAAATATAAACAAAAAACAAAATATGTTTGTGTCTAGAATATTGATTGTATGGTGCCTAGAAGTCCTAAAACATTTTATGAATCCAATATTTTATACTCACATTTCTGACAGGAACATTTGCAATTTTCTTTATATGTTTCGCCATCACATTAAATGTAACTGAATGTGAAGAGTTTTGTTCGAATATTGAAATCAAGTTGTTCAGACTAACATTCGCCCCAAGAGTTAATGAGGTTTCATCATTCTTTATCTTAATTAAAAATTTTAAGATTTACTATAACAAATATTTATTAATAACACATCGATAAAACTAATAAGTGTTTTGAAATATACTGGTAGCATATTGTTCCGCATCTTGTTACAGATAGAATATATTCAATTTTTAATTGAACACGCTAGAAAAAGATTGTAATAATGATGGTACTGGTATGGTATAATGATGTGTGTACCAGATTAGCGTTAGGCCATAGTTTTATTCCGATTTTCCTTATTTTAGTTCTATTTCGAGTTCAGGGACTGTCTGTGTTAGCCAAGTAAATATACACTCTACTGCCCGGTTTTCAAATATACTAAACAGTTCACAATCTTTGAAAAGGAATGATTGGACAAAGTGATGATTCGGAAACTAACCTCATAAAGCTCAGGAACAAGTTTTGTGTCAATATAAACATCATATGGTTTTTCAAATTTGAAAATACCTAAAAAAAAAGTTTTATTCCTAATTAAGCTGTTTGAATGAATGATAGCATTTGAACTATGATGCATTCTATTATCGGTTTTCTTATACAACTGGTGGTAAATATCTCGAGGTGAGGAATTGCAGTACAAAAGCCGCATGCAGAAATCCAGAAATATAATTTGTAAAAATTTTTGGGGGTAATTATTGGTCATCTTTATTTTTGATGACACTTTTATTGACTTATTAGGGTGGAGGGAATTTTCAAGTAAACAATGTTTCGATAATGGTTTTCTAAATTCTTTTTCTATCAAATATAGGGTGGTCGCTAGAAAAGAGAAAATTTGAAGGACGGACGACGAGTAAAATGCGTGCTTACTCATTTCTTTTTCGATACTGAGTTGTTTTAGGTTCTATTTGATTTCTGTAATATTCTGTGAAATATAACATAAAACTTTGTAAAAGTTATTCTTTGTACAAACAGCTGCTTGACAATATTTCTGTTTTTCTAGCGACCACCCTGTAACCTTCAGTAGTAGGAGGAGTACCTTCATTATTCGTCTACCTGTGCTAGTATTGCCAACAACAAAACGTAATCTCTTGCTTGCATTAATCTTCACAGAATCTGCTAGTTGTTTCAGAGATCCAGGACGCAACCATTGTTTAGATTCTCCTCCATTTACATTCCATGTAACTTTGATTGGATTTGGCTTCACTGCTTGTTTCAAGTTTCCCTTAATTAAAACAAAATATTTTTTATTCTTTGAGTTTGTAATAAAAAAAAAACGAAAATTAGTTATGTTCAATGATATCAATGATATCATTTGTTATCTGCATCGAATGCCGTAATTTAGGCTGGCATTGACATGCCGGAGAGATTTCGATGCTTTCAAAAATAGTAGCTCTATTTACAGGGATGGCGAACCTTTTTCAATGAATGGGTCAAAAATTATATTTTTATCGCGTAACAGAAGTGAGTGGGTCACAGTTACTTAATCAATGTTTGTATCTATAATTATGAAACTTATGGAACAAATCTTATAAGCTTCTGTTGGTGTTGGTGTAGTTTTGGGCTTTACTTATGCAACGCTTCTATCAGGGACTTTATATGGCACTCGATTTTATGAAATTAGAATACGAAATAACGCATATGAATTACCAAAAACGTTTATGATTATGTGGCAAATTATTTCAAAGAGTTGGAGGGAATTCCACTCTGATAGTGTTATATTTTTTGATCAGCTTTCAGCCACATTAAGACACTTTTACACTGCCCAAAAGTTATTTCAGATTCCTAGGTTTTTATTTCAAGTTTGAAATATTTTGTTTTCTCAATGGCATTGTAGGCGGGAAACTAATAAAATGCAAAGTAGCATCTAGTTCTTGTATAACCCCTAAAACAGTTTACAGATGCACTTCCGAAAAAAGACGTTGCGAGAAATGAACAGATTAATTGCATTGTTATTTTATAAACGATGTCAGAGCCAATAAATGAATAACGGTACACAGTGGTGCAGACATTGAAACATGCGTCCATTTGAATCCACATTTGAATATGAGCGATCGCAGCCCTACTGCCCAACTGACGGTACATTATAATAGTTTATTAATTGTTAAATTAATTCAAGGCCGGTTTTATAAATTTTTATCACTGATATGTTAGCATTTTTTAAATTTTATTCGTGCCTTGGCGGGTCACGGATAAAACGCGGTGGATCACTTTGTGACCCGCGGGTCAGTGGTTCGCCATCCCTGCTCTATTATATCACTGGATAATAGAAGAGGATGTAATTTACATATTTTTATCGAGAGGAGAAGGAAGTCGATAAGACGACCTAATTATTTTGCGCACCAATGGCGCCTCGTCCGTTACCAGTCCTTGTCGGGTACGGGATTAGTTAGTCAGTTATTTGTTTTCAGATTGATATAGAATGCGTTAACCGTCCAACGACTACCATTCTACGACAAGCAGTCCGAGCGTGAGAACCCACGGAGTGTAATCAGAGATACATATTGCTTATCTAATAACAACTGCTTGTAACATAGGGCCTATTTTCGGGAAAGGGCCTGAATGAGCGTCGTATGAAAAAGTCAAACAGCATGTCAGAGCTGTTATCTATCCAGATATTTGATTTTAACATCGTAAAGAGTTAAATCCAACCTCCTTTTTATGAAGAAATGATAATCCACCGTCGGCTCTGTATCTACCACAGCTATTTCTGCAGCCAAGCCTGTGATCTTTGCACTTCATTCCATCATCGCTGCAAACTTTAATGTCCTGCAAATATTTGACAGGTTGCAAAACATCATAATATTTTTGGTTCCAAGTTATTGATTTTAGTTTGTTATGCAAGCATTGTAAACGGGACTTATTTGAAGTTTGAACAACAAGGAAATTTTAAAAATGAAAAAAAACATATTTGCATTTTAGACTCTAGAGAGCCTTTTTTATCTTTAGGCACTGAAAATGTAAAATTAATTGGCCCATTGGTTACCATTGCATTGCTATTTTTTCAACCACATTAATCATCTATCTATAACAACGACAACATGGAGAATGAGAACAATAAAGTATCGAAACAATCCATTTGTAACAAACATTCTGTAACATTTTTTCACAGATTTCTTGATTTCAATCGATTAAACCCCAACTTTTTGTTGCCCATATTGTTGAAGAAATTAGACAAAGTTATTCAATATGTACTTACCTCGGCGCTTCAGAAGTGTATGTATCAATATAAAGATAACTACTTTTGTTCGCCTATTTTACATTAAGTTGTGTATAGGGACTGAAACCTATGGGTAGGGGGTATATTCACTCGGCTAACACAAACTGTCCTCGAAATCGAAATAGAACTAAAATAAGGAAAATTTGAATAAAATGATGCCCTATTCCTAACCTGGTAGCCACACTACGGTAGTACTTACCTCTATATCAGAAATAAACTCCTTCAACTTCGGGTCAGCATCTATTGCGAAAGATTTCATCGCATCAAAAATGGAACGAAACCCTGTACATCGACATATATTGCCATCGAACTCAGACTCGATTTCTTCCTGGGTAGGATGTGGATTCTTCTGCAATAAGCTGTTATTGTAGAAAAAAAAATTTATTTCAAACAGCGCATGCATTGGTAGAAACATGTTGATAATCTTATTCTGACCTCATTTTAATTTAAAGTTTATTTTAATTTTTTTTGTGTGTCAAGCTAAAAGATTTGTGTTCGTTCAATGCAAATTGAAGTGACATTTTTAAATAGAGATAAATGCAGATACTATAATGCTTAATGAAAAAAATGGATAAAAAAGGATCTATATGTTCCAAAACAAAGATATTGTGAGATATTCTATGATTATGACATGGGTGGCAGTACAAATAGTCAAAAAACAGTGACTCGAATTGATTTGCGCAAATCCGCCCTTGACATGTCGTAGTAATCAACAAGCCCGTATTTTTGCAGCACGTGTGCAACGTAACGTGCAAGGCAGCTGGCGACTAGCGTTGCATTTGGTGTTTCAAAAGTTACATATTAAATTCATGTAAAGCGCGTCGTAGTACATACGTTTTCTGAAATGAGGGAACATGTGGTTAGTGAATTTGATACAAAAGAGAATCAGTTTCTTTGAATCGTGCCACAGTTTAAAACACTTTATTTTTTATCTCGATTTGGTGGGCATAACCATTTTACAAAAATGATTGGGTTTATGCGGGACTAACTACTTATCCGTCTTCTATTATTTTGTTCCGGTGGATCCGTATGCATATAATGCAAGGATGCATTAGCAAGAGTAAAGATAACTATCCTAAATGATTTAAGAGTCTTGCTGCACACTAACACAAATATATTTCTGTAGTTACAGACCGGAAGACTCTTGAATCTCTTAGGATATCCATTTTACTTCAAAATCATAAATTCCTGTAAATGCTACAAGTTTTATATTTACTATGATTGAAACAAAATATTTTATCTCTTGACCTGTACATAGTCATGACAAATCCTGGAGTGCAGTATCCACATTGTGTTGCGCTGAAGCAAGCAAGTCGTTTTTGTATATCATTATATTGACCACCGTCTGATATAAGACCTTCTGCTGTTGTGACTTGGCAACCATCGACAGATAACAACGGGTACAAACACTGAAAGCAACAGAGCGGTATTGGTTTGATCAATTGATTAATAACTTTATTAAAGGTCTTATCTCAGGTGTAGAAGAGAGTACCGGTAAGTATTTTATCACTTCAAAATATTTTTGGAGGTTTAACACTAAATTCTGGATAAATTTAATAAAATTTTAGCAAACTTTCAAATCGGCGTTTGCGCTAAGCGTTAGGAACACGTTTATCGACGCATTGCTCGGGTTTGCAAGTTTGAAGCCGAGTGTGGGGGCTATTTATGTGCGAGATGATTACTGGACTCCTCGCCGTCGTGGGGGCTCCAGTAACCGCTGGTTGGTTACGGCTTCTTCCACTATCAAGTACAGGATCACTGGTTAGCGGTGACATACCCGACATGTTAAACGGAAAAGAGGCCGCCAACTTGAGCTTTTCTATCGGTCTTCTTCTCACACAGACAATAAAACATTTCTTACCGAATTCACAGCAATTTTGACATCTTTTCCTGACATGGGATCAGATGTAGTAACCATGACAACACATGCCCCACATCCGCCTTCCTTGCACATGATTTTAGTTCCGGTTAACTTTGGGTTATTTCTCAACCATGAATTCAGAGATGTTCCGATATCAGAATTTTTCTCTGAAAACAATATATTAAGTCAACAACGCTTCTTTTTAGCAAGTTGGGGGAGTTGGCAGCCCTTAGTATCAAACAATAAATGGGACTCAGCTGTTAACTGACCGATAGTTTAAGATACGAAGCACCAACCATCGAGGCAGTGACTAATTGCGCCCAATCAACCATATTTATTTTCGCAACATATTAGATTTAATAATAAAGCGAGTTTGAATAATCCGGAACATTACAGTAAATACGCCATGAAGTACATTTATTCATTCACACGCAAAATAATGAAATGCAATAAAATTAGCCGATTACTAAGTGCATGAGCAATCGCAATTTTCCTTTGACTCTTTTCAACTTAACGAAATGGTGGTGTAAAAGCAGTTTAACCAACTTTCCTAAAATTAAATATACATGTTTTACAAGAGTTTATTATAAACAAAAGCAATAACGGAATTTTACCCTCATCATACAACCGTTTCATAAAAGGTTGCAATTGGTTTGAATACAAACGTAACAATGTGCGCGATTCCCAAATATAATTGAAAATTTGTATTTAGCTTGTAGAGTAACTGACTAATGGCTCATATTTGCTGGGAGTTCGCATGGGGTTCGTAATAATAAATTATCTGTAACTGGTCCACTCAGAAAATAATTGCCCACCTATGGACTAGCGTTATACCGTTATATGTCATGTAATAGATCTGTGTAAAGCGGGTCGTGTAAATGCAGCACGGCTATTGACATACATAAGTAAATATGACGTACAGTTAGTTATAGAGCTGTGTGTTTGTTTGGCATCGTTTTCTGAAATGAGAGAACCCGTTTTTAGTGAGATCTGTTTTTACAATTTCGAATCCCATTCCTACTTATACTTTTCCATTTTAGTTTACTTTGGCACGTGACAAATAAAGACGAGCGACAAATATTTAAATATATATATATATATATATACGAAAAGGAAGGTCTTGGATTACCAACAACAAATGATTTGATTTCTTCACTGTAATTATGACAAAAGAACAAGCTGTAATTATGCAAATCAATTTAAAATTTACCCAATTGAAAAAGAAAAATACACTAATGAACTATGAAGCACCAGTACACAGCAATGCAATGAGACCAGGAGTTCCCAAGCTTTCTCGTTAAATTCCTCCCTTTGCTTATTTTGGAATTCTCTGTTCATCCCTCAGTGTGGCTAAAAATTACTAATCATCTAATGCCTTAGAGCAGTTTAAGTAGTTTATGTGTGCATACGTTAGCATTACAGTTATAATCATGATGAAGAAACTAGAAAAAATGGTATGGTCCTATAATTAATAAGAAATGCGATTTTTTTACACGGTAACAACAAGAAGAAAAGTACAAACAAGAACAACATTAAAAAAAACGATACATAGGTCCATTTCGTGTCTAATAAAGAATATTAGCAACTACAGTAAATACTAAACGAAATTTATCTCCGAAAATACAAAATACCTTCCTGTGGGATAATTTCTTCCCAATTGGTAAACGTTGCTGTAGACCAGGGGTCGGCAACCTGCGGGCCGCACTGAGTTATAGTAACACAACAGCTGTTTTGACGATTATATTCTTTACGTAACAGAATTTATTGTGAGACACATGTAGACTAAATTATATCATAACCTAACAAGTATATAATTCACAATTTCTCGTTCAATGAGCCTATAATTTAATTATAATCAAACAAATGGCAACAAAACGCAGAAAAGTTGATGCTTAAGTGCAAAGGGTTCGTTAGCGCCGAAAATATTCAAATGGAATTCTTGAGATGCAATGAGGAAATAAATCTATATTCTATTCGAGAGATGTATCACTGCTTAATTTTTAATATAAAAAGGATCATCCGTTCGGTTTCCAACTTTCTGAAAATATGTGCGGCCCGCCAATGACTTGCATGACTCTTAATTGTGGCCCTCGAACGACAAAAGTTTGCCGACACCTGCTGTAAACATTTTTTTCTGCTCAAGTAATACTCGGTCATCTGTTGCTTGTCGTGAAGTATTCGAGCTCAATTATACAACCTGTTATGGGTGAACAGCCGTGTCTAATGATTGAAATAAATAATAAAGATAACCAGACTTACCTCGGAAAACCACTCCATTTAAAGAGAAATTTATAGTTTGGGTTTCATCCATGTTGCAATTTTCTTTGAATTTTTCAGCGTCTGCAGCCTTTGCAATATCCTTGACATTGAACTCATTCAAAAACTTAGGAATGCGTTGTATGTGCTAAAACTCGCACTGTGTTCTTAAGCGCGTAACTGCGGTTTACGCACAACCAACGCGATGGATTGAACTTTGCTATTTCACAATGCACGATTTATCATCAATTCGTCTTGCTGTTTCATACATTACGTAACGATACAATCTTTTGTACAAAGCAATTACCCAGTTAGGGATAGAGTTAGTTTTGGTTGGGAATGATTTAAAAAATTGAATTCATAGCGCTATCCAAGCCCTAACTGGATAATCACTAATTTTCTGTTTTGTTTTTATTTGCGAATCTGTCTTGCTGTTTCATACATTACGTAACGATACGATCTTTTGTACTAAGCACCCGCCACTGATGCAAAAAGGATTTTAGAAAAGAACACCCGCCACGACACGTTTTAAAATAACAAACAGGTAATTATCTAGTTGGGGTTAGGGATAGGGTAAGGAATGATTTGAATTTCTGGTGCAATCTGAATTACTAACCCTATCCCAAACCCTGACTGGATAATTTCTAATTTTGAGCATTGGCGGGGGTGATTCGTTTAGGCGGGGTACAGAAGATCCACGTTTTGTTATCATTGCATGTACTCGACGAAGAGATGCGAGACGACCATGTTTAAGATTCGTCGGCAATATGACTCAGGTTTTTATGTTTGTGGTATTGAAAAACAAATTATTCTACACCCAAGTCTTGTACATGAGCAACGAACTGAAATGATGCATTTGACATTCACAAGAAAGTAACAAACATACTTTTTGCAAGTTCTGATTCATTGCGCCATGACGAATGTCAACATAGATAGGATTATTTTTTATGTATCATATGCAAATTTTTTTAAAACGCCTCAGGTGTTAATTGCAAAAACGCAATTGTGGTTTATCCGTTGAATGTGATAGCTAGAAATTGGTTTGTTTACCCAATCGCCGTTCGGTCTGATCTTTATAGATATACTTGCAATTATAAAATTAATAATTGGATGGCATAAGAATGCCCACAAAAGTGCAAGTCGAAGACATTTTTTCGTAATACAATCCAAAGGCGAGGTTCCTGTTATGACGTGACGTGCTGGCTCATTTATCTGGGATGGCGTCGAAGTTTATGGAACACTTGAAATACTGGGAAAACATTCCACAAGCTTGACAATACAGCATAAAGCACGAAGAGGCAGTATCGATGCATCGACATGGTATGGGCAATGGAAGGGCGGCGTTTTTAAATTGCTGTAACTATTATACACCCTTCTTACTTATTACGTTATTAGTAATTTAGTATATATTTGGGAAAATATCAGTTTTCGAAGTTAAAAAAAAACTATCAGTCAGGAGCTGTTTACACAGCGTGTATCGAATTCTGGGCGTGTCTATTTATGATACCTAACGTCAATTATTACTAAGTCGTAATATTTTCAGTCCCAATTCCTGTGCAGCTCTGTAAGTTTAATTTGAATTCCGTACATACAGGGTGTCCAAAAGGTTTCGACTAAAGCCCTTATAACCAAATGTTTTTTATTTTTATTTTAAAAAATATTTCTAGTCAACCTGTTTCTAATTGGATGTTATAGATGTTGAATGCTGTAGTCCCCATTTATCATACAACCAAATTTATTTAAATTTGCAATTGGTAATGCTATGAAATCGAGCGGAATTTTTTGGACACCCTGTATTTTGATGTTCTGTTTGTTTCGGTTTAGTGTATTAACGTATATATATATATATATACATACACTACTTGTGTGATATTTTTGTTTGTTTTTGAGGACAATGTAAGACCAAGAACGCCCGGAGGAATAAGTATATATATATATATATATATATCCAAAGCAGTATATATACGGCTTGTTTTTCCAATGCTGCTGTATTTATGTATTATATAAATTTTGACAATCTCTCGCCGTGGTTATATATACAGTTGTATTTGTGTATTATCGCAAGCTTGAAACACGATTCAATTTTCCAGTATGTCACACGCTTAAATCCTCATTCAATTTTATGCGTTATGTGAATGTTAATTACCTGCAATTTTGCGCGATATTGATTGTTTCAACTACCAAAGCCTCGCCTCATTAATAATAACAGTACACTGACAATCGAAATGTTTGTACATATGTTTAATTAATTGGATATATGAACCTTGGGTGTCGCTGCTTGATAACCAGCTCTGATTCCCCGCGATTTTTTTTTCACAGTGAAATGTGTCCTCCATAATATTCTCTCAAACTATATTTTTTTACTGGATGGAAAAAATAAACTTGGCTGTGGCTTTAAGGTTATGAAGTGATACTAGGGTGTTTTTTATTTTATTCACTATCCTTCTTGGTTACCAAATGACAAGATCAATACAGCACATTTCAACGTCTCGTTACGCCTTACTCACTGATCTTAAAGTGTCAGATGGGGACGCGTCTATTCAGTCAAAAAGCCAGAAGCCATCAAAAACCCCGAGTGCCCAATAAAAATTTGCGAGCGTTGTTAGGCATGGATGGCTGCTGGGAATGAGAATGATATTGCATTGCTGTGTGGGGAAAGGCAAGTACTTCCTGAAGTTTCTGGCAATCACAAAGCGTCAATTTCTTGGAGAAGCGAAGAGATCTTCCGCAAAGAAATAGAGACTCGAGAGAAATATTTTGATAAAGCGTTGAAGATGACGGAGAAGCGTAAGTACTCTTACTAAAGTATCGGAGTCTATGGAGACGAGTACATGCCATTTTAGTGACGTATTAGAGCCGTGGTTCTCAAAGTGGTTATTCGGTTCGTAGTCCGTATTGAATCCACTTGAACTTTCCAAAAAAGGAGGCCCCGGTTTTAGCGTGTGAGGTATCATCGCTAATTACCATCTAATAAACCCAAATATAACTAAATAAAACACCTATTTTACAATGTTCGTCTTACCAAAATATTCGACTTAATTTTGAATTAATGCAACGAATACTAGTGATTGAGCGAATTAGTACTTCAATACAGAATTTCTTTTTACAAAGAGTACGATCGCAAAATCCTCGTGACTCGGCAGTTGGGAACCTCTGCTCTGGATAGAAATTCAGTGTAGTAAAAAACCGACCTCGTGTAGATATTTTTACAAGTTTCCTCACTCCGGAAAAAACTCAATGCAGGCGCCAGGCAGCCATTGATATGTGGGAGCTGGCATTATCTCGGTGGGGCATAGCCTACTGGCCTTGTTATACAGGGTTAGAACAACGCGGCACGCCGCCGAGCCACAGATTTCCACACTTGCAGACACTATAAGATATGCCGGTCAGTACATCGCAAATCCACGTAGGGTAATCAAAGAAGTGATAACTAGGGCTGGGCATTTTGAATCGGTTCAGAGGAAAATTTCGAATCGCAGACATCTTGTTTTTTCCTTTCCGCCAATGGTCGAGTCGAATTCCTCAATTTTTTTGTTTATCGAAGCCATATTTTTTCAACGCAATTCAGACATATATATGGCTAATTTCTGTAATAAGGTATTGATAAAACGTGTTTCTTATTGTGTGTGAACTTTCGGTAATCTGCCTGAGTGATGTAATCTATGTTTTCAGTAACTTATGTGTCGGAAGGACCCAATACAATAGGAAAGTCGCATACAATTATATATCTCCTGGGTATGCGATTCGAAAAAAAAATATTCGATTTTGAATTCATCAGGTATTCGAAGTCCCAGTCTTAGTGATGACAAGGTCGTTCAAAAATCCGAATGCTATGCAGTCAAAACCATCTGCGTCACAGATGAACCCCCAAGCACAAAAACGGTTTTCGCTTCCACTAAAGATATTTAATAGCGAAGTTTTAAGCAGTAAAATGTACAAGACTTCCGAACAGAAAGAAATACTAATTAAAACCTGTCAAAGTCACACAATATTATCAAAAACAAAAAGGAGATTTTAATAAGACTAAATTAATAAACTATTCCAGTGTTTTGATCCTACCGCGGTGCCTGGCAAATATTTTCATAATAGGTTTAATATCACCAGTGTTTCAATACAAAATATTCAAATCAATTCTTAATAGGTTAGGATGTGATTTACATGTTTATCCAAAAGGAAAGGAAATTCGTTAATCATATGGCGTACCACTAATTTTGTCCGGTTACCAGTCCATGTTGGGTATGAGATTAGTTAGCCATTTATTTTTTTTCAGATGCATGGACTTGTAACGTTCTGGGCATTTTGGCTTAATGTGTGATATTTCTTAACAATAACTTGCATTGATAGTAGTTGGTATACATTTAACAGTATTTGTTTAAGATCTCTCTTATCCAAAACACTTACAAGCATGTCTCTCACTGGTCCTCTTCAGTTAGACTCAACAATGCATTGGTAGCATTTAAATAAACCAGGATTAACGCTTAAAATCCTAGCACACTATGCCTATATGGCAACATAATTTAAATGTGATTTTCAGGCTTTTGATTACAAAAAAAATGGCTCCTACACTTGACATACAGTATCTAAATTGCCTACTGCTGTAAAATAACTTGTGTAGGCTGGACAAATGAATATAAAAGCAAAATCCTAGACAAATGAAGGAGAAATAAGCGATGAAAACAACACATACATGATATTAAATAAATATAATATAGCACACATAGCAATATTTATCGCTAAATAAAAATTCAACAGATGTAACAAGGCAAAAGAATATATTTCATACTAACTCGAAGCCATGAGTGAAGAGAAGTACATAATTGCTGAGATGGCCAAAATACACATAGAACTGGCAACTGTCTGTCCTAGACATCATATTACACAAGAGAATATAATGTTGAAGATGTAAGCCAGGGATCGGCAACCTTTTGTCGCTCGCGGGCCAAAATTAAGTCATTGGCGGGCCGGACATATTTTCAGAAAGTTAAAATTCAAACAGATGATATTTTTAGAAATAAAAATCAAGCAGTGATACATTTATCGAATTGATTACATTTAAAAAATTCCATATAAATACTTTGAATAAATTATAGGCTAGTTAAACGAGTAATTGTGAATTATATGCACTTGTTAGGTTATAATATAATTTATTCTACACGTCTTACACAATAAATTCTGTTACATAATGAATATAATCGTCGAAACAGCTGTTTTGTTACTGTAATTCGGTGAAGCGTTGCAGTCGTAGGTTGCCGACCCCTGATGTAAGCCAATCACAATTCCATTGTTTTGGGTCACGGGTAAATATAGTGCAGAGAAGTTGTAACATATGGTTCTAAGAAGCCAAATAGAATTGATCACCAAGCATAAAATAAATATGCCGGGTGTAAATATTGGAACAAAAGACTTTTAGGGAGTTTTAATTCATTGAGCAACATATCATTGAGACTCTCAAACCAATAATGGAATGCTACAAATTGATTGGACATCAACTAATACATTTCATTCATGATAACACTTGATTATGAATTTAAAAAAGAATAATATTGTTTCATTACAATGGAAAACAACTTCAGAATGAGCCAAATTGAAAAAAATTTATTTGAAAATAGCAGTGAGAAAACACCCGTTAGCAAAGCATGTATTTCCTATTAGAAATCCATCAATTAGGTTGAAAAGACCGGCTTTTCATGCAGTGTTAGTTTCTACATTGAGGTGATTTGTTGTTTACAAATTTTGAAAACATCCACCAATATTATTTGTATGGATATATGATTTAACAACCTTTCTTTGCCAATGATTTTTCAGGACAACTATTACTTGAACATGATGATTTTATGTTATGTTAGTTGAGAATAGGAATGAAAACATGGCTAATAATACCATTTGAATTGCTCTCTCCCTCTTTGGTAAGTCCTATATTCTTCTATTATTTATAGATAGTGAATTACCATTATTGACAACTGCTATCCGGTCTTAAGTACTGAATGTTTAGTTGAAGATTGTCCATAAAGTTTTAAGGGAATTTGTCGATACCATGGAACAATTACTGATTAAAAAAACAACAAACCTGGTTATTAAGATATATTGGAAAGTGACTTCATAACAAAATTGAAAATTGACTTTATGGACACCCTGTATAGTTTTCTTAGTTGTGAATAGGAATGGGTAAATGTTATAAATCATAATTCCAATCACTCCATGTATTATTTCTTGGTGTCCATCCCATTATTTATATACTATCTATGAATGATGCAAATGCAAAGGCACTGAACACCTGCAACACACGTTTCGGCAAAAAAGCAGAGATATAAAGCATTTCCCAAATTATTTATGGATTCAGATTAATAGCATTTAGATAATCTATTTTGCAACAGAAATATGTAAAAAACATATGAAATTGTTAATCTGAAATGATGCCTTTGAATGATTTAAACAGCATGTATTGTCAATATTCAGTGAAGTTTACTGTTTTGCAACAGAAATGATATAAAATACGAAGCTTTCTGACTGAGACGCATAGGGTGTCCATAAAGCCTCAAAATTGCAAAGGGAATTTATCGATACTATTTCTTGTTTTGGCCCCCACATATGTATTAAATGAAGTAAAAATACCTAAACAATTACTGATTAAAAAACAACAAACCTGGTTGAGATATATTGAGAACTGACTTACGGTAATAATAATATTAAAATTGTAAATTTGTATGGACACCCTGTATTATCAGAGCAATGATTTGGAATGTCCAAAACACAAGAGATCACATAATTCTTAAAGTATCTTCATAGCAAAATCCTTATCTGTGTTGCGGGGTATCTCTTTGCCAGATAAATAGCAAATTAGATTAACTGAAATTAGTATTAATTCTAAAACAGTATTTTGGAATACAAAAACACTGGTCTAGCCACAAACCTTTTTCTTATGAAATAATAGCATGAAATATTGCTAGTGAATAATAAAATGAAAATAATACAATAACATATAATGAAGTGAGAGCAATATGTGAAATACAAGTGAGGTGTTTGTGAGTAAAGTAGGGGCGCCCAAAATAAAGCTTCTAGATTCGCACACTCGAGTTAATGAGGTATATTCCGCTTTTTTTTCAACTCCATTTCATGCTGTATTAAATGGACTTTAATTTAACGTCGAAGTGTGCTGATCATTGGTCAATGAAGAGGACGATGAATTTCAGGAAAGATTGATATTTTGTAATTTTTTAGAAAAAGATATTTCTTCGCCGAGTTATAGTAATTTGATTATAATTTAAAAATAATTCAAATTGGACCAATTCATCATCAAAACTGGCTCAAATTTATGATACACAAAAATTAGGTTAAGTAGTGTTAACACAGTCAAAGGTTTCTACTTTGGGCTTCCCAGGAGCAAGAATATCAAACTTCTGAGTGATGATTGTTTGTTGATAGTGATACGACTACGAAATGTATGGGTGACCGAATAATAATTCTGCACCAATCAAGATAGAAATAGGAATTCATGAGATTTATTATTTGATGGTCTGATTATTTTCCATTATGAGATAACACCAAACCTTGTATTCATATCTGGTAAAAAAAAATGCAAATTTTCGAATATGGGTGGTTAGATTAATAACACTGTGCAACACTAAAAAAAGTACAGGGTATCTGCAGCAATTTTTGTATGCTTAATAACGTAGAAAATTTATTTTCGGCTTTCTTTTTGTTGAATTAGGTATAGTTTTTGCAAAATTGCCACAGTCGTGAATTTCAGTAAAAACGTCAAAAATGGGTTACTGTCATCTTTGCGGTCACATATTATGTGTATTATATTTTTAATGTAGGCTAAAAAATATCAAGGAAAAAGAACAGCAGCAAGCAAAATAAAGTTTAGTTTTCTTACAAACATGCTTTTTTCAATATGAAAGTTAGCTAAGGCAGATTCACCTTCAATGGTTGTTTTGGTAACTATCCGTCTATATTTGCGTGTATATGCATAGACATATCAGCCGAATACGCCAACCTCAGCGCTTCGCAACAGCGGCGGGAATCTCCCGAGTTGCCCCACATGAGTTCTCTGTGCAGCCCGCATCAATATAACTCATTCCGCAAAACCTGTATTTGATGCTTGTCTTTAGATGTAGTATAGGCTTTGACGATATCTTCAAGACAGTGCAAAAATGATCCAAGCAAATTCTGCTACATATGTGGCGAATTAACATTTGCTAAGGAAAGGCGCAGCATTACCAGCCATATCAAGAAATTGTACAAGGCGTACTTTCATTGTCATATAGGAGACCAAGACAAGTCATGGGCTCCTCAAGCTTTTTGCCTTACATGTGTGAAAACATTGAGCGCATAGTATGCAAAAAAATATGTTCACATGAAGTTTGGTGTGCCAATGATTTGGCGAGAGCAGAAAGATCATTGCTATTTTTGTCAGCAGGACTATACCGGCTGTACAACAGCAAAAAAAGAAACACATTGTTTACCCAAATTTGCAATCAGCAATGCGCCCAGTTGAGCACTCAAAAGAATTATCTGTACCAAAACCCCCTGATCAGGAAATGTGGAGTTCAAGCAGTGGGGATGAACATTACAGTGATGAAAAAGTAGAATTTTCTGATTCAGAAAGCAATAATAAACCAATACTATTTTCTCAAGATGCTCTAAATGACTTATACAGAGATTTTTATTTAACCAAAGACAAAAGTGAACTTCTTGCATCAAGGCTTAAAAAACGAAATCTTTTTAGAAAAGGGGTAAAAACAACATTGTACAAAAACGTGAACAAAACTTGCATGTTTTGTTCGCTCTGAAAGATGATTTATGCTTCTGCAATGACATTGTTGGACTTTTTGAACAACTGGAAATACCATATGACAACACCAACTGGCGACTTTTCTTAGATGCATCCAAAGTAAGCATAAAAGCTGTTTTGCTTCACAATGGCAACACCCTGCCATCTGTTCCTATGGCTTACAGCACAACCATGAAAGAATCATATGAAAATTTAAAAACAATTTCAACAAGCATACAGTATAACGTCTATAAATGGCATGTTTGAGCAGATTCCAAGGTTATAGCCATGCTCACTGGCCTTCAGCCAGGCTATACTAAATTTGTTTGCTTCTTGTGCTTATGGGACTCTAGAGCAAGAGTTGAACACTGTGCATATTAAACTCGGTTTGTTCAAACAGTTTGTGAAAGCACTGGACAAGGATTCCTTTGCCTTTATTGCAGAAAAGTTTCCTTCTTTAAGCCAAGCTAAAATAAAAGAAGGTAGACTATCTTTATAGGTCCCCAAATTCGAAAAATTGTTTTTGATGAAACTTTTGACACACATCTCACGGGAAAAGAAAAATGGGGGCTCCCGAAGTATGCGAACCAAGATGGCGGACATTGGAATGTAAGATGTGTACTAGGTTAGGGTTAGGTCATAATTTTAGGTATAAATACTACGGGAGGCTCTTGGCTAGTCTTCGAACTGATAATAGGACTAAAATAAGGAAAATTGGAAAAAAAAAACGCCTAACCCTAACCTGTTACCCATGTTACGTTCCGATGTCCGCCATCTTGGTTCGCATACTTCGGGAGCCCGAAAAATGTTCCTTTGAGTCATTCAAGAAAGTCTGCGATAACTTCCTGGGAAAACATCGTTCAGAAGACTATGTGCAAGTTGTGAATGATCTACTGCGTCATTTTTATGATATGGGATGTAACATGTCTCTAAAAGTTCATGTGCTCCACTCTCATTTGGATTTTTTTGCTGAGAATTTTGACAATGTGAGTGATGAACATGGCGAAAGATTCCATCAGGATATTTCATTAATAGAGAAATGTTTTAAAGGAAAATGAAACACTGGTATGTTGGCAGACTGCTGCTGGAATTTAAAAAAAAGATGATGACACTCTACACAAGAGGGTGAAGAGAACAAATTTTGTTTAAACTGGTGAAATCGGTGTTTTTTTCAAAATGAAGAATAATAAAATACATGAAAATGATACCTAATCCAAGGAAATAAATGTCAGCTTTGAAATCAGCATACTTTTCTTACACCGAAACCGGTCTTATATGGCTTGTACTTTTTTTTCACTTCAAATTTGTTGCACAGTGTAATATGAGAACTACAGAGTTCCGTGACCAAAAGCACCATCATTTAGAAGGAATAGGTTGAATACGAAATAATATAACTTTTCTGAGTTTAACCTACTAAGTTTGTAGCGTTTTTTTTTTAATTTTTAGACCAATTTACTAATGTTTAGGTTTGCTGCAAATTTCAAAACAAAATAATTAAAGAATTTTAAATCATTTAAATGGTTAGAAATCAGACTAGAAATTGTGCTTTCTTACAATTCTGGAATTTGAAATATTAGATTTGTCCACCAATGTATTAGGTTTCTAGCAGGTTTTAAAACAAGATAATATGGAAATAGAAAATAATCAGAAACAGTCAGAAATTCAAAAATTGCATTTTGTTGCAATGTATGAATTTGAAACTAAATACTTACTGATTCGTCCACAAAAGATATTGGGATGTGGATCGCGGTCAGACGTATCTACGGCAACAGAAGAAGATTCATCAGTGCTCAAGGAGTATACAAATATTAGACAGTAAATCACAGATTAAAATGAGGTGCAAGAAAGCTATTGTTACCAGCAGATTGACATGACATTGACAAAGCATTAGAAAAATTTTGAGATGTTAAAGTAGGTAAAGACGCATTATTAGCACTGGCAATAAAAGGTTGTACGGGGCTTGCATGGGTCGAAGAGTTTGCCACGAATGGCACAACAGGTGAGGATATAGCTGATCCTCCTGAATTGGAACCCTCCCCTCCCCAACTACTATAAAGAGGCACTGGTGGACGAATTGCGGTGCTGAAAGAACTCCCGCTACCTCCATCACGTCGTGAAGGTGTTCCTGTGCGGTTGAAACCATACGGAGAACTTCTTCCTGCGCTTGTTGTAGGACCGGCGACAATCTGATCGATAACCATGTTAACTTGGTTAATATGACCAGAAGTTGTTCTCTGTATAGCTCGATTTCCATTGGAGAACATTTGGCTTGAGATAGCAGGTGTCATGCCACTTTGGGACTGCATAATCCCGAAACTAGCGGCTGGCATTGTGTTCGGGATCGTAGCCGATTGGAGCCATCCTGCAACAGTGCTTGGTTGAATTTGAGATTCCGGTCTCACAGCAGCGGCAGATTGAGGATTAAAGGAATTGCTGCTAGCAGCCTGAATCGACTGTTGAATTTGTTGTTGATTTCCAGCGTTGTGCCGACGCACATGTTGCTGTTCTAAAACCCACATTTCAACTCGGTCTAGCCGAACTCTACGACTACTAGCATCAATCGACCCGTAACCAGAGGTCGACTCGGACGCCGAACCAGACACACCAGCACTCATAACACTTAATTGACTAGCACCGTCCATTTCAACAGGGCCCCCTAATCCTGCGTCTTGTGCCCCAGGGGCCCCTTCGTCTGGCCTATCCATACCCATAGGTGGCTCTGAATCATATTCTAAACTTTGTTGTTCCCTAACCCAATTCCCAACCCGTTCTTGTCTGAGTTCTTCACTGATGTCTTGCTGAAGTTTGGGGTTGCCAGGACTAAGAGTGACAGGTTGTTGCGATCCCTTACGTCCTTGACTTGGACCGGGTTCTTGAGAATCTGCGTCTTGGCGTAAATATCGCACAAGGTGTGCATGTCGTGCCATAACGTTATTATCTTCTTTCACAGTTTTTTGTTGCACAATTTTAACATCCGCACTTGTGGCATTGTTATTATTGTTCATGGTTTGCGGAGTTGCGCTTGTACTGGGTATATCAGTTGCATTGTGGGTATTATTGTTCATATCAATTGCATTATGGGAAGTAGTTTGTACATTAGAAGTCGTAGGACCATTTGTTGCCGTGAACACTGGGTACGATGTATTTCCATTCTTTGTTGCATCAAAAGTGTCGTAATCGGGATCAAATCTCTCTTGCTTTATATGTTGCACTTTAGCAAGCTCTGAAAAATATGAAACAAAGGATAAAACTCTTAACTTTATGAAACTATTACTTTCAAAGAATTCATGCATCTGGACAGATTGATTGGTTATCTACTCCCAAACATACAAGGGACTACTCCAATCGCCAATCATCGGCAGAAGAACTATATACAATCAAATACTAGAAACACATTTTAAAATGACCGAACCAACTTTATTTGTGCTGACATAACTGCCATGTATTGCTCTAGTTCATACCCTCACACATTGACATGGAGTCGTATTCTTGTTCACATCACCCATTGTCGTTTTTACTTATACCAATACACCAGCAAATATGCCGCTTACAGAGCTACCAAGGGGATCAATAACCAGACCAGACAGAAGTCATTGTTTATATGAATAAGTTATCTTAGCAGAATCCTTCTGTCAGGGAAAAAGAACACAATGTCTCCCCAACTGCATATTAAGGGGAAATGGCCATATCGCAAAGATTGATATAATAAATTACTAGTCCATATTCTATATTGTTCCAAACGATAATATTTTTTTATCTCTTATATTTTCTTATAATGAATGTTTATATTGTATATTGCCATCACTATTTACAAGTCAGCATTCCGGCAGGTGAAGGAAAGTAAAACAATAGATTATTGGAAAGATTGCAATAGGCAGTGTGAAATTATGTATGACAATTACATTATTATAATTTATACAAATATCATGTCCATGTTTTGTTAGGGCAGTGGTTCTCAACCTGCGGTCTTGTACCACTAGTGGTACGCGGGAGATTTTCAAGTGGTACGCGAGCAGATTTGAATTATTGCAACAATTAACCTTTCAGTTAAAATATGCCAGCAACGCTTTATCTTCCTTAGATCCTCACTGTATGTATTCGCTGAACAGCGTTTATGGATGTTTCCCCAAGCATCAGTTTCCTTGTAATTATAACCAAGGAGTCAATAATGACGCAACACGTAACAATTGCAATTTCTGCACCCAGCCGCTCAGACACTTTTTTCGCTCAAACAGATATTCAAGCATGGTTGCAAACATTGGCTGGTTTTTGTAGTTTTGAGAGATATTTGTCAGTCTTCAGTTGTGTTTCAAGAAATTAATTGAGCAATAATTAACTTAATTATCATTATGTCTTTCGCGGAGCATAAGTTTAGTTGCAGTAATCAAAATTGAATCTCGCAAAAGCTGCGATGGACAAGGCTAAACCTAGCTATATCAGTATCCGCAAACGGCACATGGTTGATTCATTTTAGTAAAAATGATGGTGTCAAGCACGTAAACCAGTTTAGATGCGCCTACAATCAAAACTGTCTCAGAATAAGCATGAAGTTTGCAATAGTAAAGTATAAGGGTAATTTTTCCAGGGTCAATGGTCGGGGAAACATCCACAGCTCTGGTGCGCTATCAGTTCTTGTTTTAAGAGATCGTCGTCGCCCGCTATTGCCCACCTTAAATTAAGCGATATGGGCATGTTTTTGACTGTTTTGCGTGTTACGCCACAAATGATGTAGTGCCTTTCTTAGGTCTTTTTCTCCACGCAAAAAAAGGAGCTTGGTCGGTGGTACGCAGCCATAGTAAAAAACAGTAAAGTGGTACGCGGTCGGTAAAAGGTTGAGAACCACTGTGTTAGGGCTTAGAACGGATTAGGGCATTTACAGGTGAAATTCGTACCTATTTACAAAATTTTCTACCTACGAAAGGGCTTCTCACATGAATTAATTTCGAGGTAGAGTTTCCACAGTAGTTACAAATACCTACTTTCAACGAAAATTATTTTTCTTATACCAACCTGTAGCCTTTTTCAAATCAAATGTGTACGATAATTCTTGGACTGGTTCATCACTTTTTACTCCTCGCAAACTATCTCGAAGCTCTTTTAATTTGATGTAGAAATGAACTTTATCTTGTGCTCGAGGGAATTGAGCACATCGTGCACTTGATGATGCCATCACATAAATGTACTAAAACGAGAAGATTATAAGTAAGAATAACAGTGCTTCCGTAATATGTGAACCAAGATGGCGGACACCAGAACGTAACATGTGTATCAGGTTAGGGTTAGGCCATAATCCTGAACTCGTAATAGAACTAAAATAAGGAAAATATAATTGCGAGGTGCCTTCGCACTTATAATTTCTTTAGAGTGAACACTACACATTGATAATGTTGTAGCCTATAAAGGTATTTGTTGTTGAATAACAAGCGATGTTAAAATAAAATGAGGAATCACAATATACTGTTTTGTAGTGATATTGTCTAATCGAATAGTGAATTCATTAGTTTTATATCATAGTATTTGCTTCATTTCACAATGATACTGTAATAACGTATACCGCTATTACGATTTTAACAAATATTGGCTAAAAAGGTATTCAGATATTATCAACCAAAAAATAGGGTAGAAAATCAAGCGTAGGTAAAACGACACAAATCAATACCAAGAAGAATTCTTCATTTAATGGATTGCTTGAGATCACCAATCAAATATTACAGACATTAGCAATGAAGGTTTTAATCACTCTGGGACGATTGAAACAAAAAATAATTAGGTTGACTAATCATTTTCAACATACAATTAAGGAATTTTGTGGATAAAATTTGGCCGTCTCAGAGTTGAGTCAAAACTCAAAATTTCCCTCAACCTGAAATCAGGATTCTGGGTCACAATTTTTTTCAACCTAAAATCAGGAATTAGTATTCGAAGTCGGGATGCTCAGAGTCTGGAGCCATATATATATTGAGAACTGACTTTATAACAAAATTGATTGTAAAGGGACTTGATGGACACCCTGTATTTTGTTTGCAGATAATGACATAAACAAAGTTTTAAAATTTGAAACTTACAGTATCAGTTTCCGGTATTTTATTGATTTGAGTACCGAAAACAAAATCTTTCTTTTTTTGACCGAAAATCTCTTTTGAAAATATTTCATAAATTCCTTTTCCATTAAATACTGCAATCTTTGGTTTATAAAACTGAATTTTTTCTATAAGTTTTTTTGCCCCTTCTCGGATCTCTTTACTGTAAATAAAAATGGGGAAAAAATTAATAGGAAAAACAGAAATGTTTAAAAAAGAAATAGGAAAAATAAAGGAATTGAAGGTATTGTTATAAACTGTGATAAAAAATCTGAGTACGCTTGCCAACGCACTTCCGATTACGTTGCGTGAGTTCGCAGGTGCAATAAGATTGTTAGCACTACGACTCCTCACCACCGTATATTGGTTTGCGTAACCGCTGGTCAGTTACGGCTTCTTCCACATCAAGTCCATGCATCTGAAATAAATAACTAGCTAACTAATCCCATACCCGATATCAACTGGTAACCGGACAAGACGACAAGATGATGAGACTGTCATACAAGAAGACTGTCTTATCATTTTTCCTCTACCCCCAAGATAAAAATAATATCTAGGATATATTTCTGCCATTACATTCAGCTAACAATTATTTAAACTTGATTTGATAAAGAGGGATTAAATATTAATAACTCTATTTCATAACTGGATACCAAACAATTTGAGTCCAAGTTCCCGATATTGATCAATTCAACAAGACCACAAACGGAATATAAAAAATTCAGTAGGATGACACATCCAAAATTGCAGACTTTCTATCAACAACGTTTCTGTGCAAATGCTTATTATTTCGAAATAAAAATACCTATTATGCAATTCAAGAGTCCTGCTGCCCACTAACACAAATGTATTTCTGTAACGATTCGTCTGGCCAAAATCAGACTCCCTCAAACAAGCAGTTTACAACAAACTGTTACAACAACAGATTTTTTGTAGATCTCATTTTGGTCAGACGAAACGTTACAGAAATACATTTGTGTTAGTGTGCAGCAGGACTCTTGAATTGCATAATAAGTATTTTTATTACTGCTACAGCATACTTGCATCATACGCATACGAATCCACTAGCGCAAAGACATTGAGGATAGAATGAGAGTTAGTCTCGCGCAACCTCTACTGATAGTAAAACTACTTAAATAGTGAATAATCAGCAGAGTATCATTTGTCAGACATACCTTGATAAATCTTTCGCACCAGGGGTCGTACGTTCAACAATCGTCGAAAACCCGATTCCGTAATCGAGTAGATCGGCGTCGTTATCTGACGTCATTTTCTTATCAACGAAGCCAGACATATTCAAACAACTCCCTGTAGCGAAAAATATAGCAAGGTCGTCATGACGATGTAAATAATTTAAAAATATTCACCTGGAAAGGTCTTTGCTTCCGGGGGTAGTTCTCTCTACAATGTTTGTGAAACCAATTCCATAATCAAGACCTAGATAATCTTGCATTCCAGTTAATGGAATTGGGATCATTCCAGATAAATATAAACATTTCCCTGCATTGAAAATTCGCTTATTAGGCTGGTAGAATATATATTTTTTGAAGTTATTCACGAATAAAGATTAAAAAAAAAAGAGTTTTAACCATATTTTAAAACCCGAGTAGAATGGAATTAGCTTACATAATATTTTTGCGGCTCTGGGAGAACTATTTGAAATTTTTATTAAGTTCTAATAGTCAAAGCTAAAAATGGAAGAAAGGCACAACCTAAAACGAACACTAAAACAAGTACAGCTTTGAAACCCAGACCACAATACGGCATCCGGTCTGTTTCGAGAGAAGATCAAAAAAGTCCATTTCTGAAAAATGTGATATAAGATACTTCGGGTGTGGATGGATCTGAGTATTTAGTTCAAACAATAGAGAAAATTTCAAACTATAAACTGCTTTTTTTGGAATTTAAAAAGTATAAATATTCTGAATAGATTCCAAAAATTTGAAGCCACAACTGAATTGCGACCATTGTTGTAAGTTGAAGTTTAATTTGGGGATCACAAATAAATCAAAAAATTAAATACAATTGAAATTAGATGTTTTCGATATGGTTATTTCTCGATGTAATGAATCATAAAATTTGCCATTCTGCATATTTGATTTCTGATGCTCAGGACAAAAATAGGCCTCACTTGAAACTATGACAGTGTCAAAATTCTGATGCCAAAATATAGAAAAAAGGAAAAAGGCTGTTTATTAGAATTCACTGATTTCAAAACAGCTTTCATGACATGGTTGATTTAAAATTACATTTCCATTATAACCTCTCTTTCTCCTTTAAACACTCAACTCTTTGTAAATGTATCGAAGAATTTTATTTGTATTTTTGAAGTTCTTCAGTCAACATAAGTCAGATAAGGACATTGAGCAATATTGACTAACGTAATGGTTTGTACATAAACCAATATATTCAAGACTTCGTAATCAAAGAGGAAACGGATGTTTGACTTTGAAATATCACAGACATGTCACTCAGTCAACAAAATATAAAGATTGGTAGTTCATGGCCTCTGTAGTAAAGATTAGTATATTAGTGGAATCAGAAATTATTTAAATATCAGAAATACACTCATATGAATAAAATTATACTGAGAAAAAGATAAATGGACAATTGAAAAGTTTTTTCAGAATCAGAATCGCATTTTTATAAGTCGAATTAGTCCTAATGTGATAAACAATAATATATGATTCTCCAGATAACGATTATTAATGTTATTCATTTTTCATACCACCCAATATATACTATGACAATAAAAAGAAGGAAGCTGTTGTAAATCAATTCATATTCGTATAATACCTGTTTTAATATTTCAAATATTATTACTCGGAAATTATAACTTACCGTAGGTTGTTGATCTGTATTCAGGATACCTATTCTAACTTTGATTTGAGAATTTACAAAGGGGGCTACATGATCATAAGTTTTGATTTAAAAACAACTTCAACATTCCAATTTCTGAATATTAACGTATCTCCTTTCGAGACTTATGCGATTAAAATGTAATACAAGCAACAACTTACAGAAATGATTCCCAGGACCAGCATAATGATGACCTTTGTAAGCAGCAAATAAACCAGGATTGATTCCAATCTAGAAACAAAATAACGAGTTAAATAACAGATCGCACATTCTTTGTAATTGATCATGCTTCTAAACAAGGATCGAAAACAAAATAATTTTATAGAAGAGTTAGAGAGTATAGTATTGTATAGAGTTATAGAACAAATATAAAAAATATTTTTAAATTGGTTATGTTTATAGACAAGAATCTAAGAACATGTGGCTTCTGGCTTGCATCATTAGCACCATGCAGCTAATCTTGTTTGAAACGAAGCATTATAATTTTAATTTGGTCGATTATGTCTAAACCTCTGTGGAAACATGTTGTTTAGATGGTACACTTAATTCGTGCAAATCCATGAAATGGTTGATAATAAATAATGAAAAAAGAAAACGAAATTGAAAGAAAAATTACTTACAATTAAAATATCGAGATCATGTTTAATACGATCTGGTAAAAATTTTTCTAATAACTCTTCTTTTGTCACTCCTTTGAACCTGAAAATTAAGTTATAAAAATTTACTTTATGATTCAATCAAATTCCAATGTTGAAATGTTTTTGTTTATATCCTCTATTCAAAGAATGACACGATTGGGGACTCCTGGAAGAATACGGTACTTTATAATGATTATAGAAATATATCATCAAATTCTGTGATGTAAAAGATTAGTTGCACGGATGCCAGAAGTATTATATTATAGTTACATCCATAACCTCATGAGATATTAACGAACATTCGTAGCTATTCCTACAGAAAAGCCAATATGGAGGTAACTAATTTTGTTCGCCTACTTTACATCAAGTTGTGTCAAGGAACTGAAACCTATGGGCAGGGGTATATTAACTTGGCTAACACAGACAGTCCCAGAACTCGAAATAGAACTAAAATAAGGAAATTCGGAATAAAATTATGGTCTAACTCTAAACCTAACCTGGTACACACACTACGGGAGTACCGAGAAGTTAATGAAACTGCAAAAGGGCTCAAAAGTTAGCAAGAAGCTCAGATGGCCATCACCATTACCAATTAGATAACTAATAAGCTAGTACGAAAAACTAGTATTTCAGCAGACCATGAATTACTGATGATAAATCATGTTTACACATTTAATGAAAGCTCAGTATTATTTGAATTGAAACAGTTGTTTTGAATTTACCATTCAAATGAAATACTTGATTGGCAGTAGACATATTGCGTAACCCTAAAAAACAAAACAACTGTCTATATGGAAGCCAAATAGTACCGTAATTGTTATGTCAGACCAATCAAATGGTGATTTGGACCTTTCTATCAATCTTTATTACTCATATAGATATAAAGTTGTTATGCATTTTTTAAATTTGAGGCATAATCAATCAGATAATTCTATGAAGATGTGTAATTGTCAGTATACATATCCCATATACAAAACAAGACTCCACAATAGCAATAATGGCAATAAATGATAATAGCACAATAGCAATAAATTGAAAACCACAAAGGTACATTCATTCAAAGAGTTAGATACATTTCCTCGAACAAAATGGCAACGTGACGTAGCAGCATCCTCCAGCATATGTTGGGGTTGCATATTGATTGCAGTTCATTGAAAATTTTGGTGCTTCAAAACTGTGTGTACCAGTATGGAGGTAACTTATTTTGTTTGTCTAATTTACATCAAGTTGTGTGAAGGGAATGATTACGATTGGCTGGGGCTATATTAACTTGGCTGACACAGACAGTCCCCGAACTTGTAATAGATCTAAAATGAGGAAAATCGGAATAAAATAATGCCCTAACCCTAATCTGGTACACAAACTACGGTAGTACCAAAATTTGCACAAACTATCAGTTTTGAAAGATGTTCAACTTTTTCGGTAAAATGAATTTTCAAATAATTACTATTCAAAAAAATGTATTTAAAAAATCATGAAAACACTAACTATTTGTGACTGAGAAGGGCAAATTTTTTTCAATTCAACATGGTTTTCAAATTATTACTATTCAAAGAGAAATCTATTCGGGAAATCGAAACGGCCAAGTTTCGCAGGAAAATTTACCTAGAATATTGAAATATATTTTAATAACATTCAGAATTCAAATTATTCAGAAACAACTATAATTATAAACCATATGAATTTGCATTTAACATCTGCCTAGCATCCGTCTTCATTATAATAGAAAATAATGAATAATAGTCTATTTCAGACTAGGAATTTTCATTTAATAAAATATTGGATTTATTTTCAATTACTATAAGGGCAACAGATGAATGAGGAATTAACAATATTCGCATATATTCTATAAACTAGAACAGGGTTTCCCAAACTTTTTGGGCCGCGAACCACTGTTTGTGAATCTTATTTTTGACGAACCCCCATCCTATGCTGTATCAGTTTTTGTGCTAAACCAACGAGAAAGGATAATGTTTCCTTTGACCCAATGTCTGAATCAATACATACTAACATTGAATACTGGCAGACTAATGATTGGTTATTCAATAAGATTATGATATATTCATTTGTATAATAAGACTTTTTCTGTTGCTGACCCCCTGTGCAGTCATCACGAACCCCGAGGGAAACCTCGAACTAGAAGACTAGGCACAACCAGCTACCTTTTCACATTTTCCCTATTTCAGATTCAGTACCTTCAAGGTGTATTGATTTATGCAATTCTATCTATTTAGGAAGATATTCAATATTCCAAATTAGATTGAATTTTTACGTATAATTATGAAATGCATTTGGAATAATGATTTATTATGTTTTTAATATTCATCACTGTGAAATGCATGCTCTGGCATGTGGTAAACAGCTTACGGTAATATTTTGTTCTTGTTTATTATTAACATTTTGGTTCATTTTAGTTATAAAGTACTATTTAAATTCATCATTATCAAATGGAAGCAGTCACATGTGGCTATGGTTAGTTCTTTATTTCCAACATTACTATTTTGGTCATTTTGATAAGTAGCCTACTATTTAAATTCCTCAATATTCATATTTATCAAAAGCTGTAACATTAAGTTAAGTGCTTAATTTTTTTGTGAGTTTTCATTCTCAATATTAACATTTTGGTCAGTCTGATTATAAGTACTATTTAAATTCATAAACACCAATTGCATGCTGTGACATACGGTTAGCTGCCTAATCAACATTATTAACATTTGGGTTTTCTTAATTATCAGTACTATTGGAAATTATTATGGATTTATTATTTTCTAAAACCAAACAGTACAAGCAATGATACTCGGTCATTACAGATTTCAATTGATCAAAATAGGAAAGGCAAATAAGTCTTTGTTCTCTATTTACGTCAATTTGAAGCGTGGGAAACCAGTTGAAATCCGAGATGATGGTTTTATGTAGCAGGGAGAAAAATAAATATTTCAAACCCGGTTTCGATTTTCACAGCATTCAAAATGGTAAATTCAAGAAAATGAATCAAATTTTCAGCCTCAGTTTGAACTTTATAATTAAACTTTATTTCTACTTCTGATTTCAAATCTCAAGTGTAATAAAACAGCCACGGTCAAAGATTAAATTTTTCTCTTTGGTTATTAATGAGATAACAGGCGTACAGGCAAGTCATATGAGTTCTTCACTTTCTATCCTTCAGAATTATTCGACTTGTTTGTAACAGAATTTTTCTTACCAACACAAAATGAAATTCTTGTCGCTCTTGAAAAACTTTTTGTGGTCGAGTTAATTAACTTCTAGACTAACCAAAACTCAGAACTAAATTCACGAAGATGCTTGACAACATGATTAAGCCTACGCATCCACAAAAAGTATCAATCAGTATTAAGAAAGCTAATTTTCATAAAAATATCAGATTCATCTTATCAAAACAAATAATCTATGACCTTGGGAAATATAAATTTGAATGTTAAAAACTGATATCATATCAGTACTGACAATCAAGAGCTTAAATATATCATATTATTCAAAACTTCATATTATTAATGAAACAAAGGAGTTCATAATAGATGAAAATACATTGAATTCATATCCTATAAATAGTTCTAGAACTATAAAATGACAACAAAAAATACAAGGTTAGATTTTAAAAATTTACATGTTTACATATTTAAAATTACATTGCAATCAGAATGACTGAACCCATCTGTGTTGAACATTTATTTGGTCATGTATTGCTTCTTTAAATTTCAACTTGTCTGTCTCATACATATGAATTATCAAAACCAAACAATCTTCTATTTTAAATAAACTCTAAAATATTATTTCGAATATTTTGTCGATGAGTTTGAATTAAAGAATGTAGGTGTAATAAGATACGCATTAAATTGATTGCTTCTATACTTTTCAAAGTTTCATAATTCCGAAACAATGCTTTTTGTATCACATAGAGACTAACTATTCAATATTATAATTTCCCAAATATACCAATCCTAAATTACCCTGCTCCATAAAATTAAGGATTCAAAATGCTGTATTGAATATAGTTAAGTTCGAATTAACGCAAACATACAAATACAATGATTTGGACATCCGCGGTTATGGTCATTTGACGGAGTATTTAAAAAACAAAGGCATAGACAATTTCTAATATCACATGTGGAATATTCCATTTGAACAACGAAGGTCCCATCAGGAAGCTCCAAACCTACAAACTCAAAGCCACAAACTACTTCAAACCAAACTTCAACACAGCAATTGAGGATGTACTGGGACAATATAAGTATGACTAACATAAGCTATATTAAAAGTCAAGACCTTGAACATAATTTAGTATTCTTATGTCATACAAGCTATATGACATGACTTGAATTGGCATGTGGAAATACTTAGCCAGTCTAAGGTTTGATAGAAAGAATAATCAGCATATATGCAAAACAAGTTGTACTGTTATATATGTGTGTGTCACTAACCAATATTGCCTTATAATAATGTTTTAATGAAACCACCTGTTTAATGGTAATAATGGTTTTTATCAAAGTGACTTATGATAACATCCTAGAATATTCTATTTCAGCTTACAAGCATTTCAATTCCAAATACGAGACTTACAAAGTGACATTTTAATAAGAATTTAAACAGGCATGTGTTGACGCTGATACAGATCAATCAGAATTGACTCAGCTCATTGGTATGTAACTATGTGCGGTAAATAGATATAGATATGTTTCACAGATTGAAATATTCTGCTTTGTACATTCAAACAATGGTAAAATGAATCTAAAAAATGATAGAGATTGAATATAGATAAATTAAACTATGTATGTTATCATAAAATACAATCAAGATTAATCAATAATGTTCTTCAAAAGAAGTTAGACCAAACGTCTTTCCTGAAAACTTTCATTATTTTAAAAAAAAATTCATTTCCATTATTATATACATTATTCTTAATTTCTTATAGTAGGTAGAGTACTATACACATACAATATACACTGTGCAGTACACATACAATTGATAAGAATCAAGCAATTCATCTTCTTGGAGATTGTGTTTTACTTCTTAATATGAATAAGCCGCCAAGTAGAAGCAACAACAAATATCAAGAAATACTCCATACCTGAGTAATATATTTTGAATGAGTACTTGTTGTGCTATTAGTGAGGTTATGAGAGTGGAAAGCCTTATTGACAACAGTTTGTACAGCATTCTAATACGGTGATTCAAATTTTTCAAATCAAATTTGTACAATAAAGCAACAAACAGATATATGATAGCTAACATGACCACAGGTATTTAGAATATGAACAAAGAGTCAAATACCAGATAAGCAATAATCAAACTTCAATGAAAATTCGCAAACAACCGCTCGGCAAAATGACTTTTAGATTAGTAGTCCAATAAAAGACCCTTTACATTAAGAATGCTTCTTTCATAGCCTACTAATGGTGCTCATTTCTATAAAAAAGACAAGAATTACTTCCTTTGTCAGAATATCAATTCATAAAATATTACAATCATCATAACATGCAGAAATTTGCATATTACCTTGGAATGAAACCAATGTATAAATGGCAACAAGACAAGACCTGACAAGAAAGAAGATGAAACTCAGATGACATGTCGCACAAAAATAACTAAAGCGGTCATTTAGCATAGAGTTCACAAACCAACACTTCTAGTTATTTTCTATTAATAGGTCAGTTAGGAGAATTGAAAACTAAGAATAAATAAACCGAGTTTCTAAGTCCTATACTAGAGCATAGTCAAAAACTCAAAATTGTTTCACACACACCAAAAAAAAACTATTTTTCCAAATTCAAACACAAAACACCATAATTCCTTCAACTTTTGAAAACATGAATTGTTAGTAACAAAGAATATAAGACAGCAGAAAATTGTATGACTTTATTGTGTACCTTTATTTCTAGTTCATTTCATATGACATAAAAACTAACGAAGCTAACATTTACTAATTAAACTTACACAAGTATTAAGAGTTACAACCATTATCAGGCTCAGGGAGAGTGTGAATCTTTAACATGGCTTACTATAACAGTAAGTCATATATAGTTAAACACGCATAACTGGGAAAGAAGCAAAGGATTCAGTTATGCATGATTTGCTATGAATAAGCCTAGAAACCATTCGCTATCGTGTACCATATACAGGGTAGGGTGTCCATAAAGTCTCTTTACAATTTAAATTTTGTTATCAAGTCAGTTCTCATTATATCTTAACCAGGTTTGTTGTTGTTTTAATCAGCAACTGTTCAAGTATTTTTACTTCATTTAATACATCTGTGAGGGCTAAAACAATATATGGTATCGATAAATTCCCTTTGAAATTTTTAAAAATTTTAAGACTTTGTGAGATCGAATTAAATGAATTACTGTTAATTAAGCATGAGGTCATTCGAGTCCAATCTAAAAATATTGATTTTCTAATCACAGATTGAAATGATCAAAGGTCTAGTTGTTGGAAAAATACGAAATGAAAGAGTAAAGCTTCGTTTTACATAAATGGACTACTATTAAAAATACCACATTCCAAGAAGCAGAAAATGCAATTTTAAATACCAAGTGAATCCAAAAAATACGACAACCTAATGACATACGTGGTTGATTAGTGGTATTTTGCTATCAAACTACAATACAAAACACATAATATACAGAGTGGTCACTAGAAAGGAAGAAAATTTGAAGGTCAGACAAGATCACGAATAAAATACATGCTTACTCATTTCTTTTTCGATACCAGTACAATTTTATGTCTTTTAGGTTCTACGTTGTTTTAGGTTGATACCTTTTAGGTTCTATTTTATTTCTGTAATGTTCTGTGTAATATAACATATGAAACAATTGAAAAAGTTATTCTTTGTCAAAATAAATAGCTGTTTGACAAATTTTCTGTTTTTCTAGCGACCACCCTGTACATATATATATACAAAACACATACAGTAATATCCATACACCACTATATGCCAAATTTACAAAAATATATGCACCCTGATATAGTAGTGGGTCCATTGTGGGTGGTTGCCAAAAACATGAATTCTCGAGTTTAAGACATTAATGGTAAGAAATATATCAAGCAATACTTTGGTTTTAAGCAGTACTGAACTGGTATTTTCAGAATATTGATAATACAGTATGCAAAAATGTACAGGATATGGTTTATATAAAACATTCATGCCCCAATCAACTTGGTTCTACAATTTTTCCTGTTACGTCATTTGCACAAATGTTTTACGCTTCTCTCATTTAGCGATTGATAAAATATTCTGAGCAAACAGGATGGAATAGATTCCGCTACAAAATTGATTGATCAGGAATGTAGTTTTTAGTTTTAATTCAACGCAGATTCCAGTTTTAAACAAATCAATTAAACTTTTGGAGTGATGAATTTGAAAATTAAAATAATTTTTAGTATATCAGATACATAAAGTATCTTCTAGATATGGAATATTATGAAAATATACATTTAACACTTTTATTCTTGACTAAAATTCAATTGGAGTGAAGGTGTCAAATATCTCCATGAAGATGTTAAAACAAATAATGATGAATCAATGATTTTGGAATATGGAATACAAAAACCATCATTTTAGAATCGCTGGATTTTTCAGAAAGTGAGGCATATCATAACTAGTTGAAGGAAAAAAGAAAAAGATTCAAAATGTACAAGACAATATCCAAATTGAGTGACCCATGCATGATTAAAACATCAGATAATATAAAAAGTCAAATTGTAAGTTGAATTTTACTTATAAATACAAAATGGTAAGTAATCATCACTTTTGAACATATGTTCAAATTGGGTATGGCCATACATGATTAAAACATCAGATAATATAAAAAGTCATATTGTAATTTACTTATAAATACAAAATGGTAAGTTATATGTTCAAATTGGGTATGATTAGAATAAAGCATAATAATTCAAAAGTACGTCTATTCATCATAAAATACTAATTAAAAAAATATTAACAAACTATTATGCATGTAATTTGAAATTATTTCATCACACAAATCTCGAATATCTATCATAATTTCAATTTCAACACATTTACGGTAAGTTTGAATCAATAAATTATAATTATAAAGCACAAATCTGAGCTGACCTTTGGCAAATAAAACTCATAATTTAAATTTGATCATTATTACTCATTTAGTAATATTATTGATCAGAACATACAGCCTCACAATTTAATATGAGGCAAAAATGGCCTGCTGGTTAAAGTATTAAATATCACAGGTAAAAAAAGGTTGTCCCAAAATACCATAACATTCATTGGAAACAATATCATAGCGATGGTCTCTGAGAGTAACCTACCATTTATCCTCAATATAAGCAGTCTAAAACTCCAAAAAAAAAGTTGCCAAAACAAGGGGTCATGATCGCTTGCGTGTTTATGCTGACAGCAATAGCAGTCTGGAAAGATGTCTTCGGGAAGTTTGACAGTGATAGTAAGGATAAATTTGACGGATTTTGAGACACTTCTTACCGTTATTAACAAAAGATAAACCTAACAATAATGGTTATCATTTTTATTAATTCTCTTCTGCAACCATTTGCTGTGATATGTGTGTTATGGGTCGTTTTAGGAGGTCGTCTTATATGCGAGATTAGCCTATATGCGAGGATATGCAGTAGGTGGATAAATCTCGAAAAGTGAATTGGAAAAAACAAAATGGATGAACCTAAACTACACATTTGAAATGAATTTCCAAAATAATTAACATTGTTTAATTTGTTGTTCCATCTTTAGTTGGATGACCATAATTGGCACTTTATGCCCATTATCACAGTACAGCGAATGAGTAAGCACAAATAACACAGACTTACTGTCTGATTGTTACTGAGAGCTATGATAATAAGATATGGTGGAGTTTACCTCAGTTCAAATTCAAACAAAGAAGATTTGGTTTTATATTAAAATATTTCTAATTTAAAATAACATGTTATGCACATAACGACACCTCAAAACCAAACAGTGCTTTCCACTTTTCCAAAAAATGACATTTTTCAATTGCTGATTTTCCTAGACTTAGCTCTACATTTTGGTCTATTTGCCTTATCTCTAGGTGCTCTAGATCTCAAGACAGCTATGGACATAACCCTGCTTTTTTTAGGGGAATTTGAGAACTAAACAGAGCTGTGTCTACTATAGTGGACTTAGCTCTGGATAACTGCATTGTAAGTTGGGGCTAAGTCCGTTTTTTGGACATAGCTCCTCTCAAAAAATATAATACAAAGCGCTAAGTCCATACCAGCCTCTATAATAACATAATAGAGGGGCCCTAAGTCCAATAAAACTGTTCCTGGTCCAGAAAATTGAGAGCCAAAAAGGGTTAAGTCCAAAAATGAAAAACCCAAAAAAAAATTGGGGCGAAGCACAAATTTTTTTATACCATCTAAATATGGCCTTCATTGTAACTTTGGTGGACCATAAAAACTACACATCCTCGATGTAAGGTATTAGAGAAATAAAAAAAAGAAACAAAAAAAAAACGTTTTTTGCGTTTTTCTCAAAACTAGAAAAATGGACTTAGCCCAATTTGGATTTCATGCGTCGATAAATTCACCTGCATAGTCTGTTCTAAATGGATTTAAAATTGAATTTAATGGAGGCGAGCTTTAAGAAATGGTACTAATATGAAATTAATCTATCACAAAAACTCAATATGGCAAACTAAGACATCAAATGTGACACCACCATTTTTATATTACCAACGAAGTTCCAGGAATTTCCACATCTGTGAACAAATGACCAATCAGAGATTGGCCTTACTAGGTCGACCTTGATTGGAACTTGAAAAAATTATATTTCCCAATCGCTACAAAATTATACTTATTTTATCTAATTTAACACATTATTTGAAGCTCATCATTTAATAAATCTCACACATACCTGTTAACAGTTCTTTTAGTTTTCTTCATTGTGTCGGTAATTTTACTCTGTTTTGATGGAACATCTTCACTTTTCACTTTGGGTGGACGACCTCGTTTCTTGATCTTTCCATTTGGAACAGAAGTAGATTGTTCTTGTTTTGAATTATTTTTGGGTGGCCTGCCCCTCTTCCCTCTTTCAGACTCATTTTCTTGACAGAAATATGCTGATAAAAAAGCAACATTAATAAACTTCATGAACACTTGGTACAAACTACCTCATATCTATTTCATCTAGCATTAAAATCAAGTTACAGCATTGGAGTGAGTTAATTTTATATGCTTTGAGTCAGTGATACCCAATATTTCTTGTTGAATCCCTCCCTTCTCCTATTTTAAAATTCTTTATTCCTTCGTTATATACTCAACGATAGGTCGCGCCACCGTATACGTAATTGCATTTTTCATTCAAACATTCTGTTCCTTTTTAGGCGTCTTTAATTTAACCAGCCTTTAAATAATTATTTGCATTCAAATTACCATTTTTTGATTACCGGTAAATAAAAACCCAACAATATCCAAATCTTCATCATTTTCATGTAAGAGAAACGCTATTGTTAATCAAGCAAAAATTTCCAGCAATTTGAAAGGCTGACTATTATTACAGTTTATCAAGCATTAAAACTTAAAAGCGCTCCATGTTTCAAATTGAACTCTCCCACTGTGGGAGAATAATACACAAAGTATTACCAACATCAAATTGATATAGCTTATTAACTTGTCTCTGTAAAATGGGTATAAAAATAATAAACTTGTATCTTGAATTAAAATTATAATACACCACATCGCTTGACAAAATAGTGGATATTTTTTAAATAAGGTAAAATCTAGGATCTGTTTCATTGCTCTTCAACCGGGTATACGGTATACTCAAGTATACCGGACCATGAGTTGGGTATACAACTGATAAAGGGTATACGAAGACTGTACAGCCTAAGTCAGCCTAAATATTGCAGTACAATATATGGTTGAAATTTACTGTTTATTTAAGCCTTAAATAAACATTAGTATTTGTAAGGTATACAAAATTCTTGAAAAATTGTAAAAGGTATACAACGATAAAAAAGGTTGAAGAACACCGATCTAGATAATATGATTTTCCATTTTCTATACAGCATTAAATACATAGGCCAGGGTGGTCCAAGGTTGTGGGCTCCGCGGGCCACAAAATTATTTTGGCATTGGTCGCGGGCCACAATAGTACCAAGAATAGGTAAACAGTGCATGTGTAAACACATAGTTATCAGGCATTGCCAATGGAATCGGCATCCAATGTTTAGTTTTCTATCATACCTATATTGTTGGCATATATTCCCGACCAAAACGATAAAAATCCAGGTAACAATTTAGACTGCCCATCACATCTTCAACTTCGCTAGTTGCTTCAGCTAGCCATCATACTAGTCAATTCAGTCACAGTAGTGATATAACAACAATATGTCAAACGATTTCTCTGATTTATTTTATGAGAAGCAATTTAAAATACGATATTTTGATTACTCTCCGAATGGGCCGCGGGCCACATGCGGCCTGCGGGCCTGGGTTCGGACCACCCTGATATAGGCTATTCTGAAATTTGATCTGCTACGGACATTGGTGAATATTAGAAACAAATATATTCGACATAATTTTTTTATCATCCATTGGTAACAAATTTAATTTCCGACATCCCTTATCAAAATTCATAAAAAAGTTTATCCATAATTTCATTCATATATCAAATACGATAAAACGAAAAATGCTTCTCATCTATATACAAAGGTACTTCCGTAATATGTGAACCAAGATGGCGGACACCGGAACGTAGTACGTGTACCAGGTTAGGGTTCGGCCATAATTCAAGGTACAAATAGCCTACTACAGGAGTCACTTACCTAGTCTCCGAACTCGTAATAGAACGAAAATAAGGAAAATCGGAATAAAATTATGGCCTAAACCTAACCTGGTACGCATTCTACGTTCGGGTGTCCGCCATCTTGGTTCACATACTACGGGAGTACGAGTACCTATACAAAAGCCAAAACTAACCTGACTTGACCTCTTCAGAATGACCATTCATCAATGCAGTAGAAGCAGGTTGCTGACTACCATGTGGTATTTCAGTTTGATTGAAGTTTGGCTGATGCTGTGGGTGAGTAGTTCCATTACATACTGGTCCCCCAGATACAGGAGGAGTCGGAGGCATTCTAGGATTATCCTAATTAACGAACAGATGTGAAGGAGCCAATATGGCTCAACGTTCACTTGGACCAATATGCACAGGTAGTGCCTTTATACAGCTGTAGAGAGTATTGAACAAACTTGAGGTTAGGTAAAATTTAAAAAGGCAAGGTAGTAAACACATAAAATATCACATGAAGTAACCAATTTTACGTGGTTCAAAAGCCTTGCGTTACATTTTAACACATTCTATTTGTTATGTCTGCAAATCATGCCCATATTACGTTGATCTTACTAACTGCATGCCAACTAATTATCTGTTTCACTGTATTTTAGACTGCATGGTTAGGATTTAACCTTAAATCTAAGAAAATTGTGTTAGTTTACGTAATTTGCATGCATAAAGTGGGACTTATTATTATTCTATAATTCCTCATCCTAACAAAGATGGACTTCAACAGGTAACGAGTTGGCTAAAGTCAGTCTTCAGCCAGTCGAAATATTTCAGAATACAATTTTTGAAATTGCAGCCTTTAAATCACTAGGTATAGCAACTCTTATTCTTGCTTCAGTATCTTGCAGTCAGGTATACAAATCCACCAACTGAAAAGCAGAGAGAAAGGAGCAATATTTGGGAACATTCTTAAATCAACCATATTGGATAAATGACTCATCTAAAATTTTAAAGTGACTCATCCCTAAACTTTGACATAATTTTTTCTCAAGCTTATCAAATGTGGCATAAGTAGATTATCTCAATCGGATCTTGGTAATAATTGAAGAGTGAAAAGAAATAGACTAAATGTGACTCTAACCTAATCTCCTAATAGATAATGGCTATAAAGATGAACCATTCCCTTTTCACAAATATCTACAATTTTTAATTGCGTACCCTCATTCAACCCTTTGTATTCATAGATTAAAGATTGGGATGAGAAAAAGTTTTTTAAACCATCGTTAAGGTCAAGCAGGACTATGTCTCTTTTCATTTTCAAATGCTTTATATTTACTTTTCTCTTATGCCTGTTTTATTTTCATATTAACTATTGAATGAAAAGTTATCATTGTGTGAATCCTGAAAGTTATTTTGAGTTCAAATGAGCGATTTTAATAAAATTTAGGGAAAATTTCACACAATAACGCGCAAATAACCCAAATAGGAAATCTATTTCTATTTGGTAGCAAAAGTCGTGGGCTAATTATCGTGAAATTCATGAAATCGGTTTGGTGACGTGTGAGTTATGTATCCAAACGAAGCTCTTGCACATAATTGGGTATCACACAAGATTCGAAACTGTGAACCCAGGCAGGGTGGTATTAGACATAACAGTACGGCACACCGTCAGGACGCTGATGACCCTCAATATCGATAAAAACAAAATAAAACCAAAAACCACCACCATTGGATCCACTGAAGGAAAAAAATTTACCGAACGTTTGAGAGAAACAAGCAAAAAAAACGATCGACAGTGAAAACGAGCTCCGATGACATCGCTAAATTCCAATCGACGCACATCTGGCTACCATTCCCACACAATCTTGGCTTGGCGTGTTTCTCGTGCCAATGAACTTTCATTTTCGTTGTAGATAGGATGACGTATTCAAGATAATACATGGATCAGAAATAATGAAAATTATATTTTGATAATACAATATAATTATGCCTCTCAGCGATATTACATTAATTAAACAAAAAAGAAAACACACAATACTGCAGAATATGTGACGCTAGAGTCAAAAATTCCTTCTACCTAAAGGTCTGTACAGTAGGTCAACAATTTATCATACATCAAAACGAAGCACGAAATCAAAGTTTTATTTCGAAAGTTAAATTTATATTGATAGTGAAACGAAACTTTCAATACGCACAATAGGTTACCGTACCATATCATCTAACATGGCAATTTTTTTTTAAATTTGGACATCAACAATCTATACCGGTACTGGAACAGTGCCTCAATGCACATAACAATGCCTCAATGCGACATTAGATGAATTGATTCGTTCAAGAATAATTTAATCCGATGCCACATAAGGCATTCGTATTCCGCACATGATTAACTTGCGTAATTTATATAGGAATAATTTAATCCAATGCAGTGTCGAGGCATTCATTTTATTATGGATTATTGGTGTCTAAATTTAAATATAAATTGCTATATTAATTGATATCGTAACCCATTGCTGCATTGTGTGCTATGGAAGTTTCGATTATGAAGAAACAAAACAAAGACTGAAAGATGCATCGTTCAATTGTTATCACTGCATCATTACAAGTGTAAACAGACTAGTGGACATACATGACATAAGAGTTTCGTTTTAATATCAATATAAATTTAACTACTGAAAAAATAACTTCGATTTCAAGCTTTGTATTGACTACGTTATACGATGTCATGGATTCACATAATCATGGATTCACAAGTTCTTACGTCTTGTGCCAGTGTTCACTGTCCAATTGTAATAGTTTGATATTCTCATATTGTTTTTAACTAACGTTACCGGTACTCAGTTACTGGTACCGGTACTGCAACTCAAAACTCTGTACCTACAGTTGTACCGGTACCGTCGCCTACTTACCTTCTCTGCCTGTATTTCGCATCTATTTGATAGTCCAAACTACTGACGAACTACCTTACCCTTGAGCCTAGTAAATATATATCTCCACGAACTGTTGAACTACCGTACCCTGCTTCTCTCTAAAATTACATACAAAAGCCGGAAAGCCACGGCACAACACGAAACGCCGCGACCTCCCCAAATTCGAACAAAAGAGAAACCGCGACTGCTTCGAGGTTATTTGTCATCTTGTTTACATTTGACGAAGCCAATGACGTGGGTTGATTACTCGACCAGCGACCTCAGATAATCTCAACTCATTGTACAAAGGGTGGACATTCGTAGGTAGTATGTATTTTTCAAATTCGGAACAGTTGCATACAATAAAAGCTCACTTTCAACTCAAAACGAGATATGTTGTCAAAATTCAACTACACATTAATTGCCTGCTCCACACTAATTTTAACATTACAGTAATTTTAATTGACGAAACTTATAATACATCAGCGTTAGCGTGCAGAGGGACTCTTAATTGAAAAGAATGGACCTTTTCCCGAGCATCGACTTCTTCGTCCACTTCATGACATCAGCCAATCAGCAAGATGCGAAAAGTGACGTAACAAAGCTCCCTTTTCGCATCCGCTCAGACACTTTTCTCACTCAGACATATTTTCAGTCGTGGTCGTAAACAGTATCAGTAGTTTATTTTTACACATGCCGAAAATACACGAACATTAACATTTATTAAACGTAAACATTACCTCGTTTTCGCGTTTTTTAACCCTATTCGTTAGTTTTCAGTTGTGTTTCGAAAATTTAAATATAAATCAGATAATTCTAATCCCAGGATACCATATCTCATCCCAGGATACCATATAATTTTATTATTTTAATTTACATTGGAAAACCCATGACATGGTAAAATGGCTTCTGTTTCTAACTTATCATTCCCTATCCCACTGTACCTTTATACCATTCTAATCTTCTGGCTGAAATGCAACCATAATAGGTTTTGTGGAAATGCTTTTTATTTATTTTTTTTGAAACTTCATTGTTTTTGGCTGAATCCAGAATTCCAAAAAAACCTTACAATAGTGAGTCACTTGATACATACCTTTATCATATTTCACCAAAACCTGTAGGGTCACATTTTGGCCAGAACAGCCATTGACCACTTATAACACTGTCGCCCTTGAGTGGTGCATACCATATATGTACACACCCTTTAAACTTGACCATTCCCGCGTTTTATAGTATGTGGTATCATCACTCAATGGTATTGTACATTCATCCAAATTCTTAATTTTTTTTTAAAATTTTTTTTTTATTACTATATTCATATGCAGTGTGTTTCATGTTGTGTTGTGTCTCTATTCATAGGTGTTGTTTTGTCTAACAAACTCCTTTGTACAAACAGTTTTGTACACTCCACCCATATCCCTGTTACCGCATCCACCCACCCTCCTTGCACAACTGCCTGTATAAAGGACCATATTGTACATATTTGATTTACCCTATTATAATTTATATATATCAAAAGGGGTGTATGCCGCACATCTGTGTTTTAGGCCAAAATGGTCTTGTGCATACATACCGTCTTCAGTATTTATAATTACTTACTCTTTTATATTGCTTTTACGAGACGAATAAACATACATACATACATTCAATGATCCCTCTGTCTTCTTAGGAGTTTTAACTCAATTTCAGTAATAAAAAAAAAATAGTGTAGAAATAGCTGTGATACTTTTGGCAGTTTTTGGTGGACGGGCACGTACTTGTACGTTTTTAACTTATTTTATTAAGTTATGCCCGTCCTCCAGGTCTTCTGCATTTGGTTTGTCCGTTTGTTGTTGTTTAGTTTCTTTCAGAGTGACCGAAATAGAATTGATTGAACTTCCCTTTAAAGATGTCACGCGACTAGCAGGTGACTGGTTTTGGATTTTCACGTTTATAACATGGAAAGATGACATAATTGTGCGGCGAACCACTGTAGCAACCAGTTAACCACTCCAATGCTTGCTTATGCGTAGTGGCCACAAACCAAATTAGTTAGTCCGGGTTATTAATTTATTATGCAGTATTTGTCATGAACTACACTACATCCCAGTAGCCTACAGTAGAGGTGTAATGTGATCAGAAACTTCACTACTTCAAGTCTGGGGATGTTAACTGGTTCCTGGAAACAATATCAAAGCATTTTTTGAAGATATCAATCCCTTTCATATTATCCGTAAAAGAAACTCTTTTTCATGATAACATGTCCATGTTTATTGACACCAAAACATGCTAAGAAGTAAAAAAAAAATGTAAAGAAACAAATATGCAACACACTACAGAGCATGCCTGCACTTAACATCTGCTCATCAGATGGATCACTTCAATACCATTAATACAGGAGAGAGTAATTTAAATGTTTTCAGTTCAACAGAGGCTAAAATGGAATATAAAATTGATCAAAATCACGACAGTACTATCAAAAACAGACTATAAATCAAAGAGCATTTCACATTAAATGTACTATGCTCTTGCAAATAACAATATCGTTACCACATGCGGTCATGGTGAATGTACAAAAAAACTAGTTCAGCAGCAAAACAAATAGAATGCATTTTGAAATCTACATGTGCGACACATCCGTACACCCATGATAGTTTATTGTTTTAAGATCTCTAACTAACTTAACTTTCATTATAACCAATAAAACACATGGCAAAGTCATAGCTATTTTGCCAAACTGAAATTACAGCGCTCCCGTAGTATTCGTACCAAGATGGCACACAACCTGCTAAACCCTAACCTGGTACACATACCATGTTTACCACGAATACTACGGGAGCACCAAAAATACATTCTAATAACAATCACAAAATTCACTTTTTCAGTGCATAACCTTGTTGTTACAGCAGGTAAGAAAGGTACATTAGCACTAAATCTAAGAATAGTTTATCCATATTAGTGACCGGAGTCAACTATATACCCAAGTAAATTGTCATTGGCATCTTAACCCAATATACAACAAACTTGGAGCAATGTGAATTTTTCAGTTCAATCAAATGTATAAGCAGCTGATTTGCATTATGTAAGCAAAAAAGCTTCATTTTTCTCTGTTCCCCAGTATAGTTCATATATATCAGTGACAAAGTTTAATCAAAAGGTTCTTCTCACTCGTCACCAGCGTTTGTCTGAAGTTTTGGAGAACTATACCCAGAGCAATGTAAATTTTTCAATGTGGTCACATCAAATGTATAAACATATTTGCCGAAAAACCTTTATATAAAATAAATTATACCTTCTTTAGAATACATTGTAGGATCTATGTCTATGAAATGGGTGCAGCTTCAGCACTGGTAATGAAACATACCTAGATGCATTTACAACTCACAAATTAGAAGAATAGTAAATCCTATATTGGCTGATAGAAGGAAAATAAAAGCACCAATGTAATGGTGAAGTGAGAATGGAATTATAAGTGGAGCACACTGACATCTTTTGTTACAAGTTCACAAAAAAAGTTTGAAGATAAAATTCCATTAAACATTGATCATATTCCTCCAGTGAATCAAGTAAATTTTACTACTTGCTATAAGAGTCTGATGTTAACAAAGTTCTCTTATTTGATGTTATTGATGACTTTAAAAGCGTGAGCGGTGTAAGAAACACATGTACAGGTTTTGATCAAGTTTGAAACATTAAAACAAAACATTATATTTTCTGTCTGAAACCCATCATTATGACTTGACAAAGTGGTTGTTGACAAGCTGCAGCTCGCAAACAAATTTTTGGTGGCCCTCGAACAACTCCCTTTTAGTGCATAAAACAAAAATTGCTCATAAACTTATTATTACTTGCGCTCGCATGTATGTACTCACAATGACTGTTTTACGCATTTGTTTTGTAGTAATTTTGCGTAAGCGAAATCCCCTGAAGTTGTATGCCGTTTACTTGCCAAACGTGCCTACCTTTAGTGTAATTACCGGTAACACCAAAAAATAAGTCGTGGGTACATCACAATTTGGAGTTTAAAGTGGTGATTGTTTGTGGGCAAAAAATAATGTTGCCCGCATGCTACCTAAATGTGCAAATTTGGCCCGATGGTACATGAAGTTTACCGACCACTGTGAAAAAGCATAGTATGAGTATCCCTAAACCAGTAAATCCTAAACAAAGTCGATAATGATTCTGATTTTCTGACTATGACAGATTTCAGACAGAGAGTGGAACATGGAAAACATACAAAAATAGAATACAAATTTACAATGAAGTTTCTTCAATAAACTTCAAATTAGGTAAGATATGAATTTATCCAGTGAAATTAAGACATAATAATTTAGAAATTTTTCTGTCCTCAGAGTCAATTTCTGTGTTAGAAATGAATCCGAACATGGTAATTGTGATTTTTGCCACATATCATTGAGAGTTATACCGTGTTCCCCCCAAAATATGACAGGGTCTTATTTCAATTTTTTTTCGAAAAAATACCACTAGGGGTTATTTTGGGGGGATGTCTTTTATTTTCATTTACGTCAGGTCATTGAGCTTTTTCCTCTCTCTCACATTCTAGATTGATTCAAAACATGTAGGAGAGATTTGTTGCTATTGGATGTCGAAAAATATTTCCTGTTATAGACTAGTTCTTATTTTAAATACAGGACTTGTATTAAATGATTTTTAAAAATTAATGCTATGTCCTATTTTCGGGAAACACGGTATGTTCCTAAGCATGAGTTTAATTTCAAACAGTTCTGTCTGTTAAAGTGCTGCATTCTACTACAAAAGTCAAACATATTCCTAAAATTGAACTGGCCAAAACATTTCCTACTCATAGAGTAGATAATGATAACTTACGTCAGCATTCTACTGTTTAGTTAAAACAAAACTGAAATGTTTGTCGCAATTTCAACTACAAATGAAACAGAGGGATAATATTCTGGTAATTTCACAGTTGTAGATTTCTCAACTGAATATGTAAAAAATAAGGTACTCCCAAAGTATGTGAACCAAGATGGCGGACACTAGAACGTAGTATGTGTACCAGGTCAGGGTTGGGCCATAGTTTTATTCCAATTTCCCTTATTTTAGTTCTATAACGAGTTCGAGGACTAGCCAATTGACTTCCGTCGTATTTGTACCTGAAATTACAACCTGTACCTGCCTAACCCTAACCTGGTACACATACTACGTTCCGGTGTCCGCCATCTTGGTTCATATACTTCGGGAGTGCCAAAAATAATGTGTAAAGACGAGTGGAGAGTGCAAATCAGTTTTCATACTCCATGGTTGTGTGGTATCCGGTAAAAATTAAGCAAAGCAAGGTCATGAAGAGTTGAGCCATGGATGTTCAAGGCATTGTGCCGCAGACGCTCTTCGGTCAGGAATAACTTCAAGCATTGGTAATAAAAACGATGCAAACTCTAAAGCTTCCTCTTCTGGCCATTCGTATTTTTCTACTAAAACATCCGGAAGAGGCCACATCTTCAGTTTATGAATGTGTCGGAGTTCACCTGAAAATAGAATTGAAATGATACATTTAAAATAGAAAAGATGAAAACCACATATAGGTCTTTTTAGTAGTGCCGTTGCTTGCCACGTCTTGAACGACTTCTGAATAGTTCTATGAATAGTTTGAGCCATTTCCAACTATGAATTAAATCTTTGCCATTTAAATATCTGTGATAACAGTGATTTTTTGACATTTGCATTGAGCACACTTCTCTCAACTTGGAATTAGAGCAAATTTATTGTGATTCATTCGAGGTTGCTTGAAATAAACATCATTGTAATGAATACTTCGAAATAAAGTTATATATATTGAATTCCTTTTGAATGAGTGCTCCAAGATAACTCGGTTATTTGTGAGTTTCCTAAGTTGTAGTTAAGTTGTCTTAGGCGGTAGGGGTTGCTCCTGAGTGAGTGCTATGGGCCAGATTTCATTACAAGCAAGTTCTCGACCTTCCAAACAGTGTTTTGAGCAAACTTTCACCATGAGCAAATCTCGTTATTTTTCAGAGTGTTTGAGTCAAATACAATTATCAATGAGTTGTTTTTGAGTGAATGGTCTAAGATAGCTTTTATTCTGATCGACTTTTCTTGCTTCTAATGAGTGGTCCGAGTTCAATTGAAGCAGATTTTCTGAAACTATAGAATTCACAATTTCACACTCGTTTTCTTTCTGAAAGTGGATTGTAAGAGCGAATGGACAAAAACTTTTACCTCTACGATTGAAAAATTCTTTGGAATATTGTCCGCTGGCAGCAAACCTTTTGGGAAAATGTCCGAGAAGTTCGATCATGAGAGCAATATGATCTGTTAATATTCCACAGCACATAACAATAAGCAGAGTGCCCGCACGTCCAAAGACAAATATCAAAAAGAGGATTCACAGCATCGCCACACAAGGTCAGCACACATCGAAATGTTACAGGAACACAGACATGCAATATAAAAAGCACGACAATTAGACAATATTAAAATAACTACGTCATTACAAGTTAAATATACTTACAAATATCCCAAACAACAAATATAGGTACTCCCATAGTGTGTGTACCAGGTTAGGGTTTGGCGATAAATTTATTCCAATTTCCTTATTTTAGTTCTATTACGAGTTCGCTGATTGTCTGTTAGGCAAGTGAATATAGCCCTGCCCATAGGGTTCCGTCCCGTTACACAACTTGATGTAAAGTAGGTGAACAAAATTAGTTACCTCCATATTGGTACACACACTTCTGGAGCGCCCAAATTTAAGTATTAATACCAAAATCCACGACATGTCAAAGCAATATCAAAACCATGACATTACTTCACGACAAAATTTTACCTCGTTTTGTGAAAAAATCATGAGAATATTTCCCGGAAAAAGCAAAATATCTGGGCATTGGTCCAACTAGCTCTATTATAAGTGCTAAGTGATCTGGAATGAAAACATTATGCACTTATTCAAAATATAGCTAATGATTAGATGATAGAATATGCCCATAAGCAAACTGTGTGATATAGTTCATAATTTACATTTTTCCTAGAATATAATATAATCTTACATTACCAAGCAAGAAAAATGTAAAAAAGGAGAAAAAGTGTACTCGCATAAGAATATACACATTGTCTGTCTATAAAGTTTTCAGCAATTTAAAAAACTTTAACCACATCAACGTTGAACCACATACCGTCAAATTCGAAGTAATCAGACACACAACGTCTGCAAATTAACAGTTTCCATAACATTGATTTACTTTTAAAGCCAATGACATCTAAGATGCAGTGGGCAGAATTTAAAGGACTCTACAAATAAATAATTTCTGCTTTTGAAATGTTGTACATGGTTATATCAAAAAAAGAAAAGAATGCTTCTTGAAAATATAATACTGAAGGGCAAGGCTAATGTTTAACCTTTGCATGGAGGTTCACATAACAGACTCCACCACACCAAGTCCACGCATCTGAAACAAATACCTGTGTAACTAACCCCATACACAAGATGGTAACCAGACGAAAGGTCGTGGTTCACCATATGATCAAGCTGTCCTATCGTCTATCCTCTACCCGAGGATAAATGTGAACTTATATAATAAAAGCCATTAGCTATCTATGATTAAGTGGTTGTATTTACGGTCGTATCAGTTTGGGAATGAAAAAATAAACAGGTTTTCACCTTCATCTCTTGAATAATCCTCGCCAGAATGTGGTTCGAATAAATAATCACCAGTTGCAAGTTCAAAAGCCTAAAAACAACAAAAATATCAATAATAACAATGTTGTAATAGTGACTATTAAACTTCATTTTGATTAACTTTGAGAAATTGTGAGAGTGATAGACTGTAAAATAATGTATTGTTCGAGAACATGAATAAAGGATCTGACCCAACCATTTTCATGAACAAACTTTAAATTCCCACAACAGACATTTTCTTCATTGAACCACTAAACTATTTTGTGCCTAATGCATATTATATTAAATAAAAAAAAATTCAAAAATATTTTTTCAAAATCACACTCAATAACTCTGTAACTAAGGCAAAATGAAACATGATCCCTGGATTTAATTTGATAATAGATTAGAAGCGCACTTGTTAGTTCGAATTATACTAAAAGTAGGTGAAAGGAAATGACACATACCATGCAAGCTGTACTCCATATATCAGCAGGAGGTCCATACCCACATCCTAATAAAACTTCAACTGATCTGTACTGTCTTGTTTGAATGTCATCTGTGAAATGTTTGTGCTGAAATATGAGAAAAAAAAAGTTTTATGCATGATTGTGGATAGTAATATTAAGAACCGTTGCAATTTTGGGGATTGGGCCTTTTTTTAAATTTGATCTGGATATTTAGCAGGACAGACGATGTATGATAGAAAAAACATGAAGCTAGAAAAAGAGCTGACTAGCATGACTTTTCTTACATTTTTTTAATCATTATACTTAATATTTAGCATGGAATATATTACTCATAGCAATTTATGATTGTTAACAAAAGATATGCTTTGAATTTAATTCAAATTTCATTATCCTGAGTCTTGTTTGGATCAGAATGCATACAAAAACCGTCATATTAAAACAAAATATAAATCAAAAAACAATTAATTTATTGAGAATGTTTATAGGAGTTCGAAGGTAGAAGATTTCACGATTATGCTGTAACTCCTCAGTCAAGTACATGAAAAAGAAGAAGATCATCTCAAGATCCCGAACAACACCATCAATTACCCTAACAAACTACAGACTGATGCTCACCGTCCAGCAAGCATTTCCAAGATCAGCAATTTTGACTTTGATTTGATCAGAGCAAGTTGGATCAAGTAGATTGACAAGTAGGTCATTTGCTGAATATGAAGATCTCCAATCTCCACCTCTTGATGCTTGACTGAAAAATGAAGTGTAAAATTTTTTCGCCTAAATATCTAAAAAGTAGAGAAAGACGATTTAACTATATGGCGAACCTCAACCTCCCAAGTTAGATAGTTGTGTATGTAAAATTTAACCAGTCAACTGCAGTCAAAACATACCATTTCAAAAATAAACATGAAAATAGCATAAGGCATGGCGAAAAACAATAAAACCCCAAAAAAATATTTACTAAAGATTCACATAGAAGGTAAAAAGTTGTCACCCATTGAAAAGAGTGTAGCTGACAGTGAGAAAAAAAATGAGAATATTTGACAAAAAAACATATTTCTTTCACCAAAAACATAATGCTCAAGTTATTTTAATTATTTGCCTACCTGTCTGAACTTGTTCCTCTTTTCAAATTTCCACCTTCATCCCTCCGACCAGATCTATCCTGTTCCGGCCGATTTGACTCTGGTGAATTATTGCTGCAATGAAGAGGTTCAAGTATAAAACGATTTGAAATTAGCAACTCCAGAGCCATAGGCAACCAAAACTTCTAATCTTCGAAAATATTTATAAAGACCAACTTTATCTCTTTTGAAAACTTGAAAGGTATTCAAAATACAAAATTAAAGAATGACAAATATACCTTGAATTGCATTCAGCATTTTGAGTTTCCTCATTATTTTCTGCGACACCATTCTCAACAACGGATTCGGTTTGTTGTTGTTCGCCAACATTAGACATTGGTGATTGAACTGCTGTACTAAACGAGTCATCACTTGTGTTTAAACTGGAAATAATAGAAAAAACTTTAATTGAAAAACGGCATGGAAACAAAAAATGTTTAAACCACCATGGCGTCACTTGTAATAATATTTTACTTATTAGGACTCACAGATAAAAAAGCATTTTAAACTTCTGCCGGGTGGCAAAAACCGACTATTTTACTGTCCGAATTTGGAAATAGAATATTGAAGAATTTGAACAATTTTTTTTTAATCAATCATTTTTTTAAGATCAGTAATGAATTTGGTAAATGCAGAATAGTTGAGACTGACCACCATATATATGTTAAATGCCAAGAGAAGTGATCATCTATTCTAAAGTGAAACCTTAAAATTATGAATTCATGATCATTGAACATTTCTGGATGTGGACAATCAAAGATTAGATCGAATTTCGAACCTGCCAAAGAATATAGAAAAAAAGGAACAGACATTTGGAGTTGAATATAAATTCGAAACAAAATAAAGTACCTTTGTAACTTTTCTTCCATAACAGTTGTTTCATCTGCAATAAAAAAACATATTAATATAACAAATCGAGCCAGGTTGATAATTTATCCTCATCCGGTATTTCCCGTATTTTCAGAACAAATCTCACAAATATATACAACATATAGCAGTGGTTTCTAACCCAACAAGGGAGCCACATAGCAGTTGCAGGGGGGCCACAATGCTAGGTAAGAACTGATTTTACCTTTCCCTTTACAAGAAAACTCCCAGTTCTTTCTAGTTTGTTAAGCATGAATCGTTTAAACATAACACTATAAATACCAATGGAATGAAAATCAGGGGGACATGAGTGCTAAAAGCCTCCAATGGGGAACTACCAGCCATAAAAGGTTGGGGACCACTGCACTATAGCGAATAGAAACTTTCTAATTAATGGCTTAGTTCGTTACCATTGGCAGGTATATCAAACACTAGTAATAAATTTAGCATGAAGAATTATCTTGTATTGTCTTGGAAAGAGCATTGCAAGAAATTTACTTATAATTATCCTCAATATATATATATATAAATAAGTGTGTATAAGTTTGTCAACTACTAATCTTCATTTTGGAAGAAATGTATATAAAATGATCATTAAAACAGGTAAGACAATATATCAAAAGTGCGTCATGGTCTTGATTTCATTATTATATCGAAATTGTATTTATTACTATAACTGAAATACCAATCTGGCCTGAATATCAAGAAAAATATGCTATCTTGTATGGTTATATAATAAATTTTATTCAGTAAAGTCACCTTCAATATTTTCCTCATCTCCATTTTTCTCACATCCGTTTACAACTCCCTCATTTGTGATTTTCAAATCTTGAACTCTGACCTCTTCATTTTCTACAATTCCATTACCATTCTGCTTTGCTTCCTCGTCAATGCCATTTTGTAATTCCAAACCATTTTCCTTGATTATTTCAAGTTTATTATCAGAAATTATTTCTTCTTCTTCAGAGTTTTTGTCATTTTTGTCCTCTTGGAGTTCCTGGTCCTGTTTTTGACCATTTTCTGTTTCTTTACTTTCAGTGTCTGCGTTTCCGTTCACTTTTGCCGGTGATTCTGACACTTTCAGTTTATCTTTTTTAGGTGAATCTTGTTCTACTGCTCCAACACATTCAGGCTAGAAAAGATGAAAACAAGATGAACAGGCTGGATGGATGATAGGAGTAGTTCCTAATACAGTATTGCTAACTATTCTGTGTGAATTTGAATCCTGTGGAAAATATTTGTGGAAGAGAGAATTTTAAGATCGGTTATTGTGTCTGCTGATACGATACAATTACTCCACCCTTTGCATATGAAGTACCATTGGTAAAGATTCCCATAATGATATAAGACTTCCTTACATTCATTAAAGGTTTTCCTTCTCTTTCAGTTTGTTCAATTTGTTGAATTTGCATCTCAAGAAGTTCTTGTTGTTTCTTTGCTTTCTTTTTTAACTTTTTACGTTTGTTTTTAGAAATTTTCTGATTCTGAAAAAAATAAGTTGACGGGTATTCAATATAATGCACAAAAACCTATATTATAATTTAATCGAAAAAGTAATTGATTCTATTTAAACTTCAATACCCTAATTCCTGTAAAAATAAGATAAAGCTGTTTTTGTGGAAATCAAATTTCCAAAATTATTTGTTGGCTAGTACATCTGGCCAATGCAATAAAAATACAGTATAATACTGACACCCAAAATTTGTTCTGTTGTGATATGAAACTAGGTGATATGAAACAGCAAAAATAATTTCCAGCGTAACTTACTTAAAACTAGATATATGAAATGACAAACTTCAAAACAAGGAAGAGAATAATATAACTTATACTGACACAAAGGTCAAACGACTATAATTATGGTCAACACAATTCCAGTCACATATCAAAAGGATTGCACCAGGAAGGAATCTCATATGAATGCCGTGAAGTATAAAAACCAGAAAAAAAATGTTCCTACAGAAATCTTTTCAGGTTTTGGAAAACAATTTTCAACTTACTTGTTGTTGTCTTGGTTGTGGTGCTGTACTCACTAAAAAAAGATTGATTTTAAAATAATATAATACTAGATTCTATGAAATTTACAAGCAATCCTAATTGGTAATTTTACAACAAAATGTGAAATGAAGTAATACCAGCCTGGTAATTTCAGAACGAAATGTGAAACAAGTTGTACAGACAATATCAAAAGGTCACATAAACGTCTCCATAAAATGAAATAAAACAATTGAATTTTGTGTTTGAAAACAAGATGAAAATAAGTGCACTTTGGTGGTATCAACCTATTACAAGTACTCAAAATTTGAAACAGATGCGCAGAAAAAAAAATCAATATATAAAAGCTTAAAAGAAAGGTCAACTAGCAATAAACCTACCAAGTGAACCAGAAGGCGGTTTCCCACCCAACTGTTGCCATTGATGAGCATCAGCTGCAATTCTCCTCACATAGGGTTCATCGACACAAAGCAATATATTCTCTGGTTTGATATCTGTGTGAATAATCTGACATTTGCTGTGAAGATAATCCAGGCCTTGCAAAACCTATAAAATGCAATGAAATTGAGAAAATAAAATTCGATTTGATTTCTATTTTGAATAGTGAACACTGTTGAATTGAAGGTAATAAAGGATATTGAATAGTGCATAGTTTTCATTCTAGGTCAAAAGATTATAACCAATGAATAAAAAAAATATGATTAAAGAGTAGTTGAAGCTCAATAAATCAGTACTCTGAAGGCATCTAGCTAATGAAATATCTTGACACTATTCCATGTTTTTGTTTGGCCCTATCTAGATGACAAAAACAAAAGCAAAACAAAAAACTAAATATTATGTTTCAAAACCAAATTTTTGGTTTAATTGGACTTTGAACTTTCAAATTGATATTACAGCAATGGTAATGAATAGATGTCCAATATAGGACACTTCAAAAACGCCCAATTAAGTCAGATCAGGAATATATTTTCCAACTGGTAAAATTCCGTCTTACTTGGTGAACATTTCATTAATGTACAACACAGTTCCTACCTGTTTCATAATACTTTTGACACAAGATATTGGCATTCCTTGATAATTGGATTTGATAATCCATTTGAGTAAATGATGACCAAGAACTTCAAACACCATGCAAACATCTGATTGATTCAATGACATTAAGAAAGAAGTATATACATAAGATACCCTACAACTGAAGCAAGATTTTTGGTAAAATAAAATCATACTCAGAGTCAAAAAGGTAGGGGTAATTAGTTCTACTGTATTATAGTGCACTATCGAAGTGTGTGTACCAGGTTAGGATTATGCCATAATTTTATACCGATATTCCCTATTTTAGTTCTATTATTAGTTTGGGTCTGTTTGTGTTAGCCAAGTGAATATACCCTGTCCATGGGTTTCAGTCGCTTTACACAACTTGATGTAAAGTAGGCGAACAAAATTAGTTACCTCCATATCGGTACACACACACTTATGAAGCGCCGAATTATAGAGCTGTAAGCAAGGTTCCTCAGCACTGATAAAACATTCTTGTTTAATTTAGAACAGATTATTACCCTATTGGTCATAGATTGGAGGCCAGAAGGGGTTAAGTTTCAGTTATTCCCCACTGGCCATACTGACCGGCAATTTAGGATTGATATTAAATTAATTAAAATTACTAAATATTCAGTGAAAAGGAGTTCGGTATTTAATAGGTTGAAGCCTTGGCCTGTATTGAATTAGTTGAATCGAGGAGTGTTTTTTTTTCGATAAAATTTTAATTTGGCATACGCATAAGCAGTTTTGTATAAGGCATTTTTCAATTCTACAGTTCAAACAAGACTCTGTATATATAAGAGGTCCCTGATATGGGTCAATAATATGTAATGAATATTGCCAATATTGTGCAGAAATTGAAAAGGATACGAGTTCCATTCATCCCATGAATTTTAAAATCATCAAGCAACTGAACACATTTATCACGATTTGGATCTTGTGGATCACTTTCACGAACCTGAAGAAAAGAGAAAACAAAGATTGAAACTGAAACCTAAATCTGCAACATCATTTCTACAATGGTTAGCAAGAATAAAAGCCATTGGAAAACAATCATTGATATGGAAAAAATCTTATATGAGAGAAACAATATAAGATAATAAATAAACAAAGATAAAGAGTAATATCAATGTCGACAGCCACAAAAGTTTATAATGTTTATACAGCAATGACAATTATCAAGATTTATTCTAATTTAATTTACGATAATTCGGTTTAAGATTTAAATTTTTTTTATTTCTTCAGAAAAATATTTTTTATATGAAATACAAGCTTTACAAACTTTTGAAAAACATAACTCCAGAATATACTTCAAAATCATGTACAGATGATGCTAATAAAACATTTCAACAAATTGATGATACTGCAATATAAATTATGAATATGAGAATTTATTTAAATAATATTGAGCTGAGAGGAAAACAGTGAACTGTGTATGCTCTCACAGTGAGTAATAGTTTCTTCATTCGGACACAATGATCAATTCTACAAGAATTTCATATCAATTATTTAAAAACCTGCCATGATAATTCAATGGAATTGTTACTGAAACTAGCAGATATTGAATGCTATTTAAATGTTTAAAATGAAAGGATAAAAGATAATAATTTCATTGACTCAAGGATTTTCAGAGTGAATCAAAGATTGGAATTGATTTGAAAGTATATTTGTTATTTTAAATTATTCATCTTAGTTACCATTACAAATAGATACATACGATAAATTTAGAGCAATTGGAGTTTCACAATATCACCAACAATCTTTCTGTCAAGTTCTGAAATATTTCTTAATAACTTCGCCGTTTTCCAAATTCAATGCATTGACTTAAGGAAAAGCATCTGCATATTCCTACCTTACCAACAAGGCATGAATGTCGCACATTGGTATTAGCACAGTAAGACCTTAAGACCCTAGTTTGTTGAAAAGATTGGCGGAAAATCGTGACATTCTATTTGTAAAAATATTGCATTAGAATGTATTCAGGATAGCTACATATTAAAATGTTCTGGTCATCCATGCATTGACTATTAAAAAAGCTTTAAACATTTAAATTAAATGGAAATGGTTGCTTATGTTGGTTGAATCTTGATGATTGGAATGAATAAAAAAAAAATTCCAGGAACTGAAATCGCTACCACGGTTCTTAGTCATACAAATAAAAAAGGTTAATACATCACAGCTTCAGAGGTAATAAAAATATCAGAAGGAAGATCAGATAAGGTTAAGATATTATAGAAATAACAAGGTCCAGAGTGTCAAAAAAAACAAAGACTAGTATTAAATTATTCAATTTTCATACATTTATATTCAATGTGAATAGTAGCCTTACTAGCCTATAAATACCTCTTTTTATCAGAAAAGGTGAATTTGATTGTGTTTCAACAATGTACTCATACCCAGTCTATGATAAATTAAGCGAAAAGACATTCTTTCACGAAACTCTAAGTCATTGGTCAATGGCACATAACCTTGTTCGGAGCAAAATTATAGAAATCCTCTTAGAAGCTACTTGATTTTCATTAATTAATCAGATGATTATTTATTCAATTCAGATTGATTTATATCAGTGGTTCCCTAAGTTGATTGACCGGGAGCCAAAATTGGAATCGGGAGGATATTCGTGGGCCAGGATGAGGAAGCGCCCGCAAGGCCGTATATTTGGTATCGGTATGTATAATTGAGATACCGGTATAATTGAATTGTTATTAAGAATACACATACTTAGACTGTAATAATGACATAACAATTGGTGGTATCTAGTACGCAAAAAGAACAAAACAAAGTGTTGAACTAGGCCATGTTGAATCTTTACGCGATCGTAATTGGCCTGCAGTTTGGGAAGCACTTTAAATAGAGAAGTCAAATTACTTGAAATAAACTAAATATATTTCAAGATGAAGAAATATCTGCTAAAAGCAGAAACACAATGTAAACTATAATAATTCAATGGATCGTTGGTTATTCGCAGAGCATAAAAATAGGAGTCCATTATATCTATTATGATGAGTGTTCACTTCAAATATGATTTTCCAAATTGTGAACTAAGCATTATATTTGTCAAATGTAAACATATAAAATAGGAACACACTAAACATTTATATTAAGAACAAAAAATGTTGTTGATGGCACAACTAAAGCTATTTCAGAAAGAGCCTAAAATGGTTAAAGGCAATTTTCAGTATCAGTATCAAATCAATATATACATTTAATAAAGCATATACTACTGCTCTCTGTAACCTATGATAAGCAATGCATGGGAATCAAGTTTAACCGTGGAAAGTTTACTTTTAATAGATTCGAATTTATTGAGAAATGATTTTTGGCAATTAAAACAATTATTTTATCCTGAAATTTCAAATTTTGTAGTAAATTTCAGCATATACCGTGAGTTTGTTCTTAAGACGACCAATTCAGAAAATTTGAAATCAAAATTATCCAATTATGGGGTAAAAATCTGAACTATTCAAAAGACATATCTAAACAAAAACAAATTTTCAACTGCAAACTGCAATCTGACTATCATGAGCAAACCAAGATTTATTTGCTGGTCTATCATTGACAGAGCATGCCAGTGAGACACAGTACTCAAAAGCCAAAACTTGGCAATGATTTTGAAAGTAATCAGCAAATTATTTGGCAAGGAATAACCAGACATTGGTGTCTAATAATCAAATGAATGAAATGAAATAAATTTCCAATAACTCAGCAGACAAAACACAATCAATTCCAATTTGGCAATGAATAACAAATATTGATTTTAATGACTGTTTTAATTATATTACTGGTTTGACAAAAATTATGATGAATATATACAGGGCGTCCATAAAGTCCCTTTACAGTTTCAATTTTGTTAAGAAGTCAGTTGACTCAGTTCTCAATATCTCTTAATCAGGTTTGTTGTTTTTTAATCAGTAATTGTTTAAATATTTTTACTTCATTTAATACATCTGTGAGAGCCAAAACAATATATGGTATCTATAAATTCTTTGCGATTTAAAAAATTTTCAATTGTAACTTTATGAACCCCTATACTTCAAAAATAATAAAACATATTGCCTCGTAATTTTCAATTTTTAAATCTTTACATCTAATTAATGAATGCATACTTTTTATATACTATACAATAACTTGGTACTTTCAATTCTTTGGCATGAACTCATAGTTATGCTGGGCAAGTCTATTTAAAATCATTAATACTATTAAAAGTTGGAAGACCAATCAATGTCATGTATCTCAAATGAAATGCAAAAAAATCTTAAATTGTTTGTGTATTTATCAAATGAAACATGTGTGAGAATATATTAGAAAATCACTTATACAATCACCAGCCACTGTTGTATAAATTGTAGTATTTCTTTCTGATATGACTTCATGTATTTCCAGTAAGATATTACTTTGTGAGATACAGAGGGATATACTTACGCATTTTAGCAGTTTTATTTCATCCAGTGCTGTTTCTGTATAATGTTGAGCACTCTTCACAACTTTCATCGCAACGAAACGCTTCAATCTGAAGAAAATTAAAAACATGGTTAATAACAAAGAATACACTCATAAAGAACAAGTGGAATGAAATTTTCTATCGTTCGATTTCCTTCGTTCTTATTAAGATCTCTGCTCACTTTATGGTTGATAGTAAAGAAATCTAAAAAATTTATCTTCCAAAGGACATGTTGATTGAAGTACAAAATACGACAAACACAGCGTGAAATTGAAAATTCATGACATCTGGAAAGTAAGAGGAGTAGTGAATAACAGCATTGCTCATGACTAGCAAGTATCAGACCTTCATAATTAATTTTTATTAATTGGATATTAACTGCAACAAAATTTTGTTCAAAACCTCAATTTCGTAACAACTTTCTCACTATTCTACACTACGGAATCATGTCCCCAATCCTAGTGAGGAATTTAAATAATAGAGACACTGACTAATTTATTAAGCTATTCAACCATTACTTGAATTCTATTACACTGATTTCCGGTAATACTGTATAATTAATTCCAATATTTTATGAATTTTTCATTTGAAATATCATAAATAAAAGGTGACAGGAATATACAAAACAAATCATTACTAGAAATGAGGTAAAATATTTGTAGTGAATTATAAATTTTGAGAATTTTTCACTTAAATCATGTCCTCATAAGGATGAAAAAAGCATCAGTCAAAACAAATATATAGTTAGCTTTTACTTAATCTGGATTAGACTGGAAACATTTTTCACATTCTTGCAGATACCAATATCCACAAAAATGTACAACTTGATTCGAATTTAGTCATGAACCTCTGCTCACATTAACATAGTTATTTTTTTTTTCGGAATGTATTATGAATAGTGAAGTGAACATTATTCCAACACAGCATGAGATGCTATATATAATATTATATTAATTGTATCATTGTATACATAATCATAACTTTTTAAAAATAATAATAAATAGCTGTAACCTTTGAGTTATTAAAAAAGTCTTCCTCACAAACAATAACCACCAGTAACCATATGGGCCGTAACATTTATTCTATTTATTTATTTAAAGCATTGAAGCAAAAATTTACACATGAAATCTAATTATATGTTTTTGCTCTTGTTTCGCTCAACCACAATTTGATTAAACGAACACGACCCTATTTGAAAGTATTCCCATGTTACCAACAATTACAATAGTTGTAAAATTCCATTCTAATCTAAGTCTGTTTGACAGTTGATGTTAAAAGAAAAATGCAAACAAAAATATGGAAAGCGGCAATAAAAGAGAGAATCAAAAATATCAGTAATTCAGTATTTTTATTCTAGTATTTTCGCTTGATATAAAAGATTAATTTACATGGCCATATTGTTATGATACTTTGACTTTATTCATTAGTATTTTTGTGAAGAACAGAGACCAGCCATGTCCGATTTATCTTGTAACCTAAGTAACGAAATACAGACATAGGATTTGAAGAAACTTTATTTGTGTATTCCAAGTTAGTAATTAGTCAATTATTCCCATGCCATATTGAATTTTTCTGAACATCATCATATCTTATTGATTTTATTTATAACCTTTGGTTTTAATATACATGCTTTGAGCATGACAATATACACCAATGGCTTTTTAAAGCAGTAATTAAGGCTTAATACTCTAAACCCAATTAGTGGATTCTAAATATTCTATACAACTTACAGTTTTCTAACAGCGATGGCTAAATTTAATAGCTCTAGAATTTTATTAAAAGTCGGTTAGATTTGGTAGGGTTCGATGATGCCTATTATTTGTTAATAATAAGCAAAAGAACAATGACTCATCATAAAATTAAAGCAAAACATGAAATCATGGAACAAAATTAGGTAATAACTTCTGGATGCATTCCCTTTTTTTAACTGAAAACATGACAAAAAGCACAATTAGCTAGTTCTCTGAAATCTCAAAATACCAGAGAAAAAAAGTAAGCAAAAATTGTTACAAAAATAAAATTAGAAACTAATTTATCCTAGATTAAGTTGGCGACTATTTCTGGCTAGTTTTTAAAACCGCCAGACATAATAATGACGTAATTTGACTTTCAGTCTGCCTGGAGGCAAAATATCCGAGTATTATTGGTTTTGTATTGAAAATTTGTTAGTGTTAGTGAAGGACAATTTCATATATTTATAGAACTCTGAATTAATCGAATAATTTAAACAAATGAATAAACATGAACTTTCATTGTATGGATTGCCACTCATCAACATGTAGAACTGAGTTTTTCAAAAAACAATTTATCTGTTTGATATGGAGAAATTGATACGTTAATCACAGCAACTATTTTGCATTTGGGGTGATCACTTTTTGCTGGAAAGTGATTATGAAAAGCAATAGGCTGATAACTAATCATTAGACGAACAATAATATTGTTGACCTATTCATTAATAGAATCGAATCAATTTACTCCAACTTATTCTATTTGTATTATTTTAGAAAAGTTTCCAAATTTGGGCATCAAGCATATACTAAAATATCAAATTTGAATTTCTTAATCATTTTTTTTATATATTTTTAGATTGTTACAAATAGGATCAGACTATGAGTCGTTTTTGCAATTACGATATATTTAATGAATAAGAAGTGTTAGACGTGATAGTATTTTTTGAATTTTTCATTTTTTTTATGTTATCTTAACATAAATAAGTTGTTTTCGGTAGACGATAAAAAATTTAATGATAGCAAATTTTCTGACTTGCTAATTTTGTAATCTGAATAACAAGATTATTAACTGAATAAGATGTAAAACATTTTAATCAGGTTGACAAGAAACTAATCTATAAACATTCACTTCAAAGTAATATGCCTTATATCCAATTCACGTTTAATATGAAGTGAGGTTTCAAGTTTTCTCTGGTTTAACGCAGCGATTAGCCAGTTTTCCGTGATGACTCATAAACTCTCATTTTCTCCATCCATACAGGAATTCTCACATAACGTTGTTATGTCAAAGTTTTTGTAGATACTAATATTGAGAAATTCCCCCATGAACTATAGAAAGGTTGAAGAAAGAAAGTTCTAATATCCTCGAATTCTCTCAAAAAGTCTGTCGTAAAACCTTACAATAATTGGATTAGGGAACCTTGACTGGCATACACTGTCATGAACAGCATGTTTTACAACTAGGTATGCGAAGGTTCCAGACAATTAGTCATCGGCATGTGAAATTACATGTTATTGAAACAGTTGGAATGATTCCAATTGATTGCATAGCCTACAAAATTGATCAGAGTGGTGAAGAAATATTGTTTGCACATGCAAATGCCCTGCACAATTGAACCAAGCCCACAAAAAGCACAAAGGCCTATAGCAGGGGTTCCCACACCAGAGGTCGCGACCTCAAATTGGGTCAGAGTGATAAGTAGGTAGGGTAGCAAACAGGTCATGGGGTCAGTGAGGTATGGTAGAGGATGGATGTACAAAACATCTAAGATTTGACAAACCATGTTAAATTTAGCAGTTTGTACCATGGCTTACTGTAAAACAGGCCTATAAGCATCGCTCTATGCTTATGCTATGGAAAATGTGGGTGATTATTGTGACATCACTGTTTGGTTTTAGCTTATTTTACTTGACAGACAAACAGACAAATACCTATCCACATACTTACCGATCTAAAGATCGATAAGTAATAATATATGAATTACTCACTTCATATCCCAACACAACCAGACAGTAGAAAAATGTCCCCATCCTAACTTCCTCACGACATGATATCGATTCACAAATAAATCTCCAATTCTGACTGGATGATATCCACCTGAAACAAAAAGTATAAAACAGACTGAGAAGCAGGTCAAAACGTTCTTGTGAATTGCGATCACTAGTGCAAACACACAAGAGAAATAAAACTTATAATGTCAAATGGTACAAGATATATAGCAGTTGATTGAGGTGTTTAAATACTCCTTTTTTTGTTTTAGTGAATACTTACTCACTGACTTCGAGAGTATTGTAGCAGGAATCAAAGTGACTATATTGAGACGGACAGAATATCACAGAATAAAATTCATGCAAATGTGATGCATGAACTTTAAACACTCAATATATACCAGTATAATGATTTTGTTTATCATTTCACGAAGAATAGTTTTAATTAAGGGTTGTTTTGTCGGTGAACACTGATTTCTCATTGTTCAAACAATAAGATCAGCCATCTAGTCACTAGTGATTTACTAGATATTTCAAACCTATTATTTCAAGTTTCCAAATGTAAATTGCTTTGTTGAACATTTATGATTCATCCTAACAAAGACCAGGTACACATCTTCCAATCAATTTGTAAGCATTATTTCTTTACAACAAATGATCAATTTCAACATCAGATTTCAACACCATGAATTGATAAACACCCAATTAATTAGGTTTTTTACTTCGGTAACGAGTATGAATAACCATATTGGAATAGCTTGACTTGATTAGCCAATAAGATTTTGTAAATAAATTGGATTCAAAACAAAAGAATCTGTAATGGATGTGTTTTCAAAAAAAATCATTTTTCATAAAAAGCAAAATATTCAGATTTTAAATTTTTCATCTTTAATTAAAATAATATATTTTCCAAATATGAATTTGTTTCAAAATCGATGCTTTTTGACAAACTCATTTAGCTATTGATTAAGATTCTTATGTAGGCCTATGCCTTGGGATAATTAAATTGTATAACATCACAAGAATATATAATAGAAATTCCCTGAAATACACAGATGCAAAAATAAATATAGAGTATTTTCATAAATTGATGACTATTTTTCTTTCCAACAATTACTAAATTATTGCCAATCCAACACATTTGAAGATAACAAACAATTTCTAGGAAAGGGACAGCAAACATCTATGAAATATTCAAAGATAACATTCAACTAAAGACATATCAGTCTGCTGTAGAGAGTAATCAATACTGTTCAACTGCAACCCAGTAATCCAATTTGGATGCTGCATATTCAAGAAGTCAAACATGAAAAACCATTCACAGAACCAATACCCGTGAGGTAATAGGAATTTTGTGTTATAGTGTCATTAAGGTGGTATGTGATATAGTGAAAATGGAATAAGAATTTTTCAATATAAAAAAGAAACTTTCCACATTAACTCAAGTAGTCTCATGGTTAAGTCACATGTAAAACCACTCTCCAATTAAAAACCACAAAGGGGGATAGGAACTTTGTGGTATAGTGTAATATAAAAAAGAAAGAAGTTTCATATAACTAACTTTTATTTAACATTGGAACCGGCTCAGTGCTCTAACTTGATAAAAAATTATGTATAAAGTATAATCTATAAAGCATTAATAATAAGATAATCATTTTTCAGATTTAATAAAATTCAAAAATAAAACACTATAGGAAATAGACTTGGAATAAGAATTTCTACATAGTAAATTTTACATAGTCACTGCAATAAATACAACAGTTTATCCATGCTTGAACATCTGGAAAGAATCTGCAGCTTTAAAAACTTGAAATACATGGAATTATTAATAAAGTCTATATTAAATTAGAATTTGCTTTGTGATGATAATTTTTACATAAAAACCATAACTTATCATACTTTTACAATTTGATAAATTTTAATCCAAGGTCACAACTTCTTGATATATTGAAACAACATGGAGTGATAATGTTAACATGAACTGATAAGCTGAAGTGTTCTGTGTGAAGCAACAGCAGTTGATGATTGTTGCCTGATGACATACATTTTCACAACAGATACTACTAAGATAAGATAAGGCAATACTATGCAGAATATTCAATAAAGTCATTCATATAAAAAATATATTATTAAAATTGAAACTAACTTAGTAAGAAGACTGAAAACTACACATCTTGCTATGTTCGTTTTTCAATCTTTTTATTAGGTTCAGTAAGAGCAAAAATAAGCCTCAAAATTACGAATTAATTGTAAAGTGGGCGCTTCAGAAGTATGTGTACCAATGAGGAGGTACCTACTTCACAACAAGTTTACTTGGTTAACACTAACAGTCCCCAAACATGTAATAGAACTGAAATAGAAAAATCGGGATAACATTATGGCCTAACCCTAGCCTGGTACAAACACTACGGGAATACCAGTAAGTGGGCATATCTCAAAGAAACTAAGGAGAAAATGTTAAAGGTAGTAAAAAGTATTTGCTCAGAGTCTGAGAAAAGGCCTGCACCCCTGATCGCTTTTTCCTTTTTTGTAATATAGGTTGGGTGGGGCATTGGGCATTGCTACTGTTCAAATAGATCTATGATGAAGCTGTAAACATTAAATGACATAAAATATAGATATATAGGCCTACATTGTCAATGTCAGGAAAGTGATAAAAACTGAACCCACAAAGTTCCAGAACAATTTGCGAAAACAAATAAATTTTAGTGGATAGAAGCTGCTTAATATTTAGTCAAAGCTTTATGAAAATAAAAAATCAAACGACAGGAAGTGAATTCACACCAAACACACAGAATGAATAATCATTGCAGAAAACTCAAATAAACCAAGGGCAAACATCACAAAAATTATTATAGCAGGAAGCAGTGAACAGTGACTGTTCAAAATTGATTTATTAGGAAACAAAAAATGAAGTTGAAACCTCAGGGAAGGGAATATTATGAGTCTATGACCTAATCAACATTTGAAATGTTGCTTATCGCATAACACTGCATTCAATTTTAATGATGGATAATGCAACATTCAAAAATATTGCGGTGGAATTTGCATATATCATCATGTGGATGACTTTTATAAAGTCAATGAAAGCATTTGAAATTGGCTTTTAATTGCAAAAAAAAATAAAATTAGCTTATACTGCTAGTTTAAAGCAAATGAATGGAATTCCTGTATCAGTCCATGTATATTAGGCCAAATTGATAAGGTATACTCAGAAATGTTTGTCAAACAATGCAATGCTGACTGCAAATTCAAACTGAATAAAAATTGGTTCGAAAAACGTGTCAAATTTTTTTAGTTATAATAAGCATGAATGACAATGTATCCGAGATTAAATATAAAAATACATTTATGAGAGTATATTGTTACATTGTTGCGGTCACAAAAGTATGATTAATAAAACCACTACGGAATCCATTTATCCATTCTCAACAAGTATCGGTCTTGATGGGTTTCATATATAAAACTAATAGCAGTTTTGGCAAATAAATAAGAAGGCATCTTGAGTAAAAGGTTTCTACTTTTGATTGAAAATGGAGATTTGAAAGGGAGTGGTCGTTATAAACAAACGGTCAATAGGTTTGTAATTGACGGAGAACAAAAGCCGAGTGTTTTTAATTGGTTACTGTGAGGTAGGGTTGCACTCGATTCTTTTCAAATAAAATACGTGATGTGATATAAGAAATGTAAATAAAAGATTCATCATCACTACGCTACCGTTTCAATCAACATTGTAAAAAAAATGATCAATATTTTGAAATGATTTTCACTTGGAAAAATATTAATAATTGTTTACATTGTTATGAAATTGATTACTTTGTAATTAGTTTGTAGTGACTAATGTGATATTATGAATATTTTGGAAAAATCCTATCAATATTATTGGACAACTCGAACAAAGTAGGCTTGGGGAGAAAACTCCATATACCTGTGAATAGGCCTAGACATGAATAACTACAAAAATGGAAAAATTTTTCTATATTCAAATAATCTATAAAATCACAGCACTTCAGTATTAACAGAATTTGTCAAGGAAACAGTAAAATATATATTTTCAATATTAGATTTTATTATTCAAAAAACTTGATGAATTCAATAACCCCAAAGTATCTATTCTGTTACCTATCTATTCCTGTTAAATGACACATAATTTAGGTATATATGCAACTGCAATTCAATAATTATCACAATTTGGTGTCTTTTGCTGTGTAGCCATTGCAATCCAAAATTGGTACAATATTTGAAATGAATGACAATCTTATTGAAACAAATAATTTTTGTACATTAAAAGCATTCAAACATTTCAAATATAAAAGAAGTAAAGTTGAAGTTGATTCAAATGTTTATAAATGCAGTGGCCCATTTGGAACTTCAAGTCATGTATAGTCAGTAAAAAGCATTTTCTTCAATACAGCAGTCTAACCTGCCATGCAAACCGTTAGTTCGGTTAAGATCAATATTAAATGACACCTTTGGGAATTCTTCTGCACTTTGGTATTTCTTTGGTCAAATTAAACTTATCAATCATAATTTGTAACGAGGCATTCTGCTACGATTCAATGCACAATTTTTCGTTATAATATCACCTCAATATTTTGATGACATTCATCCAGCTACACATGCTTATTTGTCTTTATTTTGGCAATGACATTTACAGAATGACAACTGCTAATTCGAGTAGCATCTTTGATCTTAGCTGTAAAAGCACAAACGCTGCACTATAGAGTAGGAAAATGCAAATAAACAACTTTTTAATGATGTATCGGTTAATAAGATGGAACCACACAGTGAAAAAAAACTAATTTGGTCAAGGCAAGCTATTATATTATCATATTATAATGGTGGTAGTTTGAATCCAATGCAATTACACTAAGTTTATAATTGAATATTTTTTGAATTTGAAAAACCATATTTTTTCATATGAATAGGGTAGGATTTACATATTTATCCAGGGGGAGAGAAAAGCTGTTTAGAAAGCTTATTCATATGGTGAGCCACGGCCTCTATTCCAGTCACCAGTCCATGCCAGATATGGGATTAGTTAGCCAGCTATTCATTTTCAGATGCATGGACTTGAATGAATTCCTAAGAAATGGGCTACTGTAAGTGATATAATAGGATTTTAAGCTTTTCATATACACACAGTTATCAACTATTAATTGTTATAAATGATTCAAAAAAATCAATTGCAATGAGAAATTGGAGAAAACAATGAGTGCAGACACTTCCTAATAGTTGAACAGTAAAATTACATCAGGTCAGGTCATTATCATGGTTGTCTCGTTTTTCAAATATTTGAAATCCATTTGAAATCCATACTCTCTACAGACAGAATGTTTATTTAGCAGACAAACCATGACACAGCCAGAACAAGAGAGTTATCAAAACAATTGACATCATTAAATAAATGGATGAAGACTATGATTTTGAACTGATGGATTATTTTTTAAATTTTTGTTTTTCTAAAATGCACGATTCGAAAATAATTTGAAAATTACAATCCTTTTTAATGTAATTCCAAAATAACTTTTTTAAATTCAATTCAACAACCATCATGAGCATGGTACAAGGGAAATCAGAATATTTTATCAAATATAAATTTGAACATTACTTTCCAAATAATGAAACCATACAAAATTGCCTGCGAATATTTAGGTTTCAGTATATAAATATTGAACCATTCAAATGGAGCAATCGAGGGCGCAATTCAACAAAGAATACTCTGAATTGCTAAAAAACAGAGCATTGGCATTGCATCAAATACAATTCACTTTAAAAGTTTCAATATATAAAAGATCCTTGCGTGATTCATGGGTTATTAAGGAGAAATTCTACTTGTTTTTCACTAATTTTCTCTATGCTTTTGTACCCGTGGAACTGTATGCTTATGATGCAGAGAGGCTATAGCAAGATAGACTAACTAACATGGGAATATTTTTGTAGAGTTTCGTCTGACCAAAATAAGACAATTATATACTTCGACAATTCTATATGACAAATAATTTTGTGTTTTTTATTAACATTAGTGTTTAAAAAAAAAAAAAAAAAACACACAACGTTACAGAAATAAATTTGTGATAATGTGCAACAAGACGCTTGGATCACTTAACAGAATTAGGCTTCCATTTATGTCTTAGAAATAATCATATATATATTTCCGGTCATCTGCTTAGTGGGTCAAGCCTTCCTAATTTGAGCATCTTTACTTAAATTCACTTTGACCTTGTTATAACAACAAAAACATCACAATGTTTTATATAATCATTCTGGTTTCTACTTGAGTGGCAGATTGTTGTTTAGAAGCATTCAAGCATATAGTCCTCTCATTCCATTTACGTTTACAAATTTTAACTCGAGCATAGACGGTTGGGAATGACAGTGACGTAATTGATAGTATGTTGTTACAAATAGTTCGAGTTCAAAATCCAATTTGATGAATAGAGGATTAAAATCCGTCAATGAACGAATATCATGGCTTATAGGCCTATTGAATAAAAGTAGTAAAATATCAAGTTAATGCCATGCAAAAAAATTTATACTTATTTTATTCATTGTTAATCTGACATATCCAATTTAAATTAAGATTTGTAAGATAAGGATTTGTTATAATTATTCATGGCGTTTATCATTTATTCCTTCTTAATGGCAAAATCATAATTTATGGCAAATCCTATATAAACAAATAATGTTAACTGTGGTATATATATCAAAATAAACTTGGTGAACAGACAATTGGTTCACAAACAATACTCAATGTTGAAATGGATTGAATATTGAATTGAGATGGACAAGTTCGATAGATAAAAGGCTGTATGGAAGATTGTATAAGTAGGACTTTTATCTGGATTCCTTTTAATCTTATTTCATTTAAATTGAAATCTTTGCTAACTACTAATAATTCAGGTGATAACCTACAAGAAAAAAAATTGAATTGACAAACCTTTGCAATAATCATTTGGGTCTTCCTGCTCATCATCATCAGATCCTCTCAATTCTTCATCTTCATCTTCTGAGTCTTCATCATGGTTTATCGGATCATCGTAAGGTGGAGGATTCTCATCCTCATGATGATGGTTGTTATGGTTTGCAGATGAAGGAACAGGAGCAGACGAAGAATGAGTGTGAGAGTGCCTTAAGTAGGAATAAAGTTTTGTAATAATATTTCAATAAAAGTAATAATTTTTTTTATTTCACACTTTATCAAACCTCTTGCTCCACACAAGTCAAGCAATCCACTGATATACAGCATCATATGAAGAACTACCTTTTTTTTTATTTTCTGGTTCAGCATTGCTCAATTTTACTATACTCTAGGTGAAATGCCATCAACAAAACTACTATTTGATCTATCCACAAAGAGGTATTTACCCTTTATAAAATCATGGTCTACATTAGATTGCTAGGCACAAAGACTGATAGTGAATACAATATATCGTATGGTATATTCAGGATTTCCCTAATGGCCATATGGTTTATGAAGTAGCATAATATAAAGTTAGTGTTGTTTAGTTTTCTTATTCAATGTATTCTCTCTGAGGAACATGAGTTAAGATTTTTTTATTTGTCATAGAAGCAAAAAGAGCTTCTGCAATAAATATATTGATGACGAGAGTCGTGAAGTCACAGGAGTCATTGCTCAGCCACCATGTACAATATTTGACCTTACTTCAAATGACAAAAAATATTCGTATCAATTACAATACTTCAATATGTTATTTATCTAAAAACAATTCAAAACCAGGAAGAAAAGTTAAAGTTCGGATCACAACACTAATCTAATTTTTAAATGAAACTTACAACAAAATCTGCCAATACCTGAAGAGGTTAAATGAGCTTGACCTAAGACTAACAGGAAGTGATAATGACTGTGCTAAATCAAAATGAAGTGAGGATGAGTTGGACAGGAAAATCAATGTCAAACCTAAATTGTTATCTATTGTGTCAAGATGAAAAAACTCCTATGTGTTGATGTGGGTCATGAATAGTTTATCATAGCACAAGGAAAGAACATTAAGGGCATTTTGACTGAATTTCCTCCTATTATTATATCTTGAAATCACATTATCTGCAAGTGCATAATCCCATATGAATAAAAATTTAATTGCTGTATCCAGATCACCATAGGTCATCAAACAGAGTTACCGGTAGGTCCCAATATCTAACTACATTAGAATTTTTATCTTAAAATTAGTAGAATGTGGAATTATTTCACTTCCTTATTACTACAAAGTGTATCGAAAACCAGCATAAAACAGATAAATATTTAATAATTATTGCAATTTAGGACATTGACAATCATTTTCAACTTTCCTGCATTTTTTGTAACACATTATTCAAACACTATTGTTTAACATAGACATCTTGTTTACAAATACATTATAACAATCCAATACAATTATAACTTGACAATTACCCTTACTACAACGACAAGGCAAATGCAATAATATTATCAGCCTAATAATTGATAGTGCCCATTCAAGTCTCACAAGCTTGCCTGTTGCATGCAGGCCTATGTGTAATACAAATGGCTTTTTTTCTACAATTCCAAAAGGGTCTGTGGCACACTTGGGAATCTTTCACACAAGTTGAGAAACGCTGGTTTAACATTGGGGTCTTGATTTTTTCTTTTTTTATGAAGGCAACTTACTATTAATATTAAGGTTATGTTAGTTATAAGAAATGCTGTCCAAAATTTCCAACAAACCCGTGTCTATGATCCTTCTTCTTGTTTTTATCAGATAAGCGATTTTTTGGTTTCCTTTTCTTTCTGGCTTGAATTGCAAGAACTGTAAAATATAAGTTTCTCAAGATGAAAAAAAATAATACTCAGGAAACAAAGTAATCCTAGCATATAAGCCGACCTCCTAAAAACAGCCCTAAAACGGCGGATTTATAAAAATTAAATCTCGTCCTATACGCGAGAGAATATACAATATATCAAAATAATTCAAAAATCTAAGCTAGCATAAAATAAAGCAAATGATCACAAGATTTGCTTATAAGAATAGCAATTTCAAACTGTACAAAATGGATCTTTCAAGGTTGAATGAATGAAATATATAAGATTTGTAAATAAAAAAAGAGATGTTAATACTTAGTCACATGAATAATTACAATGAGATTATTACAAAATTGTTAATCAAATGATTCACGTCAATTACTCAATGGCAAGTTCGTTAAATACCTAAAAAGGCACCCAAAGTGTGGGCGAAACCTATGGGCAGGGGGTATATTCACTTGTCTGACACAGACAGTCCCCGCGAACTCTTACTAGAACTAAAATAAGGAAAATGGGAATAAAATTATGACCCTAACCCTAACCTGGTACATATACCATGGGAGTACCCTTAAAAATGCCTACATCGTATGGTCATGTGCAAGTGGCCATGGCAATATATTTAATATTTTTCCACAGCTAAGCATGGTCATAAACATTTAAATGAGAGAAAATTGAGTCTAGTAAAATGCTTCCATGTGGAAATATTACCTTTTCTTGAGCTCATTGTATTCTCAAGTGTCTTGCTATTCCTTTATTGAGGAAACTTGCAGGTTTCCAAAGCAGTTTTATTTTAATTTTATCAAAATAGTCCTGATATCCTTTAAAGAACTAAAAAACAAAACATTTTTCAAATCTGTTGCACAATTCTATTCTATTGCATCTACATCTTCAAGATTTTAATATGAAAAAACGCAAATTCAACAGTTAATATACAATCTTTATCACAGAAATCTTTATCACATTAAAAGACCAAAATCTAGAAAAAACATAATATACATGCTTCATACAATAAGTTCAAACAAAAAATAATGAACAGTAGCGAAAATGCTTCTAATACATTAGAAGACATCAAACTAAGGCAGCGAGTTGAAAGTTGCATAAATTGAAAAAATGTGCAATCTTATTATAATTGGCAAATCTTTTTGGCACAATTGATGATAAAATATACTGCGAACCGGAGCAAGTATGTTCAAAGTAGAAAAATCGAAATAAATACAGTGATAAATAACATAAATGAGTGCAAACCAACTTGATATTCTATTCATAATAATCGGCTATCAGAAACAATTGACAATTCTAAGAGAATGTCTAATATTTATATATTTTCATTCGGAACAAATGCTTCAAAATACAAAACATTGACTAGAAAACATAAAAGTGACGAAACAAGATTTGGCAAAAATTTGAATATCGCTAATATAATAGAACATCATAAATCTATATCTTTCAACTAGTATAGTAACTCAACTGCGTTATTGGTGCTTTTAAATTGAAAACTTGAATAAATTTCTTAAACAAAGGTATTGAAAATAAACTTGATATAATAGAACAATATAAATCTTTATCACTTTTGAATGTGTACTTAATATTCTTCTATATGAAAACTGAAATAATAAAGAACCCTAGAACACTCAACAGAATGATTAAAGTAACTAAGAAGAATTAAAGTAACTCAACTATATTATTGGTGCTTTCAAATTGAAAACTTGGATAAATTTTCTCAACATAGATATCGAAAATAAACTTGGAATGATTCTTCTAGCTTAGTAAAGTCAACGATTAGCTGATTTCAATTCGAACTTGGGTAAAAACAAAACAAAGTAAAATATAATATCAGTAGCACTTGCTTCTAACCATCTGTTCTACACTGCCAATATTTATGGTAACGGGAAACAAAATGATGGTGAAGTAGACCAGGTATGACAAGCCTATAATCTAATGATTTAAAACCAAGTAATTGCATAAATTAATGAAGCATGTGATGCTAATTAAATTGAAACTCTTGTGTATAATGAGAGGACTCTGTATGGAATCAAGTGATAATTAGCATTGCACTAACAATTTAAATCATAACTGAGGTAGGAAAATATTTTCCCAACATAGTTCTAAACTACCCAGGACATTGCCCACTGCTATAAAATATGGTCAATGATGAAATTACATACACAATTGTAATAAGAGTCAGTGGAATACACACACATATATATATATATATATATGTATAATATAACAGGGTCTGGGTATCCATGAAGTCCCTTTACCATTTCAATTTTGTTATGAAGTCAGTTCTTAATACATCTCAACCAGGTTTGTTGTTTTTTAATCGTTAATTGTTCAAGTATTTTTACTTCATTCGATCATCTGTGAGGGCCAAAACAATATATGGTATCGATAAATTCTCTTTGCAATTAAAAAAAAATTCAAGACTTCATGGACAACCTATATATATATATAATCGGAAATGTGTATAGGATGATATAATATGACTGTCTCAAAGGTCTATTCAAACTTGAGTATGTCTGAAATCTGAATATAAAAATCCAATTAAAAAATAAGTAAAAGAGAACCTGATATCTTACTGCATACAGTGATAAACTTTCACAACAATAGCTGATAAAATAATCATATATTCTCATCTCATAAAATTGGTCACCAAATTAACTAGAGCACTTTTTAACATCTTGATTAAAATATAACATCTTGATTAAAATATAAAAAGCTTGCCTCTCTTTTTTGAAGAAATTGGAACATTATAAAAAGTTCAAAAATCTGCATCTCCTGTGTATATATTTTCTTCTTTTTCCCATCAAATACAGAATGAAAAAGGAAATCAGAAATCCTAATACAAAATATTGCATTCTACGTTTCCAAATCAACTTTGATTCATAATCTTCTCCGAACAGGTCAGGCAACAACATATTTTTCACATAATCAGGGTCCAAAAACAAACGAAGATAAACAGCATAGAAACCAGCAGCTACAGCAGATTGGTGAGCACTGCAATAATCACCCATTGCAACATCCATCAGTAAATTGCGATTCTGCCATTCGAGTTTATTCTTATAAATCAGATCTTCAACCATATTATAATCAAAATCAGGGTTTACATTCACCTCGCGAAAACATCCTAATTTTGGATGCTGCCACTTCATTGCTCCTTCCAACCATGTTCTATTTACAGTATTCATGAAACCGATTGCACCACATATCATTCCTTGCTCCAAAAAGATATCATGGAACTGATAAGGTACTGTTCCGTTTTTAAACAAAGAATCCATTTGAAAAACTACACTGGTACACAGCTTTCGAAACATCTCTTTCAAACCTCCACTATTTGCCAACTTTTCTTCAAACTTATCATGGCAACCTACGGATATACCAAGTTGAAACCATAATACTTGATGTGTCGTATAATATAATTTAGTATCAAGTTTTGTCATCTGTTCCCAGCAGACATCTATATCACATTTTTTGAAACCCTGATTACCAAAAAGTGTGCCCATGCATTTGTCACTGACACTTTCATCAAAATGGTCTGGTTTATGATCTCCTATGTCTTCAAATTTAGTCCAAGGTAATTCACTTTTAACAATTTTACCAATTGCCTGTGGTTTAAGCTCATACATTATCCATGGTTTGTCAATAACATGCATAAAATTTGAAAAATATTCCTGATCTTTCTTTTTCACTTCTGGATAAGCCAATGCCGCAGTTTCATCAGCTACTTTTAAAATTGATTTAATTTTATTTTGAATTTCAATGTTGTCTCTTACTTCTGGATAAGCTCCAGATTCGCCCTTCTCTAATGCTCTTCTCAGCTCCCCCTGCACACTTCTGAGCCCGAACAAACCATCCAAGTTGAGTTTGTCATATCGTTTTGAGAAAAAGTTGACTAAATTTTCAAGCGAATTCAACAAGTTTTCCAAAGTTGGTTCGAGGCTTTCTATCTTTGTGTTAGCCTCAGCATTTCTGAAATCAATTAAGACAGACAGCACAAATATCAGCAAATAACATTTCATTGTGACAATAAATTATTAATAAGAGTATCTGGCTGAATACAACAAACACAGTACCTAAAATTTCAAAACAAATGTTTCAAAATAGTGTGTGGATGATCGAATGTGGTGGTTCATAATCAGGTTGACTGTTTACACAGATAGGATGCTGAGGGGTCTCATATAAGTTCACTAGTGAGAGACTACCCACTTGGGAAATTAGTATTATATCTACCATAAGAAAGGTTGAGACAAACTTTTTTATATGATGAGATTATTGTTGCCATGGCAAACAAGAACCAAACAATAAGAAATTGAGTGATAATAATGATATGGGCCGACTCAATTTTAAATAAGTCAACACTGATATAAAAGTAAAAGGAGAGTAGAAAAAATATAGGAGTCAGGACGCAACAACCATGCCAGCACACTTCCATCTCTTTTTGATTAGAATTTCAATTTTTAATGAATCACAAGAAGTTCTTATGCACTTGGAACTTTATACTGTTCATATTGATCACAGTTGGTATGTAACAATTGTCGCCAATAATTTCAGTTTTTTAGGTTTAGTGATTGGTATAATAAAAATCATTACTAATAAACCAAATGAATTTACAATAATTCAGACTAAATGCTTAAAGATCCAACTTTCACAACAAACCAAGAAGTATATTATACCAGTCAGTACTGCAGTATACATTATACACAAAGAAGAATGTCGATGATGGTGAAAAAGAGAAATTTCCAACTGATATACACTTGAATATTCATTATTTATATTTTATTGAATTGCTTCTGGCTGTTCTCATACAGTCATATTTCCTGTACAAGGCTCTGTAAAAGAAGACACTGATACCGAGAAAATTAATAATCCTGTTTTTATGGGACAAGAATCCTGGAATCAGAGCTGAAATTACCAACAAAAACTTACTGAACTAATAAACAAACTGAATATATTACAAAGAAATTAAGCCATCTCGAAATACATGCCGATATTACGGTACTGGTACGGTACCGTACCGGTGCCATTGCCAGACTGGTCAAGTCCAAAACGTCTTTCATTTTTATTGAACTTCCAAAGTCTTTTTTGACTATGACTTTTCTAATGAATGACACAGAAAAATCTGTCATACTACAGTACTACAACCAAACTCGTAACAACTGGCAACGTTGATGTATTTGGCCAAGAAGATAAAATTCTCCTCGAAATATTTCTACGTCCAATGGATAAATCAGACACCTTATTAACCTACAACTGCGCTGACAAAAGGCGTGCATAAATTTCAAACCAGCTGACGGACGAGAGAAACTACTAACGTCGGAAAGTTGCAACTTGAAATTATCTCACGCCCGCGCTTTATTGAATACCTACAATGCGTTAATGACTGAACCGTGCTTAGCTGAAACATTTTACTAAAACATTACTTAAAATAAATTGCGACATCTTACATAGTATAATTTTCCCTAACTGCCTCCCATAAAAGAAACCCAACATTCAATTTTTGAAAATGAGAAATTACCACTCGTAAATTCAGTGAAGCGCGGGTTGTTTGCTGTGGCGACCTCTCGATCTCTTCAGACGGCAGTTCCAATGACGTAATAGTGTTGATCGAAACGAGAACATGTGCAAATTTGATACCCGCTCGCATATGGTAAATGATTAACATAATCGACAATGAGTTTATTTTTACCGTATGTTTTTCAGGTGTTCGTAGGTAACTTCCCTAAACCTTGTCAGGTTAAAGGTGCAAATACTGAGGTAGGCACCGGTTGAAAACCGAGCGCATGTTTGTTTACAAACTGAAATTCCCCGAAAATAAGACTGGGTCCTCTTTCATTTTTTTCCCGAAAAATAACACTAGGGCTCATGGACCTTTCCCCGACTTTTGACCCCGGAAAAATTCTTCCTATACTTTACCATTGCAAAATTTTTGGGGCTATTTTAAGAGTGCTTGTGCGAGTTGGCGCCTGTAAAATTGGGTATGTGTTTCGAACCATCATTATGATTCATCGCATACAACAATCTGTTTTTTAAAAGTACCGATAAAGAATTGTAGCTTAGGGTATCACAGCTATTTCTACACTAATTTTTTATTACTGCAATTAAATTAAAACTCCTAGGAAGACAGAGTGATCATTGAATTATCTGATTTATATTTAAGTTTCCAAAACACAACGAATAGAATTCAAAAACGCGTAAACGAGGTAATGTTTACGACCACGCTTGAAAATCTGTCTGAGTGAGAAAACGGTTTGAGCGGATGCGAAAAGTGGGCGTTGTTACGTCACTATATCTTACTATCGACTAGGTAAAAAAAAATTCGCGTTATTGACTAGGTCTTATTTTGAGGGGGGGGGCTTATATAAAAAATCATTTTTTCAAATTCAGGCTAGGTCTCACTTTCGGGGAAACACGGCAGGTCAGTGTTAGCTTTTCTTGCTCTAGTATGAATTACAGCAAGCCGAGGTCAACCGCACTCACTCAGAAAGAAAAAACTTAAGAGGTCCAACAATTGGATTAATTACGGTACCTATACCGCATGAATACACAGTGGTATGGTCAATACCTTTGAGATTTAGTCGGTTTTGCTCGCTTTCGCAATATACTTCGGCTTGTTTCCTCGATCTTCTTTGGCCTGTTTTCATGTATCACCTTCATCTTCGCTTAGTAAATGCCTACATGCATCAATGGCACACTTTCTGAAACTTAGCCATGTTGCCCAAAGCCTAATATATAAGTGCTTGTTACAATTCAACTGTTTTTATTTTGAGAACTAATTTCGGCACAGTGCTAAAAAAAATTATAATACATTTCAAAATAAAACCCAAAAATAGTGGTAATCATAGATCAACTCTTTCCGAAAGTTATGTCAGATGTAAAATTCTAGGCAGGGATGGCCAATATCGAATAGTTCACTATTTCGAATACATTCGAAATTATTTTTTTCGAATATGAAATTTCGAATACTTCGAAGATAAAATCCACTAATTGAAGCTTATCTAAATGTATGCAGGAATGTCCATACAATAAGCAATGAAATAACTGCTATCTACAAGTTACGACCTAGCTATATTACCAGGCATTTCATATTTGCAGATTACTGCAGTATAATACCATGAGTCATGATAACAGAATTAAATTAATACGGCAATAGTGATATAGATGATGGATTTGAATATTTGCGCAACACAAAATTATTCTAGTAAAACGCCCATACTTTTAAATACCAACCATTGTCTAAATTATTTGCCAAAAAGCGGGATAAAGTATGAGTTATTTTTCCGACTCGTGACAATTTTTTCGTGAGTACAAAAATACGAATCAAAAATTAATTATATTCGGGAACTTTACCACACATTTTAAGTCCGCAGATCGCCGTTGTATTATTGAGTAATAATACTTTTATTATTTTATAAATATGAAAATAGGAATCAAAAACTATTTATAATCGGGTAGTTTACCACACATTCTAAGTCCACAGATCGCCGTTGTATTTTGTAGATACGAAAATAGGAATCAAAAATTAATATTAATCGCGAGTTTGCCACACAATCTATGTCCACAGATTGCCGTGATATTGTGCCGAATATAATTAGTTTTTGATTCTTATTTTCGTACTCACGAAAAAATTGTCGCATGTGAGAAAAAGAATTTATACTTTTTCCCGTTTTTTGGGAACTAATTTGGATAATGGTTGCCATTGGTTTGTATTTAAAAGAATGGACTTTTTACTAGGATGATTTTGTGCTGCGCAAATATTCGAATCCATGACCGATACCACTATTTAAAATGCCTTACCGTGTTAATTTAATTCTATTATCATAACTCAAATGTTGGTAAATCGGGCATTTTACCACACATTTCAAGGCCACAGATCGCTGTTGCATTTCAGAATTATAATGTTTTATTTTGTAGATACGAATCCGAAATTAATTACAATTGGGCAGTTTACCACGTGTTTCATGTCCACAAATACCCGTGGTATTTGGTATTAATGCCTTCATTATTTTATCAATAGGAAAATAGGAATCAATATTTAATAATATCGGTCAGTTTACCACACATTTTATGTCCACAGATTGTCGATACAACCATGAGTTACGTTGAACAAAATTAAATTAATACGGCATGACATTTTAAATGCTGGTACTAGTCATGGATTGGATTATTTTGCGCAACAAAAAATCATTCTGGTAAAGGATCGATACTTTTAACTATCGTTATCAAAATTATTTGCCAGAAATTATTTTCTAATAAATCGACTTGTTTTTCCATCTTTGACAATTTATTGGATATCGTAACAATGACGGGTATAAATACCGTATTTCCCGGCTAATAAGTCCACATGGCAAATAGGACGATGTCTATTTTAAGCACTCAAAAAGTTTTTTTTTCCATATAGGCCTCCAATAATACGGGTAGAAAAATTGTGTCCCTGTTGTTCAGTTATGCTGATATGCGCTAATAATTTTATGTGTTTAGAACCAGATCATGTTAGTTTGGTAGAATCATACTCACAGAATTAACTATTTTTAACAATTGAGCGATAAATTTAAGTTGTAAAGCGGCAATCATTTTGGACAACCTTTATTAACCCGAATGTTGAAATAATTTTGGAATGTGACAAGTACTACATTGTACGTGCACGGGTTATTTCGCAGCTGTGTTTTCCTGTCCCTGTCGTGTTCTGCTGAATCGGCAAAACGAAAGGGTCGCAAATCACTTTATCTCGGTGGCCGTGTTTCTCTTTAAAGTAACGATAACCGACCTGCGATTAAATATCATGATTGATATAATAATAAGCAGGCCACATAGAAATAAAATTAACATACTTTTTCAAATGTGCAAATGTGTCGCAACACTATGCGACGTACGGTCGCACAGAATATGAACAAACAAAGTGCCGATTGTATTTCATCGTCATTACAATACGTGAGACAGCGTAAAAAGTCGTTTGAAGATTCCCGTGAAACGAAACACCACGTTTACGGCGAAAAGTGGCTACTATTCGGAATTATTCGAAAATCAGCCGAAAAGGTATTCGAATACTTTGATATTCGAATACATTCGAATATTCGATTCGTTTTGGACAACCCTGATTCTAGGCCATGGGAGTAATGCAATACTAGCTTGTTTAAACTTTTTATGCCATGTTCAAGTCATGTAATACTAATTTATTTTAGGAAAGAAAACATCTAATACATTCTTCAATATGAAATATTAATAAAGATATAAAACAGTAATACAAAACAGGTAACTGTGGTAATGAAAGCAGCACTCAATTAAAAACCTTATACTTAGCAAGGCTTTACTGCATTCGGTAAGCTGAGTTGTCAAAATCATACCAAGACAGCATTTGAAAACAATGATAGTGCAATAGAAAATGGAATTTAAACTACAAAAACAAACAAATCGAGAGTAAAAAAACAGCTTAACAGTATCAAACTCTATTTATATATCTCATAGAAAATGTCCCAGGGTTGCAGGACCACAAAATCATGCGAAACACTAAGTTCAGATCTTTGAACAATATGCATCAATTTCACCCCACCATATGCCACATCAATATTATAAATGATAACCAATAACGACATGCATTATACTGGGTGAGTCAAAAAACCTCCCACATTTCAAATAAAAATTAAATGAGAAAACTTTTCATTTTACTCAGGTTGACAAGGATGTTTGGCTGATGAAAGCAACAGTGTGTTGCAACAAATAAGCACCTTAGAGTAAAATTAGTTAATAAGGATGTCGAGTACAATTGCTATTGAATTTTTACAAAGACTTTTCACCAGTCACTAGTATTAAAGAGAGAGTAGCAAGATAGTGATGGCAATTTTAAACTTCAGAGGTCTGTTACTGGAATTTCTTGTTGTCCTTCTGTTCGAATATCTGTGAAATGTTCTAATTCATCCATTGACGATTTCTTGGTCGCAACAAAACCTTAAAATAAACATGGAATGCAGAATGAATATCAAGTAGTACCTTGACTGTTGGAAATTCGGCGCTCCAGAAGTGTGTGTATCAATATGGAGGTAACTTATTTTGTTTGCCTACTTTACATCAAGTTGTTTAGAGGGACTGAAACCTATGGGTGTATATTCACTTGGCTAACACAGACAGTTGCCAAACTCGTATAGAATTAAAATAAGGAAAATCAGAATAAAATTATAGCCTAACCCTAACCTGGTACCCACACTACGGGAGTACTGATTTGGGCTGTGATGAAATATTATCAATATCTATTGCAAAGAAATAAGCTTAGGATACAGCCTAATCTTTTCCATTTGTTCCTCTTCCATCTCCTCCATGGTTGCAAGCCTTCAATCTTCTCATCCAAGAAATCTCATTGAACCAATCATAAATAACAAATAAGATATCAACACTTACGAGCAGAGTTAGGGGCGCTGGCATCTAATGATTGATTATTTGATTGTTTCCCAGTGTCTTCATCTTCTGAAGATAAAGATGAAGCTGCAGAAGGTCTTCCATGCAGGTCTTGTCTCTGATCTGGAGTCAGAGGTCCTAAATGTTTAATATGGATTGTATAAAGATAGCCAGCCGGTGGTTACGTTTAAAAAAAATTCACAGATGGCATATAAATACTAATACAACTGTATTTCTGTAGCGTTTCGCCTGACCGAGATCAAGAATATTTTAGACAAGCAATGTGCAGCAAGACTCTTGAATCAAATAAAAGAGTTTTCTTTATTCTAGCTACAGCATCCTTGACTTATTCGCATGAAAATTCATAGAGCAAAAGCATAGAGCAAGGAAGGGTAGTTATTCTCATGCGACCGGAATTAATAGTTATGGTAAATAAATTCTAACATAAACAGAGATGTCACAATAAAAATATACTACAAGGCAGTTCAAAGGTATTTTTATACAATTATGTACTTGATAGATCAAAAACCTTCTCAAGGCTTAAAGTTTGAACAACTATTGATAGTGAATATAACCAGTTCATCTGACTATTTTAGCATGGCATTTCCTCATTAAATCCTAAAAAAGGTTCATTCTCTGGACTTTGATATTTCCTATGCTACCTGAAATAGGAACAGGAGATGCTGGCAGTTTCTTTTTATTTGATTGTCTCTCTTTCAACGCTGATTCCAACTTACGAAGAAGCTTCCTCGGATTCTTTTTTGCTTCCGTTTCTGCATCTAGAATAAAGATTTAAGAATAGAGAGGCATATGGGATTCTAATCCGAGATATAAAACCGGTGATGACTACACAGCTAACTGCAATGCTTCAACCACTATGCAGGCCATCATGATCCACATGGATATTAAATTGTTTCAAGACACTTTGAAGAACCAAAAGAGGAACTAGGATTGAGCTCAGACGAATAAGTAATAATAATAAAACTTAGACGATAAAGATAAGGATAATTTCATACAATTCAAACTGCTAATCATCAGACAAACCTTTCATAACATGACCAGAATCTTTCATAGTTTTATGTTGTGTTTTCCATATTGTATATATATGCAGAAACAATGCAACATAAAAATCATTCACGACTGCTATGACCTGTTTCCTTTTGTTACAGTCTCTGAAAATGAGAAACAATATTTTGAAAAGATAAATAATCACATTGGTTAATTTTTAATGTTAAACGAGTTGAATGGAAAATTTTGGTCTTGCTCTCCATTAGATCCCCTAAATTCCTGAAAAAATCGCACATTTCAAAAACGTTTGGCAATGTTCTTCAATTAGGCAGATAGCAACAGAATATTAAATCAGTCTTTAATTTTGAGATAACTGATGAACGATTTGGGTAAAACAATGTTCTTAAGATATCAGTAAAATGAATTCATGTTTTTTTTGTACACTTTTTATTTCGCTGAGAACAAGGCTGTTCCCAAGAATCCACTCCTAGGTGAAGAGTTTGGAAGGGAAGAAACCTGGAAGGTTCAGCATTGCCTACCCCATTCATGAATAAAGCCAGCATGAGATAGAAGGAAGGAATTTACCCTGGAGATTTTTACCCGCGATGCCGATATAGCTAAGCCTGTCGCTTCAATCACTAACTAGGCCTTCGCGCCACACAGATGGAGGCATTTCTACAGATGAAGAGGCAACACAATACCAAAAAGCTGAATAACATGTTTCAAATATTCCTATCCCTTAATACTTTACAAAATAACAGACCTCCGTCATCCGTAGCTTATATTCAAAAATCAAAACAAGATTACTTGTGTAATTTTTCCTCTCTTAAAACTTGCAAAGCAATTCTTGTTATATTGAACGACATCACGCAGAATGGGAAATTCTGCTCTTCATCGAGTGACAGACGATAGAAGTCGGTAAATAAGCTGGAAACCTGCAACAGACAAACAAGAGAAGGGGAAATTTTCATGACTCTGAAAAGCAGAGAGATTGTGGCCATAGGACTAGAAACAATACCGTACTTTATTTGAATATTGCATTTGTTAAATAATATAGTTGCTTCATGGTCGGTAAAAATTAAATCCACATCATGCCTGGCAACTGGCAAGTAAATATTCTTTGGCCAGACTGAAAATATTTTTGCATCAACTTCAATATTATAATTAATATCAGTGTTTTCAAAATAATGTCAGCCAGATCACCATTAAAGTATGACTATTACTCAAATATACTCATATAAGTATTGTCCATTCGAATGCTGTATTACAACAGCACTTATAACTATTAATTGAACTAAAACAACTATTAAGTATCTGTCAATTTCATCCATAAAAGTATAAAACAGTGGTTCTCAAACTTTTTAAGTCGTGCCCCTATTTGAGAATTTGTCAAGTCTTGCGCCCTAAAATAACTAGCTAACAACAAGCTACAAATAACAGATAGTAAGGGGAAAGTATGTTTTACTAAAGAAAAAACGTTGAAAACACGTGGAAGGAACGGAACTAGCCAAAATAGAGAAATGTAAATATCCAAAACAAAGCGGGCAAGATCAAATCTAACAAATATTTTTATTTTTACTTAGCTTCACGCCCCCTCAAAAAGTGTCTACACCCCTCTTGTGGGACGCGCCCCACCATTTTGAGAATCACTGGTAAAAAATAATCTAGCAACATATATTATGATTAGAAAGGTTCAACAGGAAGGTACTACTTACATCAGAGTCAGATGTACCATGTAGCATCTGCATTAAACCTAAGAATCCAACTCCTCGAAGATCAGTCGCAGGATCATTACCTTGACAGAAACAATTAATTGAAATGTTGAGTTGAATCTCAATACATATTTACAGAATGAAAATGAAAATCCAGCAACTACATTCTAAAAAACCAACCATGAACTTTTCTGGAATTGATAATATTAGTCATTTTGACCTAAACAAAGTCTATGACAGTTGAACAAATTTTTTCAGTCTGGTAACAAGCACATGAAAGATAACACCCAAAATCAAAACTAAGAAAAACTCATTCTACTAGTTGATCAATGATTAAGTGAGAAAGTCCAAAATATATGAATTCGCCATGGCATTATATTCAAAACTACCTCTTTACTGGACACAAAACATCATTTATAATTTGGAGCTCAACCAGATTTTAAGTTGTTTAAATGTTTCATTATACAATAAAAGCATTGCTTGCATTCAAATTTTCATGTTAATCGAAACCTTAATAACAAAAAGAATAACTGTTAATATCAGATTTCCATTCCAGCTGAAGAAATGAGACAATTACAATATCAAACTGACCTTGGAAACCAATAGTTTCCCAATGTGTCCCCCTTCTTGCGCAATCAAATTTCGATCCTGTGAGTTTCTTATAAATTGTTTGTAAAGTACGACCATGGATATCATCTCCATCATCAAGTTGTGCTGAGAAACAAAGAAATGATCAGCGATGAGAAATATATGTAGTACCAGGTATACACAGACCCATAATGTGAAAAATTACAGCAGCCAAGAACTGTAAGTCTGAGATGGGGTGAGTGATCTTGCAGATTGAAATCCCATGTGACGAAATTATGTGTGAGAGGATTACTGGACTTCACACCGCCATAGGGTAGTTCCCGTAACGGCTTATCGGTTATGGCTTCCTCCACCTTCAAGCCCATGCATCTGAAAACAAAATAACTGGCTACCGTAACTAATTCCATACCCGGCATGGACTGGTGACCGTACGAGAGGACGTGGTTTGCCATATGATTAAGCCATCTTAGCAACTTGCCTCTCTCCCAGGATAAATATGTAAATCCCATCCCAATAACAATAAACAAATTATCTTACTTTGTGCAATGCAAAATATCAAATCTCTTTCTTCTACTAATGATTGATGTAATTTAGGAGGACCAAATAAAAAATGTAAAAAAGCTGCAAATCTAGTTCTGTTGATTGTTGGTTTGATATTTTTTGTATCAAGAGTTTTTGTTTGAAAATGTTGGAGAACTTCAGTAAAGGATACAGAATGCGTTGTCTTCACTCCTCCAGTACCTGAAAATATTTGAACATAATGAAAAGTTGTGTCAACTGTTAGTACAAACTGATAAGCAGAAATTTCCAATTTGTAGGATAAGTATGCTTAAGAGTAAAACTGCTGGATTTTTTCAAATAATTCATAAAACACATTATGTGTTAGGCCACCAAAAGCATTAAAATTGGTATTTCTCCCAATACATAACAGACTGTAAAGAGACATGACTACTTCGTAATAGAGAACTCAATAACTTCTCTTGTGCCTGATATAATAGGAAACATTTAAAAAGAAAAGAATCTATAGATAGTAAGTTCAGACATGAAAACAATACTGTTCATTAGATAACACTCTTGGATAGTGGATACCTTTTTCTCTTCACCCTGGAAGAAAGGCATGTCTCCCATCATTTGTCGTGCTGATCTCAACCCAGTCCAACAGCAGTCTAATAATCAGTTACTCCTACTATGCTGAGTATAAACTATATCAGTGGTTCTCAACCTTATATAAAGAGCTAACTTCAGGAGCGAAGTCTCTTCCTTTCCCCCTTCTACCCCTCCTCTTACCTCATCTTCTTTTCTGCTTGAGTTTCAGTTTGGCGTGAAGAAAATGGCAGAGTGGGGGCTAGGAGAGTGGCTGGAATAGGTAAGTGGGGGGAAGGGGAAATGGAACAGGGTGGGGTTGAATAAGAGTGAGGGGGTTAGAGGCAAAGTGGGAGAAGCTGGTGCCGAGCGATGAACTTCCCTGACACAGTTAACGACTTTAATTACGACAGACAAATGCTTTCACAAAAATCAAATTTACCCATGATAATTAAAAAATTTACAGGGGTAAACAGATTAATGATGTCAAAACTTTGGAAACTCTGATGAATGATAAAACTAAATGAATACAGCAAAACAATAAAACAAAATAGGAATTGTATTTCGCACTTGTCCTCTGCGCAGATTCCAATGCCTCCCATTCTGATCTCTCTTGTTCTAATTTTTCAAGCCATTCTTGTCTTTCTGCTTCTCGTTTCTTGTCAGAATCAGCAATTGTTTCTAATCCTTCACCTGCTTCTTCAAAAACCTAAAACAAAATTAAAAACAAGAATTGAAATGAATTTAATTTGAACAATAAAGAAGTAGATATATCTCTTTTTATTTTTTAGCTCTTTTTTCACCACCATGATGAAACACACAAAAGGTTATAATGACACACTATCCAGTGCATAAAATTGGATTTTTCATTTTTATACTGGGTGAAAGTGGATCCCGTTATCTAGTTTGGGGTCTAGTCCTAGGTATATATATATACACCGGTATATAGATTAGATGAACATTTCATAATTTCAGATGCATGGACAAGGGCAATGGAGGAGGTAGAAAAAAATCTTGTTAAACATCCCCAAAATGAAAAAGTCTTGAAAAAGAAATGTTTCTTGTGATCACCTCCACAATATTTGACTCTGTGTGGGAAATTTAGTAGTTTGGTAGCAAGTGTGTTTTAACACTACACTACACTACAGCCAAGTGAATATCAATGTAAGCAATATTGTTTGATAAATTTACACAAAACTATAGACACAATGGTGGAGAAAGCTGACCAGCTGGTACATAAACCACCACCAATAATCCACAGAGTTACAACATGAATTTCCTCCTCAAATAACTCCTACAGAGAAATCAATGGCGGTAATGTCATTCGTGTTACTTATAATAAACAATATGCCAAAACCGAATAAATGACAATAAGCCAAATTTTCACCAAATCAAAAATGTACCTTGAAATTTTGATCCTCCAATTTTTCAAAACCAAGTTCAATATTCACGTCTTTATCCGAAATAACATTATTCGTGTTGGTGTTCGAAGAACCTCCTGTAACCTCCATTATTTCATTATTTCACTAAATAAAAAAAATAAAAAAATATTGAATATTCCATATTCAAACCAATATTTGTTTTATGTATTTTGTTGGCATTTCATTTGTGTGCGTTAAAAATGTTGGGAACCAAACGATTTAAACAACCAAATAAAACATAGGAACTACTTTAGGTCAAACTCCTGCCAAAGGGATGAAAATTTAGTAGTTCGATAAAATTAACGAGAAGATAAATGACTGTTGCAGACTAAAATTATCAAAAAGTATTTCCAATACTCTGTAATTGAAACATGACCAAAATTAAGCCAAAAAAGGGCATTTGAAAAAACGCATTATTAGCTGACAAAGTTTAGCGTTGTAACTTAAATGAACTGACACCCAAAACACTAAACCAGGGTCTTTCACTGATATTTTGAAGATTATTTTGACAAGGTATTATCCACAAAATAGCAAATGAAAGACTGTAATTTAGTCTCAACTCAGTGCAGCAGTGAGACCAAACAACACACAGTTGAGGCACAAGAAATAGTAACATTATCTATAAAACCCTCAAATGCAGAGTTATTTTTATCCCACATAACTTCTCAGATTGAGTTAATCTTAGTTTTGCAGTTGTGACATAATTTACAGGTAAATTTCATGCACCAAAAAATCTCCTCCCACAGCTGAGTAAATCCACATTAAAGAAGAGTAAGAATTTGGAAAAAATGAGGACGCTTAGTTTCATAGATCAAGTATAAAGATCAAAATCTAAACGTTTGGATGAATAGAACTGTGATTCATCACGATCTGTTCTTCGAACCAAAACACCATCTTTAAAATAACCTTGTTCTTGCCATTCAAACATTTCTTGTGATGTGAAAGGTCCATGGATTTCAGAATCTTCCTCAGTCCATTTAAATTCCCATTTTATTACATTTTCACCGTTACTATTCTCATTCCTATTAGTACTTCCAGATTCAATCATTTTGTCTGTTTCATCTATGTTACTTGCTAATATATCCAAAGCATCATCGTCATCTGCGTCATCAGGTATAACTGGCTCTTTCGCCTTTTTCTCGGCCTCCATTTTTTCAATTTTATGTTGAAATTTTTCGTAAGTATCTGTATAAACATCGTAATGTCCGGCGCCAGTCATTTCATCTGCTAGACCAGTCAATTCCAACAATTTCTCTTTCTGTTTAGCTTCCTCTTCAGCATGATTTTCATTACCTGTGCTTGTTTCCTCATTTGTAGCATTAAGGTCGTAAACTTTTTCTTTTCGCCATGAACGTTTCTTCTTCTCCTTTCCGCCGTGGCGTCGAAGAGCTCTGGTTAATGTTTCTCCAGGTAGCATGAGAGCAACTATTTTCTTCAAAACTTCAAGTTCATCTAAAGTATTTTTTCCATCATCAGATGAATCTTGCTCCATTTCAACATCTTTCTTTTTAACTTTCATCCAGTCAATATTATCCAACCAATTATCCCGAATGACGTTCTCCTTCCGGAAATGATAATTCCCTTGAACATCAAAGTCTCCTTCAGCCATTTCCTCCTTCAGGTTGAAAGGTGTAATCCCAACTTCCTCCCCTGTGTCCACATAATCATCTTCTGCTCCTTCAACATCTTCTTCTGTTAATTTTTCAAAATCTTCTTTCTTATTATTATCTTCTTCATCACTATCAAGGCTGTGGTCGAGTTTGAATCGAGATTGATGATGACTCCGTCCAACAATATCTTCCTGATTATTTTTTAGTTCAAATTTTTTTGTTGATGCATCATCATATTTTGGAAATTTATGCACAGTCTCTTCTGCACCAGCTTCACCACTGAATCTCACTCTTTTTGACATCTTATCCTAAAAAGTACTGGTATCTGGCTTAGATACCGTATTGAGCTGTGACATACGGAATGCTATAGTATAACTGTGAAAAGTAAAAATTTCAGTCAATAAATATTTTTAAGATAAAATAAAAAATTGGAAAATATCCATTCCAGCATTTCACACTGAATACAGGTATCACTAAACTCTGAAAATGCCATCAACAGAGCATCATAAGAGGCCGAGGCTTGAAGTCACTGCTGCTTTTGCGGAAGCCTTCTTCGGAGATGTTCTAAATTCCACGACATGGCGCTGGGTTTTTTGATTTACGAAACAATAAATCTCTCTGCGTGTTCGGTATGAGCATGAGTGAGCACATTGTCCGGTCACTTTGTTATCACTTGCACAATATTAAACATAAATAATAAGCAGAGCGCATACTATTTAATATATTCATCCCCACTATTGAAGTTTTGAGCAAAATAATCACTTTCCCAACCCTTCCAAATACAAATGGATGTTTCCCGACCCTTGACCCCTGAAATTTTTTTCTGGAGTTGGTAATGTGTTTTCTCTTAGTATCGCGTTACTTCAACTGATAGTGTTCCCTAAATTGTTTACATGTTAGTTTTTAAATGTTCATAATCAGTCATTTCATTTCATTTCAATTTAAGTCATTTCAATTCAAAATATTAATTCATGGCGTATAAAAATACCGACAGCTAATTTTAGAATAGTTCATATAGCAGCAGTATTAGAAAAATACTCGCAAAGGAGTGGAACGAAAATATTAAAAATGGGAGATTTTCTGTGTCGAGGTCAATGTTTACTTGCCTCGTAGCGGTGCTGCCACCTACACTTTTTTGGCGGCATGGCCTGCTGTCACCTACACTTTTTGGAGACATGGCTTGGCCCTGTATTGACCTCACCACAGATACCCACCCCACTTGCTCAAAAACTGATTGGACAATAATAAAACAAATGGCATTTTTACCAACATGCAAAATTTCTGCAATTCACATGGGGACCGCTGCTCTCGTCTGATTCTGTAAACTGGCTTTTTCTACTACTGATTTTGTAACTCGCTTTTTTAGTCCTGCCATCTTCTTCCTCTGTTTGTCTACTACCATTTATTCTCGCTTGATTTTGTAACTCTGTCATTTCGCTTGTGCTGTTTTTTTGGCTGTCTTCTATTCCGACTCCTGGCCCCTTCCTACTTCCCGTAAACTCGCATTAACTCTACTGCTTTTTCCTGTCCATGTCTCTCCCCCTCAGACTCTGTTTCGCTTGTGCTGTTTTTGCTGTCTTCTTTTTTCGACTCCTGGTCCCTGGCCCTGGTCCCCTGACTCTGTTTCGCTTGTGCTGTTTTTGCTGTCTTCTTTTTTCAACTCCTGGTTCCTTCTTCTTAACTCGCATTAACTCTGCTGCTTTTTCCTATCTTTCCCGTCGTGTCTCGAACTCTGACTGGCCCCTCCCTACTTTCTGATTTTGTAACTCGCTTTTCTACTCCGCTGCTGCTGCTTTTTATTTAGCTTCTTCTTCCCTGAGCCCGCAATCTCTGAATGTTTCGTTTTTTTTATCTGACTCACTCTCTCTGCTGGTCCACAATGTTGGCTTTGACTGGCCCCCTTCTTCCTACTTCCGTAACTCCGTAACTACTCTGTTGGTTGCTTTATGTCATGTCTCGGATTCTGTTTGGCTGACGACCCAACTTCATATAACGCTCGCTCTCTGATCCTGATTTTGTAACTCGCTTTTTTGTAACCCTACTGGCCATATTGACGCTCTCGCACCTGCCCCTTCCTTCCTACTTTTGAAACTCGCTTTTCTGCTCCACTGGCTGCTCTTTTTTATTGGTCCTGTTGGTCCCCTCGCTATTCTGCTACGCTGGCTGCTCTTTATTAGTACTGTTCCTGCCTGTATTCTCGCTGCGTGTCCTCTCTGACCAGCTCATTACCTACTTATACACACGTCCTTCACTATTACTCAGCTCAACTCCATGGGATCCGAACCCTGGTCCTACGATTTATCGTGACTCTACGCTGCTGTTGCGCCATAGCTACCGATGAGGACCGGACGTTCAAAATCTTACTTAATTAACAGGTAACGTCACTCAATCAATGGCAATCTCTGACGAGCCTCCGTATCTCGAACAATAATGAAATATTGCATTGGGTCGAAGATCGTGATTATTGCCTGGATGTAAGCCGTTTATCTATACAGTATTCTATAACTATCGTCAGGGCTGGGAATGTTTGATTAAAACCATTAAGCAAAATAAGGACGTGCTTTAAGCACATATCGGAGGGGAGCACCACGTATTTACAATGGTGCCTCAGTGGTTACTGAATTAATTCGAGTTGGTCTGACGACTCAGACTTCAATATTGACCCGGTTGAAATAGATTTTTGCTCTTTTTTCGTTTTAATAAATCATACCCTTCTTAAATCGGAAGTAATGCTGTTGTATTTTGGAAATTGTGAAATTTCACGTTTGTCGCTTATGTAGATTTTTAACAAATGGGGCATTTTCATTAACTAATTACACATAAATGCTAATTTTTTTCCCCAACAACCGAAATTATGTGATGAGGAGTGTATATATTAAATTATGTATCAACAATTATAAAATCTCGCCACTCTTGATTGAAAAGAACAGGCTGTTGTAGTCTGAAAATTGTAAAATTTTATGTTTTCCACTTATGTCGACTTTAACCAAACAGGCCAATTTCAGTAACGGATTACTCATAAATGCAAAGTTTTGTTTCCAACAACTTTAATTGTATGATGTACCACATATATACTATTATAATATTTAATAATAAAATCTCGCCCCTATCAATCGGAATGACATGCTGTTAGAGTTTGGAAATTGTGAAATTTCACCTGACTGACATAGACGTGAATCCTTCTTTATCGTTTTAAAAATACTAAGAACTTTCTAAAACTGTGTGTTAGGATGGAACTATTCATGTCCTGGTAAACAAACACTTATCAGCAGGTCTTTCAGTGGAACTTAATTAAAATCAGTCCGCCTCCTAGTTCTGCCTATCCACCTTGGGCAGCACTGGAGGTAGGTGGGAATAATATCATTGTCTGGTCCATGTTGTCGACATCTCATTAAAACAAAAATACCTGGTCGAATATTCATCTACAGCCAATACGATGCAAGCTCTCAACTCAGTCAATACTTTTACAATATCAAAAATTATGTGGTACCGTGTTTCCCCGGGAACCACTGGGCCCGGCCCTAGACACTCTTTTTCCTACTGGATCGATGCTTTTTAACAACCATCCTTATTGCGCTGTTTAATAAACCCTTGAACACTGTGTTGGAGACAAGACACCTTGATCCAAGACCAACCTATTCATTTCACATTCCACCACGCTCCCTTCGATTGAGCTTGCTGAATAATTCAAACGCACATGGGAACAAATCACTTTGTAAAAATATGTATTTAATTCAATAAAAAAAAACAGAAGAATGAGAGGCAATATGAACTAATATTTGCATAATTGTTTAAATATAATATAGGCCTATTTTATCATTTTGAAACTACAAACAAAACAAAAATTGTAATATTTAGGAAAAAATTTTAACAGTGAAATTGCAAATGCGCAAAACGTAGCTGTGTAAAAAATGACTCGAGCCATATTCTGAGTATTTTGATGTTCTCTTCCAAACGTCGGTGGTTCGGCTGATACTAAAAAAAACATAAAATCGTAAATATATCAAAAAAGGCAATCTCAAAGCTAACTGAGCATCATTTGTATATTTATTCCGAAAATCGATAAGACGACTTAATCATATGACGAACCACAACTTCGTCTGCTCACCACCCCACGTCGGGTATGGGATAGGAGGATAGGATTTACATATTTATCCCTGGGGGGGAGCCGATAAGACGGTTCAATCATATGGCGAACCACGGCCTCTCGTCCGGTTACCAGTCCAGGTCGGGTATGGGATTAGTTAGCCAGTTATTTGTTTTCGGAAGCATGGACTTGATGGTAGAGGAGCCGTAACCGACCAGCAGTTACGTGAACCACCCTACGGCGGCGAGGAGTCCAGCAATGTATGCGATTAGTTACTCAGATATTTATTTATTTCAGATGCACATATATATATATGTATATATTATCCGCTCATTAGCCCGACCATATACATTGCTGCTCGTTTAACCAAGTGGCGCGCCTTTGCTCGCGCAATTTTCCAGGAAACGATGCGCAGTGGCGATATTTCCGAAATCTTATTTAACGCAAACATAACAAAAACATCAACACAAAGGACGAGTCCCGGAATCAGTATCAAAGATATTGTTGACTTTTGGCAGGAATAATCGCACCAAAATCACGAAACATACTTAAGCATATATAACATAGTAAAATTAAAAAATCTGCTTACAGACTTTATAGGGCGGGCCGCAAAAAACAGTCTGGCGGGTTGGGTAGCCTTGCTTTAAGGAGCTGCGAGCTAGGACCTCTAAGAAGCACAATTACACATTGCGGCCTAGTTTCGGCATTTACCTCAATCGAAGTAAACCTAAGCTTCAGATGCTTGTTTCATATGTAAATAATTGCTGTCGTTTTGCCATGAATGCGGAAGGTTGGTTACCACAAACCTGTCTTATTATTTTATGACACATTAGCATGTTCCGTAAGGTCCTTTATTTTGTAACGAAGTAAGTTTTTGCGCAACTTGAACGATGTGTCGAATTAAATGCAATTGCTTTACGTTGCAATACATATTATTGTTTATCTGTACAAAAATTGTTGTAGCCAATACGCCTTTGAGAGTCGGGTTGGGAAGATTCGCCTTTCACCTTTCTCTGCATTTCGTTGATCCGTTTGGATTTAACATTTTGTAACGTAATAAAAACGACGTAAAACTTAATCGCAAGGCCAATTGGTTGGGTGGAGTGCAACTTTCACTTTATGTTTGAAAACCTAATTTAGTTAATTAACTCGGTAGTTGTTCTATTTCTAAAGATAAAAAGCGGTCAGGAATGTGGCATTTTATAGTGAACGCCCGTTTTTCTTCGAGTGAATCACTTAGAAATATGTGGAAGCGCGACACTTCCCAAGGACAAACTACAGTCAGATGTCAAGCTCTCGTCGCGTTCCGTGCGCGAGTTCACGTGCGCGAGTTTAACTCATTATTTAGAATTGGAAGGGGATAGCGCGAACGCAGTCCCCACTAACAGAAATTACACGACCGAGTTATCCACATTTGGGATAATCGCTAGGGTCAACCTGGCCCAAGTGCAATGGCCAAGCCTCGCCTAGGCAGAACCGCCTGTGTGATCGCGGTTAACTGCCTCGTCAGGTAAGTATGAGTTGGGCAGCGAATTTTGTAGGTCCTAGGGAAAGCGTTTATGCTAACCATTGTGGTGCGAGTCACGGAATGTAATCGACGTGCGGGAAATATCATTCTCTTCTTTTATCTCACTCCCGGATTTGCTCTCGCGACGCGCTTTTTGGTCCAAACCGGTATCTTCTATTCTCTTCTTTCAGTCCCAATCTGTTACAAAGCCTTCAGTTACGCCAACCTTTTCAATCAGATACCGATAACATTGAAAATTAAAATGCGCACACACCGACAACCAATTATTACGTATGAAACGAAATATTGCGTGGAAACATTTTGAAACCAAGGCTGTGATAAACACTTATACGATTATTTTGATAAATTAGAAATTCCAGTGTCGGCAGTCAAACAACAGGCTGAGAAACTGACAATAAGTTGCGAAATATTATCCCGCCTCTGTGGTTGGTTTGGTAATAATCCTATAATGAATCCGATTTATATACTTCGACCAAACAACACACTATCATCACCAGAATTTTAAGCCTACTATATTTACCTGTAAAGGCAGATAAATTTGACAATTTTTTTCGAGCAGACGCTCGGTGATTTTTTTGTTCGGCCATTTTTTACTGTAATTTCGTTATGACATATTAATTGTGATACTGTTACAATATTTCACCGGAACTGTTTTCAATTTGAGACTCTTATTAAGTTCTATCTAGTGATGTAGTAAGCTTCACGTCATCGAACACGGTCATTTATGAAACAACTAAACAAGGTTGTCAATTTATACCTGAAATTATGTCAATCCAATGAATCCACTACCAAAATGTTTACTAAATTACCATCCAGTAGTAGTTATTTTAAACATAGATATGACTTACCTTCATTTGTTGTGAAATAATTATCTACCAGATTTATAAGCATTGAGGGTGAGCAACCTGCAGGAATAATGTAAAAACTAGCGATTTATTTTATGATATATTATGAACCAGTATCTGTGAATTGCAAAATGCAATTACAAATTAATATAAACTAAAATAACTTAATTTCTGAAAATCAATTAGAATTGAAATATTTCCAGCTTCAGTCAGTCAATCGTTAATCTCCCAGCACAGAAAACAAGTGTATATAAAACTGATACAACGAATGAATATACTAATTATGTTATTTGTGAGACGGGACTGCAAATACAGAATATTCTTATAATATTGAGTTAATTTCATCAAATCAAGGCGCCCGAACTATTTGTGACTGTAGTGCGATTCATAAAAGTTTAAGCTACCTTGATTTCTCTGTTTCCATAACTCAAATACATCAACCATAGCATCATGATTAAAATGGGGATGGGAATCACAAATAATCTTTACACTATGGTAGTCCAAACGCAACCCATGTCGATATATTGCAAACATTTTGAATGTGCTGGCATCATGGAACCTTTTACATACTGCACGATATGCATCTTCCATTCTATTAGGTGCATTAAAATGATAGGTTTTATCTAAACGGAATAAGAAGGGATATTGGAATCAAAAATCATTTTCTCATTAAGAAAATTACTTATCATATTCAAAAATACTTTTTAGCATAGCTTTATAGATTACATCAAAATTTGAAGTAGAACTTTCTACTCACTTTGGCTAGGAATATTAAAGTAGGATTTTACTAATAACTCTTCTTTAGCCGCATTTAAAACTGAGTAGTCAAGCAGGATAGTATTGCATTTGCTTTCATGCTCTTCCATTCTACGTGCAAAATACTTAGTATGGTAATCTTCAGTGTCCACTGTGAAGTAATGACCCAATAATGGATCGAAAAGAACTCCAGGTGTGGTGCTGCTAAGTTTGATACAAATTTTGTCACCCATCAAACATCGAAAAGAATCTAATTGTGGAAAAACACTTTTCCATCCAAACATGTTGAAATTATCAGTATATTCTTTTGTAATTATTTGGCTGTCAAAGCCACAAATGGCAGCAAAGTTTGTATAATTTTGATGGAATAACATGGTCTTCAATTTGAAAGGTATTCTCAAACGACCTAATAGTTTTCGCCATATTACCACAACATAGCTAGAAAAATCAGTGACTTCCACTATAATCTTTGAGTCTTTAAAAACAGCAGCCATCTGAGTATCTCTCCAGTCAATATCATTATGGCTGTTGTGCAAAACAATCAAAGAGTTTTCATGGTGAGGTTCAAGATAACACCAGGTTGGAAGTTCAATGCGAATTGGTTTAAGAAATTTGACTCCAGGTTTATTTTGGCTTATACTTGGGGAGATTGAAAAATAATCTTTGAAATATTTATTTTTCATGATCCTGAGTTCGAATTCTAATTTGGTTGGTTTTGTCAATGCTCCAGCAGGAATGTTGATTGTACATCCATCAAAGCATATTCTGCCTCCTCTTGATCTGATTGTTACTGAAAATTAAAAATTGCATGATGTTAAATTTAAAAGAAATAATTAGTTCATTGAAGCCATTCTTTTTTAAAAAGTGAGTATGTTTTCAAGTTAACTATGGTTTAATCGGGTAAAACTTCAGAGATAACAAATGTGATCATTTATTCTTAGAGATACCTACAAAACACTGCAAATATACAATATGCTTGTTGTAATCATCGAATAATTATCATTTGAAAAAAGCAAAATTGTGTTAAAACGGGAATGATGAATTACTCAGAGATAAAAGTTGATACTTTGACACTTTTTAATGACATTGAAAATTAGTTTTAAAACTCGAAGAAATACATGGAATTAGGAGCAAAATCATCAACTGAATCTTGAGCTAATACCTATTTCGGTTCGTGCATTAGAGCACAAACAACCACTTTTATAATCACAAAGAAATGTGAACTATAAGTATGGTAGTTCTTTTGGGTGCAAAATAAACACTGTTGAAAAAATAAGATTTTATCATGCTTTTTCTGCAGAATGCAAGTCATGAAATAGTAACATACATGATATTTCATGACTTTAATTTTTATTCTGACCTGTTTCTATTGATCTTGCATATCTCTGACAGATCTTTTGCTTTAAAATTTGTAGATTCAGTGAATGGAATTTCTATAATAAAATGATCCGTTTAATGTTAATCATTGACATCACACAGTTTTACTTTTCTCTGTACACTTCTTAAAATATGAAGTCGTTTGAATAAATAAATTGTGTGCGATTCTGTACTAATTTTTCAAGATAACCCCTAGAAGAGATGAAATCTGTTTGATCATCACAAGAAGTGGAATTGATTATGATGGAAATGTCAATCATGCTACTTAGATTTTTGAAAACACAAATATTCATAAATATTCTAAATCAGGGTGGTCCAAGGTTGTTGGCCTCGCGGTCCACACTGTAATTTTTTTATTGTTCGCAGGCCAGAATAGTGCCAAGAATAGGTAAACAGTGTAATACAAAACAAACACTTTTATTGTCCAAACACATTCGTCATTATTTGTCATTTATCTATATCTATTTTGCTATATCTACATTTAGTGTAAGATTTCAAAATCTTCATAACGGATAAAGTGAGAGACATGCAGACATATCAAGCATGCATTGTGGTATTTTTCCTCCCATCTCAAAAATCTGTTTGAATTGGTCAGCTTTCTTTTTAAATTCCTGTTTACAAAATAACTTATCAATAACTGCAGATTGATTGTTTACCGAATTTTACCAAATTTGAGATACAGAAGGGTTATTACTAAATTTTCTGACATATAGGCAGCATTCTTTGTAATACTGTTTAGGCTGGTTGCACAAAAACACCCGGCAGGATTATATTGGTCCGCCATTACATTAATATTTAGTTATCAGGCGAAGCCAACCTAGGCTAATCGATTCCTCATTCGATTTTTAGTTTTCTATTAAGTCCATTTTGTTAGTATATATATATATTCCCGACCGAAAATATAGAAACCAGTTAACAATTTAGACTTGCCAAGCACATCATTCAACTTCGCTAGTTGCCTCAGCTAGCCATAACACTATTTAATTCAGTATAATTAGTGATGTTATGTAACAATATGACAGAAGATTTTTATGACGAAACACCAAATGCGATTTTTTGTTTACCACTGCCCACGTGCGACGCGGGCCACAAAAAATTAATCGGCGGGCCACATGTGGCCCGCGGGCCTGGGTTTGGACCACACTGCTCTAAATGTTCGATATTTTTCACTTTCAAATACCTCGCATAGACTGCAATCTTTTAGATAACAATGATATACTGTTTTTTCCAAATATACTTGCAATATTGAATCGACCAACATGCTAGTGAATGTAGACACCAAACAAGGACTCACCGTTGAAGTATGCGGAAGAATAGATGAACTGCCTTGCAATCGAATAAAGCTGGTCTGTCCAAATAGCTTTGTTAAAATTTTAATTTTGTGACAAAGATATGGTGTGTCATTAGCAATGTCCGTTACGTTGCACTTCAATATGATGCCTTTATGTCTGAAACTGTTGTAGCCTTTTCCATACAAGAAACAGTGCACTACCGTTGCAGCAAGAGTTTGGAAACTGACTCCAGGCAAACAAGATTTAGTTGTTGCATAGTTATCTCGATATGGAGATGTAATGATATCTTTCTCTGGATGCCAGAATGCTTTTGATCTAATAAAATCATCTTCATTGTTTACATTTGAAATACTTCGAAAAATATTTTGTAGCTTGCTAGTCATTTTGAACTAATATTAAAATCTAGAATCTAAATAGATAATAAAACCAAATTAGGCAAAAATGTTAATGACACATTTTTTTGTAATTACTGAACCCTAAATATTGTGAAAATGGCGGAAAAATTCATTCTAGTTGGATAAAGTTACAAAGTACGAATTAGATTTTTAAAAAATGACAGTAACATCAATGTTATGTATATATATGATTTTTCTTGTTCAATCATAGATCAAATTAATTGACACACAGAGAAAAAGGTTACTGAAATAAATACCAGAAAATTTATATGGATAAATTTCATCAAGCTGGCCTGAAATTCCAATAAAATGCATTTTTGAAGAAAGCCAAATATGTAGTCACATTTTAAATAGTGTTCTGCCAAAATAAATTTTTCAAATGCCACCAATTTAACTATGATATGAGGTGAGCAATGTAATTTGTCTAACATTATCCTTGTAATTTAGTAATATTGGGTAAAGCCTTTCTCAGTTTTTTAAAATATTCTCTTTTATGAACTATAGGTTCATAAAATATGCATCAGATATATAAATACAAACAAACTAACTTCGATAAAATTCATTATGAATATTCTTCAAAATTTAAATACATTATTAGTTTCAAAAGAGTAGATTCTTAATTTTTAATCTCCAAGCTTCAATTCAAAGTTTCAGTTATTAAAAATCAGTAAATAAACTTCAATATGAAATTAAACTCACAAGTCACAATACAGAAATGCTGAATTAAAAACAAAACTCAATAAAGTTCATGCATTATAACAGTAAATGCACAATGGAAAAGCAGTTGTAGTTATTTTATTGTCGAAAATATCAATTTGTTGAAACGATGGTAGGAGGTTAGGTAAATTCTGGGTATGAATTGATCATAGCAGGATCACTTCCACTCACTCCAAAATTAGGGAGATCGATCTCTAAGCGAGGTTACGGGTGACCATGGAAAGTGCTGCTAAGACTATAAAGAATTAGTGTAGAATTGCATGTATCAAATACCAATTGACGTGAGAAAAATTAAACTAAAAGTACAGTACTTGCAGGTTAAATGGCGATACAGTGTGAACCCAAATTCCTTTTTATTACAAAATCTTCATTTTATTATTCTTATTTCTACCCATTTTGACTCATACAATCTATTTTTATAGGGCGACTAAATAGTTGAGACCATGATCACAGGTAGGAGATTTTGTACTCAATTCTCAGATCTGGTTATAAACAATGGTGTATTTAAGTACAATGCCACATACAGATTGTGAAAATTTATTCGGACAATAAAAGACCTTAGCGGATTTCTACCTCTAAGTGGTTAACGTGTAAAAAGCTCTGTTTAAATTTAGTCAACGAATAAAAACTTCAATGGATCTTTAATTAATAATAATAATAAAAGGCACAATCATTTCTATCAAAAATTAAGAAAAGTCATAAATTCTATACAGATGACACATTCAAAATGTTTGCTTTAATAACAACAGTTACACTCCCCCCTCCCCCCCAAAAATCTGCATATTTTAAGCACAAATATAACAAAATCAGCAGTGTTAAATAATACACATTTGATGCGTACTATCATTAAAAAGAGAGATAGAGTAAATGACGAGCTGAATTCTTAGAATAACAGTTAGATTTGGAACTCGAATTTTTAATAAAATTTAATCGAGAAGATGTCTTATATAAGAGACAATGCAATCCAGATTGTAAATATCATAAACCACAATATATAAATAGGAAAGGCACTGATGCCATTAGGTATAGAATGTAATCATCTTTAGGAATTATATTACTTAAATATGAATTAAAGCAATTTGGAGATCATTAATACAAATTCAAAATGGTAGGACTTAAATCTATTGTCTATGGGAATGAAAAAAAAAACCAAGAACTTCCATCCTAGTCCATCACCCATATTAGATTTTTTCATTAATATTTGTTTTTGATCTTGATGATATCATCTGGAGTAGCACCTAAAATATAATATGTTTAAATTACATTACAACAAAGCATAATATGCTCTGCTGGTAACAATAAAGAATGAATATTGATATTATAACTCCAAGAAATTTAAATAAATAGCAGGTTTCAGCATACATTTATGATAATACAATCATACTTGTTAGCAATCAAATATTAGACTTGATTTAAATCAGCTACACCGAGCAAAATAAATAAATATAACATTTTTCTTTCGTTACCTCCAAAATAATTGAAAAAATGAGGAGACTTTCAGTTTTTTTCCCAAAAACTTGACTTATGTGGAACTCACCACTCCACAGTTGTTTACCCCGACTGCTTCAAGTCTCGTTTGCTCAATTGGTATTTACTATTGCGCAATCCCACACTATAATTCTTTATAATGTCAATTGCTCTCGGCATTTTAGAAGTCGCCCATAGATTTGCTCAGGGATCAACCTGTTTTAAATCTAAGTAAGTCCTCGTGAACTTGCTTTGAGCAAATATACCTAAAAAAATTCATTAATAATACCACTTACCTTTGTTGTTTTGCTTCCAAATTCGCAACATTTTCATCATTTGATCATGGGTGCTTGTTGGGTGATCTGCCACAACCCCAATGACGACAGCAGAGTCCAGCCTCAATCCATTCGAATCACGAGCAAACTGTTTGAATTCTCCAATACTCGCAAATGCCGGTATAATCTCATTTTGAAATACATCATTAAAACCTGTGTTAGATGTTCCTTAAGAAAACATAGTTTTTGTGAATAACCCTTATGCTGCTATTGTACAAGCGTTTATAGCAGTGCTTTTCAATCTTCTCCATAGAGTGAAACATCACCGAGGTTTGAGAACCCCCTGTGCAATACTGCAATTGTCTTATGTAAAAAAATATTGTTCGCTTAATAAAATTGTATAAACTATTAATATATATGGAAAAAACCTAATACTGGCAAAACAAAATTATCTTTAACATATACCAAGTTTAATAATATTAGCAAAATTGATATTGATAAGGTTTTTGATAATATTTAAACTTTAAATATATCATAATATAGACTCTTAAATGGGAACCTTTTAAACCCGGGACTGTATTGGCAGAATCCTAGGGTGCTCGAAACTCTGGTTAAAAACAAGTCATCTAGAATTTGGACTTTTTCGACTTTTTTGTGAAGGAAATATTCCCTTTGTGATTTTCTTTCTTTTTTATTTTTATCAATGCGTCTTTCATGACGAATGTAATGGTACAGAATTGCAGTTAAACCTTTGTGCATATGACATATATATATAATTTATGAAAGAGCAGTTACAAAGAAAAAAAATATTGAAATCATTTTTCACAAATACCTTCGGCTCCACCAGGGATAGGTAGACTGGGATTCGCACCACTGTTGTTGGGAGCTTGTGGATCTTCAGGTAAACAAAAAGATGAGCTAAGTGTTTATATTTATTAAATATATATGTGTGTGGTATAAATGAGCAGACACAAAGAAAAAATATTGAAATCATTTTTCACAAATACCTTCGGCTCCACCAGGGTTGGGATGACTGCGATCCACCCCACTCTTGTTGGAAACTTGCGGATTCTCAGCTGAAAAATAAAACGATGAGTAAGTGTTTCATATTTGTTTTTGCTTTTGGGTTCTCAGCTAAAAAATAAAAAAATGGGGAAGTGTTTTATATTTGTGTTTATGTATAGTTTTTTTGATGTATAACCTGCCTATGAATTACCAAATATGTTACAGAATTCTACAGGATGAGGATGTAAAATTAAGTATTCCTCGTTTATGGTTTTTATAGCACTTACAATGAATAGTGTAAATTATCAAGACACATATTTTGAACTATTCAAATAATATGCACAAATTTGGATTGAATCGAATAATATAAATAGCATTATTGACTGAATTTCAATCAAATCTGAATATTTTTGAAACTTATTCAATATGACATAATACTTGATATAATCATACTTATTCAATACATCGTACAAAAAATTATATACTTACTACAAGTATATGAAGATAAATAGGCATCCGTTATGTTACGTATTCTTTCACATGTAGCTCGATCTTAAAGGTAATACAAAAACAAACTGATATGGTATTGCAATGCAAACTTGATATGAAAAACTCATAAGAAGGCTCTACCATATGGCAAACAACAATCCTTCATCCAGTTACTAATTCAGGTCAGGAATGCAAGTAGATAACCAAACAGTTATCTATAATGGCTCTAGATGCATAGTGGCAAATTAAGGATATGTTTGTGTTATGTCTTTTATGCAATGTTTTGCAACATGACCAATTTAAACATTCCAGCTCGCACAAAAAGGGAAATATTTGTTCTGCACGACTTCCAACATTTTTTAGAGTTCCTATTTTATTATGTTACCATAGGACACATAAACATACAATAACTTTTTGACCTAACTTATGTCAGTTCTCCAAATTTGTATAGTACCTTTATTTTTTTGCTTCCAGAACAGAAGGACAGAAAACTTGAATTCTTTAATGTCTTTCGGATTGTTTTCAAATAAATCAGAAAGATCTATGTCATCAATATTCAATCCATTGCTAGCTCTTGCATATTTTTTAAATTCTGTTGTACCTGCAAATCTTGGAATGATTTCTTTTTGGAAGACATCTTCAATTCTTTCGTTTTCATCTGGATAAATACCATTTTATGAAACAGTAATTTTCTGCTTTACACAGAAGGATCAATACGTTTTTTCTTATTCATTTATTTTTAGCCCTCATTCTCTCTGAACCAGGCCATGTACAAGCATTTATTGATATTTAACAATATGTAAGGAGATGCTATTTTTGGTACGAAATCTTGGTTCGGCATTGTCCACCCAATTAATTACATTCTGTGTGAGGTGTTACAACTAAACTGCAATTTAGTTTTCTATGTTTAGAAAGGGATTTTAATACTTGTTTTTGGTATATGCAAACTGTGAATTAGAATTTAGATTATCGAAATCTTACCAGTGTAAAATAAATCTATGAAAATGCGCTCAAGTTTTGTGGAAATGTACACATACCCTTCTTTTTGACTTCTGTAACTTCTGTATCATGATCTTCTACAGCAGTAGGTGAAGCATCATCTTCACAGGATGCCGCGACTTCTTCGATATCACCTAAAAAGCAATGAGTTAACTGTGAATTCACCATCAACAAATTCCAACACAAATATTTTGTCTATACCAGTGGTTCTCAAATGGTGGGGCGCCCCTCACAAGGAGAGCGTAAACATTTTTTGGAGGGTACATGATGCTAATTAAAATAAAAATATTTGTTAGATTTGATCTTGCCCGCTTATTTTTACATTCCCTCCACATGCTTTTAGAATGAGTTAAAGAATGGTTAGTGTTATGTCTTGGGTATTACCAAATCACCAATAGACAGAAATATTACAGTTTATTATACAGCAAAGTAAGACGTCAGTATATCGCAGCTTAACGCTAGACATTTCAAACACAAGAATGAATAACAAGCACGCAGACAGGTAATAGCAAGGAGCGATTACGAGAAAACAATTATGACATCATAATCACAAATCTAGTCCGTGTTAAAAACAACAAGCTATGACGTAAATACACAACAGTTAGAATAAGATAGTTTCGCCTTACTATCAGTTATTTGCAACTTATTTTAGCTAGTACCGAAATTTTTGAGGTGAGGTGCGAGAGAAAATTTTGAAAAGGGCTTCGAGAGTTTGAGAACCAATGGTCTATACCAGGGGTGGGCAAACCGGACTTTTTGTGCGGCTCTTCTCGCTAACATAAATTATTATCCAAATTTCAACTAAGAGAAAAACTTCAATGTAAACTCTTTTAATTTATTAAAAGTCAGAAAAGAAGTTTTCGTCAATGATTAGGACAAGTTATATTTTAGTATGAAAATTGCTGTAGCGTTGAATTTTGAATTTAAGTCAGTCAAGTCAGCAAATCTTTCGTCACAATGGTCAATGTTTATTGATGCGTCGGCGGTATTGCAGCTTGATTGCGGTTAGTTAGTCTAAATATAAGTTACTGTGCGATATGTCCTCAATTAAAAACGAAAGTACGAAGATGAAAACAGAGTTGTCAAGTCAGAAGAACGTACAAATTTACCAGTCAGAAGAATAAACTTTTGTGCTTAATCTGTCATAAGCTACTGAAGTCAGAATAAAGTCAGCAATGATAAACGGCACCATGAAACGAATAATGAAAACTTCTTACGAGACTACCCTCCTAAATCAGCTATAAGGAAACACAAATTAAATGAAATTAAATTGTGCATATATTTGAGTATAGCTGCCTTGTTTATCTATTTATTGTTATTAGACTCTTGTGTGAATTTTTTTTCTGTTCGTGGTATTTTGATAATATTAATAAATTCACAAATTCCGCGGCTCTTTTAAAGTTCTGACTTACAGCATGCGGCTCTTATACTGAAAAATTGTGCCCACCCCTGGTCTATACAAATGTTAAGGAGATTTTATTAGTATCTGATCTCTGATGCATGGCCATTTAATGTTTTTTTTCCTACCAGTGGTGGAGAATTTGGGAAACCTTGATTTATGTGAAATTTCAGTATTCTACTCTGTTTAAAACATATTAGCTTTTTTTTTATCAGATATATGTTTATGTGTATGTTTATATGTAATAGCATAAACATTTCTGTGTATATATCTATGGATTATCGTACCTCTGAAATAACTGATAATAGTTTAAGCATTAAACCATGAACTCTTACTCCTTCGGCTATCACATCGTTCCACAACTGAGGGAGAATTTCTCTCCAGAGACATTTATGTATCATTGCATTTATAATTAGCATGAGACATTCAGGGCTCAATTCTGTTATTTTCCAGTCAAGCAATCCAGCAACACAATAAGCAATTCATTATTCAAATAGGTTTATTTTATCCAACCAGTAAAAATAAAAATCAAACATACAATATTCGAGAAAACAGTAAACGTTCAATTTTACTATGGAAGGGAAGACGCGAGGAACCAAATTTGGTTATCGAGTAGGTTTTGATATCTAGTTAAAAATATTGGGTAATATAATTATAAAAATAATGTTATTGGCGGTGAGTACCGTATGGCTTTGCGGAATTACCGTATATAACTAAAATATCCTAATAGGAATAGATAATTATTAGAGATTAGATACTTGAGCCATCAGATAGCAGGAGAACGGGGATTTCCGTTCTTAAACAGGGTGGGGAAAATAATGGCATTTCGATTTAAGTTTAATTTAAAATGTGGGAGTTTTTTTTTTTTACCTTGCCATGTACAAAAAAAATGAATACCTTTTGTTTCTTCTGCATCATTTCCATCTCCCTCACCCTCAGATCTTCTCTTATTTGGATCTCTATCTCCGGATATTGCTATTGCTCGGAGTGCTATGAGAGTAAATAAAAGAAAAATCATGCAAATATGAACCATGATGAACAGCAAACAAAAACATAGGATAGGATTTACATGTTCATCCCATGGTAGAGGAATGCTGATAAGACGGCTTAATCATATTGCAAACCAGGGCCTCTCGTCCGGTTACCAGTTCATGTCGAGTATGGAATTAGTTAGCCAGTTATTTGTTTTCGGAAGCATGGACTTGATGGTGGAGGAAGCCGTAATCGACCAGTGGTTATGTGAACCACCCGTATGGTGGGGGGCCACAATGCTAAGCGCAGAACTGATTTTATATTTCCCTTCATGAGAGACACTACTCGTTTATCCTGGTTCTATTGCTTGATAAGGTTATTCACAGAGTGTTTTCATTTTGTTGAGCATGAAATGTTTGAACATAATTGGATTTGGAATCTACCAATCAAAATAACACTAGAAATACCACTGGAATGAGAAACAAAGGGGGCCATGAGTGAGAAAAGCGTATGGGAGGGGGTGTCACAATACATGAAAGGTTGGGAACCACTGGTCTAAACAGACTTTCGAAGCTCGAAAGAAGCTACAATCTCTTTAGTTAGTACCGGTAATAATATGTAAGGTTTCCTAATATTGAATATGCATTGCTTTGATATAACTTGCATTAGATACATTAGTGGAACATAGATTTACTTTCATAATCCAATTCTTTCATTTTCTTTTCTAAGCTTTCTGAATTTGAATCTCCACAGCATTCATTTTTGTCACCAATATTCGCTCCATCCCTATCTTCTGTTTTAAACAAAAACATGAATATTTTACAAACAGGCACCAACAATGCAATTAACATAAGAATAAGTTGGTTATCGAAACTACATATGTACATTCTCACAATTTTGTAAAATTAAAAGGGTACACCCGTAGGGTGTGTACCAGGTTAGGGTTAGCCTAAAAATCTTATTCCGATTTTCCTTATTTTGGTTTTATTATGAGTTGGGGGACTGTCTGTGTTAGCCAAGTGAATAAATCCTTTGCCCGTAGGTTTCAGTCCCTTTACATAACTTGATGTAAAGTAAGCGAACAGCTTAGTTACCTTCATATTGATACACACACTTCTGGAGCACCACTGAAATATAATTTATGATTCTCAATAGCATTCTTGTATCAGTATTTGAAGTTTATAGATATGTGCCATTGTATATAGTTACTACTAGAATATGATGGCTTAGGTGAGGTTGGGTATAAACAGAATTTACTTTATAAAAATGATAGTCATAGGCGATGATGTCATCAATCATACAATGTTTTAAATCTTTTAAATCCCCAGTAGGCCACAGTAAGATAACACCAAACCTATTAAAAATTGATAAAGTTATTGATAAATTAGTTAATTTTGATTGTAGTGGCAATAAATGATGATGATGTTTTCTGCTACTGAGAGGTAATTTTCATTCCAATTATTCAAGTGAAAGCATCTATTTTTGTAGCTTTCTTGTGGTTTTCTCCCTTGCATGAGAAAATAAATGGGCCACAGAATTTTAGTGCAACAAAACTGGGCCATGAAAGAAAAAGGGCTGAAAACCACTGTATTTATTATACAGTTTTCAGGGGTTTTGTCCATTGCAAGCCATGATACTATGTGATAAGTAAGGTATTTTGCAACTCAAAAGAGTACAATATTATAATCATAAAAAATGTCTTAATACCTGTATTTGCAATGTCTTCTTTTTCAAAATCTCTTCCCAACTTTTGCCTCACTGGAATTGAGATAAATATGATAAATAAGAATTTATAGCAATATCTGATGCCTACACTTTGTTTGAAACTTGTAAATGACATAGAATAAAGTCATTTGAGACACAAATTTTATTAAGTATTAAGCAAATCATCTACTAGAATCCAAATACTTTATGATTCAAGTTTTCAAATTACAAAAATAAAGAATTTAGAGTAGAAACAAAAAAATAAGTTATCTACAAATTGGATTTTATATTTAGCAAGGTTCAACGAATTTTACTTTGGTTTCAAAGTTGCTAATTGGGGGAAATGTTTATCCCAGCATTGAAATACTTACCTCTCTAGAAAACACTATTACTACTAATACACTAACATAAATTTAATTTTATTTGCGCTTTTCAAAAACTGTGCTGTGACTTTATTATATTCTGGGCAATTTTAGCTTTCAAAGGAAAAAATCAGCTTGATGATATAGATAATAGATGTACGTTTCAGAATTTTGAATTGAAGATGTGTCAATTCAATCAATTTGAGGCAATTCTAGAAAATACACCTTGATTTGGTTTACAGTTTTCTATTCTTATTTGAGTTTATTTGATTTGATCATTTTCATTTTTATAAGGATAGCAAGTTAGTTACTCATTGACATTTTAAATTTGACATCAATTTTATTTATCTTTTATGGCTATTCTTTTTTTTTTTCATTGCATTGAATTTTATAGCATTTGTTGAGGAGAGTGACACCGATAATCAAATCAAAGTTACTGGTTTTCCCAATGCTCTTAATGGGTTTTTTGCAATGTAATTTTGTTCAGGTATCATAAACTCATACCCGCAATTTTTGTTTCCCTAAGAAGATCTGACAAAGGAGATTCATCTTTTTTTTCTGGAGCAGCACTATTTGGTCTTGCTTCGGGAGTGGATTCTTTCACTTCTCTATGTAAGTTTGCTGAATCTTCTGGTACATCTGTAAAAGAAAAATTCTTCAGACTTATTTTCTTGGGAAATCTTCAAAATTATAAGATAAGATGGTAGAGTACCAATGTCAGTATAATTATCAATAGTGATTCAAGAGTCTTGCTGCACACTAACACAAAAGGCACTAACTTCAGGCACAAAACAACGGGCACAAAAACATAGAAGAAGGATAAGTAGGTGGTCCCGCAGAAACCAAATTATTAGCGATAATCATCAATGTTTTAAAAATTAGACATGAAAATAGCTATTAATTCCAACAAGATAAAATAACTTTTTCTTCTCCACCATGAACACACAAGAAAACTGGAAGAATGAAAATGTAAGAAAAGTAGCTAAAACTTAAAAATGGTGGAGTGTGCACTAATGCTGGTTGGACTCATTAGATACTTCAGAAAACATGGAATATTTACAATGTTACTAAGAGCAAGTAATTGAAAAAAGTGTTTTGTAAAAATCATTACCATTTGAACGTCCTCATTTTTTTACTTTGATCCATAAAACTACGAGTACAGGCACAAACATTCCTATACCTGGACCATGTTCAACTTATCCCTGTTAGTCAATAATTTCAATTTTGTGTATTACCTGCCATTTTAATATGTTTCATGTCCATATAGCTGCCAATGTCTTTGTCGTTAGAACCAACTGGATGTGTTTCAGCCATATTATTCAAATATTGCCCTTCTCTAATAAAACGGAACTAAAAAACCTCGTCTTTATTTTTCAAACTGACCACCAGTAAAGACGTTATTCTACATATCTTGAAAGGTTGCTATTTGATGTTAATTTCTCCTAAAAGACAATTAATATGGAATTAAACATAAAACTCCTTCTGTACCAAGCATAAATCTATTTACCGATGGAAAGTTTGAACACAAAATCCCATATAGCACGGATGCAATTCTACTCCCAGCTCTTACTATAATCATAATTAAAAAAAAAAAAATAACCAAAAGATAACGAGCATTTACACGAAGATGTATGCTACCATTATTTACATGTACTTCCTCTTTCTGACGCGGTACTGAGCCAGTGTGTATGCCGCTCACCTGGTCGATTCATTTGCTATGTTTATTTAACAAGGTGGAACGTCATGTATGAACTGTACCAAAAGTGTGCAAAACAAGACGTGTGGCGTATTGTGCTAAGCGTTGGGAATACTCTTGCCACCAACCTCGATTACCCCGCGTTGGTTCGTGTCGAATACCGTGGGGATAATTGTATGCTAAGCTAAGGAATTGCTGGACCCCTCTTACCGTGTACGGTGGTTCACGTAAAAAATATGTAAATCCTATCCTTAGTCGGGAAACTTGGAAAACACAATATAGTAACTATATAATTAATTATAAATGTACCCTGTCTCGTAACGTACAATTACTTCATTCATACAATTTGCTGTTCAATGAGACGTTTAGCGAAAAAAGTCGAGAAATCCCGAAAACTCGATATACCAACTATACAATTGTAGGTGTGCCCTGTCTTGTACATTTTAGTTTCTTCATTTATACAATTAGCTATTTAAATGCGACTAAACAAACGTACATAGATAATTCACTCTGTTGATAGACGAGACAGTCTGCGAGCAGTCCTAAAAGCAAAACGTACCCAAAAAACCCTAATTATATTGTACGCCATAGATTATCATACAGTATGCTACATAATTTGACTTTATCAAAGGCAGATAAATATGGCGCAATCAGAGTTCCTGATATCTTACAAGATTGGCCCCTATTGGGATTTAACGCACAAGTCGAGTTGGTGAAGCGCGGACATGGTTTTATTCCGTGTCAACGAACGCGGATGAGGTTCACTATCAAAAACCCTTTTACGGAACTCGACGGATACCAACTCATACATTCGTTTGTGTGGCATGACATACCGATTTTGATGGAATCACCGTTTCCCCCTTCTGAGCCATAGTCGTCCCAAAATCCAACATCTGTTTGGTGATCACTCAGTGCCTTGTTGAGAGAGAATATTAAAAATGCGGTCACAATACACCGCCATCCCTAAGATAAAAACTGAACACACATCGTTCACAATTTGTTTTTCTTTGAGCTCTCATTACAAGAACTATAAATTTGAGAATACTGGTCACCGGGGCTGTCCAAAGATGGCTTAATATAACACACAAAGAGAAATTTCAGACGTTACATTTTTATTCCATACAATTTCAACATGCACAGTGACAAGGTGTAGCAGTACAGGAATGAATGTAAAAAATATCAAATAAATATGAAGAGCATGGGCAGTAATTATATAAAGTACCACAAATAAAAAAATATTTAGTCTTAGTGAATATGAAGCATTCTGCACCAGACAGGTAATAAAGATTGGTTCTTAAAGGCAATGAAAATGGAATTTCAAGCAGTAGAAACAATGCATTGCATTTAACAATAGCAGGTAATTTTCAATTGTTTTTTAGTTTCCTGGTAAAATTTCTTGGACTCAGGAATATAACGTTTCATTTGAGTAAGTTGTTACGACATAAGTAACCATGGATTATATTAAGACTATTATTCTCGAAAGAAACACTTAAATGGCATGAAGTATGTCCGAGATAATTTTACATTTAATTCAAAAAATAGGGTGCAGTTATATTAATTTTACTGGCATGATACAACCATGATAAAAAAGCAGACAGTGCAAAGTTGATAGATATTCTTAGTTTGATCATGAAAAATTGCTTTTCGTCAAGCATATAGTACATTGGAACATTTACTGAGCAGAGATAAAAAGAACAAAAAAAAGACATTGAGGAATAAAAGTTTGTTAATTCATTCAGGAACTGATATATTGATTGCACCGCTTAAGCCCTAATAGGCAGGAGGTATGAATTGAAACCTGATTGTACACAGTATATTAAATACAGTATTGAGCTCCTTGACTGGTAGTAGATGTCTTTACTGAGCCTTGTTCTGAGTAAAAGGCAAATAAAAAAATGTTTTGCAAATAAATTTCAAAACTTTCGACAGAAAAAAAATTTACTATTGTCAAATTTTTGAATATGTGCTGGAATAGATGGAATATGACAAACAATTTTATTCAAACATTCACGGTACCTCTTGAAAAATAATTTCACTGTAAAACTGTATATCAACAGATACACATTAATATTGCAGATCAAAGCATTAATGAATGACAATATTATTTTATAATTCCCAGCGCTAGAAGTGTGCAGAGTTCAAAATAATATATAATAAAGTAGGATACAGTACAACATCCGGTTACAATACATTAGCAAAATGGGGTAGGACATTTGAGTGCAACTTTTACCTATTCCTACATAATAATCACAAAGTAAACACTCCATGCCTCCATTCCCTTATTTGCATGACAGCATGACTTAAGGTTATGTAGGGATAGGTTTCGTAACAACTTCCTCAATGAACCATCCATACAACAACTCTTGTCTGGCAATAATTGGAGGCAACAATGTTGGAAGTTTAACTGCTTCACTGCGACGAGACTCAGAACAAGAAGGTGTGTTGTTGCTATTGGTTGCTTTATTGTTGCAAGATAACTTCATGTTTTGATTCTTCGCTTTTGCTTTAGCAATCTGTTTTCTGTAGGAGTATAGAAACTATTACTGGTACTATTACTGGCTAAGCAGAGATAATGACAAATGGAAACTAGTTGAGTGAAAGATGGGAAAATTTTTTGAACAAAAATTTCGGAGTGAATCTCGACCGGTTTTATATATCTAAACATCAAGGAAATTGGAGAGTTAGTTAGAGCAGGGCTTTCCAAACTAGGGGCGGGGCCGCGAAGAGAACACCAATTTCACGCAAAGTACTATATATATATATATCTGTTGTACTTTTCCACTCTTGATTCAAAATACAATTATTAAAAATAGTGTAAAACAAAATGTTCACGATTACGAGTGAATACATACATCATCATACCGTGTTTCTCCGAAAATAAGACAGTGTCTTCAATTTTCTTTTGAAAATAACACTAGGGCTCATTTGTGGGGGATGTAGATGATAACGAGATTTTTTAATATACCAAATATGAATTCCAATTCCCATTTACTTATAAATAACCCGTTTTCATTTAAAAAAAACTGCTACATAAAGATAATTAACCATTTATAAAGTAGAAAAGATTTCATTCTATCGACTAGGACTCAGTGGTTCTCGAACTTCATTGTATTGTGACGCCCTCCAAAAATATATGTATAGATTGATACCTTTCAATAGAAGACCTTTTTTGCAATGAGTTAATTGATATAAACGAACAACCAAAACCTTAAAAAACTTGCACTTGCATTACAATGAAATTTCTGATCGTAAGACCCGATTTGCGCGTGCTTGCATAACAAAGCAGGCTTTGTTTGTGCCTCGAAAATTAGGATATTTGTGTTAAATATCAACTAATATATGATCGAATATTTCACATATTTTATTTATTCTAAATGTTTTATTGTTTCTCATTAGTGCAAATGATGGTATATGAATCAAATTCATTTTACCGTTCAATGTCGTTCACTTTCTGTTACGCAGTGTCTATTGTTAATATAAACCCTACATGCTGCAATTCCGTAGGCTGCAACTTATTCTTTGCTGAACAGAGATTATCGAACATAAGTGTTTTCTTAATAATATACACATTAACGATTACAAAATTGTGCTTTTTTTTGAGGCAGCATATTTTTCGTGTAAGTGCGGCGCGAGCTTTTTCCCCTGATAATTTGGCGTCGCTGCCTTATGCTTAATTTGATCAATAGGTGTGAAAAAAAAGAAAAGAGTAATAATTCCGGATAAGGACCATGCCGTCGGTGGCTAGACATCGTAATTCATCATTTAGGCCTGCATAAACAAACAACGGCTCAATTTGCTATGCAGCAAAAAGCATGCTAATCCATTACACTGAATAATTGAGTAACGTTAATCTGAGTAAATAATAAATATGTGTTTGTTTTTCTTATTGAGTAGGCCTACTGAAAATTGAGAATTAGCTGCATCATTAAACTATCAAAAATACCTATTTCGAACTGTTTAGCATTATTAACGTGAACAAGGGCCGTGAAAAATTTTAATATATTAAAAGGGGCCGCGAGCTAAAAAGTTTGGGAAGCCCTGGGTTAGAGCATCTTGAATGAAGTACCGAAGTAGTTGTAGTATGTTTTTTAAATATTAGAAAATTGAGTGGGTTTATCAGTTCCTTTCTGACAACCTAACTAAACAAATCAAGTCTCCTAAAAGTTTAAATCCTGCTACAAAATTATAACATTGTTTATAAATATTTCAACACTCACTTCTGATCGTTTTTAACCGGTGCAGTTTGTTTCAAAGGTTTAACCGAGTTTTTGTTCTGTAAATGATAATATATAGCTCTGTTAATAACATGAATGGGCCACTCGTAAATGTTGGAAACATTGCGTACAAGTGAGCATGATATATGACAGGATCGCACGTTTTAGCCTCTAAACCTGGTACATAACCTAGTTTAACATAGTAGGTCAAACAATATATACTAAACCAAGAAGATTTGAGCCATCTAGAAACAAATTTAAAACCTATGTGTCAAAATTTTTGTTTGAGGAGAGCTTACTTTTTAGAGGCTTCAAATAACTTCACAGAATATTGTTTTCGAATTTTTAAAGTAGAGAAACATGGTTGTTGGAATAGTGAGATATGGGATAGTTTCACTAATTCCTTGTTCCGGATGGACAAAGTTGAAAGCGGAACCATTACAGACTAGTGACTGTTATGTAAATCACCTTGCTATGGTATAAAGTCCAGCAATCAGCTTGAACTGAACTATCTTCCACAATATTCAAAACTGCAAATTAATATATGGTGTGATGAAGCATATTTCTAATACGTCATTCACCGAATAGATATCATACTTTGAGCAAACTTTCACCAGTCATCATTCTTTTGAATATCTTTATTTAGCAAATATACCACCTTTCCCATGGAATAAGATAAAACCTGTCCCTTAGGTTGAAAGAAGAACTTACCAATGAACTTGATAGAACAGGACGTTTTGATAATTTTTTGCTCGTGTCTCCTTGACATATAGTTTCAGACTTGAGAGTCATTTTATCAGTTGCTGACAACATATTCCAAGATTCAGTGTGAATAACGGCAAAATAGTTCGAAACCAGGAAACTCCAAACTGTTATCTTTAGGTTTAGTAACATGGTTGAGAATTCCTGAGAATAGAATCAACAGAAATCTTACCCAGGGTGACCCAGAAAAAAAATTCTCGATTACTCCAACAGGAATGAAAAAAAATTTATTCTTCACACATGAAATTCTATTTGTGTATGACAGTTGAAAAAGTACCCAAAAGTTTCAGTAAAACAGAACATTTTGCACAAAAGTTGTCTTTTTCAAAATATGCTCCGCTGTTTTTTGGGCCGCACTGTACAACAATGCACTGGAGAATATATCACATCATCTCTAAGTTAGTTGGGAATCACAAAAAGAAAATGTTTTTAGAATTGGTTTTATCAATGATATGTTGCAAATAATATGTGGAGGTGAGACATTAGCATCAAAAAATGAAGTTAGGATTGCCAAAACCTTTTAAAACAGAAAAATTGAGGTAAAATCATGCATCAAGATTTTCGTAGATCTTTACATTTTAAAAAAAATTGTTTTACCAAAACCAAGTTTTCTACAATACACCCAATTTCATTATTATCCTGATTACCTGGTTCCAACTCTCTTTATCAGAAAGATAAATCAATCTACTGACAGCAAGATGGCAACCACAAACATTTTCTATTGAAAGTTGAGAACTAATCTGAGTTAATATTCGATCAACAACATCGGTTTTCCAGCCTATACCCTGAGAAACCAAAGAAAAAGAGTAATGGTAGTAAGAATAATGGCTTAAAATTGAATTTGACATTTTCAAAGTTATGCTTCATAGTGCATGAGATGCTTTATGAACTTAGATTGACCTCCGGCACGAACACAAAAAAATAACATAACATAAAACAACCAACACGAAAGTTTAAGAAAGTTGCCTTGAAATGATATTTAAAAAATAAAACTGTAAAATCTTTCTTTACCTCAAATAATATCATGAGTGTTTTGTTTCTGACCAATGCTAAGAAGCGTAATGCAATGTAGTCACAGCATGATGTCATTAAAGTTGTTCCCATAGCAACTACCGGTTTGGTCCATTGCACTCGTGTAATACTGCTGAGAAACTTATCAGTCTCCATAAGTAAACTTATTGCATTGGTATCATTCTAGATATAGAATAGATATAACGTTAATTGTGGAGATTCTTGCTAGTTTTTCTACTTTTAATAAAGGATTTCAAATTCTCAAAACAAGGCTTTAAATAAGTGATATGTATGTAGTGTGAAATATTGAAAAACAACTTGTTGGTTTGACATTGGCATCAGCCATCAAGTTATCTACACCCTGGGTGAAGTCGTGAGCATTAGAATTAAGTCAGATTAATCTACGATGGCAATAAAAACAAAATTCTTTGCATTATAAATAGTTGAGAACAGCATTTTTATCATGTCCTAATAATGTCTTATAATATTAATACAGTAATAATACAAAAACTACGATTTATAAATTTTCCACAGTAGAATAACGGTTTTCATGTAGCTACATGCACTACCTTTATATTTCTGCTTATTGTGAGACTGGTTTAGAAAGAACATTGAATAAAAGTACACTTACTAACGAATCCATAACTGCTTTCACACATTTTTCTCGTAGATCGACTTGCATTGAAGCAAATCCTTTATTCGGCCATAACTTGTAGAAATATTTTGTGTTCCATTTCAAACAAGCGGCAAACAAATCATTGAGTGAAAAAAATGAAGCAAGTTGAATTACTTCTGGTGCGTTTGCTATACAATCTGTAAAATATTCGAAGAAAATTGAAAGATATAGAATACTGATAATTACAGCATTGTTTCGTTTACTGTAAGTATACCAAGCAGACATAAAAACCATCATGCTGAACGTCATGGAATCATATTTTCAAAGTCTCGGAGTACAGAGATGTCGAAATTTTCCACAAAAACTCAAAAAGCTTCTAGTTTACTACATGTCTTTAACAGTATGTTAGGGAAGGGCTGTATAAGCTGAAGTTTTTGATGAAAAAAAAATATTTCTCGGCATTCAGAGTCGCAGTCAAAATTTTTACAACTCGAGAGAGTCGATTGCGAATTCCTCCTCAGCCCTGCTAACCAGATAATATGCTCAGTGTATGTACCAATATGGAACTAATTTTGTTCGCCTACTTTACATCAAGTTGTATAAAGGGACTGAAACCTATGGGCAGGGGGTATATTCACTCGGCCAATACAGACAGACCCCGAGGTCCGAACTCATAATAGAACTAAAAAAAGGAAAATCAGAATACAATTATGGCCTAACCCCAATCTGGTACACACACTACAGGAGCACATAAACTTTAAAACTCGAAGTTAGTAGGTCGGAATGAAATTTTTTTCACAATCAAGAGTTGAGAGTTGATTTCAAATTTCCCCTACTATTCAGCTCTGCTAAATAGATAACACGGCTAAGAGTATTTCCAATGCAGTCTAAACTTTCATCTCACCTTTACATGGTCTATGAAACGAATGACACATTTCACTTTTAATATGATATTTAGCGACAGTTGTTAATTCTGCCATTCCATACATGTCTGCGATCTGAAGAATGTCAAGCAATGGACAAAATCTTTGCAATTCACTTGATGCTCCATAAAGAAAACATAATAAAGCTGCCACAGCTTCCGGCTTTACATTGTCTGAATCAGAAAGGAACAAAATTGCCTTTTGGCTTGGATATAGTTATTTGAAATATATTCTAGAAGAGTGATTCTCAAATGGTGGGGTGTGCCCCACAAGGGGGGGCATAGACAATTTTTGAGGGGGTGTGAAGCTAATTAGAATATTTGTTAGATTTGATCTTGGCCGCCTTATTTTGGATATTTACATTTCTTTATTATTTACACATATTTTCGACGTGTTCTTACTGTCTGTTATTTGTAGCTTATTGTTAACTAGTTATTTTTGAGGTGGGGCGCAGCCTAAAAAGTTAGAAAACCATTGTTCGAGAGAGAACATAACTTTTGTGCAAAGCTTCCTAGAAATTTATGGATTCTGTTTTTTGGGTCACACTATATAGCTTACTCAACTCCTAAGACAAGCTTGGAGTTCGCTTATTGGAAAAAGTATTAGAAGTTTAGTCCAGATTCGTACTGTGTAGAAGATGGGGTTTGTATCCTTTGTGTGTGCGATAACATAAGATTTCAGGGCTCCTCTGTGTCACACAGCAGTTTGTAAATAACCACTGGTTGGTTATGGTTGCCTCAGTCATTCATGGGCGCTCCAGAAGTGTGTGTACCAATTTGGAGATAACTAATTTTGTTCGCCTACTTTACATCAAGGTGTGTAAAAGGCTGGAACCTGTGCGCAGGAGGTATATTCACTTGGCTAATACAAACAGTCACCAACCTATAATAGAACTAAAATAAGAAAAATCAAAATCAAATTATGGCCTAACCCTCACCTGGTACACACACTACGGGGAGTACCCATCCATGTACTGCCTACTTTCCATTTCCCAAAAAGAAATAGGAAATAGCAACCAAGATATTTGTCCACAAAATGAATTAGCTCAACTTACTTAGAGTTATTTCTTTTGAGTTTTTCTCAGTCCATGTATTTTGAAACATTGCTTTGAAATAACTACATCTTGTCATCAAAACTTCTTTGTGACAAAGAAAGCATTCGTTCTCTGCCTAAATATAAGTAACGTTGTGATCAAGTACTGGCAATTGAAGTTCATGAGCTCATATGCACGGTAAATATGGGCAACTTTAAAATAAACTCAAAAAAGCCTTCTAAGAAAGTTATAAGCTTATGAAACACAAACAGTAAAATAATTAGCTAGTTTTTGTTGCATATGACGCACTATAATTTATGATGAACTGTTGTCTCATAATAATTTGAACTGTTAAAAATGTATATAATTTGTCGCCAGCGTCCGGAATTTTTCATTCATGGTTAAAATTCTGTCAAAATTGCATGGTACTACGAGTTAAAATGATTTCAGTTCTTCAATTTATTCACTGATTTAGCAATCACCATAATTACTTTTCAGATACCATTGATCTCTGCACATAGGTCACACTTTTTTGAACCAAAAACTAAGCCAAAATCGGGGGTGCAACATATACACTCGACATAAATGCAAACATCAGTATTCTTGTGTAGGAGAGTCCAACAAATCGACCAAAAGAAGCAGTTCCATGAAGAATGCAAAATTGTATACCAGTTTTAAAAATTATAAACTAGAGGTACGTCCCATGTGTTTGCTGAACATTAATTCTGGTATATATCCCAATGCCTACCTTCAGTACAATATCAGATGCTTGTGGATGGAGGAGTTCATTTAACAGCTTTTGTCCAAGATCACATGACGGTGATGGAAGATCGGAATGTAACAAAAGCTTCGACTGAAGGAGATTTGGTGGGAGTGAACCTGTCATCTCCGTGAGATTATCAGAAAAGCTGTAATGAAAAGGAATCCACTGAATGTCTTATGAATTCTGAACTGATATTTCCTGATGTCCATTGTATATAGTCAAATTTCGTGCTTTTTAATAAGATTGAATTTTGAAATCCAAGACAGTTATTTCAGTCATGAGCTGAGCTCATTTCCTGGTCTGAACGTGTACTAGAATTTTTGCACAACATGCCACATCAAATTGGAATTCTGATAATCTAAATTTTTATGCTATTCAGACAATCACAGTTTTAGATGGAAATTGTGAAAACTCAAGCCTTCTCGAACTAAGTGAGATGAAATTTTTATATACCTGAACGTCCTGAAGCCAGTGCTGGGGCTAGCAAACTGTTCAGCTCCAGTGGAGATACGAATTTGCTGTAATAACACTTTGAACATGAATTTTAACCTTAATTAGCTTTCAACAAAAATGATTGGTTGCCCAATACACAAAGCACCTACCTACCTTTTTACATCTTTTTCTAACGTTCGAGCGAGGTTCTTAGATAATTTAGTTTTAGTCAAATCCATCTTCAAAGATCTGGTGATAACATTCCAATTTCAAACACAGAATGAAAAGTCGATCTATTTACAAAACATTAAAGAATATTTATTGCTCAAATCTTATGTTAACGTAAAATTAAATAAAGAAACTGAAGTTTTATAGTACAAAAATTTCAAATTAAATCAGCACAAAAAAGAAGATCGGCGAGTTATCACAAAAGATCACAATCAACATTTATCAGAAAACTACAAAATATATTTCAACAAAATTATTGCCTGAATATAGACGATTCATCAAAATCTAGTAAGATTGAGCTTATACCAATATTTTCAAAACAAGTTGCCAACCAAGTAAAGTTAAAATGATCGTAACCTAAAATGTTAATGTTAAGCTATTCTGGCAATCAAAAGGTTTAGATAAAAATTGTGAAAACTTCACAGTAAACAATCTGTAATTGAATTTACCACTTTTGCAGTTATTTTTATTATGATTCACAAACATTCTAGGTCATTTAGGAAACGCTACAAGCTTAGAAAACAGCTTACTATTTGAAACAATTGACACAAACGGGGCCATGTGATGGAAATGTTCCTATTTGCATTTATCCTGTAATTATACAGATGCCTACAGAATGTTGCATTTCAATTATTGCTGTAAACACACAGATTTGAAAAAAAATCACACGTAGCAGGGAGAAGAGAGTAAAGTAACAATAACATGGGAATTTAAAGTTAATTTACATGAACCCATATCTCTGGTCATGTCGTGACCTTCTTTGGCGACCTTGAAAAGGCATCGTTGGAGCCCCAAACCCTTCAAAATCAGCGTCCATCATTCCACCACCCCTTCCAGGTCTGAAACCTCCACCAGGAAATATGGGGTCATATCGTGAACCAGGAAGAGGATTATCTGGATGCATTGGGTGATTGGGTCGTGCTGGGGGTAAGCGTCTGGGTGGGGTTGCAAATGGTCCATAAGGAAAAGTTGGATGCAAGTCATGTTCACCACCTATCATTCCAAATGGTTGCTGATCAGGAAATGGAACGGGTTGACCAGGAATTGGGGTCGGAAATTGGGGCCAGGGGTCAGTTTGATAATCACGATAATAGCGCTCCATGTCTTGTTTACGTTCCTTTTCTCTAACGAAACGCTTAGAATATGTTTTTTTCCAAGAATTTTCAACACTAATGGGATGGGATTTAAAATCCTTTATATACAAGTTTCTCCATAGATTTTCATCATTGGTTATGTCCTGTAATGCTTTGTTTACTTGGGATAAAGATATCAAGCTTTTACAGTCTAGCTGTGAAAAAATTAGTTGTAAAATTTCAGGAAATAACGACAAAAGTCCATGAACTGGTGGGAGTTGCAACTCTTCTCTCATGTTATTCAACGCAGGATGAGCGATCGTTTCTTTAACTTGTCGATTCAATTTTGATAAATTCTTGTAGACAGCGGCAGCATTTGAATTCTTAGTGGAGGCTGTGAAACTTTGAATATAGTCTTTCGTCGTTATTTGAAGAGTTAAGACTTGTTCGTTGGTATTGCGACACGGTTGCGCAACTCCGTTAACAAGAACGAATGAACCAAGCTGATTGCAAGTGAAATTGAATTTCAAATCTGGGCCTGCTGCATGACTGTATTCTACTGCGAATATTCGAGATTGTAAATGGGGTAATATGTCACTATGCTCGGTCATTCCTTCAATATAAAAACCACTCTCACACATCATAAAATGCAAAGTGATACAAAGCGCTTGAAATTCATTTTTAATAAAATCATCTTCATAAAGTTTTTGCACTAAATGTGGAACATCAGATGAACCATTACAGTCTCTGAAAAATATGGGACCAGGTGATGAACAAGGTATATATTCTGTAGTTTCTGTTTCAGTAACTGTTGATGGACCAGGTTGATCTTGCTCAAAGGTTTCTGAAGCCACAGACATTTCAGACATCACAGGAGTAACTGAAGATGTGTTTTCTTCCACAGAAGTTTGTGAAATTCCCATAACCAATGCATTATCACCAAGTAAGACCTTGATGAGATCCCCAGATACAATTCCTGCTGATTTTAAATTACTTTCTCCTTCTCCTGCACATGTTTTACCATCCAAACTAATTTGAAAACTAGCATCGATATTTATTCCCCATTCTCCAAACGCAGTTTCTCTTATTGCTGACTTCAAAGTTTCAAATGTAGGTTGCGGTTCATCTTCAATAGTTATTATTTTCGTCTTTTTCTCGAATCTTACTCTTAGCTTCATTGTTATTTCATGTTGTCAAAACTTATGTTTTTAACCTATATTTTACCTAATATCTATCTAAATTTAAACACAAGATACAGGGATCAAATTCAATATCAATTCAAAACAGGTCCAAGAAATGCAGAAATGTATGGGAACATATTCAATCACATAGAAAAGTGGCAGAAAACCAATATCAATGCAGAAATTGACAATCATTGTAAAATACAGACGAAACAGTATATTAAATAGGCATGAAACTTTGAAGCAATGAACTGAATTGAGAATTTTTTTGATATGCAATTATTAAATATTTCATGCACTATAAAATATAAATTCTAGGTTGTTGGGTGCATGAGACAGAAGCCAAATTAAATACAAACATGGAATTGATAATATGATATTTCTTATCCTGTAGCATATTTGAAAAGTGATACATTAAAAGATATACCACATTAAAAATCCAGTATACTCTATAAACAAACGTCCTAAAGAAGCAGATGAGTTGAAATGATAAATTAAACATTTTGTCTGATTAAATCTGAATACAAGGCAACTTTACTAGCTGTGGACATATCAACATATTTCATATCTGTATATTTATCGCCAATATCAACAATAATGCCACCAAGAATTGTAGGATCAACTTTTGTCGTCAGCATCAATTTTTCATTCGGTTTCAAGAACTTTGTTAATGCTGCTTCCAGATTTTTTCGTTGCTTAACATCCATCTCTGTTGCCGTGGTAACTGTTGCTGGAACTTCTCCCCTTTCTGCACTCATGATTCGAGCGTATACTTCAGCAGTTTCTCCCACAAGATTGAGACGTCTGTTGTCAGCTAATACTCCGAAGAAATTGACAACAGTGGATGTCATTTTGACTTTACTAGCAACTTCTTTCAGGAGGCCTAACTTGTTTGATGTTTCAACAAATGGATCATGCATGTAATCAGCGACTTTCTGATTCTTCAAAATCTCCTGCAATGTGGTTAAATCTTGCGCGACCTCTGATTTTGCTTTAGCTTTGGAAGCAGCTGAATATAACGCGTGTGCGTAAGTTCCGGATATTCCAAACACAGGAATTGGCGTTTTCACCAAATCTTGGCGAAGAGCCGAAGACGTGCTGAGCCTTCTACAAACCAATTTCGTAATATTCGCAGCCATGTTTATAACTAAAACGAAACGAAACGGACCAACCAACAAGTGAAGAAAACGCGTCTACAAAGTTACAAGGTAGGTAGTACACACACCTCTGTGCAAGGTCGACCGATTGAATTTTACTTGCCAGAATTGATCTATAAAAATATAAATTTGAGTATATAAACAAGTTATTTTGAATACTTAATATATAAAAAGATTATATTTTGAATGTATTGCTTGAAACCAACAAAATTAATAAATTTTAACATAAGGAAACATTTTGTGCTTTAAATTTTTTTTGCTTTCACAGGTGAATCTGGCATGAGTATTTGGCCGTTCTAATGATATCTCAACGTCGCCCACTGGCGATTAGGGCTCTGCAAATTTTATGACGCATAGAGGCAGTAGAGGTTTTACGTACAAATATTGTTGCCAGATTTAATAATGTTAAATCACTCAGTAACATTTATAATCGAAAAAATATGAGTAATTTCACGTAGACAGTATAAAGAGGATTTGAGAACAAATTCAATATACATGTTAGTTTTGTTCTTTAAAATATTATTCGAAAAGTAACGAAGGTGATGTCTTTGTTGTTTCAATTTACAAAAGGAAATGGCAAGTGACATTGCCGAAGAATTGCATTTTCCGGAATAGAATTCTTAACATTCTAATAATTTTCAAGTTCCTGTATAGTCTGACTTTCGTTTTATAGAAAGTTTAGATGATTGTTGACACATAGAAGCGCATTGTCGCTTACAGGACATCTATAAAATGGAACCTCCGCCTGATTGCTCGTCTCATTACATCAAAAATGATGATTATTTTCCACCAATTACCCATTCATCGTCATCCAAGCGGAATGAAAATGGCAATGGAAGTACAAACGGGGATTTCCTTGATATATCGGCGAAAACTGGACATTTTGGATTTACAAAAACGGATGTTTCCCAACCATCTACAAGAAAAACACTGGACAAAATAGAAGGAAATCCCTCTGTTAGGTTAGCTCATGCTTTTGATTCTGTAAATTGCTGAATTGTGGAAAAACCGCCAGCTATTTTAATCTTTATTTTTTTTAAAGTGTGTGTTCTTGTGCTTGGATTAATTTTAAAGCAGCGTATCCCCAAAGCAGGAAAAGACGTAGGGTGGCTTACCCACTTTGAGGCCACGACCTATTTGCGGCCATCAACTTCATCGATCTAATTAAGGCTGAAAAAATTAACGAACCGTGACGATATTTCTCATGCGGTATTGTCCACTTGTTCCTCATAGCTCTGCGAAATTACACTGAAATGCGGCCACAAACAAAAAAGTTACGATTGAAAACTCGACCGAAGAAAAATAACGGACCTTTTTTTCATGTCGCCAACTACCCATTGTCCCATTAAAAAACTTGAAAATCCATACAAATAGGTCTATAAGAAATAAAAAGATGAAATTTGGCAAGGGGGTAGAGTTAACCATCTTTTAACCATCTTTAAATTTTTGCCTTTCTACATTTAAAGGAGGGGAATAGGAGGGTGCGATTTCCAATACGTCGATAATATCTTTGTTGACCCATTTGCGACCACCGTGTTTTTGTCTGTTTGATTGCTGTGATGCGGTGCTTTGTATATAATTTGACGAGTTTTGTTCGAAATGACCGTGTTTTTAAAATATATGACGGCCAGAAATGCAATTAGTAGTCCAATTTTTTCACGCATGGCTGCGTATGCTCTAGCATCGACGCAGCAGAAACAATGTTCATGGCTTGAAATCCGTGATCGCACACTGGTCGTTCGGTCGCAAATACGTCTTCTGAGTGTCGTACTTTGGTAGTTTGTATAGCTTTAACCTTTGATCGTAGAAAGTTCATTCGAGGTTTAGCGTGTAGAATAAATGCCAATGCACCTACGGTTAAAAAAATTAACGGGTTAGCAGACTGGCTACACCACCCACCAAAACTCATAAACGGATTTTAAGGCGAGGTTGAATGAATATTACAAAATTTCATCGACTAAAAATACTAAACACTCAAAGTAGTCTTAATTAATAATAACTTCAACTTCGAAAGCTCCCTAATAATTGATCAAAGATCTGCAGGAAAGCACTGCACTAAGCTTTTCGGGAAATTATACAATTTACTACATTCTGCGTGGGGTGGAATTTAAACTCAAGATAATATTTAATCATCTACTCTGATATAGTCGGTTAACTCTAAATACAATGCATTATTTTTTTAAATGTAATGTCATAACCAAGTTCATAAAATAATTCATAACATTTGCAGGTCATCAGCCATCATAGCATATTCAGCAACAAAAAACAATGCAATGTTCTCCCATCTTGCTCCTGAAACAAACTTGAATCTGGCACCTTCAAACTGGCTCCGAAAAACAGTCGGACTTCGACCAGAGACTGTGTTGCCAGGTGGCAGATATTCAAGTAATCCAAATCGTTCGTTCAGTGGATTCAGTATGGCGAGTGGCCACCTTGATAGTGTCGGCAAAGTAGATGTTGTGTCAGATGCAGAGGTTTGTGTTATGTTCACATTATATATAATCGTTCTTGAAATAAATAAAACCTTTATAAACCTTATTATTATATAAACTATATCATTCTGTTTAAAATGAGTTTCATCTGCATCAACATATCAATTGCATTGCAATTCGAGTGCTACAGTTGCTGGTTTGTAACGAACTTTCACATACTCATCTTACAAACTTTAAATTCAATAAGTTCTTTGAGTTTTATATGTTTTATGTGAGTGAATAATTGTAATCTTGTTTTAATCAATCTTTCATGTGTAATGTTTCAAGCCCTTGTATGTGAATTTTTATAATATAGAATTTGTCACATAGCACAAATGTGAAAAATGTCGTTTTGAACACCTTCAGTTCCTGATGCTCAACCCCGTCCTACTGTACTTGCAAAAGATACGAGTTTTTCTGAAAATATTAGCTCATGACATATCAGTGTCTATTTGTCCAGAACCCTGTTAGTAATGAAGGTATGAAAACCTATCTTGAAAACTGCTGAAAATTATAACTAACTTGTATTTCTCTTTTTCAGAATATCAAGAAATTGCTGAAGATGCCTTATAACAAGGCCCATGTAAGCATGGCAATACACAGGATTGGTAGAACGTTGTTATTAGAAAACTTTGATATAAAAAGATTCACTGCTGAGGGTGAGAATTGTATGATTGTATATATAATAGAGTCTTGAAAATTTTTTTTTCAAAATAGCAAAGGGAATTTAACGAAACCATATATTGTTTTGGCCTTCACAGATGTATTAATAACTGAGGTGAAAATACTTGAACAATTATTTATTACATAACAACGATCCTGGTTAATAAGATATATTGAGAACTGACTTCATCACAAAAGGGAAATTGTAAAGGGACTTTATGGACCTCTATATAGTAGTAAATAGTGAATACCTCATATTCAACAAGTATTGTTTTAATCTGCAATTGAATGTGATCATCTAAAGTTTGACATCTTATTTTGAATGTAATGTATCAATTGTTTCTTACCAGCAAAACATAATACAAGAATATCGGTCTGAGACCGAAGACTTATGGATTGAAAGTTAGGGGAACCCCCAAAATAGCACTCTTACTCCATAATGACACCTTGTGTCCCATCACTAATTATTAATAACTCGCTAATTATACGACATAATTCATCCAAAATCAATAGGCTTCTGGTACGACATATGATGAATGTACATGCAAAATCTGGAGCAGATTCAATCTCGCTTTCGCGTGCATCTAACAGACAAACAGACAGATAAACGCCTATCAACATACTTACCGATTAAAATCGACAAGTTATAATCCAGGAGTGAGCAAGTGCAATACAAGAGAGCTAGTTATAAATAACTTGGTGAAACTGCGGGCGGCACCTTTATTTAGGATGAGTGTCATTCAAAATAGGCACCTCTTAGCAGGCTGTATAATTTTTTTCTTGAGGGCCTCATTTTTCCTGCGGGTCGCAGGTTGCACATCCCTGTTATAATCCATGCTTTTATTGTTACATCAAATATAATATATAGTTCATTCTAGCCATCATTATTATGTCTTGTGACTTGTGAGAGTAAAAGGAAGTTGTTTCTGCATTTTCTTATCTGCTATTATGCATCAATATTTCAATTTATGGTCAATTTCCAATTTAAATTTTATTGACTTTCCTATATTGAAGTATTTGTCTACTTGAGTTTGCAAGTGATTATTTAATATGTAAGAATTAGATAAGATAATTTATTTTGAACTTTACTATGGTACAAACATTTGATGACACACAGAATGGAAATTCAAGAAATTCGCCAAACTTCGAATGAGACTTGAAAATATGAATGCATTTAAGTCAAAGAATTGAACAAATCAAAGTCGGTTTACTTTAAATTAATGTGGTCGTCTTGAATACTATGTTGTGATTTGTGAAGGCTTTTGCTTGTGCCTCCCAGAAAACCGCTTCATAGCACCAAAAGGAGACTGGGGTCAAGTTTGAGAAATCCACCATTGTACCAAACATGAGACATTCATAAAAATAACCAATATCTATTCAGATTCCGACCTTGTCTTTCAATATTTCCTTTTAATTTTCCAGAATCAGAATGGGAATGGTTTCGTAATTTTTATCAAGAATTAGTTCAACAGCAACAAGGAAGCAATACTTTGTTTAAGAAAAAAAGTCCGTCCTCTCAATATGAAAGACTGATGCTGTCGAAATTTCTTTACTATAGGTAGGCTACCACATTTTTATGGTTTTTGTTCGAAATACTCTGTCTGTGGTTCTCAAACTTTTTAAGTAGCGACCCTTTTTTAGATTTTGTCAAGTCTCGTGCCCCACCTCATAAAATAGCAAGCTAACAATATGATACAAATAACAGATAGTAAAGCAAAAGTATGTTTTTTCCACAAAACACGTTGCAAATATGTGGATGGAATCGTAATCTCTGAACATTAAAGAAAAGTAAATAGGCCTATCCAAAATAAGGCAGGCAAGATCAAATTTAACAAATATTTTTATTTTTAGTCAGCTTCACGCTCCCCAAAAAATTTTCTATGCCAATTTTTATGTGTATTTTATTTTTTATATTGAGAAAGAATTGTTTTATTTTTTACTGTTCTGAGTAATATGCATATAATTTCAAAGAATAGTATCTCCAAAGGGTACTTTGTGCTTTTGTTCTGAAATAAGAAATTTTTAGAATTTTGTTTTATGCATGATATACATTTAGCAATGAGTCCATATTTGAAAAAGTTTAATTTGTAGAGAGGTCGTACAATATTATACTCTTTCATATGTGATGCAGTAAAATTGGGATACTTGATTTGTTTTCACACTTTCATTCTGAATAGGTCTCTGTACAAGCAGCCATGATACATAAAAAGACTACTAAATGTGACTAAAGACCATATATTGACAAATTACACCCATTATCTACATATTGACAAAAACTTCACACAATTTAAAAAATGATCTTACACTACCTTACTATTCCAGCATTTACAAAGATTCTTTGAATAAAATTGAAGACAAAACGCAAGAAAATGAAGAGTTTTCTCCAACTGAGAAAGATTTTAGTGATAATAAAGAGACCAAAGAAAGGTAATATTCTTCCTTGCTGACTGCAGCTATGCATATCCTTTGTCATTTTTTTCTATTATGAACTAAATTGATACCATTCTGTTATTTGACTAGTGCAGCAGACAGCTGTACTTAACATTTTGTGAATTCCTCCAAGGTTGTCCAAAATAAACTTCCCGGTTACCCGGCATTCCAAAAGTACTTATTAACCGAAAGTCTCCAGCTGATAATACAAACTATCAGTTAGCAGCCGACATGCATTAGTCAGAGACTCCTTTAATTTAAAGGGTTAGAGTACGTAAAATCACAAACAGGAGTATTTTTTACAAATAAATATCTGCATGGAAAGGGCCAAATTGACCCATATAAATATAAACAACCCACAAGGGACATGGACTACTGGTTGGCATAGTGCCTCTATATTGACTCCATCACCTCTTATTTACTGTTTGACTTGTATATCTGCTGTTGTCTTTGATAAACTGTAACCTGAGTCTAACTCAAGTTCAATAACACGAACGTCTTGACACTAGACTTTAGTATTTTTTATTTACAGTTTATTTTATCTATCTGCGGTTTGTATATTACATCCTATCTTTTGACAGCAATGTGAAACTGATTGAAATCGATGAAGAGTGTTTGGCGTCGCTGGGGAGTGAAGAAGAAAAAATCAAAGAACTCTCGTCTTCATTATCCAGTTGTAATTCATCAACATCAGATGATAAAGCGGAACAAAATGATGAAGAAAGCAAACGGAACAGTGCAATTGTTACTTCAGACAGAAGATGGAGATACTGGACACCACATGAATCTTTCCCAACACCGGTAAGATGATATTTTTGACTTGGATGTTTAGAGGCAATTATGTTTTGTGTATAAAAGTGAGCACTGTGGGACAGTAGTGAACGACAAAATGAATTTGTGTGCAATGGGAAGTATCGACCAGTTCTTGAAACTAATCTGCCTATGTTTAGTATAGAACAGTGGTTCTCCATTTTTTTTTTCGTGGCCCACTTCATTGCACAAAAATTCTGGCCCATTAACTTTCTCATTCGAGGAAAAACTACAAGAAAAACAAAAATATACAATCTCATTTTAATAATTAAACTGAGAACTACCACTCACCCAGTAGCAAAAAACAGCATCATTATTCATTGCTACAATCAAAGTATAATTACTTATCGATCTTAAGATCGGTAAGTATGTTGATAGGTATTTGTCTGTCTGTCTGTGTGTTTGGCTGTTAGATGAGCGCGATATATCACGAAGGCGAGGTTGAATCTGCTCCAAATTTTGCATGTGCATTCACCGTATCTCGGACCAGAAGCCTATTGATTTTGGATGAATTATGTCGTATAAATAGCGAGTTATTGATTAAATACTGATGGGACACGCGGTGTCACTATAGAGTCATGAATCGAAACCGTAGTTTCGATCGAAAAGTCTTCAGTCTCTGACTGATATTCTTGTTAATTTATCAATATCTCCAGCAATTTTTGATAGGCTTATGGCCCACCTGCAAATGTTTTTATGGCTCAGCAGTGGGCCATGGCCCACCGATTGAGAACCGGTAGTTTAAAACTAATCAATTAAAATTGTTGCCAGTGAGTGAAGTATTGCTTGCTCTATTAGATATTAAGCCATATTATGATTGTTTATTAGCTTAGAAACAAGCTCACCTATCATTTGCATTGGTTATTAACAAATTGGAATTTCCTCCAAATACATCATAATTTGTAAGTAAATGCTTTATTAGCATACCGACTGCTATCTCTCACCACCTCACGCATCTTAGCAAATAAGTCCAAAAATGACTAATTTTTATACAAATCATTAATCTTAAAATTTATGTGCTTTATCTGTGACTATCCAACTATGTTCATTTCATAGGATGCAACAGAAGCATTTGAACGCAACATATCATGGACGTTTGAGGATTTACAAATGTTACTAGGAACAAACATGCCCATATTTGGTGGCGGAAAGTATCCTGCTGTCAGTTTGAGACTCAGGTATGGACTAGTGCATTGAGAGAATAAACATTTAGAACTGATTCTATAGATTTGGATATGGTTGTCAACTCAGAGATGGCCAACACCAAATATTTCACTATTCTGAATATATTCAGCGAAATGAAATATGAAATATTGAATGCATTCTACTTTGGGGGTACACTCGTGTGGAAAATTACATAAATCAATATATTTTAATGTTAATCATATTTCAAACAACATAAATATGAAAGTCATTTTTTTCTCTGTGTTGTTAGTTACCAGTTGAGATATCGTAAGCTTTCATCTGCTTGTCTGATGGTTCAAAATCCCTAATTATCGAGTATATTGTTATTCGAATATTCGAATCGTTTTGGACATCCCTAGCCTTCTCGTATATGTCTTGGAAAGATGAAGACCAAGTAAGATAAACCAATAGTATATAAGAGCAATATTTTCACCGATCCATGTCGGCTATGGAAGTGACCACACCAGTTGTTGAATCTTTCAAGTTACCTTCAACTTTTGAAGTTTAGAATTCTTCATCATTCAATTCCAATGAGTTTCTAATAGGATGGAAATATTTGCAATTGGCTCCAGCTCTAGTGAATTCCAAATTTCGAATTTGTTTTCAATGAGTTTAAAATTATGACTTCAGCTTTGGTGCCCCCTCTTGTGAAAACAAGCTAATCTGAGAGTGAGACTCCTTTCTCCGAATCCACTGTTCTGATTTCCTACAGAGTATTGAAATTTTAAATTAATTTAGAATTCATTGTATTCGATAAGAGTTGTAAATCCATAAAAAAAAATCTTCAACTCTGTATTATCTTTCTGTTACCAGGGATTCTAATAAGCCAATCAACATATTGACAGGAATAGATTATTGGTTGGATAATTTGATTTGTAATGTTCCTGAACTTGTTATGTGTTTCCATGTCAACGGCATCGTTCAAAATTATGAAGTCATAAAAACTGAAGATATTCCTAAGCTGGATCATTCAAGGTTTGAGTTATCTTATATATAAAGCAGAGAACAGAAACTTCGGTCGATCGGCCATACCTTGAAGCCCTCAATACCCTTTTTGAGTCAAAATAACAATGACAAGGCCCTTCATGTGACAATTGCCTGCAAAAAAGTCAAAATCGTGCCACAGTCTCAGGTGTTTCTTTGGCGCTTCAGAAGTATGTGTACCAATATGGAGGTTACTGATTTTGTTCGCCTACCTTACATCAAGTTTTGTAAAGGGACTAAACCTATGGGCAGGGGCCAGGGGGTATATTGACTTGGCGAACACAGACAGTCCCTGACTTGTAATAGAACTAAAATAGGGAAAATTGAAATAGAATTATGGCCTAACCCTAACCTGGTACACACACTACATGGGGTACCGCTTTGTCAGCAACAAGCTTTTTCCTAGTCTTGTTTAGGATTCCAACTATGTGTGTTTCTACAATTATCTACTAACATCATCAATTGAGCTTTCAATGTTGACTTTTCTAAACCGGGAATACCTGAATATTTCAATCCAATACACTTTATATGTCTCATCAGTCTCCTATATAGGGCATAGCATAAAAGATGACCTTTTATCCATCAATTATTATCGAGAAAATTTAAAAAGAAATTTCAAATTAAATAACATTGATGTCTAATTGATTCTGTACTCAAGCAATTCATTCACTGTTATGGTCTCTGTTGCAGGTAATTCTTCTTTTTGTTTCAGCTTCAGTCCACAAGTAGTGAAGGACATTGCACAGAATATTTTATCGTTTTTAAAATCCAATTGCACGAAGGAAGGCCACACTTATTGGCTTTTCAAGGTTTGTATTAGTTTTTATATCTCGATTTTCGACTTGGTGTACTGGAAAGTGGCACGCTTGGATTCCTCTTTACAGTTTGCTTTGAACAATTATCTTTATTCTAAAAAAGGTGGCTTGTAGACTAGATGACGGAGCAAAACGTTCCATTTTGATACTGTTCTTATTATATACACTTCATTGTTGAATGTTTCTTTTTTAATTGAAGTAACAAATAAAATAACTCTGACTCTGAAGTATTTTCTCTTTTTCTAACGCATTGGTTTTATCTCGTTTTTGACTTTAATTATTTCAAGTTTTCTGTCAACCAATATCTACTGGAATCTCTTACGGTTTTCTATGAATACTCCTTGCATTTTTAGTTGGATCCTAAGACATTTCTTTGAGCAGAAGTGCTTTTGTTGCAATTCTATTATCATCATAGGTTGGACAACTTGCACCAGCTGATAAATTTACTGATAACCCTTATCTCTTATCACACAGGGCAGTGGAGATGATGTCGTCAAGCTTTATGATCTAACAACGCTATGTGATACGAACACTTCCGATATTGGAACAAACAGAAGAACAGAACAGAATTTACAGAAGAATCCTTATATATTTTCTGTTGCAATGTTGTTGTATAGGACTGCTATTAGTCTTATGCAGGTAGAAATGTTTGTTTAACTCGGTTTCTTGCCGAAATTTTGACTACAACTACAATCTTCAAAGTTTGAGATAACTAATAACTAATTTAAAAATGTTTAGAGGCCTTCAATTATTCTTTTCGATCTTTAGATCGGTAAGTATGTTGATAGGTATTTGTCTGTTTGTCTGTCTGTTAGATGCACGCGATATCTCACGAAGGAGCGGTTGAATCTGCTCCAAATTTTGCATGTGCATTCATCATATCTCGGACCAGAAGCCTATTGATTTTGGATGAACTATGTCGTATAATTAGCGAGTTATTAATCAATTAGTGATGAGACACGCGGTGTTACTATAGAGTCATGAATCGAAACCGCAGTTTCGATCGATAAGTCTTCGGTCTCTGACCGATATTCTCGTTTATCTGTTGCATCCATTTGATGCTCTATGAACAGAGACTTTAACTTCAATTATCACCATTAGAAACCAGAAATTTTGTCTTCCGGCACCAAAAAATTCAAAATTGACTTCTGACTCTCAAGAGTTTGAAATCACAAATGCAGCACAGTCTCCGATATCAATAGAAACATGTCGAACTGCCTGCTTCTAATATCATACAAAATGAACTAATTCCAAAACGAAGTCTGCTGTGTAAAAAATCTTAATCTTTTTTACTCTTGTTCAATCCAGAGCCGCGATACTTGTGATCATCGTATAACAGTCAAAAAACTTCTTATTCAATGCATCGACCTTCTTGACCGAACCAAGTACCAGTATATCGTCAGCAGTGCAATATGTATGTTATCAACTCTGTTTCTTCCTGATCCTAATCTTGATAGACCAGCCAAGGAAGGAACTACAACTAAAGAACAAGGTTATTTTATAATATCAGGATATTTGGTATTTTTTCTCAACATGTGTGTTAATTTTAGTTTGTCAAGGAGTATATCTGAAATTAAAGTTTCGAAAAACTTCCGCTTTTGATGGATTTTCTTGTGGTCTATATTCTTTTCCCTTTGACTGAAATCTAAATATCCGAAGCCTAGTATTAGGGGGTGCTTAATAGGGGCTAACTATTACCAACCTTTGGGGTAAAAATTATTGGGTAAATCAATTTTAAGGGTCTGCAACCATAATTCTAAATTGAAAATCCTTCTCAATTCTTTTTCACCCAATTGAGTATTTGTAGATTTGGTAGTGAAAGGATTTGGGGGTGAATTTCACCTTGCTACCTTCACTCTAGCACCTGGCCAGAGTTGAAGATACTTGCTGGACTCCTCACTGTCGTAGGGTGGTTCACTTAACCGCTGGTTACGGCTTCCTCCGCCATCAGGTTCATGCATTTAAAACAAATAACTGGCTAACTAATCCCATACCCAACATGGACTGGTAACTGGGTGAGAGGTTATGATTCCCCATATGATTTTTAAAAGCCGTCGTATCGACGTTCCTTTCCCATGGGATAATATGTAAATCCTATTCTGTATTCTGTTCTGTATTCACACCTCATAGGTGCTTGGTGACCTGATTTGCGTACCTTCTTTTCAACACACACTTGGTGATATAAGACCTGTATTAAAATACCATATCTTTTTATCACACATTGAGGACTTACAGTAAGATATAGATGTGTTAGTTAGTGTTCACAAATAGTACCACCCGTGTTACTTGCTGACATTATCTTTGTAGATTCCAGCCCGAGTCCAGGATCTGTGGATTGGAAAGGTTGTGATACTTGCACTGCTCATCATGATACCGGTAAGCAGATTCTTTTATAACATTCATCTTTGTTATATTTTCTTGGTAGCAGGCACTTGTATGCTTAAAGATATGATCACTAAATTTCCTAAAGCTTGGGAATCAATGTTGCTTTATATATCTGATAACTCAAACCTTGAATGGTTCAGCTTTGGAATATCTTCAGGTTTTATGACTTCATAATTTTGAACAATGCTGTTGACATGGAAACACATAACAAGTTTAGGAACATTACAAATCATATTACGCAACCAATAATTAATAACATTTATTTCTTGGAATTGAGACTTGTGAGTCAAAATTTCATATTTCCCCAAGTTAAAAGACAAAGATATTCGAGATTTAATAATTTTAAATGCGATTTTCTGAACTTCACCATAATGTTGGAAATTCGTGTTGTGTTTGAAAAACAAAGTATTCAAAACTTATTATAGAGTTATAATTCCCTAGAACATTTCACTGAGAATCTGAACTACTAGCCTACATATGTATATGGGAGCAAAATTTTTGTGGGAAATTCAAATTGAAACATGTTTACCAGAGTTTTAACCCTTTTTTTCCGCTGTATACAATCGACTTTATGTACCATTTTATAATATGCAATGACCAGTTAACCAAACGTACAAGGAACACCCCCAATATCTCTTTAAAAAGCTTATTTTCGCGTCTTCCTACTAAAACGCGCCCAAATGACGTAGGCGGAACTGTTCGACCCTACGCGTGTAAGAAGAGAGAAATTTCAAAAAATTTTGAGAGAACGTTTGACACTCTTATCGCTTCGATGAACACGTGTTACAAAGAAACGAAATTCCAAGCGCTCTTCTGAAAGAGGGTTACGTCACCTTTGCAGAAAAACCAGACTCAGCTTCGCAAGCGAAGCGAAATAATCAATGATATGTGAGAGCATGTCCACGATAGTTGTCTGGAATCTTTGTTTGTTTATTATGTGCGCGAAATTGTTTCCCGCTCGTTCAAATGACTTATTTTTGAAGTAATGACAAATACTTTCGTGTATCTCTAAGCTTTGAAATGCCTACACAAATAAAATTCACTTAGTAGTAAAATAAAAAATTTACAAAAAAACAAAATGTTGACAGATCAAGCACGGATCATAGTTGGATGCTCAAAATGATTTAGTTAGTGCGGAATACTTCACAAAACATGAACATAAACGTAAAATAGTCCGAAAATAACTATTATGACCAAGGATGGTAATACGAATATATAAGTTATACGGAACAAAAGAGTTAACAATAAAAATAAAACTTTATCGAAGGGATTATACAATATTAGAGTAGAGATTGAAAGCAGGACTCATGATAGAATTGATGGGCCCAACATCAAGATTCACTCTGTATATTTTTATTCCATCTCGTTTCTAAACCTATTATCTGTATGACTTTAAAATCATAACAACACACATGAATCATCCCATAGAGAAATGAATTGAAATCACCCTGTTTATTGATGATGATGGAGAAGAATTAGAGATTTCGACCTTGCTTTTATATTTTCACCTAGATCTTGCCAACTCAAGAAAGAACAGTGAAGGCCCAAGAAATGCAGAAGTTGCTTCAATACCGAGTGTCACTGATCTATCGATACCAGAAAGATATCAACCTATCTCTGCTTCATTTGATCTGATCAAATCTCCAAGCAGAAGTATGAAATGATCAATAATTCAGCCATGCACATAAAATATTTAAAAGTGCTTTTGCAGTTTCACTTTTTTCATTATTGTTTTCAGTTTTTTCTACAAGTCAACTATAGGCCTCCATGTTAATTATTACATGCACAACTCGTGAGAAGCGTATGATATTGTGCACGTATGAATAACCTGGTAGAAAGCACTTGCTTCTATATTCTGTGACAGGCTTCTTTGTCAATAATAGACTACCAGTTTGGCACATAACCAAAGGTATGAATTTTTTCATACGTCTGTTATCCATGATTTTCGCTCCGAACCAGACCTATGCATGCACCACTGATTTGTAAGTAGCTCCTTGGCAGGACCGGAATCTTACCCGATTCAGCATTTACTACACAATTTATTACATCCTGATTTATTTTACGGAAATTATATACAGATACTTTCTTTGAAAGGTCATTTAATGGCGCTCCAGAATTGTGTGTACCAATATGGAGGTAACTAATTTTGTTCGCCTACTTTACATCAAGTTGTGTAAAGGGACTGAAACCTATGGGCAGGGGGTATATTCACTTGGCTAACACAAACAGTCCTTGAACGGGTAATAGAACTAAAATAAGGAAAATTGGAACAACATTATGGCCTAACCCTAACCTGGTACAGATGCTACGGGAGTACCCGTTTAATTACCTTTCACTGAACTGTACAAAGTTTGTCACTGTGTACATCCTTATCTTAATAAGAATTAAGCATACTGATGAAAACGCTCTTTTTTTTCAGACCGACGACAGACCAATGATGAACAGAATGGCCAGGTTGAGGAAAGCTGTAACACTGTATTGTCCTATGTTGTTTCTGGATTGGAAGTTCTGGTGCCTTGTTATAGGGTGAGTTGATTACTGTTTCTTCTAATACCAAATTGGAAATAAGGATTCAGCTTCATAAACTTTTCACTGAGAATTGCCGTTTTGTGGAACTTTACAAATCAATTTAATCAGAAATTTTTTTTTTAAATTGTGAAATTTGATGTTCTTTCAGTCAACAGCATAAATTTGGTATTATAGATTCATGAATTTGAAGGCAGATATCTATAATAGGCGAAAAAATTGTATATTGAGGTACTTAACCCCACCTTTACTGCATTTTGTTGACTGTATCAATGATTTGGCAGTTCTATTGCACAGTTATATAGTATTATTTAATGTCAGATATTACAAAATCACCCTTTCCAAACTCTCGTGATGTCTTATCCATTATCTTTTCTTGTTTTCATACTACTGTTAATTTACTCTTTAGCTTGAATGGCAACAGAGTCTTCTATGTCAATTGATAAGGAATGCAGCACTTGCATATTTTCGATTAGCAGAACAGGCAAGTAATCTAGGAAAATTTGGAAGAGCGTTGAGAAGATCAAAGCTCGCTTTGCAAAGTTATGGTGAGTATTAAATACTCACTTCCAAAAAATTTCAGAGTAGTCATAAACAATCGTCTTATTTGTTCTATTTTTGAAGCAATTTTTATTCTCTCATCACTTTAGGTTCATTATTTTAATGTGTGTTTGCTCCCAACAATATCCTTCTCCCTCTAAAGTAAAAAGTTCACTTAAGTATTTCAAGCAACCAATGGTATGCTAAGAGCTATATAGATTTATCTTTGCGACTAATGTTCAGGTTTTTGTTTTAAATACTGTTCTCGTTCTGTCATATTCTGGATGTATAGTATTCAATGAAAAACAAGGATGAACAAAACCCAATAAAAAAAAACTATGTTATTTGATGACTCTGATGTATTTGCTGCTTTGTATTTAAAAAATATTCTGTTGTTTAATAAATAAACGAGTAGCTCGTGAAGCTCATAGCTTTCTCTCACAGAGTGCTGGGGGTTTGTATGGAGCACCGTTTAAGAACCTATGTTCTGAAATCTAAAGTAATGTTTTCATATATGGAATATTGAACTATGAACATAATTGAAATTGCATCATGTGCAATAGAGTATTACATTTAATTGAGAGGTTAAATTTAAACAATGATGTGACTGTCTCCCTATTTTTTTTATAGTTTCCAAATGGTCATTCTGTGATATTGCCTGACAGCTGCCTGAAATAATGAATTTCTTGAATTCATCCTAAGTTATTCCTGAATATAATATTTTGAAATATCTAATGAATTAATTTTGAAAAAATTCAGTTTTTTACCATGACTGATGCCAAGAGATAAATATAAAAAGTGACAAACACGCATTTATTTACTGCACAAAATCTTAATTCTATGGTATTCCATATTTTTCAGAAACGTTTGACTACTTGTCTGGTGACATTTGGAATCCAAATAATAACACAGAACGTCGACCTCCAGATTTTCACTTGTTATTACCCAGAATGTTATCACTGTGCGGAGAAATTCAATTCTCATTAGTGGAAGATATAAAGTAAGTTTTGATGAGGAATTTGGGACCGTGTCTTGTATAGAAAAGGCTATTTTCATCAAGGATTTCATTTATTAACTTCTGATTTTTTAAAGCCAATCATATTGTGTTCAACGTAATCTCTGCTGTTAAATATTTACCAATACTTTTACTCATTATATTAAATAATTCTGAAATTTACAATCTTTAACTGGTTCCAAAATTGGCACACTATCAATTGAATTTATCAAATATGATCGAATATGCATAATATTTTGTACAAATTCTCGCAAAAAGAAACTTCTTCTGGGCTGTAGCAATCTTCAAGCAGGTCACACCATGTTCTTAAACATAGAATATGTTAGGATACAGGGAGGATATGATAGGATTCTCACATTCAGCATATGTGTGGAGAGGAAAGGTAATAAGATAAGGAGATCTTGTCCAGTTATCAGTCTATGTCAGGTATGAGAATAGGTAACTACCGGTAGTTTAGTGACTAGTTTAAAAAACATCACACATGTATTCATTTTTATCCACCTTGATCATCTCCATGTTGACTATGCATGGCATTTTGATCGCAATCAATAATTTTCTATCACTTTTTTAGTAGACTAACATTGAGACTAAATTTTGTCTTTTAGATCTCATGGAGCAGTTAGTTTATCTCACATTGAAGAACTGAATTCATTGACGGAAAATGATGAAAAAATAAGAAGTGGTTTGAGCAGAGTTCTGCCTACAGGTATTATTATTTCTTATTCAAAATTATGATTCAAAATTATCTCGGATTTAAAGTTTAAATAGAACAGGGTACTAACAGACATGAGCAGAGGAATTTTCCTTTATATTGAGAAATGGATAATTAGATGACTCATGGTAATGGCTATCCAGAGTGTCGTCTGTTTTTATTATTGTTGTTAATTGTCTCAGATTTTCCAGCCAGTTTTATCTGTGCTTCAAAAGTATCTCTTGTGCCAGGCATATTGTGTCCAGCCTGAGAAAACGATCATTTGCATTCTTGAATCTTCTGGGGGAGAATTATTTGAGGGTATTTCTCAAATCACACTGTCGCAGTGCAGTTTACTCAACCACAAGTTACAGATTTTCCCGCCTAAGTCTATGTATTTGGAACAATTGGGTGATTACCTTGCCCAGACCCCATTTGATTGGTAACATAATGGGAAGTGATTAGGGTTTTGAACTTCATTTCATTTTTCCTGGGTAGATATAATAGTAATCTTTCTATATTCTAATATTTTACTTTAACAGAAGGAAAATATTCTATGATGACACAAATGTCCAGTGAAATTGATCAAGCGTTACTCAACTGTTCCCGATGTTATGAAACTGCACTTAATGTCATGAGAGAATTTGGTCCGATAAATAAAGATGGAACAATGAGAGATTCCGCCAAGAATTCTTCAAGATCAGGTAACCGATATACTATTTCATAAATTTATAATACAAAATTTTTTATATTATCATTTTTAGTATGCGCATGTGGTGCACATTTAAATATTTGTTGGTGTTTAGGTTCACGTTTTGTTAATATTTTGGGTATTTTGGACTACATAGTTACGAATTAAAATAATTATCATTGTTCATTACTCGAACAAATCACTAGTCGAACACCAATCCGGAACAAATTATGTTTGATTCCCGAATGTATATATCTCAGTATTAGGTAATTAATATAATAATTAGTAGTTTGCGCTAGAAGCAAAGTAGTAACTTTGTTGGTTTGACAACTTGAGTTTCCCTAAAACATTTTATTGCCCTGTCCAATTTATGCATGCTTATTCCTCTGGCAATAATTAGACATATAAACGTGTTGACAATTGTTAATGTTGAGGACAGGAAGTATGTACAAGACCATACTCTCCTAAAACACAAATGTGAGGCATGTGCCTTCTTTGATAAATAATAAAAATCAAAAAAGGTTTAATTTAAATAGGTATAATATGATCACTTATACAGGCAGTTAGATGTGCAAGGTAAGGGGATTGGTGGAGTATGCAATTAATACAAAACTGTTAGTACAAGAGAGTTTTCAAGACTCTATTTGCCTTAGTCAGCTTGGCAATATATTTTTAATAGAATTTTTCTTTTCTGTTCACTCTCATTTAGAAAATTGATCAATTTGGCAGTGGCAACCATTATAAAATTATTAATATAGTTTGGCAAGTAATTTGTATTTTATTTATTATTTATTTTTGTTTATGATTTCTCGGTGATTGTATGTGTGTGAGCGTGTGAGAAATAATTCAATTATTTTAGGTGAGTGAACACCTACCACTGATTTCATAATCTGTTTTTATTATTTGTTTTATCAATCGTTTTATTGCCTGTTATGCTGATTATGGAGTCGAAAAAAACTTATACTTTATACAAGACAATACCTATACATCTATAATCTGACATCTATATAACATTAATAAATAAATAAATGATCGACGATTGCGTGTTATAATACGTCAGATATAATTTACAAAACTAGAATGTATTAATAGCCAGTTGTCAGCATTTTCTTCTTGTTATTAACAGGCGGTAAATCTCTGTCTAATAAATAGTACGATAAATTCCCTCGAACTGCGTGGGTCTTTTCTATTCGCGTGTAATTAATTCTATATTTATTTCATTTAATATTTGATGACGTGAAGCTTACTACATCACTAGATAGAACTTAATAAGAGTCTTAAATTGAAAACAGTTCCGGTGAAATATTGTAACAGTATCATAATTGATATGTCATAACGAAATTACAGCAGAAAATGGCCGAACAAAAAAATCACCGAGCGTCTGCTCGAAAAAATTGTCAAATTTATCTGCCTTTAGAGGTAAAATAGCTGACCTGTAATTCTGGTGATGATAGTGTGTTGTTAGGTCAAAGTATATAAATCGATTCACTATAGGATTATTACCAAACCAACCACAGAAGCAGGATAATATCTCGCAACTTATTGTCAATTTTTCGGCCTGTTTTATGACGGCCGACGCTGGAATTTTTCCATGTTGATAATAATCGTTCAAGTGTTTATTAAATCCTTGGCTTCAAAATGAAAGAAAGCGGGACTGAAAGGAGAGAATAGAAGAAACCAGTTTGGACAGAAAGCGCGTCGCGAGAATAAATTCGAGAGTGAGATAAAAGAAGAGAATAATATTTCTCACACGTCGATTACATCTCGTGACTCGCACCACAACAGTTAGCATAAACGCTTGGTCCTAGGACCTACAAATTCGCTGCAAAACTCATACTTACCTGACGAGGCAGTCAACCGCGATCACGCAGGCGGTTCTGCCTAGGCGAGGCTTGGCCATTGCACTTGGGCCAGGTTGACCCTAGCGATTATCCCAAATGTGGATAACTCGGTCGTGTAATTTCTGTTAGTGGGGACTGCGTTCGCGCTATCCCCTTCCAATACCTAATATTAACTCCTTTACTAGCTCCCTCTGTGATTCGACTTTATTAATGAAGTGCGTAACATGAGGTTTACTATCGTTCAACGATTACCGTGACAGAAACATTGAAACACACAAAAACTTTTATGCAATGATAGTTGCATGTTGCATAGAAGCGAATTACAAATGTCGAAACGAGGTGCAAGTTTCAATTAACATATTGCCGTGCAGAAGAGACTCAGGCATACTTTATTCTGTGTTCAGAACTGGTCCAAATCCGAAATTAATCAACGCACTTGCCTTATCATTCTCTTCTTTTCTTATATCACTCCCGGGTTCTCTACTTCAAGCATGCAACTTCTATATTAATAAACTCTTATAATTAAAAAGGTTTCTGAACAATTACAACGCAATGTACATCGATAACCTATATTTACAGATTCATGTGTATTTCTCGAAAGTACAACGTAATCATAACGGAACCTAATCATAACATTTTAACCTGTTTTCGATTCACGTTGTTGTGTAGTTGTTGTTGAGCGATTTATTTTGAACAATTTGTAACGTAAAAACTTTAATTAACTATTAGTGAGACAAACATAATCCCGGTATATAATTTACCCATAATTAGCGCAAATTTAAACATTGACGCTTCGAAAGCACAGCAAATTGCAGTGTTTTTGCGGCCTGATGTAATGTTCGACGAATTGTCGAAATTTATTGAATCTCAAAATTTGACGAATCCTTATTTTCGTTTCTAGTTTTTATTTTGAATCTCGTTCGAAGTTTTAGCAACTATTCTGAATTTTCGCCGTATGTGTTTGATTTATGTTGTAATTATTTTACATCAGGGCAGAGTTCAATGCAAATTATTTCACCTATTTTATCATTTCGTTATCACAGCCAAAGACGGCCGAGGAAAAGGAAAGGGGAAATCAAAACGAACCAATGAACCTCTGCCACAACCATCAACAACGCCAAATTCGACGCCACCCACTCAAAATCCCACGAATCCAACGCAAAAACAAGCGGAATTAATATGGGCGCTCAGAACCGTTCTCACTCGACGTCACGGCCACTGTGTCAATGAACTTGGAGCCAGTGCATTGAACCGGGCAGTCTCGATGATTAGTAGTAGTGAACCATCTGCAGGTGATAATGGTAAGGAAATTGATGGGTATTATTGAATCAATTCGAGCCAGAATTAAAACAAAGTTGTTGATTGGGTTTCCACGAAACGTAATACTTCTAATAGTCTTTTCCGTTGGTAAATCGGTATGCATATAATGCAAGGATGCTATACCAAAATTGAAAATGACTATTTCGAGTGATTCGAGAATTATATTTCTGTAACGTTTTGTATGGCCGCGGTCAGACTTCTTCAGACAAGCATAATTCAACTACTGAAATAAATTTGTGTTGGTGTGAAACAAAATTCTTGATTCACTTAGACATTGTGGCAATTTCGTAATTTAAAAAATTATATTAATTATATATTTTCCTATTATCTGTTATCCGTCACATGATATTTTTTACTATTCAGATACTTCTAATAAAAAGATCTGGGATTGTTGGAACGAAGCAAAAGCTCATTTTGAAGCTGCGCATTTGTCTTTTGCACAAGTGAATGATATCATCAATGAGGTGATTATTTTTCTCATTATTTAGCCAGTGGCATTGGCTGCTTGTATAGGGTTTTGTTCAGAGCGAGAAGAAATAAAAATTCAATTTTCAATAGGATTGCGCTATCTTTAAGGTTTCTGCTGGACCAATTACTTATTCCCTGCTAACCTTTGTGCTGTTGAATCTGTATAAATACCGACCCCTTGTCAACTGCAACAAGCCGAAATATATTTTTGTAATCTGTCACATGCATTTATATTAATTTTCTTTTATGTAGGCGCTTGTTCTATCCAACATGGGGCGTCTCATGCGCGTGTCTGCGCAATTTTACTCTAATAATGAACAAGGACAATTGTCAAAGCAAGAACGGCAGTGCTTTTTTTCTGCCATCGAAAAGTATGGAAAGGTAGGTTGCCCAATAAGTAAATTCCTTGGCTTGACAGTCTAGCGTTAATGTAAGATATTATCTTTTATAATCGAAAATTCCTCTACTAAAACTTGTATTTTATGTAACTTTTTGTCAAAGATATTAAAAACTGCCAACACCACTGAATCGCACGAGCGCGATTTGGAAATACAAATATAATCTAAAAATACAGAAGTTTAAATCTCGTTTTTGCGTTTGCGTAGTTCCAGCGATACGCGAGCAGTTTCTGTTGCAGTCAGCTGTTTGCCATTGATTTTTGAAAATGCGCTTGCTTGCCTCGCTTATTTTGAAACGTTCGACAAACGTTTTTGAATAATTCTCTCAAAAACGAGAGAAACCAAAATTACGAGAGAATGTAGAAAACAAATGAGGCGTTGCAGAAACGAGAGAATGTAGGAAATAAATGAAGCGTTGCAGAAACGAGAGAATTGGTCATTTTATTACGCAAGGCGACGTCGATACGAACTTTCTCGAGCCACCACAAATGGTAGTTTTCTTCAATACTACTACACAAAATTGTGCAAGTTATTTCGTTAGCTTTGCGCAGTGGCAGTATCGTAACCAATGAGGTTTATCCGAGGTGCGATTATTGCTAGTTGAAAACTATTACCAATACCCCGCCCTGGTGATACAAACGTGTCGCCTGTGGCAATTTCTGAAGGGTTGTACGCAACCTATCTAAGTAATTCATTCCTTGCTTTCTTTCCCTTCCTCCCTGCTTTTACCCCATTGACGGTCCTAAAGTAAAGCGGCTGAATGTCCGATCATGCATTTAATACGTCTCTTGACAACAATTCCAACAGATTTGATCACTTTATGTTCTGAAATGCAGATAATCAGTTATCTAATCTGAAATAGATTGATTGATTTGCAATGCTCAAAAATTATCCTATAACATACAGTTTGGAAATTAGGGTTTCATACTAACTTATTTTCTGTATGAGAGACATTGTTTAAGAGTTACAAATCTAATTTTTTATTTTATTCTCTGCCTTGAAAGTGGATAGATATGCTCACACTAGCAAGAAATTCACTTTTAAGAAAATTGTTGTAATAGTGTAATGACAAACCACAAGCTGTTTACATTCAATCCGAATTGCGAGGGTCTGTTTTAAGCGCTTAGTTTAATCATTTCTGTCACATTCAGCGCTTCAAAAGTATGTGCACCAATATGGACGTATTTAATTTTGTTCGCCTACTTTATATCAAGTTGTGTAAAGGGATGGAAGCCATTCACTTGGATAACACAAACAGTCACCGAACTTGTAATAGAACTAAAATGAGGAAAATTGGAATGAAATTTTGGCCTAACCCTAACCTGGTACACATACTATGGAAGTACCCAACGTTCAATGCTTTATAGAAGTGTCAAGTGTGTATGTTTATGCACTTTTGTATTACTATATTTCTGTGTTACCAGAAAAAATTGAAAGGTTTTGTTTTACAGGCTCTTTCTATACTTGGTCCCAAAGACTCAAAACATGCATCCTGTCCTATTCGATCAGACACCGGAGTTTCAACATGTACTGCTGTGTATGACAATATATCTTGGGAATTGAGCAGTTCTTATTTCAACATGGCGCAGATATTGCAAGAAAATGCACCTGAAGATCAACAAGCAAGTGAAGAAGCAGAAAAAGAAGTAGGTGACGATTTTGATTGTTTTCCCATCAGGTTTCAATCAATTTATTTTATTTGGGTCGCTCTAGCAAATCAACATAACAATAACAAACGGACAAACAAAATGGCAGAATTACCTGGCTCGAATATACCTTGGGATAGATAAAAAGTGAAGGAAAATTTTTTTGTTGGTATTTTGCACAAATTTGCGGAAATGTTTGAGAGATTGATGCATTTTTCGTTCAACACAATTTTATTAACTGCCACTACTCAACCTGACTATATCTTTTTTGCAATGGCTGTATATATTTATGCATTTAACTATTTGGTCGAGTGTTTCTCAAATTGTCCACGCCTTGATTAACCAACCAGATTAATCACCACAAAATGAAGTTTAGCATTGAGTGTGTCTAAAAAAGAAAAAGCTATTTATTTATGAGTTTAAAACAAACATTCACAAACCGTTATTACTACTGTATTGCTGATTTTCAGTTTCCATAATTCATGCCTAAATGTTGTTTAATCTTTAAGTTTGTTGTGGGGTAACACTAATATTTCAATTTGTATTATTTTTCCTTAAGATTATATCATGGATGAACAACTCATTGAAATACTGCAAATATATTTGGGAGAAAACTCCGAAACAGTCTGTCGCGCTGTACAGGCAATCCAAAATACATTATAGATTGGCATCTTTGCATCATAATTCATACAGAAATTGTGTAAGTAAATCTGGTATATAACTGATAGTGTTTATTCATGCCATATATTGTTTCGGCCTCGCAAATTTATTAAATGAAGTAAAAATACTTGAACAATTACTGATTAAAAAACAACAAACCTGGTCAGAACTGACTTAATAACAAAATTGAAATTGTAAGGGGACTTTATCAACACCCTGTATATGTACAGAGTGTTGTTTCCATCACATGCTAAAATTTTTAAACTGCAAAGGGGATTTATCAATACCATATATAGTTTTTGTTGACCCCTACAGATGTATTGAATGAAGCGAAATATATAAAATAAACAGTGATAAAATAAAATCAGACTACATTAAGAGATATTGAAAACTGACTTCATAACAAAATTGAAATTGTGAGGGGACTTTATGGACACCCTGTATATATATTGGCAAATGGTAAAGTTCCACATTGCAATTTAGCAAAATTGTGATTTGAGTTTATGTGGTACTGAATAATTCACCAAATGATCAATTGAGTTTTTTACAATGTGGCGGCAATTATTTTTCAAATACACAAGGTCAAAGCTTCCTTTATTTCCAGCATATTCAGACAAATAGGCTCTGTGCCCTGCTTGTAAAATATTCAAAAATAATTTGAAACATACCATTGTTATATGTATTTTCATGACTAAAGAAGCTTTTTGGAATCGGCAGTAACATACTTTTCTGTCAAAAAAATTTTGATTCAACTTATTTACCAGTTTATCAGTATAAACTTGTTTGTGCTTTTCAGACCGACGCTCACAGATGTAAACAACTACGAAATCTGGCTGAGAAGAATTACAATAAGTCTATTGCAATATTAGAAGCATTGGATGAACATCCGTATGAAATGCTGAGAGTGCAACTTGAAAGAATGGCATTGAAGGAACATCAGATTACTTGTAAGTCTAATGCCAAGCAGTAGTAATAATCACTAATAATCGATGTTAGTTGGCTAATTTGCAAAATTCTTCTGGTATTTGCCATTAATATCAGTAATTTTGAAACTCTCCTCTCCAATTTGTCGAAATGCTCTGATGACTAGTTTTGGTTCCCCGCGGCTTCCATTCCACAATAATGTAATATCATTTTTTTCATAATTTTTCGCATGGTTTTTGTCGTTTGGAAAAAATAAACTTGACTTGACACACTAATGCATAATTCTATATTATATACTTTCTGTAGCTTTTAGTACTTCATTGGATGCTCGTACCTTTGCTCAGAAATTAGTTTACTGCACATGACCTTGAGCAAATACGTTTTTTTAATTTAATAACTATAAGTTAGTATAGTAAGTTTATTTCGAATCCATAAGCGGCATAACAGACAATAAATGAATTTAGAAGATTTACATGTGGTTTTGGTTCATATTAATTTTACCTGGAAATTTGTAACAGAAGCCAGATTCCACAATGCTTTTGATATATCAAATATTGTTACATTGACAATGCCACAGTTCGTTAGAATGGGTAGGTTTGATTTCACTTTTAGCTGCGATATTTGATATCTGTAAACAAATTTTGTTATATTTAGTTTAATGCAAAAAATTTACATCAGCATTCCAATATTATCCTAACTAATATTTTGACAACCTTGATTATCTTTAGCTCTGAACAGCGTAAATCAGAAGTTGAAGTTGTTGTTTGAAGGACTGCATGTCGTGCTTGAATGTGAGAAACCTCTTCGACGTGTTGAAAAATCTACAAAGGTAGGGTGTGATTTTGCTTTAGTCTAATTATTGTAAATTGCTTGAGCATATTACAAACTCACCGCGGACCAAGCCGAAACAGAATTCATAATCAGAATTTCGCACATCTAATGGTAATTGAAGTCACAATTCTTGATGGAAAATAAATCGATGACAAGAATGACTGAGTATTCTCAACATGTAAAAAACAGGCTGGAATTAGACTTTTCTCATAGTCAAGCTGAAGTCAAAATTTTTGTCAGTCTTAAGACAGAGCTGGAGTCGTTTTCCTGTCTATACATAATTATATAGTTCGGCAAAATAATATGGTGCTCACCGACAATAATTATAGTTCTGTAAATTAGATATTAGAACCTTGGGTGTCACTGCCCGATAACTAGCTTTAGTTCCCCGCGACTTCCCTTTCTCAGTAAAATTGTATGATTATCTTTCTTTTTCTGAATGTTGTATGCGATTATTTTTTGCTGGTTGAATAAAATAAACTTGACCTGAGTATGGCCATGCATGGGAAAGCACATTTTGCCTGACGGTGTCAGGTGGAAGTCTTAAAATCCCAGATTGTGGCATGCATGAGTCATCCAAGTATCAAGTCCAGTTCCAATTTGAATCACTGAGCTAATCACTGCGATTATTTGAGTTAGAGTAATCTATTCCTATCGATTTCTAAGCTAAGACTGAGAGCAAATTTTGTGAGAGGAGATTCATAATTGATGCTATTGTAAAAATTGTTTTTTCAATTTCAGGTTGCAACAAAAGATTCTCTTTCATCACAAGTGGACAGTAGAGAGCAGCTTAACAATTCAGAAATTGATCCTTCAAATATCAGTGAAATGCTTGGCTTACTTGGTATCCTGGCAACAATTCTTCGGTCTTTTTTACTTTTAATTGTCAGATTTATGAAAATAACAGGATATGAACACGAGACTTCATTTGTCAGAAGAAGGTAAAGTAATGATTAGTGACCTCCACTTGGAACTTTTAAAAATTAAATTTACTATCGTGCACAATAGATGGTAGTCCCGTAGTGTGTGTACCAGGTTAAGGTTAGGCCCTAATTTTACTCCGATTTTCTTTATTTTAGTTCTATTACGAGTTCGGGGACTGTCTGTGTTAGCCAAGTGAATATACCCTCTGCCCATAGGTTTCAGTCCTTTTACACAACTTGATGTAAAGTAGGCGAACAAAATTAGTTACTTCCATATTGGTACACACACTTCTGGAGCGCCAATAGATGACTCATTCTCAATATCAACAAAATGTAAAAAGTTTTCGACGTGTATGTGTTTTAGGTCTATGATCTCTTGTAGCAAAATATTTCATGGAGTTCAATTTACTTCCTATTTACAATTTGCAAATCGTAAGGTTCATGAAATAATAGTGATTCATATAATTTATTTGATACTAATCTTTGTAGATAGACAGATAAGATGGATAATAAATGGATACTTGAATAATTAAATTTATTCAAGAATAGTAGCATTAGTTGGTTTAAATTTGGAAGATTCTTGATGGGCAGGGCATTCATTTATATATAAATTTTCCCAGATGCGTTTGGGAGCTGCGGCAACCAAAGGAATTATTATCGATGGATATTTTCTTTGTTATTTAACAGACAATCACCTGGGAAATTAAGTCAACAGAATTTCAAAGAACTTTACAGCAGAACCTTGCGTTCATTGCAACAGATAAACGTTCCAGAAGAAGAAGACTCGAGTATTGATGGAAGCCATCTTGTTTTGCAGGAAAATGTTTCTACTGTGTTAAATGTTTTGAAAGATATTTCAGAAGTGTTAGGAAAATAGTTTGATCATTTTTTTTAAGGTGGGGGATGTATGATGAAAGAGGTACTTGTGAAGTATGCGTGCGTACCAAGATGACGGACTCTGGACTGTAGTATGTGTACCAAGTTGATTCCAATTTTCCTTATTTTAGTTCTATTACGAGTTCAGGGACTAGCCAAGTGACTCCTGTAGTATTTGTACCTCAAATTATGGTCTAAGCCTAACCTTGGTTCGCATACTTCAGGAGCACCAAGAAAGCTACATTTAAAATGAGAAATTTGGCCACTATTATTTTTACAAACGGGTTATCAATTAAATCACGGGACTGACAGTATCGCTCTTTCTTGTTTTGTAGTTCCAATCATATCTTTCACTAAATTCGAATTAGGTTACTTCTATGGTTGGAATAGGCAATTTCTGAACTGCCAACAAGAATCAGCCAGCACTGCTCTTCCTATTTAGAAATTTTAGTCGTTTAATCGGAGCTAGTTGTTCCAACTTCGAGACGGAATTGTGCAATTTCTACAATATTTTATTAAATGAATTCAATTTTAGTTTTTTTGATCTGTGGTTAATGATCTCAAATGTCACCCATTTAATCAGCCGAATGGAATTTCTTTCCAATATTTCGTTGCGTGTTGTTCGAGCATTTATCGTGTCTGTATTATATCAATAAATTATCTAATTCTTTGTAATATTTCATCTGATATATATACTGATTTAGTTATGTATCATCCTATGACGACTATTTGCTACTAGCCGATTCTGCCAAAGGAGCCACCGTCGTATTGTATTGAAGTGATACCTTTATATTATAACCATACCTGTGTTTAGAATAGACTCAAGAATGATATTACCTAGCTGTACATCGGTACCGGTATACTGGTACCACAATGCGGCTGATATGGCAAATTGCATCTCCCGTGGGCAATTCTGGTCAGAACGGAAATTTGTTATTTTTGTATGAGTCGAAATAGAAGATGCTGAAGTGATGTCCAAGTCCATGCTCACTAAAACAAATAACTAATCCCATTACCGACATGGAATGGTAACCTGACGAAAGGCCGTGGTGCGCCATATTATTAAGCTGTCTTGTCGGTTTTCTCCTCTCCCGGGATAAATATTCAAATCCTATCCTAATTGCCTTTTATATTGGAGTAACATTCCAAACTTTTGTTTGTTACTGATACATTACGGTCATTCGGTGTGGCACAACGGGCTAAGCGTTAGCAATACGCTCGCCACCGCACCTCTAATTACACTGCGTGGGTTTGCAGGTTCGAATCCCATGCAGGGATGGTTATGTGCGAGAGGATTGCTGGACTCCTCGCCGTCGTTTGGTGGTGGTTCACGTACCCGCTGGTCGGTTACGGCTTCCTCCACCACCAAGTCCATGCTTTCGAAAACAAACAATATAACTAATCCCATACCCGATTTGGAATGGTAACCGGACGAGAGGCCTTGGTTCGCCATATGGATATGCCGTCTTATCGGCTTTCCTCTCCCCCGGGATAAATATGTAAATCCTATCCTATCCAATAAGGAGGACCAATCTATCATTTTATTACGGCCTGTAAGAAAACTTGTTCGATCTTATAAGATAAGATTTTATTTATGCTGAAAAGGCTTCTTTCGTATGCTGCGAGGAAGCATATTTGCATATTTCTATAATGCTTCCTAATTGTAACACGGCGCTCTAGGGAGCCAAAGGATCTATTGTAAAATCGCACTGACTTTGGAGTTTCTATCCCATTGTTCTTGTCAATCGATTAATTGAATGATACGGCAACGCTATGCTAATTTTGAAAGGTGGTATCAGTGCTTTAGGGAAATATTCAGGAAATCTATACCGAATATGGGCATGGCGAAAAAGTGTTGTTGAGACAGAAATAGCTCTTTTTTAGCTACAGCGCAAATCGCAGTCTGAGGAGACAGCAAAAGCATATTATCTAAAGAATCTATAGACTCCGTGATGAACTAAAAGTTTTGTATATTTTCAAGATTTTTTCGAGCGCCTTGTGAAAATTTGAGCCTAATGCCAACATATCTGAGCTTATCATATGGCAGGGGTGTGGTAAAACTTTTATCCATAATATTTCTATGCAATGAACTGGCGATATCTTGCTTTATGGTAATTGGGATACCGTCAGAATTTTTTTGCTAAATTGGACAGGACAATTTATCGAAAATGAGTAAGAATTCCCATCAACAAGAATGAGTCAATGTAGGCTCGTTGCTATTTTTTTGCTTGACGTAACTTATTTTATAGATTTAACAGAATTTGGTCCTGGAGTTTTAGATAAAGTAGAAACATGTACCTGGAAGCGTAAGTGATAACTTCTCATAATTATAACCTTTGTATGAAATTCACAACATTATTAATTTATATATATTTAATTACTTGCGAATATGGGCTAAAATTTGACCAAACGTTCTATTATCAGCTATCAATAAAACGTTTTGCCCATTCCGTAGACTGTAGAGGAAACAGAAACTGCTCTAAATCGAAAATTAGTTGAATGGTATGAAATAACGTTACTCGACAAATAAAGCAATTTTAGTTGTAGAGCAACCCTAGCGCAAGATAAACAAGTATAAATGTCTTTTTTTGCAAAATGGCACTAATTTTAACCTATTTTCGTTTTTAAAAGCATTAGAATTATATAGAATAGAATTTCATTGTGCCTAAACGTTCTCGCGGTTTCTACAAGATGTGGTTTCTACAAATAACCCAAAATATTTCAGTCAATGATAGCGATTCATTCTACAACAAAAACAAAGTATATAGAAAATGGCTGGCGGCTGTGATTTTTTCGTCTTTCACAATGTTATTAAACATCTACGTCTTGGTCGTAACTTTGATTCATGAATGGAAAGTACAAAAAGAAAACAGTGAAATCATGGACCGAATTCGTCAGGAGGATCGATATTCAAGAATGAAAAAACATATAGCCATTGACGTTATGAGATACTTAATCATTACGTTTCTATTTTTGTTCGTTGTACTGGGATGTCTTGATTTTATTGAATTACGTTATTCTTTTGACGATGAAGTGGATATATGCAGAAACCTGCGATATGTGAAGCATGTTTTAATCGGTATTTGTGTCTCTGTACCGTATCTGATTTACTGGATGCGTCAAAGACAATTTTACAAGTCAGATTTACTAGAGCCACTATGCAACAAATTTATGCGAACATTGAGTTGGCTAGTCTTAGCTTTTATGATCATTAGTTTGCTTACGGGTTTACTAATAATGATTATTCGTGGCGAATATAGGAATTCCTTACTTGGCTGCAAACGTGAAAAGAAATATTCGATCCTCATATTGCTGTTGCGAATCGCTTCTATGTATATCGTTATGGCAATTTTCCAATTTTCTTTACTTTTTCTTTTTGTTTATCCTTTGTGGAAATTTAGAAACAATCATAATGCACATTCCAGGAGATTATTAAAACGGATTAAACGGTCTTCGATTGCTACAGCAATAACGATCTTTGCAATGATGATTGGTTCTTTAATCTCTTTTATATACAATTCGTACTTTCACCTGATAATTTTTGATTCACTTATATTGAAATTCGTGATCCTAGTTGTTACTATCTGTGTCATAGCTTCTTTCGATGAATGGAAACTAAGGCTGTTTCCCTTTGCTCATCACGTAACTTTAGTCCAAGCTACAATCTCTGATCGGCCTCACAGTCATTCTTATCACCATACTACTATTCTCGGATGAATACACAAAATATTAATTGTCTTTGAGACTGCCTTACGCTGTGATTTGAATAAGAAAAGCTATTATACGAATTTTTTACTTTCGCGCAATTGCATTGTGCCTAATCCTCATTAATTAAAACAGGGGTCCCCGTGACAAAGTTTGAAATTACTGATTTTTTTGCTCTTCTTTTATTAGCCAGAAACTACGAAGAGTAAAAATAAATACACATATATTGTTTTATATGTTGTGCGTATATAGTGAAATTAGGTATCATTTTTGGTACTGCCGAAGTATGTAAACCAAGATGGCGGACACCGGAAAGTAGTGTCCTCTCGTCCGGTTACCAGTTCAGGTCAGGTATGGGATTAGTTAGCCAGTTATTTGTTTTCGGAAGCATGGACTTGAGTACGTGTAACAGGTTAGGGTAGGCCATAATTTCAGGTACAAATATTACGGGAGTCACTTGGCTAGACCCGAACTCGTAATAGAACTAAAATAATGAAAATTGGAATAAAATTATGACCTAACCCTAACCTGGTACACATACTACGTTCCGGTGTCCGCCATCTTGGTTCACATACTTCAGGAGTACCGTTTAAAATATATAGATTTATCTTATAGGCCTACTATAATTTGTCGCTATCCTTCTTTTTACTTGCATTTTTACTTTTCTACGAATAAGAATTTTATTCACCAAACTTAAACCATGAATGGGTCATATATAAAAAGACTACGTGTGTGTAGATCAGTGAATCTTTGCGTCCTTCCTTCGTCTACTTTAAAACTCTTTGTCTCTTCCTCACTAAACAATACTTTGTTTGGCGCTCCAGAAGTATGTGTACCAATATGGAGGTAACTAATTCTGTTCGCCTACTTTACATCAAGTTGTGTGAAGGGACTGAAACTTATAGGCAGGTGGTATATTCATTTGGCTAACAAAAACAGTCCCCAAACTCATAACAAAACTAAAGTGAGAAAAATCGGAAAAAAAAAACAACAACAACTATGGCCTAATTCTAATCTGGTACACAGGCAGGGACCGCACCGGCGCGTTCGTTTCTTCAGTACGATGTGCTATACTTTTTTAAGTCTTCTTTGTCAGATAAAGTGCCACAGTCTTCAAGTTCTGAGGTATTTATTAGCAGTATAATATTAAGTCAATATTGAGTCACAGTCTTCTATTCCTAGTTTTTTTCTTTCTAGTGGCTATTCGCCGACTTATATATTCGACAGCACAGATGGGCCGCCAAAAAGTGTCACATCGTTAACACTCATTTTGCTGTCGCCCCATCTGTTTATTTGATCTAATCAAGGTTGACACTGCAGGCTCCGCTATCGCGGTATTCGCACTATTGAGTTCAGTTATACCAAACGACAATAGAGGGTGGCCCCCAGATACCAGCATACACACTACGGGAGTACCATTAATTCGTCATCTCTCATGAAAATGGCAAAAGTCTAGTTTCAGAGTTTTACCAACATCACAACGTAGCTGCATACTGATAATTACACCAAGAGTACATCAATCAAGATTTATATAGTCAATTTATTCCAAATTGAATCATTCACAAAGCAAAAACTTATCACAATGAGCACACCTCATCATGATATGCAAGCATTATTTTTGAAAAAGTCCTGCTTGTTTCAACTTTATTGCGTTGTAACGTCTGCTCTGTCTTTGAAATTTTATCGTTACTTTAGGCGCTTCAGAAGTGTGTGTACCAATATGTAGGTAACTAATTTTGTTCGTCTACCTTACAATTTGTATAAACGTATTGAAGCCTATGGGCAGAGGTTATATTCACTTGGCTAACAAAGACAGTCCCCGAACTTGTAATAGAACTAAAATAAAGAAACTCTGAATCAGCCTCAACCTGGTACACACACTACGGGAGTACCCTACCTTATACAACAAATGGAACCCCAAAACACTGGAGAGTAAAAATCAAATTTATTTTAATAAATACTATGATGTATTATATATGACACTTTTTTGAGAATTCTTTCATTGTGTTTTTCTTTTCTTGGTATTTTCGCGAAATTGCCCTAAAATGTTTCACTTTAGAAATAATCCTACACATCAAACTAATTAAAAACAGAACTCTTTTGATAAAATATGGTAGAAAATGCGCAGTTCTGACTTGGGACTAACATTTCCAGAAAACTAAATTACGTTACGATGAAGTGTTTTAAAATATCTGATTAGAAATAGTACTTAGTATGGATAATTTAGTTAAATAGGGCAATGACAAAATTTGCGTAAAGACGACGTGATTTGTTTGAATCACCACAAATGGTAGAGTGTATTTATACTCCTATAAGAAATATTTTCTTCCCCTCGGTAGCTTTGCGCAGTGGCAGTATCGTAACCAATGAGGTTTATCCGAGGTGCGATTATTGCTAGTTGAAAACTATTACCAATGCCCCGTCCTGGTGATACAAACGTGTCGCCTGTGGCAATTTCTGAAGGGTTCTGCGGAATCTGACCTGATACAAGAAAGAGAAAAGCTGACCGACGGCAACAATTCGGTCAACGTGTCTCGATAAACGCGACGAATTCGTCTTAACTGTCAACAGGTTAAGAGCATCTAAAAATTTTCTTTTCGTTCAACGAACCTAAATAATTACACTGACTGCTTTCTTGTTTCTACAGCACATGCATGACTATACACATGTCCTCTATCGTTCGTTGAAACATACTTCCACTAGGCAACAAAATCTGTATTTCACATGATCACGAACACCCCTTCAATAGAAAAAGTCGAGGGAATATTCAGTTACACACAAGTAGAAAGTCCCCGCCACAAGTGAAAAAAATGTGAGAATTGAGACCCTCGCCACGTTTTTAAATAACATTAGTAATTTCCCAGTTGGGTTTTAAGGTTAGGGTCAGAAATGATTCAAAAATATGAATTTTCAGCGCAATCTGCATTCCTCTGACCTGAACCCAAACCCCACTAAATAATTACTAATTTTCTTATCTTGAGCGCTGTCGGTGTCTTTGTACAAATGATCCAAATCTAGGAATAATCTCGTATATCTCGGGGGAAATGGACGTCTGTGCTACATTGTTAATAGTCTCAGTAATCTTCGCGATGTTTTCGGTGAAAGCTTACTGGAACATCGATAACTTCAACCGTTTTCGTTTTAAAATTAGTTTGTATAGGATAGGTTTCGTGAAACCCTTCAAAAATTGCCACAGGCGACGCGTTAGCGTTACAAGGGCGGGGTATTGGTAATAGTTTTCAACTAGCAATAATCGCACCTCGGATAAACCTCATTGGTTACGATACTGCCACTGCGCAAAGCTGCAGAGTTAATTGCAAATTTTTGTGTAGTCTTATTAAAGAAATCTACCATTTGTGATAATTCGAACAAATCACGCAGCTGTCACGTCTTTACGCAAATTTTGTCATTGCCTTATGTAACTAAATTATCCATACTTATTACTATTTTTAATCAGATATTTTGAAACTCTTATTCGTAGCGTAGTTTAGTTTTCTGCAAATGTTAGTCCCAAGTCAGAACTGCGCAATTTCCGCCATCTTTTATCGAATGAATTCCCTTTTTAATTGGGGTGTGTATAATAATTTCTAACATAAAACATTCAATCGGCCGAATGGAAATATTTATCATTATTTCTCTGTCAGTTGTTCGATCGCTTGTGGTATATATCGTGCCTGCAAAATAATAAATAATTATCTTATTACTTTAATATTTTCTGGGTTATTTGAAGTCCAATATACCAATATAACCATATATACCAATATTTTTGTTTTGTGATACAATATTTTGGGGTACGATGTACATAACTCGTGATTCTTGTGGATTCATGGAATAATAGTATGTATAAAATAAACATGAAAGAAACGAACTGCTGTTTGTGATGACGGGAAATAAGTATTTCGTTGCGTCGTAGAAGTTAGTTTGAACAAGAAATAGAGGACATGTGTAAAGTCATATCTATGCTGTAGAAACCAGAGAGCAGTGCTCAAATATACCGACACTAAGGTTCGACCATCAGTTCCTGCATTTAAATACATCGAGTGTCTAACAAAGCAGCGAGTTTGAAGAAAGGTTGGATGACAAACAATACGGTTGCGGACGATGAAAACGAATTAAACAGCGTAAAATAAAACAACAAAATTTTGAAGAAATATCTGGTCCCGAAGGACATTGAGGAATAATAAAACTAACAGCTTTCCATCATCTTATTTCATCTTTAAGAATAGAGTATGTGTAATCGATTCGTGCATTAGTTGTGAAAGAGCGATTTTACTCCACGACAAAAATCACTCCAACAACATGAAATTAGCAAACAAATATAAAGGCTCACTTCGTGTCCAACAACTCTTATTAATACTTGATTTTATATTCCTATCCGAAAATGAAAAATTATTTAGTTTATTTATATCGTAATTCACAGTAATATCTAGACAGCGTCATTAGCATCAAAAGAAGAAAAAAACTAGTTAGCGATCGGAGACAGCTGACTTATCGATCTGCGGTTATCGATTCCTTCGCTCTGACTCAATAGCGACACTGCGTGTCTCATCACTAATTAATTGATGACTCGCTAATTATACAACATAATTCATCCAGGCTTCCGATCCGAGATATGGTGAATGCACATGAAAAATTCGGAGCAAATTCAACCTCGCTTTCGTGAGATATCGCGTGTATCTAAAAGACAAACAAACAAACAGACAAATACCTATCAACCTACTTACCGATCAAGATCGATAGGTAACAAACAGACAAACAGACAAATACCTATCAACATACTTATCGATCAAGATCGATAAGTAACAATCAAACAAACAGACAAATGCCTATCAACATACTTACCGATCTAGATCGATAAGTAATTACGGAAACAAATATCAATTTGTACGTCTCCGTTTCATTTTACGTAAATATGTGGAAGTTAAGTGAGTTTTTGGAGTCACCACAAATGATAGAGTGCATTCATACTCCTATACGCAATTTTTTCTCTCCAGCAGTGGCTTTGCGCAGTGGCAGTATCGTAACCAATGAGGTTTATCCGAGGTGCGATTATTGCTAGTTGAAAACTAATACCAATACCCCGCCCCGGTGACACGAATGCGTTGCCTGTGGCAATTTCTGAAGGGTTCTGCGGAACCTATCTATAATAAACTTATAATTTAGAAACCAGAACGGTTGCAGGTATTTCTGTCGTAGTAAGATTTTATCAAAAACGTGGAGTGGTTTACTAACTAACAACGTAGCACAGACGTGGCACTCAAAGAATTCCATTTTCCCTCGAGATATACGAGATTATTTCCAGATTGGGATCATTTGTACAAAGACACCGATAACGCTCAAAATAGGAAAATTAGTAATTATTTAGTGAGGGTTTGGGTTAAGGCCAGGAATGCAGATTGCGCTGTAAATTCGAATATTTGAGTAATTCTTAACCCTAACCCCAACTGGATAATTACTAATTTGTTATTTAAAAACGTGGCGGGGGAGTTTTCTTAATTCTCACAATTTTTACATTAGAGTCGGGGGCTTTGTTCAGAAGATCCCTAGATTCTTGCGATTTGTATGTAACTTGATCTTTTCTTTTGCCGATTAAAACTTTTGTCATTTTTGTTGTCACTCTGTCAGTTACCGGTTGTATAAAAATATTCAGCTTCTCTTGGAATATGATTCTCGTTTATGATACAATAATTTGATGTACGATGTACATAACCCGTAATTTTTGGGATTTATGAAATAGTATAAAATAAATATGAAGCAATGGACTGGTGTCCGTGATGATGTGAAATACAAAATTAATATTAATTTTTAATTTGTACATCCCAGTTTTATTTCGCGGAAATATGTGACAGTTACGTGAGGTTTTAGGGCCACCACAAATGATAGAGTGCATTCACACTCCTATACGCAAATTTTTTTCTTCAGAAGTAGCTTTGTGCAGTGGCAGTATCGTAACCAATGAGGTTTATCCGAGGTGCGATTATTGCTAGTTGAAAACTATTACCAATACTCCGCCTCTGTAACGCGAACGCGTTGCCTGTGGCAATTTCTGGAGGGTTCTGCGGAACCTATCCCTCTATAAACTTATTTCAAAACGAAAGCAATCTCTAGAAATGATATTTTGGTGACCGTTCTAAAAACTGTGGACACGTTTCTATTAGGCTATTTAGCGATTTGGATGTAGCTGAATCTTGTTCCCGTTCCTCTTTATTTTTAAACTCCCTACATTACTGTTGTCGCAGTGTCACTTCTTTCCTATTCCCGTATCACAACAGAGGTCGTACTCATCGATATATATAAGTAACACGCGGGAGTATCGAGTGTTTTATGTTCGCAATTGCTTGAAGGCAGCGGATATAACCAATAAACATGCTGGATATCTTAATTTTACGGACAAAGCCATCATGTCATGATTTGCGATTAAATACATCGGTCCAATGTTGCGTTTGTAGTTTACGTTTCGTTTACGTTTGTATTTTACGTTTCGTTTACGTTTGTATTTGACGTTTCGTTTACGTTTTATACGTTTTACGTTTCTTGTCTTCTTTTTAAAATATTTATTACAGTTATCCCCAACATTATTCTGCTTCGCATGCAATGTTCATGACTGTACGAAGGAATGAAAGCATGAAGGACAAGAGAGCTACGCTCAAATATATGGACACGTCTGTTCGCAGTACAGTACGGTTTACCGTACCGTCAGATCACAGTCTACAAATATATTCACACCAAGCGAAGCAGTGCAGTCGGACACAAAATGGCGTCCGATGCCCGCAGAACGTTCAGTGACGTCATATCAAACAAAAACAAATCTTACAGAGCTAACAGAAATATTTGAAATAAATAAAAGTAATAGCCTTCTGGAGAAAAATTTCATCTTCAACCACTAAAAATTTCAAAGCAATTGGTCCAGTGATCAAAGTGAAAAGCGTTTTTTTAATATTTCCACTAGGTGTCTTAAAAGTGTCAAAGAACAACAAGAACAACATAACAACAAAACGATCGTTATGTCCACTAAACGTGTCCAATAAAACACATTTAAAATAAAATATGTCACAATTCGCTTGTCAAATTTTCTAGAATTACAACAATAACAGTCCTGCAGAGATAAGAGAAAATATATTCTTTGTCTTCAGAGTAAATAAACTAAAATTATATTTATTGTAAATCATTTTTTCATGCGGGATGTCGGTCATTTATTCCAGAACAGAGATTCCATTCAGACATTTATAATCTCGTTTACCCCTTTCCTAAAAGTGAAATTTACGCTATTAGTTGTTTAGGATGTCTATTCCAGTGTTGTGTAATGAAATTAAGAAAATGGAACTAGGTTGGACCCTGGTGCCTGCGTGATAATGGCAAAAGCATCAATTGCGTAAGAAAATACTTCTTTTATTTGCAATCTTCTATCTGGTCAACAGCTACATTTAGTCATGTACGTTCTTGCTTGTGAAATTTACCCCGATAAAGGTTAAGTTTACCTCCGGGTTCAGCCCTTAGTTTATAAATTGCGTTGTAAGGGATTTCGTGAAATTTCCTAGTATTTCGGGATCGACATAACAAAAATAGGTTTGGCACAGGAGTGCTGTAATCCCAAACAACATTGAAATAGTGGTTTTTAAAGACAATCATGTTTATATACAATTCAAACCCACCCAGTTTCTTTATCATCATGTTTTCGCATATTTTTACAAATTACAAGAAACATTCTATTATAAATCAAGAAACGATATTTTGGTTTGACCTTCTCACGAATTGTTTTGGTTATAAAACGTTATCTTTTTAATAAACAAACAAGAGATTACTCGGAACATCTACGAAAGAGATGACACAGTCACCTACAAAATATCAGAAAAATCTCTGGCTTCGATTTGTTCTTGCAATCAGGTTTGACTGACCTTGTTTCACACATACGCTGCTATTTGCTAATATATATCCATCATTTTCAATTCTCTTCCACACCCCAACACTAACCAAACTAGCTATTTTAAAGATACTGCTCAAACCTATTACAATGTCACATTATAATACATGTAATCCACCGTATTTCTTGGAACTGTTTATTTACAAGCTCTATTATTTTTCTCAACGATTTCTTCATGTAATCAAGGTATTTTGAGGCTGACAATTGACATTTTTGATTAATTTTTGTTGTTATAAATTACAACGCCCATCACGTATCATCGTTCTTACAATATTTGGCAATAGGCAAGAATTACATATTTATAAACCTACTTACTTATAATAACATTCGATAAACAGAACAAAATGAAGGATTATTTTTATGTCTGACCCTAGTTCCACTTCATTAAACGTAACTTACCGTTCAATCATACGGCGTATATTCAAATTCTGTTTGCAATCGCCAAGTCTAAATTTTTATGTTAATTTGTTATTCATTACACCACAAAATGTCGGAATCCTATTGAATCGGCGCTCCTGAAGTGTGAAGTGTATGTACCAATATGGAGGTAACTAATTTTGTTCGCCTACTCTACATCAAGTTGTGTAAAGGGATTGAAACATACCGGCAAGGGGGTATATTCACTTGCTGGCTAACACAGGCAGTCCCCGAACTCGAAATAGAACTTAGAAATAAGGAAAATCGGAATAAAATTATGGCCTAACCCTGCCCTGGTACACATACTAAGGGAGAACCATTGATTCGACATTTATTACACTTAATACGTTTTAATCTATTCAACGGAATGGCTTGTTCAGAATTATTATTGTTAAATCACCACGATAATTTGCCTTTAACTTTTGTTTCATTTGTAAACATGAATTATGTGCCTGTAAACAGAAACTATAGTCGCTATCTAAATAAAATAGAAAGACATCCAAAACAATGTTTAAACTTGAAAAATGATGAAGTTGGTGTCTTTCAGCTTAAGAAGTGTAATATGGCCTGCTATTTCATTCTTATGCACTCACTTTATATGTATTGTATTGTGTGAAATGCTGAGGGCTGGTTTATTCATTTACGATTGTTCGTAACGAATGACAAGACGTAACCACCACACGTTAGTTACCACAGATTTCTCCCAATTATGATGTCATTTACTAAACGCTTATTTTACGACAATGCGGTCAGATAATTTGATTGATAACCTTGTCAGTGGAATCAACTAATCTTGTTGTTATAACGACGTCATATTAATATAAATATGGATGACTAGATTCAAAGATTACATTGTGATGGAACAATTATCAATGCTGTCGAGAGCGTTTTTTGTACATCTTGGCTCAGACCCGGTCAAACTTAATCGGAGAATGGGACTTGCTGGCAATTAGGTGTACTTCGTCTTCCTTCCCGCCAACGAATAATATTACCAATACGGTGAATTGCTAAGTTACGATGCAACATCACTTCATCGACATTAATTACCTTATTGTTCTTTCATTAAGCTGATGTTAACGATTGCATTCACGAATTTGAACTTTTGTTGAAAAGGTATTCCGCAAAATTTTGCGATGGAACTCAGTAACACCTAATTTTGTCATCGCGTAACGTTTTGCAATAACGACTGGAAAATTAAAAACTTAATATTAGTAAAATTCCCTTTTGCTTTTGCCATTTCCAATTGTGGTCGACATAATATATAATTTCATTCGTTCATGACCTATATAAACCGATTGAATAATAAAATGAAACTTGTCCCGGAATTACCATGTTACGGCTTTTCTCGATAGAGCAACAACATTTGGTGAATTTTGTATTTTATAGTTTTTTTTATACTATCTACTCGTCAAGGAATAAGGTTAGCCCTGGTGAAAGTAAGTTGGTTTACCGTCGAATATTAGATCGTGGGTTAATGCCTTTTTTATAGAGTTTCAAACTCTGATAACTATATGGAAAATAGAAAAGTCTGTTGCAACATTTATTTATATTGTACTGGGAAATTTTGCGCCTGTTTTCATTCTGAGATTCAGCTTATTACTCACTTCATCTATTTTCATGGAATCACATTATTTTTTGCGAATTCTTTCATAAATAATATGGGAAATTAATTAAATTGAATCAAAAACAGCATCATTGAGGAACGATACCTTTATTCATTAACAAGTAACACAGGATGATAATAATAAAATTAGGAATTTATCTCATGAGATTCGAATGATTTTGAGAGTAAACAAATAATAAAAAAAAATCATCGATTTAAATTCTAACAAGCTCGCAATGTTTGAACAAACAAAAACATTTGTTTATGAAATATTTAGTCGGTCAGTGATATAATTCTGACATCATATCTTTTTATCAACGTATGCTTTAACTTGAAATGAATCGCGTTAGTCTTAGATATTTTGAGACAAGAACCGATAAATAATGATTTTGCTAATATATTCAATGTCAGCAGTAAGGCTGGTGGGGTTATTTGCTTGCATAGGTAAAACTTGAAGGTCGACTGTTGGTGTTAATATATTTGCTTAAAGTAGTCAAAACATGCGAACAGGTTTTTAGTGCAAAGCAACTAATTATTCCGTAATTCAATTGGAATTGTAATAGTTAAAATTCCTTCCGTCGGACAATGAATTTATCAACTATATCTGACCCATGCAGTTTTTGCATGAATTATTTTATTTGCATGATCCGCGTGATACTTGTTAAATTAATTATTTAAAAGATATTATTTACATATAATATATATATATATATATAGATTGTCGAGAATTGCTAAAGACAAAAAATGGTGTAAGACTTGTTGAAGACTTAAAAGACTGGTCTGGCTACAACAAGATCATATTAAAAATCCGCCATTTTCTTTCGTCACAAAATACACGAAATGATAATTTGAAGATATTTCTAGATAACCTTGAGTTGCGTCAAAAATAAACCAGGTGTATATCGCATTCCTAAAGCATTCTTTTTCAACTTCTCAACCACAAAATGCATTGTAACGATGATCAATTGAGCGTTGATAAAAACCCTCCACACCTACTTAAGCTTAGGTAGAAGTTTATCTGAGACAACGTCATATTAATACATGTTCTATTAATTGCACTCTCGGGGCTCTCCTCTTTTAATCATGCTTGATACCACGATGAATTGATGATTTTAAGTTCGAAT